GAGGGAGGTGTTGTGCTCTAAGGCATCGCGCAAAACACGCGTTAGTTGCTGTTCAAAGAGGGAGGGGGTCATACAACACACCTTCTCCCAACATACTCACTCCATCTCCAACAGTGGCGCCACTTCCTCCAACTCCGGCGTCATCCGGATATGTGGGCTTGAGGGAGTCGCCAGTAAGTGCACATCCCTCCCATCCAGCCTCGGCATTCGCCGGCGGAACGGGAGAGAAACAAGGAGACGGCAAGAAGAACTTAGAGGTGGGAGAGGCTGTATTAGGACGAAGTTGCAGAGTCAACAAATCGTTGTTTTGAGATTTTGGACTCAGCCGGTAACTTCCGGCGGAGCCCAAAACGGCAGTTAGGGATTCGGCAACGTTTTGCATGCCGGTCACGTGGATTTCCAAATTGGGCGCAACAGGCGCCAGCAACAATTCTGAGAGCAAAGGTGGGGGGTTATCTTTTGTGCCCCGGTTTCTGGGGTTATTTATACCATAGGGAGTAGGTATAAAATCAAATTGAGGGCCTAGTACATTGACATCATGGGTGATGTCATATTTTTCTCGAACTTTCTGGTTGTTGGTAGAACTTTGATTATGTAATCCCAAAACATCGGCCAAAAATGCAAAATTCTCATTATTTAGGGAATTTCCCATTAATTCAGCCATGCTAAGTAAAGATAAGTCTGTATCATTTAATTCTGGCTCATTATCAATGGCCATTTCATCTCCAAAAATTAGGTAACTGCTAGGGAGTCTTGAACCATACCAAGTTGATGGTTCAAATACCCACTCGGGATTAATACCATCAGGGGTACATAGCAATTCATGTGTAATGTGAAGATTATGCGGGTCTTTAAATACGAGCCATGTTCCATCTTGTCTTTCATCAATGCTAACATAGTTCCCGCGTTGCCACGGTCTTCCTAATAGCAAATTGAAGGGTACATGGTCACCTACATAAAGATTTGCTTTGGTTTGGACTGCTCCACAAGTAAGTGGAACATTCTCAACTAAGCCTTGTAATTTTCCTTCGCCTCCATTAGCATCGTTCATAGAGATGCTTCTTCCTACGTCAATGGGGCGGTTAATCTGAGCTTTCCAAACTTGTCGGCTCACTATATTGAGCTGACTTCCAGTATCAATTATAGCATTGATGGGTTCTCCATCACAATACATTGTCATCCTGATCAATAAGCCACGGGTCTTGCTCCAAATCGAGTGAGCTTGGGCTTTTTCTATAACAACTGGCTTTGGCTTTATAGCATTGGCTAAAATTCCTGACAACTCACGGGATGATCCAAGAATTTCACCAACTTCTAAAGAGATTGGAGTCCTAAGGACTGACTCCAAAACTTTTTCAGGTTTAGCACGCACTGCTAAATCGGAGATACGACGATGTGTAATCTTTTGATTAGGACTCGTGTGTTCCTTTTCACCAGGGTCTGCTTTCTTTTTGTCTTCCTTAGCCAAACTTGGCTTAGGAAGTGGCACATCTTCCATGATTATGTCATCATTATTTTCATCATAATCTGGATTAATATGAGCTTTCTGCTTATCAATATTAGCCCTTTCACTCCTTGTTAGTGGTCCGGGTCTTTCTTTGATAATGGGTTCCTTCTTTGATGCAGGAGCTGGCTTTGATCGCGGGGCAGTCATAGGTTTATTCCCTATCACATTTTCCTTTCCCTTTGATCCAGTCTCCTGATCACGTACATTTTTCTTGGTAGGGGGAAAGACTCCGTCAAAGCGTTCTCGTCTAGCTTTGGCAGCGGTCTTTATGGTTCTTTCTGCTGGATATACATAATAGTCTTCTTCGTCACTTTCATCGCCATATGCAGGGATCATAAATGCATCATTGTCGCTATCACTTTCTTCATCTTCTTCCTCGTCACTAGAGATATCATCAACTCTAGTCCTCCTGCTCCTTATCACATTGCTAGTCAAAGACTCCCGATTGACCTCATCGGGTCTAATAGCAACAAAGTGTGACATGGGAGCTGCTTCCCTATTAAGTGCTTCAATGACTGTTTCCTCCGGCATACGTCTGACTGCATTCCCATTAGGGTGTTGAATTTGTCTCTTTTCATTCCTCTTGATCCTTCCTTCAGCTTCTAGCTTGGCAAGGTGAGGGCAAATGGGGAGAGTATGTCCTATCTCTCCACATCCAAAACAAATCCTATTCTGAAATGGTGTTCCTTGTGGTTGGTAAAATCTGGAACCAGGTTGGGGTTGAGGTCTCCTTTGACCATATCCTCTTCCACCACCATTACTGGGAGTAGCATTCAATTTAGAACCTTGTAAGTCAGGAGACATTCCTGCACCAGCTCTGGGAGGGGGTGGAGAAATAATCTGCATGACTCTTGGGTCTAACTTAGTAACACGATAATACAAAAGAGCATACTGAGGATCCTCAAGTGACATGATATTGAGCTGCTTGATCAGATCCTCAATCTCATCACGTGGTTCCGTACTTATAGCTTCCTTGTTAGCCTTGGCTTTCTTGGAGGTTTCCATAGGAGTTGTTGTGCCAGAATGTCTGTCCTTATGTCTAGGAGTTTCTTTAGCAACATGTCGCTTCTTCGAACCTTTCTTAGTAGATTTGCGAGGTTTAATCTCTGCCTCATCATCTGAATCAGATGACTCCTCGCTGGAAGTCAAGGATGATTCAGTAGAGTCAGAGTCCTCAGAGTCCGAAGATGAGAGATCAGTCTCTTCCTCGGAGATAAGCAGATCTGAATCGAAACGGTCCCTGTGAAGTAGCTTCTCTGCAGCTGAGATAACTTTATCCACGCCAAATGCCTTGGATAAATCCTTGTCAGGTTCCTTAGCCATAAGTCTACTTTCAATCTTAGCACGCAAATTCTTATAAATTCCTTTCCAAAAATAACCTGCATACTCATCTGCTGAAATCTTCTTTGCAGTTTGAAGCCAACCTGCAATCCTAATAAATCCTCGTACATACTTCTTCCATGCCGCTAGAGTGGGAATACGTTGTCCCCTCATAGCCTTAACATAGGAGAGTAAATCCTTTCTTTTATAACGCTTTGTGTCCAAATCAGCGTCATAATACTTCAGAATGTCTGCCTTGAGAGCATTCCAATCGGCTTTCTCATATGAGTCCAGTCCTTCAATGAACTCGGTGACATGACGTGAAGTATACTGGGTAATGGTTTCACATCTGTCCTTGTCAGTGGTGACTTGGTTATAGTCACATAACTTTTCATAATGCTTGACAAACTTTTTGACTTCTGTAAAGTCTCCTTTAAACTTCTTGGGAGCTGCCTTACTCCCGGGGATAGGCATAGTAAGAATAGAGTGTGTCATCATAGGCAGTGTTGATGGTGACATAGTTAACTGTGTGGTTAAGATAGATGCTGGGGAAATTGTCGTGGACAATTTGGTTACCTGGTGTGTTGGATTCTGAATGGTTACGTTTGGATAGTACTCTGAATACGAGTAGTTTCAATAAGAAATCAAGAAGAAGCCTCCCTCGCGGTGGGCTCCAGTGATGTCTTAATAACCGAGGGTCTTATATGAAAACGTGTAAGAATGTAATGACACCACAATTACACTGGATAAGACTTCTTGCCAGTCCTCGATTAACACGGTCTACGACTTTTCTTCTTTCGTGGTAGATAACGTGTGAGTTCTTGGGAGGCTCGCTAAACCAATCAGTCAGATTAACTTAGCCGGAGCTTTATTATCTCTGATTGAAACTATGGGATTGTCTAGGATATACCGTCTAGACACTTGAACTGGTTTCCTGAATATACGGTTAACTGTTGAGAAGCTGGTCTCAAATGTGACTACGTGGACCAAAGCTCGTGTTGGTCAATATACAAATACCTGGTGAGAACGCTGGTCTCACAAATAACAACAAATGACAAATAGAAAACAATGACAAATAACAACAATGACCAAAGCTCGTGTTGGTCAGTATACAAATACCTGGTGAGAACGCTGGTCTCACAAATAACAACGGTGACCAAAGCTCGTGTTGGTCAGTAAACACTACGTGGTGAGAACACTGGTCTCACAAAACTGGGTTTCTATTGCGAGAAACTTACGTAATCTCAAGGGAAACACTTTCCCTGCACTTGCCTGGACAGTTCTTACAAAGGAAATGGGCTTTGTAAGCAGCAATTTGTTCAGACTGAAGCTTCTTAGGTGAGAGTTCAATTTGCTCAAGTGGGAGTTCTTGAATGCAACAAGTGGGAGATCTATTTTTTGGGGGAGAATGGGCTCTCCTTATATACATTTTGTGTGGGAATATTATGTAAGTAAAAAGGTGATGTAATGACTTCAGAATGTGGGAAGAATATTCCAAAAACTGGAGCAGAATGTTCTAGCAGGTGCAAAAGAACATTCCAGAATATTCATGGTGGGATAATGACATCATTCTGAGTCACTATGAGTCACTATGAGTCATTATGAGTCATTGGAATGTTCTAGCAAATTCCATGGAACATGACATCATTATGACATCACTATGATATCATATCTTTCAACCAAAATACCTGCAGGAGTGTAGGTGAAGTCCTATGACATCATTATGACATCATACCCTGTAGGTACAATTTTATGAAGCATCTGATTAGTCAGAGCATCCTAATAGAAAAGTAAAGTAAAGAAACACTAGAGAAAACAACTCAGAAATAATAGAACAAATAATAGTACACAATACGCGGGCTTTTTAGATAGGTTTTTGTTAGGCTTTGAACTTTTCTCTATGGGTTTCTCTAGCCAAAGTGAATAAGCCAAAGGAAAGGCAATACCTTAACCTTCATTTTGCTTCTCATATCAACTAGGTCATTATGTGATTCCCATCTCACATATGACTTTTCTTCAAAACATGGTGGATTCATGAATCACTGAGGGAAAACTGAAACTATTGGACCAAGGTTTGATACCAAGGTATGGGTTGACTAGTCTGAGGACTAAGCTAACAGACTTTGTCTTTTAGGGGGATACCTAGTAGTCATGTCCATGCATGATTCCCAAATCATGCAGGACAACGTGAACGGGGTCTGGATGCCCAGTGACGGAAGGCAAGGCGAGGAGAAGGAGTGGAATTGAAAGGAGGGGGAGTAGGATGGGTGTATTGAGGAGAAGATGGAGGGTGGTCCGAAGCGTCAGATGCCGGGGTGTCTGGATCACTGTGCCAGATGACGCTTTGGCCACCATCAGGGTAATATGTGTAATCCGCCTGTTTGGGTTCGGGTCTGCACTGGTGATGAGTCTTGTGAGCGGCTTTTTTGGGAGGAGGCTGGTGCATCTGTATCATCTCCAGATGAAGCTGGGTAAGGTCACGCTCGCGTTCAGCATCAAATAGTCTTGATTGCAAGTCAAACAGTTGGGTCCACAATTTCTCCGTGACTGCATTTGCATCACGCAGCTGCTGCCCCTGGGAAAGCAACTGTGTGTTTGCAAGAGACCTAGTGGCGCGATCCTCATCCCAAGCTTGCTGAACAGCAGGGTCAAAGGCCCCACTGATGCGAGAAAGCAACTCGGAAGCTGCTGCACCTCGGCGACGTGGCATAGGTGTATCTGTCTGAGTGGCGCAAGTGACTGCAGTGTGTTCAAGAGGTGACATACTTCGCACCTTGACGTTTTGTTCATTACAATTCAACTCGTCGTCGTGGGCATCGTAGTCCGAGTTGTTTAGGTCACGGGTACCAGCACGCTCATTGATGCGCGCATCGAGCTCATGGGCACGAGTGACGTCGGGGGGACAAACTCCATCACCGGTGGGCTTCGTGGTCTTCACAAACTGAGGTCAAAGTGTGAGATGGATGTCGTAGAATAGAGCATGACTTACCTGCTTGAATTTAGTTTCGAGCAATGTGGCTTTACGGTGAGGGCGGCCATTACGGCCTGCCCGCTGCGTGAACTTCGAGTGTATCAGTTGCCACCCTTTCTGGCCCAGAGGAAGTTTGTCTTTGACAAGGTCAAGAAGGACTTTGACATCAGCCGTGCTGTAATTGTTAGAGCCGTTGGGCCGACCACGTTTCGCCCTTGAATCATCTTCATCATCCTCAATAGCACGTGCATGCTTTTGAGGGCAGTCAGCAATGTCCAGGTTAGTGTTCTCCTTATCCTTTCCCCTGCTTTTATTAGTTCTAGTCTTGCGACGTGCCCCGCCAATTTTGATGGCAGGTGCATATCCACGAGACCCAGCGATGACCAAGGGGTCACGAAGCTCCATATCCAGTGAGTCAGGGAGCGGGATAAGAGCAGGCTCGCGGTGTGCGCTAGGTGGCAGGAGGTGGGACCCAGATGGTGAGGGTGGTGGCAACGAGCAAGGTTGGGAGAAGTTCGCAGGAGTTGTGAGTCCATACATGGATGGCGCTGCTGCATGTCCCTACAAGGTGATAAGTACGTGTTGTGAAGGTCAAAGAATGATTGAAACTTACGCCATAAGCCTGGGACATGTATCTGTCTTCAGACCGCTGCACTCGAGTCACAGCCTGCGCAATCCCAGGATGGGGTCGCCAAACACCTAAGAGATCGCGCGCATATGCATTGCCTGCATCATCATAGCGCAACTCGGGAATTGTTTGGCTAGCAGGGACAGTCATAGATTGGGAAAGGCGAATATCAGACATTGGAGGGACTGAATGTTTAGGTACTGACCTTGTGGCTACTGATACACGAACTTTATATGATACAAGTCTTTATTGAGCCGTCGGGCACGAGGGGTGGGGATATTCATTGTAAAAAAATAACTCATGGGCCCTGCACTGGTAACAGTGCAACGCGAGCGCGCATAGGCGAAATGGATGGACTGTAAGCATGGCAAGTGCATATTGAATGAAATTTTCATTGACAGAGGGTGAGGATTGGTTGGAGACAGATGCTAGGATGGATTGGGGAAGATTGGAGGCACCGGAGGCAGACTGGTCAGGTAGGAGCTTCATTACCGCGCATGGATGATCGAGTATGTCGTACTGGTCACTGGGTATCATCTAAATAGAGCCGGGAGAAAGAGACATTAGCATACTTGGCGAAAGGTTGAAAACGTAGCTTGGTATCAGTGCGCAAGGTGTTGTGTTGCATGGCATGCATGTCGAGCAAGGCGGATTATGTCAGCGGATATCGCTGGCGTTAGTGGCCGAAAATGGAAGGATGTCGTTTATTTTAGTCTGCAAAATCTATTGGGGGGGGGGGGTACCCCCCCCCAATAGATTAAGGTTTATAAGAGGGGGGTAGGTGACACATGTTTGCAAATTGTGTCGAAATGAACAGCGGCATCGCGGCACACCTGCCTAATACGGTCAAATTTATGATATGATATTCTAATCAGAATTTTTCGAGCCTACGGAAAGTCATCCACTTTGACACTTTCTCATGTTGAAAAGTGGAGGTAATCGGAGTGTGGTCGGAGTGTAAACTGTCATTGCTCATGAGAACTTGATAACTCTCGGACCATGATGATAGTAGATTTCATATGGGATTATATTAAGACAACTCGGAAGTGCGCTAAGATGTATGACGAATCTGGGGAGAAAGACTTGATATCATCGGAACGACCTGAGCGGTGAGTGTCGACTGTACAGGTCTGGCGAAAATCGTTGTCAATATAATGGAGGTATGATGCAAAGCATTACCTTCATTTACTACGTTCTTTGACAATCTTCACACCAGGTATTCGTTTACAGGACATGGATGACTTGACGACCTCCGGTAGAGTATTAAGTGTCGGCAGTGATGCTGAAGGTGTAGTATCAGCGTCCGCAGAAAGCCCTAGATGGGCAGTAGGTTCCGCGGGGGCGGTAGGACGCCGAACGGTTGGGCCTGCATGATTTCTGGAAGACAGAGAATTCCCCGAGCTAAGGCACTGTCTTGAAGTCGAACCAACCGATGGTGGTGGTTTTGGTGGTAATGAACCAAATGAACTGGTGGTACTTGATTCCATCTGGCGTAACTTTGCCTCCATCATCGCAATCTTGCCATCTGTACTAATTCAAAAGTAAGATAATAGGTACCCTTTTGAAGATAAAATTCACCCTTCTGACCGAGTATGAATTCCGCTTTTCATCATACTCAGGGTAGTCGGTCGCGTATCAACTCTTCTCGCCCTGCCCACCTGTCGACTTCCACCGGGCTGTTCGAGCGGAGCTTGATGAGCAAAAGTAACCGTCAGCTTACGACCCCGCAGTAGTTTTCCATTAATGTTGTCCAATGCCGTTTGGGCATCCTGGTGCAGGTCATTTGTCAGTCAAGCTGTCAATGACTTGAGAGGACAATGGCCGCCACATGTGCCATGACATGTCAAGGCAATCGCGAGAAAAACGAGTCAAAAACAAGCGACGGCGCTTTACAGCATCATGACTTACATCTTCATGCAAATACTGTAGGAAGGCATATCCGCGTGGCTTCCCTTTGTTTGGACCCGTCTTGTGAAAGAGAAAGTCGAGTTTCGATACTTTGCCGAACTTGGTGAAAACCTGTAGAAGGGCGTATCTGTCCACAATTAGAGGATGTGAGGAAACCACAACTAAATCACTCACTCATCGACAGTGGGATGCAGGTTTCCAATATACAAGCGATCCCTCAATAGCGAAGATGAACCGGATGCCTGAGGTATGGCAATAACTCGCTCTTGAGCTTCGGGTTCTGGAAACCAGAGATGAGCGTTCAAAGATGAGTCGTCCTTGTCTGCTTGCGGATGTTGTGCAGGAATATCCTCAGAATTTGTGATCATTGAGTACTTGAATATTGACAAGCTAGATCTGAGCAAGCAGTGAATGTTGTCTTGGTAAGGACGAACGTAGGGAATTTGAGTTTGAGTTCGGCAATACCCATTAATCTACAGGAGAGAGAATATATTTGGCCACCTAAGTACGCTCAGACACCTAAGTAAGCTGTGTCCCAAGACTCAGTAATCAAAAGTAACGATCGCAAACTATGTAAGGTAAGAGTAACCTATAGTGATCGACGAATATGAAAAGATGAAGTGCCAGCATTTAAAGCACGAACACGTCGTTTGTACTCTCCCAAGATGTAACCCGTGAGCCTAATACTATCATATGCACATGCCACACCTGCGCTGGCAAACGTCACAACAGTCTAGGTTCCTTCGTCGTACCAGCGGAAGGGCGTGGGGATGCGACACTTACATTGACAGCTGATAGAGTTATGCTCGACTGCATGCGAGGGTAAAACACCCGCTGTGACGTTTGTCTCGACCACCGCCAGTGCCAGCTGCCAGCAGCGCTGCAATATCCACGAGTGGGTGTCACGGCAATGCACCCACATAGTAAAAACGTGTTTGATATCGCGGTCAAAGCCCCACGCCGTCAGAAAATAAGCGCTGTGCAGCCCAAGTGCAGCCCTACCGAAGACGTCCCTAATATAGTCAGAGGTCTTGTCGCTTGCCTGATGCATAAGTATCTGCCTAACCTAAATATCTATATAATTTCTTTTCATTCCGAGTAAATTAATATTATCGTGTCTTAGATCCGTACAAACTCATTGAATGTGTAATGACGATGCAAGTTAAGGATTGATACTGCTATAGCTACATGTAGTTGTGACGTGCAAGAACAAGAACAAGAACTGGTCCAAATTGAAGCAAGCTCAAGTGCCGATTAGTGTCCGGTTGGATGGTGAACCAACGTCTATGTACATTATGATGTCCTGCTACTGGTCATCCAGATGGCTCTGCTTAATGTGGCGCAACAGAGCATCTTTACGAGACAGGGATTTCTGGCAGTGAGGACATTTCACTGTCATAGAGGGCAAGTCTGGGCTAAACCTGCAACTCCCCAGGTGCCTCTCCATGTCGTTTCTACGCGTGAAAGATTTCTTGCAGCCATGAATTTTCATCAAGCAGTCAAATCGCTCTTCCTTAGCTCCTTCGGGCCTTGTCACTCTTTTAAAGGAACGATGACCGACTTTTCGAGCCTTCTTGGATGCTGCTGGATACAACAGCGTATGGGACGATGCTGCACGTTTATGGATGCGACTGGGTTGGTAATCGTCATCGTCATCATCGGTCCGCCGCCGCTTGACTCCTCGACAAACATCAGCCGGTTTAATACCAACATGACTTGGGTTGAAAGGCGATGAAAGCTGACTCGGATGTCGTACATTAGCGCGGAGCGGACAGGGAGATGGGCTTGGAGAAATGCAGATTTGCACTTGTGATGTAACGTTCTCCGTCAAGTCCTCTGTGAATCTTAGGAAACGAGATCGCTCCGCGGGATCAGAGTCTCGCAAGATAGACGACGAGTCATGCACCAGTCTGGCATCGTCAACTGGAAGCAGAAGCATCGGCTGAGAGACATTCTTTAAGGATGATACTGGAGGGGGCATATCCAAGACTGTCCGGCAGGCAAGGTCTTCTTGAAGTTGTTCAGGATAAGCTGAGTCTTCCATAAATCCTTCTTGCTCAAAAAACGGGCTGCAATCCGCTGCCACATCGAGAGGCCCGAAGTCCCCCAGTGGACCGCAGAAGAGGTCAGGGAGAAGGGCGCCGCCTTGCGGGGTCAAGGGAGACCTACTCGACGCGACACTGAACGGTGATTCGTCGGGGCTCAGCTGCGGCAAACCTAAGAAGTCTCCAGTTGCAGATGACCCTAGATACCGATATCGAGTAGTCTTAAGACACATATGTCAGCATGGACTTGTGGGATCTTCAGTTCACGCACGTCAGATGCCTGCATTTGGTCGATAGCCAGATTCTCAATGTATGCTGCATCGTCCATATCCTCGAGGTGAGGATCGAGGTCATCAGAGGACCACAGCACCGTTGATGTTGTGGATGACTCGAATTCCAAGGTTCTGTCCTCAGTCAGTCAATCGACCATTCAGTTGACCACAAGATAGGATTACAATACTCACCTTAAACCATCCATGAAATCGAGCTTCGATGGGAGCTCGGTCTCCCGTCTAAAGGATTCTGAATCCTCGGGATACACAAAGTATTCATTGTAGTCGCTGGACGACGGGAGACGCATGTCAGATGAGGTAGATGGTGAGAAAAATGTGTTGGATAAGATGCAAGGAAGTGCACCTTCGCGCAAGGCGACCTTCTTATCGGCCTTGCAAGCCAACAAATAAGTTATGTTGACATTTGAGGGTCCATCCCTCACAAAAACGTGTTATACACGCACCAACAAGGCTGTAGCCCTTGATGCGGAAGCATCTTAATTGTTCCGAAGTGCCGTCTTTACTAGGCTAAGAAGCCATTCACAGGCGCTGGTCGTATTCGTTAGATCTACGAGGTTGTACGAAAATAAAGGAGCAACTACCTTGAAGAACTGCTTACAAGGCTTATGCCAATTTTCTGGCCTACAGCGCATTTCGTATGAGTCAAAGGCCGTACATGTCCTGTAGTAGGCACTGTATCCGGCGGTGATTCTAGATGGCAAGTCCCTTTGCCACCTCAGTTCTAGAAGCCGCGGAGCGCGGACCTTTACGAAGACAATTCGAGGGATAAAAGTGGCCCGGAATTTGATGTCAGAACCAATATGGTACACGACGGGAACGTGGATATTCAATATTCAAGGCCAAACTCCGACAAGCTATGATGCATTTGTATTTTTGTCGAGTTTGAGCTTATAATAATAAAGGCCTGACGATAGTTCACAACTACTACGTCCTTATCAACCATGTGGGTCCTGAATACCTAGTAACCATGGATAACTAGCCCTGAGGCCGCAGGCGACACCATATGCATGGCTGCCACTTCGCAGGCCATCCTACAAACAACATATCCGATAGATATCCGAGTCACGGCAAATTTTCCGGGGGCCCTACCTAGTCTCCCGTGGGCAGGCCCTAATAGAAGGACAATCGTTGCTTCTGTATCAGACGGAGGTTGTATATCCGAGGCACAAACGAGTCCACAAGATACTCCCGAGTCAGTGGGCGACGAATTTGAAAGCATTAATGCTCAAGCGCTCATGCGCAAAGCTGTCTTCACTAGCCAAACGGTACCATTGAATGAATGATTTTTAACAAGTTTTTACAGCCATTTGCAGAACGCTAGGCCAACGCAAATACACGGCGGTGATTTTCTATCTTCGATCAGTTATACTTAGGACTCGATTGGGCTCTCGGGCTAAAGCTACGTATCGTTCTTGAAATTGTTGGAATTGAAACCTCGACACCACAAATCTCCCGCAGTTGATCTTGCATTTCAGTGAGGAGAATATCTGGTTGTCGCTCGATACACGCCTCAAGGAACTGAGAAATCACATATAAGTGATACTGAGAGTAGGCAATAGCTCACGTTTACATCAAGGCTGTCGAGGTCCGAGGATGCGGGGTTGACCTGCACAAACCGGTGTCCTCACGAATTCACCAGTCTCCCGATACGTCTTCCGAACGTATCACATTGACCGCTCACTGATCCCAGTGTAACGATGGATCATTGTCCTTGATATTTAGCATGGATATGTACTAGTCCCATAGTGGATCGAGATTGATCGATGATCTGTTGTTTGCTCCGTTTTACTTAACTTTGATAGAGATATGGGCTGCTGAACCTCTTATAGTGCACCTTGTCAACTGCTGTAAGCTGACTCCATGGATACTGTCAATTCTCCGGGGATACGTTCCTCCAACCCCTCATCCACCTTCTTACAAAATCCACCACATCCGCTATGCAATCCATGCTGCACGTCCTTTTTCTCCCAATACCTTTCTAGAGCAATGCTAATGGTACGTGTTCTGCGCTTAGATGTGTCTATCCTGACTTTGTTAGGGCAGAATAAATCACCTTGGCCCACTTTTTCGTAACATCCGATGCTACTACCATCATCAGGGAGGGCAAAGTCATTCACCCAATAGCTAAGCTCCTTGTCATGACCTCGTAGGCTCGAAAGTCCGAGATTTGTTCTCCATTCCATTCTTATCTGCTTATCAACTTAAATCCAGATGGGTGACTCTACCAACATGGTCATTATTCTCCTGCTCAAGAAATCGGAAAACCTTGTCTGATGGGCCTCCACTCCGGCAAAGTCTGAATCAAGGGATACAAATTCGCATGCGCCAAAGCCCTCGGTGAACTTGAAAGTGAGTTGCTTCCTCATCCTATTTACGTTTTCTCATGAAGCGGCGCAGATCTGTTGACGTTTCCCCTTTCACACAGGAATCCCTTATCACAACCCTCAAACCTGTTTTACTCGCATCGAGGAATAACAACTTAAAAGGGTATATTCTCCATCCCATTACCTTCTACATCTACTAATTATCACTGAATAATCAGACCGTCAAAGAAATCGGCGATTCAGGCATCAAACTCATCATCGCAGGTACACTACCTCAATCACTTCAACATCACTATTTTCAAAGTCCTCTCCAAATTCGACCTCCGCCGCATAGCTCGTGTCGCCAATGCCACGCCTCTCGCATGCATCAGTGCACCCACCCTAGAGGAAGCTGGCTATGTCGACATCCTCGAGGCGACGGAGATCGGTAGAGACCACGTCGCCGTCCTCCTGCCGGCTAGGACGGGTATCGGGGACACACAGAGAAAACACACACATTGACGATCGTGCTTAGAGGGGCGATGGCCAACCATCTCAACGACCTCGAGCGCACCATCGACGATGGCGTTTATGTGATCAGATCCTTTATAAAAGACTCGCGGCTAGTTCCTGGTGCAGGTGCGACGGAGCTGTGAGCTAGGCAAGCGTGTTGAGGCATACGGGAGCGAGATGAGGAAGCTGGCTGTGAAGCGGTATGCTACATCACTCGAAGTCATACCTCAAACGCTTGCTGAGAATGCACTGGGAGGTGCTGAGGGTAACGAGGTTCTCAGTCAGTTGTGGGCTAAGCACGAACAGAAGGGTGGCAAAGTTTGGGGCGTCAATGTGAACGTAAAAATATGCTTGCCGCATACCCCGAAATTCGCACCCATCGATCACCCGCTACTTCCAGTGTGTCCTAGACGCACGACCGTCAGTCAGGCAGATACTCGACTCCATAGATACTAACGACTGCTCAGGTATACGTTACCCCGGCTCCTCCTCCTATCACCACATCCGCTATGCAATCCATGCTGCACGTCCTTTTTCTCCCAATACCTTTCAAGAGCAGTGTGATGGACGTGTCCTGCACTTAGATATATCTATCCTGACTCTGTTAGGGCAGAATAAATCACCTTGGCCGACTTTTTCGTGACATCCGATGCCGCTACCATCATCAGGGAGGGCAAAGTTATCCACCCAGTAGCTAAGCTCCTTGCCATGGCCTCGTAAGCTCAAAAGTCCGAGATTTGTCCTTCATTCCATTCTTATCTGCTTATTAACTTAAATTCAGATGGGTGATTCTATTAACATGGTCATCATCCTCGCAGGAAAACTGCTCAAGAAATCAGAGAACTTTCTCGTGATGGGCTTCCACCCTGGCGAGGTCATCAGAGGATAGGAACTCATATGCGCCAAAGTTCTCGCGGAACCTAAAAGTGAGTCCCTCCCTCATCTTGTTTACGTTTTCTTATGAAGTGGCGCAGATCTATCGACATCCAGCCTACTGTCCCCTTTCACGTAGGAATCCCTTATTACAGCCCTCAGACCCGCTATTGCATCAAAACAATGCGGTTACAAGGACGTATTGTTGTCACATGTGGCAGAAGCCTCGCTCGCAGTCATGCCCAAAAACCCAAAGAATTTCAACGTCGACAACATGCGCGTCGTCAAGATCATGAGCGGCAGCCTTTTGGGCAGCAAAGTCGTTCAAGGGATGGTATTTGGTCGCGAACAGGACGGTAATTCTACCCAAATCCTCGATACAGCGTTCACACTCACATCCCCTCCCAAGGTATCATCAAAAAAGTTTCAGGCGTGAAAGTGGCCGTCTTCACGTGCACTCTCGACATCGCCCAAACCGAAACAAAAGGCACCGCCCTCCTCAAAAACGCAGACGGAATGCTCAATTTCATGTGCAGCGAGGAACAACCACTCGAAAGGGTATGATCTCCATCCCATTACCTGCTACATCTACTAACCATCATTCGATAAACAGATCCTTAAAGAAATCGCTGATTCAGGCATCAGAGTTATCATCGCAGGCTCATCCGTCGGCGATCTCGCCTTACACTACCTCAATCGCTTCAACATCGTCCTCTCCAAATCCGACCTCCGCCGTGTAGCTCGCGTCGTCAACGCCACACCTCTTACCCGCGTCGGCACACCCACCCCGGAGGAAGCCAGCTACGTCGACATCTTCGAGATGACGGAGATCGGTGGAGACCGCGTCACCGTCCTCCGTCAGCTCGCTCCCGGCGAGGACGGGCATCAGAGCCGCGCTGAGAAGACGCGTACAGCGGCGATCATGCTTAGAGGGGCGATGGCCAACCATTTCGACTACCTCGAGCGCGCTATCGAGGCTGCTACTAGGATGATACAAACTGCGAATTAAAGTGATTTGGGGATAATGCAAGGAACCTGAACTACGCCGTCAACGGAAATCAATCATGCTTCTGTTTGCACGTCGGAAATCAATTGATCCCTAAGGACGCCGTTGATACCCAGCTTGTCGAGCACTTCCTGCAAGCATGCCATACTAATGTCGGGGTGCGCGACATGACCTTGATCTCCCTTGACCTCCCTTTTCAACACTATGGCAGCATCAACAAATCTGCGAACTTCAGGGCTGACTGACTGATATGCGGCCATGGTCACCGTGTCGGCCCTAAAGTTGTAGTAGAGTTCCGTGACTGGATAGTATAACGCGAGTCAGATGAACTTCGAGTGTGGTGATATAAGACATACAGTTGTTGATGTCTTTCGTGCTGGCAAGGTCAAACTTCCTCTCGGCAGAAATTTGAGTCCAAGCTATTTCTCCGAGCGCTGACGGCAATCAGCAGCGTTGCAAGTGGTGGGCAGAAATATAAACCTACCTTGAAATATGTCCTTTGCAACTTGCCGTTTTGTCATGGTTGCTTTTTGGGCCTCCTGTCGAGCTTGCAAAGTTCCTACTTGTATCTTTAGCGTCTCCATCTCCTTTACGAGGTCCTAAGCCCACCAGATTAGTTACACACTATTAAATATTTCAAAACTTACCTCAAGGGTCGGTGTTTGTAAACAGTACTTCACATTTGCAGGTTGTCCCCACACACCAGGCCATACTTTGTTGATAGTGTATGATTTCAGGTTTCGGCACAACAAAGATAGTATCTCCCTGAGTGTCCTTCTGGACCTGCTGACAGGTATGTCCTTCTCCATGGGAGCTTCTTGGAGGTTGATTTCGGGGATAGCATTAGCGAGTTGGGGAATCTTGACCGGATCCAAGGCAGCCTCCCTGCCTTTTTTTTCAGTGGTGACAATTTTAAGAACAGTCCTATCAGATCTATAAGTGGTTGGGGCCATGGTGTACTCTTAAAGCAACTTGGATCCGAGGATAGGAGACAACTGGCTTGCTGAGCGCCAAACACGTGGTCACGTGGCCTTGAGTGACGGAAAGTACGTGTTTTTGGTGTTTTATATGGATTGAAATTTTGAATCCATTGAATTCATTCTCTGCGACCCTTCAAAGTTATTGGCGGTGTCAGAATTGATTTTATAGCGGCTGCCTTCGTCAACACGGAAGCCATGGCTGTGTCTCCGTGAACGAAACCGTGAATAGCACGGGCAAGGTATTCTTTCGAGTTGGATGCGTTCAAAGGTGTAAACTTGGTAAGGTCTCCCGGTGTCAGTACTAGTGTGACTGACGGTGGCAGCGATTCGAAGACAGGCCCCGCGGTAAAGCCAGATATGAATTCATCTGCGCTGGAGACACAGATGAGAATTGGGTGTTACTAAGAGGTTCCGGTCAGCAGCGACGAACTCGAGGGACGATGAATTCCTGAATGTGACAGCTATTGGCCTTAGGTGCCACCTTGCGGCACATAGCATATACCCTAACACGCCCACTCATCACCCTCACTTCCAACCGGACAGCTCCATCGTGTCACTGTGCGCTGTCACGCGCTCTTCTGTGTCCTTTTTTGAAACACAGACATGTCTTACCGCACCTTCCACGATGATGACAGCGCCCTTGTCGATCGTGCCGTGTACGAGACATCTTGGGGCTCTGTAGGGACGTGGGATATGAGTCCCCCAGATTGGTAGTACTACGAGCGAAGTATGATACACACTGGCAGTGAGTGTTTCCCTTGTCTTTACAAGTTGATTTGACAAGACACGTGTCAAACGCATGTCTTTCTACACAGATCCAACCATCTGGTCGCACCTAATAAGATGACATATCTATTACAAGTGCTGGCAGGTTGGCCTGCGACATCGTCTGGAAAACATACGATCCAACAGCTCAACTCACCAGCATCAGAATGGTATGCGCACATAACCGCTCAGAACTCGGGTACGCGCTCGGAGATAATACGGATGTCTCGCCTTAGACGAACTTTGGGGTCATTTTTCGATTCTCTTCCCCACATTCCTGGAGACAAGGGGGTGGTTTCTTCCGAGTCTCACTTGCAAGCGTTACAACTGATCGGGTGTCTTGGACAGCCTTTTAGCACATTTTTACTAGCTCAGTGAAGCAGCCTGATGGAGAATACAAGAGAATCGTCACAGATTGCCACATCATTACACAATAAAAGACATCGTTTCTGTTCGTGGATGACAGGGCACTTGAAATATGCAGCAAAGTTTTGAAGAACAGAGGTGGCTAATTCTGAGTGTACCTTGACGGTGGCTCGGTACACGGATGCTTATCCAGTTGTACTGGTATCGTACGTGGGCTCACAGAAGGATAAGAGCTCCTAATGGTAGTATCAAGCTCGGCCAGCCAGCCGATTTCAAGGATACTGACATCTGACACATGGGAGATGGGTTGTGCCGTCTTAAAACAATCGTGCTCTGCACTTGAAATTTGAGACATGTGAGTCTTCAATTTTCCTCCCCACCGGCATGATACCCTTTTCTCTCAACTTCATTTCCCCATCAGAGTCATAGTACCTCACTATCTGACTACTTCAAAGTTTTGACCGCGAATTCGAACAACACCTGAACCCATATGGTACTCGCTGGGATTGAATCCTAAGGTTCATACTTTCTTGTTTCAAGCTCACGTCTGGCAGTGGGCTCGTTACAAACTCTTTTTCAGGTGTCCGCACCAGGATTGCCTTACATCTGTGGTTTTATAGTGTCGGTCCCCTGCCGACTGTATGCTCAGTTCAACCACTTGTCATCCACTACCGTCTAGTTTGCTCCACACCACCATTACTCATTGCATTCGCAATATGCTGACTCTTGACCATATTTGAGCTCGATGGTATCCCTCATACTGAAAAAAAAGATGTGATAGATATCCCACCTGCCGTAAACCCTTATCCGATGATCTATGCCTTCCCCAGCTTTATATCAAGGAAGTCGTCCTCGGAACGGGATCATAGGCTCTTATGCTGTCAATATCTTTACACCTCGTTCATGGGGTTCCTTGGAGAATACCATAACATTAAAGGTCATGCATCACCGATCCATTTTCATAAAGTTAGAACAGTGACGATGGTCAACTCAAATCAGTCATCAAGTTAGTATTAGCATACGAGAACATTCAGCACCACCCCTCAGGTGGTATCATTATAATACAGGCGTCATATATAAGTGCAAAGGTGGTAGAGGTCGGGTGAACTATTCTGCAACATCAATTTTGATGGAACAACCAAGTGTCTCAATGCGTGAGATCGAGGAGCTACATATATATACTGGTTTTATTTCGAAGAAACTCGTGAAACGATGAATATGCATCCATCATTAAGCACTTACCTAATTAGGAACACTGGTTCAAGTGATCATTCCGCTGCAAAGTACAACAGTTACTGTCACGGTCTGTATATCCATAACCTGTTCGCGATCGTGAGCATACCCAGCTGTGTGAAGTCTTTCAACTCTCTCAATATATTGCTCTGCTTCCTATTCACGACCATCACTCCGAGGTTGACCACACATTTAGACACCACCTTATACCTGGATATCCTGGCGAAGTTATCCAGTCATCCCGAGACAGCTTACAAGCCAAACACAGTTTTGGTGGCCCATACCCCTGCTGATGCCAGCTCCTCGTCCCTCTCAGAGTACAGAAGCCGCACGCGCCGCTGCGCTACAGGCTGAGTTTAATGAAAAGAAATGGGTGTGGGTACCAGACGAGAAAGACGGTTATCTCGCTGGCTGGGTACACCAAGAAGATGATGAGACTGCAGAAATCATTATGTCCTCTGGGGGCGAGGTATCTTCATCTTAACTTCTTTCGTAATGTGCCAATTGCTGACGCGAAACGCGTCAGATTCGTCGAGTCCCTTTGTATGCACTCTCCAAGATGAACCCTCCCAAGTTCGATCGCGTCGAAGACATCGCGGATCTTACATTTTTAAACGAAGCGAGCGTCGTGCATAATTTCCGTCTAAGGTATGGATCCGGAGCTATCTATGTGAGTCCTCTTCTGTCAGCGATTTCTTGCGCACATCCATGATCATCCTACTTGGCACACCTACTGAAATGCACCGAGTAGACATACTCTGGCTTATTCTTGGTCGCTATAAACCCTTACCAGAACCTGCCGCTGTATACAGACGCAATTATATCTCAGTATCGCAGTAAACGACGGGATGAGAACCCTCCTCATATCTTCGCGGTTGCCGAGCGCGCATGGGTTAACATGGGGGAGGAGCGCGAAAATCAGAGCATTCTTATAACGTCGGCTATCCCTACATTTCGGTGAATCATACAACTAATTCGCCGTCCACAGGGGAGAATCTGGTGCAGGAAAGACCGAAAGCACGAAGAAAGTTATACAATACCTGTCTGCCATAGCGACTGATGCGCACCCGCGCCATCCTTCACATTCACATTCTGCTTCTATGGCATCTTCATTCCCCGCATCCCCACCTTCGGGTTTGCCAAGAAGAGGCTCTTTCCATGCAAAAGCTACTCATGTTACGTCTAACAGCACTGGAGGCGCCAAGGGTCGCCTGGGCCTGCTAGAGCGACAGATTCTTCAAGCGAATCCTATCCTTGAGGCATTCGGTAACGCGCAAACTCAGCGGAACAACAACTCAAGTAGATTTGGGAAGTTTATCAGGATTAGTTTCTCTCTGGACGGGAGTATATCCGGGGCGAACATTGACTGGTACCTGCTGGAGAAGAGTCGAGTAGTGGTTCGCAGTGCTGCAGAACGCAACTTCCACGTATTTTACCAGTTACTATCAAGTGGAGGATCATTAAAAGGCAAATTTTTAACATATCCTCTCCCCACTTGTTTTGATATTCGTGCTTCTACAGACACTCTTCTGCTGGATCGACCTCTGGATGAATATGAATTTCTCAACAGAAGCAGGCGAGAGGTTGATGGTGTCAACGATCGCGAAGATTGGGACGCTCTGATAGTACGTTTCGTGAATGCGAAGTCTTCGATATCCGAATAACACGCTCCCAGAATGCTCTTGATATTGTTGGCTTTACGGTCGCCGAACAGTTCGACCTTTTCCGCATCGTCGCGGCAATTCTTCATATTGGCAACATCGACATCCGTTCTACGAAGTCGGACGATGCGTTCATGCCAGATCCTTCCCAAGCTGAGCGTGTCTGCCATTTGCTAGGTATTCCCATCGCAGAGTTCACGAGAGCTATATTACGGCCTAGGGTTCTCGCTGGACGTGAGTGGGTCACGCAGGCGAGGACGGGGCAACAGTCTCTTGACGAACTCGCGTCCTTGAGCAAGTCGTTGTACGAGAAGTCCTTCGGTGCGCTGGTTGAGCGCATCAACCGTGCGCTAGATCGTCCGTCCTCTAAGTCGACGTTCATCGGTGTTCTCGACATCGCTGGCTTCGAGATCTTCGAAATTAATACGTACGAGCAATTGCTCATCAACTATACCAACGAGAAACTGCAACAGTTTTTCAATCACCATATGTTTGTCCTCGAGCAGGAGGAGTATTCCAGGGAAGGCATAGAATGGGATTACGTGAACTTCAAGCTGGACTTGCAGCCGACCATCGACCTCATCGAGAGTAGCGGGAACGCCATTGGCATCCTCAGTTGTTTAGACGAGGAATGCATCATGCCCAAAGCCACCGATCTCACGTTCACGGAGAAAGTCCATTCGATCTGGAGCGGAGATCTGCGCGGAACTGAGCAACCTCATCCAGGTCGAACGAAATACACCCTACCGAAGTTTGAACAAGGCTTCATCATCACGCACTACGCAGGCAGAGTCGAGTATCGCACCGACGGGTGGTTAGAGAAGAATAAGGATCCCCTCAACGATAATCTCACACGTGTACTGGCGTCATCGTCGGAACCTTACGTGGCCTCGCTCTTCCAAGATTTTGCTGGCGTCTTCGCCGACATGCCCCCATCTTCCAGCGCCGGGTTCTCCGCAGGGAAAAGGCGCCCCATCAAGAGGGGAGCGTTTAGAACAGTGGGGCAACGGCACAAGGAGCAATTAGCGCTCCTCATGGCTCAGTTGCAGGCAACACAACCACATTTCGTGCGTTGCATCGTGCCAAACGTCAATAAGAAACCTGGAAGGGTGGACGTGCCTCTCGTCCTCGATCAATTACGTTGCAACGGTGTTTTGGAGGGCATTCGCATAGCGCGTCTTGGTTATCCCAATCGACTTCCTTTCGTCGAGTTTCGCCAACGCTACGAGATCATGACTCCAGGCGTTATTCCTCGTGGATACATGGATGGTCGCAAATCGTGCATCCGTATTGTAGAAGCTTTGGATCTCGATACCGAGTTGTTCCGGGTGGGAACGTCCAAGATATTCTTCAAAGCAGGAGTCCTCGCCGATCTCGAGGAGCGGCGGGATGCCCTTCTATTCGATGTCTTTTCGAGACTACAGGCCGTTGCTAGGAAGTTCTCCGCACGCAGACAGATGAAGAAGGTTCTCAATCGTGCGGTGGCGATACGAACGATCCAGCGTAATGCTCGCGTGTACGGGGAGTTGCGAGATTGGCCATGGTGGCAACTGTACACGAAAGTAAGGTGGCTCTTGTTTATTTCAAAGTAATTTTTGATCATTTTAAACAGGTCCGTCCATTGCTCGCCGCGACACGAAACGACGAGGAGCTCAGAAGGAAAGATGTTGAGCTGCAACTTGCGAAGGAGAGAGCGGAGCGCGATCAACGGGAACGGGAAAGCCTAGAGAACGTGAAGATGACTCTTCAGGCGGAGAAACGAAAGATCGTCGACGAGTTGGAAGCAGAGCGTGCGCTTGCCCTCGATAAAGATGCCATGTTAGACAGAAGCAAAAAGAGGGAAGCAGAACTAGAAGAAGAAATCGTTGCCTTACACGCCGACCTCGACGTCCTCGATTCGCAACTGGACCGTGCCCTACATCTTCAGAAGGACGCCGATGAGAAACATGAAACTATGCGCGTCGCGTTCGATCAGGCTGCGGAGCATCTTGTCCGCATGGAAGGTCAACAAAATGAATGGCGGGCTAAAGAGGCGGAGCTTTCGGACATTGTATTAACGCAGGAGAGCAGCATGGTTCAGCTGCAACAGGAACACCAGGCTCTCCAAAAAGCCAATGAAGACCTCAGAGCCCTTGTTTCGCAGCACGATGAAGATTTGGCGCGTGTCAAGGAGCGTTCTGAGGCTTTAGTGAGCGACCTGCAGGTCAAGCTCGGTGTGGAAATTCGGTCTAAGTGAGCCTCCAAGCTTACCGTGATCTTTGGTCTGATGTTTCGCGCAGAGAGTCGCTCGGCAGCAAGGTCGACCAACTGGAAAGAAGCTCAAGTTACCTCAAACAACAGCTAACAGAGATGGCTCGTACATCCGCAGAGTATTCTGCTATGGTCCAGAACAAAGAGGACCAAAATTCACAGCTGCTTACCACCATCACCGCATCCGCCGATGAGCGTTCTCGACTGCAAAAGGAGATCGTCGAACTCCACGCCACATCTGACAGACAGCGAGCAGACATTCATGCTTCCAGGGCCGATGTAGATCGTGCAGTTTCCGCTAAGATAAAACTTCAAGGCGAGCTGGACGAACTCCGCGCAATCATGGAGACCAAGACCTCCGAAGACGCCCGCCGGCTCGAAGTTGAGAAAAGCAAAGAGGAAGAACTTGCCGAGCTCCGCCGTCAGTCTTTCCAGTTACACACGGAACTCAGCGTTTTACGGGAAAACGCTCTCGACAAGGAAAGCAAGCTCGTTACCGAGCTAGACGAGATGCGTCGTCAGCACAAGCAGCTGGATTCAGCTCACAGCTCTCTTTTGGAGCGCGAGCGAGGCTTGAAGGAACGGACGTCGAAGGCCGAGGCAATGGTCGTGGATCTGGAAAAAGCCAAAAGAGTGGTCGAATCAGAACTTCAGGCATTGCGATCCCGTCAGATTGAGTCGGATGGTCGGTTAGCGGATACATCGAGGGCGAAAGAGGTGATTGGGCAATTATTTGCATTTACTGGATTGGATGGATCTTACTTCTACTTTATCAGATCCTGGAACGACAACTCCACGCTGCTCAGACCAAATATAATGAGATCGAGGATGCGGTTTTGCAGATGGAAAGAGATGCTCACGCTGGCGAACGCCAGTTGGAAACCTTAAAGAAACAACTAGAATCCGAATCAGCCAAGTGCAAGAACCTTCAACACGTCATGTTAACTCAGAGAAAGGAGTACCAGGAACGCATTGCAAAGCACGACCATGATCTTAACAACGCAATCACTGATCTCAAGAATCGGGAGTGGGAGCTCAAGCAAATGGAGAGCAAACAAGATAAAACGATTGTCGAACACGTTTACGTTCTGGAGAAGGCCAAGAAAGTAACCGATCAGCAACTGAGAGAGGCGCAAGAGCAGCTGCAGAAGGACGCTGTCTACATTCGGTCTTTGGAGAAAGCCAAGGCAAGCCTCACCCGGGAGGTAGAAGATTTCGCCAGGGGAGGTGGGGTGGACCAGGCGGAGCGTAGGGCCTCTGAAAGGGCTGCTTATAAAGCACTCGCCAACGCAGAAGCAAAGGCTAAAACAGAACGTGCTGAATCCTCTGGTAAACCTTGGACTCCTCCGCCCTGAACAATACTGATCGCCAAGATAGTTCGACGCGCCCTCACTGACTTGGAAAAGACTCATAACGATTTAGTGGCAGAAAAGAAGACACTCGAAGAGCATTTCCAAGACACTCAGCGGAGGCTCCGTGAATTGGAGGTTCAGATCGAGGCCGAAGATAGAGAATCTTCTGAGTTGGGCATTCACAGGCACCGTTTAGTACAACAACTGCAAGATGAACGTCAGCAGCATCAGAAAGACCTCGCAGAACGTGATTTCGCCAGCGACCAGACGCGAAAGAAATATCAAGGTTGGTGACAACTTTCGTAAAAGATCCTTTCTAATGAAAAGCTGCAGCTGAACTAGCACAGTTGAGCGAAGGTGCGTGACTAGGAAACTTTGAGTGTACCTCACCGAACCGTATTCATCCCAGAAATGCAAGCGCAGCGAGACGCGATGACGAGGCTGCGAGAAGATAACCGCAAAATACATTCCGACTACGACGAGCTGCAGCTAAGATTCGATGACGAGGTCTACAATGGAGGTGCCTGGAACTAGGGAGAAAGACCGGATGGAAACGAAGATTGCCGATTTAACCAAAGCTTTTGAATCATCGACTACTGCTCAATCCGACCAGCAAGCGCAGATCGTGTCACTTCACTCACAAGTTCGAGAACTTCGAAGCGTTCTCAATGATGCTGAGGCGGACAGGGCGATGCTACAAAAGGCACGCCGCTCTTTGCAGGCGGAACTTGAAGGCATCAAGCTTGACCATGTCGATGCAACGAAGATGACTTCAGATCGAGAACTGCAGAAGCTACAGCTGATGAAACAAGATCTTGAGCGATCTCTAGAGGAACAAGAAGATCGTGTAGCTATGGCCTTTGACCGGCTGAAGAGAGCTGAGGCGCACGCCAACGAAAGCCAGCTGGAACTTGATCGGGTGCGCGTCGAGAATACTGAACTGGATAGAGTGAATGTAAGTACCTGAAATATGATCTCCAGCGTGCTCACTCTGTCCTCCAGGCACAGCTAGAGAAGCAGGTCAAAGACCTAAACGTCCGCGTGGTTGACCTTGAAACAAAGTCATATGTAAACTCTCCTCACCCATCCTCCACCGTCAAGCAGCTGCAGAACCGTATCGATGAACTTACTACTCAACTCAAGCAAGCATCAACCGAGAAAGTCGACTCCAACCGCCTGCATAGCTCTGACAAGGCAGTTCGCGACATGCAACTGCAGTTAGCTGAAAGTGAAAGGCACCACATCAAGTTGGAGGAGGAGCGAAAAATATCTGAGGGTCAGATAGCTTCGCTCCGACAGACACTGGACAAAGTTGTCAGTCTTACCTCTTCATTGATCATCTAGTTGCTTGGCTGATTCCACTTCATATCAATAGCAATCAAGTGAGACCGAACTTGAGCGCGTGAAACGTCGCCTAGAACGAGAGGTCGTGGATTCCAAGCAGGCAGTACTGAAGTGAGTTTAACTGGAAGGTCTTGACAAGTTGAGGGTGAAATGTTTACGTGTCACTTTCTAGCCTGCAACGTGAAGTTGAACGACTGCGCGCCCGTCTTAATCGACCGATGTCAGTCGTTAGTGATGGAGGCTCTACCCTTGCGGGCTCTGGATCTCCTCGCAAGGCAGCTCCATAGTGTTCGAGTGTTCATAATTGATTTATGACAGTCACATCTGAGATACTCAAAGTCTGTATATACCATTTCAACACCATCCACATATGTATCTTATAGACATGATCAACTTGACATACTGCCTGTGTATGATGTGCATTGGTTGAGGACTCAGCTGAACCTGATGCTCCGCAATCGAAAACATCAATATCAATGTTTTCGTCCCGGGGGCCGGCCCCGGGACGATCTGCTACACTCTCGGGAACTTGCGAATAGCTATCAAAATAAGGTTCAGCCACCGCGTTCCACCAAGTAGCTGGAAATCGTTAGATATGGTAAGCAAGACTTCAAGACTCAGTACTCCGTCATGGTGCGCTCACGTCCGCTGGCCATTTGGCTCTCTTGGTCTCATTGCTTATGTCTATGTTAGCCCAAGGAAATCCGGGATATCAAGCAGTTCATCGAGATTGCGCGGCGGAAGGATGCTTCCCGTGCGTTTATCCTGTTGTTGTACTTCAATAATACACTGACTTCACGCACTAATTTGCATGAAATTTCACGCGTTGTATTATCCATCCAGAGGCCCGTATAAAAAAAATTGCCGCAAAATCAGCATCTGGGAAGGTCCAGACTAAGTTCAAAGTGCGGTGTTCACGATACTTGTACACTCTTTCTGTGGACGACCCAGAGAAGGCTGAAAAGCTCAAGCAGAGCTTGCCCCCAGGTGCGTGATCAGATCAGTCTTCTAGTGCGTTTCATTGCCTGACGTATGGGCGCAGGCTTGAATGTAGTAGAACTCGGCGCAACACCGAAGAAGAAGTAAAACCCTTCTTTCGTCTCACACTGTAGTATGATGCATGCGTCGCAATGGAGAGGCGCCGATCGACTTATGCACCACCGACCTATGATGAATATGCATGCAGGTCACATGTACTTGTCTTATTATGAACAAAGACAGTTAGCTTTCGCCTTGCTTGACTTATACAGCCTTTGATTCATACAATCATCCATTCTATAATACCAAGCATGACGCACAGCCCCAAAAGTGTGCATGTACCGATCATTACGAAGGTTCGAAGTACCCGCTGCACTCTCCTTTCATGTGAACGGCTTCCGCGAGTTCTCAGTGCCTCGATGTCGAGGATGGTTGAGGGAGTATGAAACCATCCAGTGAAGACCATTTCCAGTAAAATTATTAGCAATTGAGATCCATCCAATGCGGGCAGGGGCAGCGAGTTGAGAAGATATAATGAAAGATTTGTGAGCTTCAGATACCTGCCCAGAGTCAGCCACACAGTAATAGTTAGTCTAAGGGACGTACTGGAAGAAATCTGCGAGTACGGGGGGTAGTCCTAGTGGTATAATTCCGAAACGCGGTGCGAGATGCGTTGTTTGAACTGATAAGAGTGAACATCAACCACCAGACATGCTTGAATTCGTGTGTCATACCTTGCTCCCAAACCTCGTACTTGGGACCACTCCAGAGCACGATGCGCTCGTCTTCAGTGCCTGCCCCTTCGTGCACCGTAATCCGTAAGATGTCTCGGTCTCCCCTCGGTTTGATGCACGACTGCGATTCCAGACACGATATTGAGGAGTCGCATCGGTTTTGCATTTTTGACAGTACGGCTACCGGATCGGTACAATACTCCTCCATTGCACTTTCAAATGACACAAAACATGATGACGATGATGCAGTATCCACGCAACACTGGTGATCATCTAAGGAGGCACTAAGTCAGGCGGGATGACGCAGGTACTGTGCTCACCGCTAAGCCGCGACGTCTCCACACACCACCCCTGCTTGTAGGCAGCTGGAGTAGGTTCCAATAGATAAGTGGACCATGCATCGCGAGATGAGTTCAACGGAAAATCGTCAAGTGTCGTCAGGAAAGATCCAACAGGAAGATGCATGCTCAGAGGGGAATCCTACAGAAATTCAGCAAGGATAGGGAGGTCATCATCTTAGGACCATACTGACTGCCTCAACATGCGTCACGATTAACCCTCGGGTAAAAACATCTTCGTACCCTACTAACAGTATCCGTTGTCCGATACCAGACCAGGCTGCAGCCAGTAGAATCAGCCAGAGCGTCAGGTTATGAAAACAGCCTGAAGTAATGACCCGTAAGCGATCGAGTGAAGACAATTCCTCTACCCTTGCGGAAGGTAACATCACGAATGCGGCCGGGGAACATTAAGGTTATAGATGCTCCTGCTGCTAACATAGGAATCCGATGACTAGGAAAAACACGAAGCTGCTGGCTGAATGGAATTGTGTAGTATGTGAGGGAGAGACATACATTGCTGCAGTGATGGCATGCCCACTTTCATGCACAATTTGACTGATGCAAAGGGAGAGTAGAATCAGCGGTAGGTGTTTTAGTGGAACGGTCAAGCCAGGGATCTACATGCAATGAAGTGAGTGCTCGAGATATTTTAACAAGTTACTGGAAGCGATTCACGCATATGCATTGCAATTAACTCACAATTGGATTAACAGCATGCGTGACTCTAGAATATGTCGTTGCGCGAGTCACGACCTCGACAGCTCTCTTCAACAACGACGTTGAAGTATCTGGCGCAGTGACTCGTAGGAAAGTGGAAGACGAGAGTGACACCATAGTCCATACGAGCAGAACAACAGCAGTGAGCATTCCAAATATAACCAGTACGCTGCCAGTATCATAGAATATGAGCAAAAACTTTCTTGTCCGCAGGTAGTTTCTACTGGCCAACCGCAAAGAAAAGGTGTCATGATGAGCATTGAATGCTCGTGTCTGCACACGAATGTGAAAGAGGCTCCTTGGGATCCCGGCAGCAAGCGATATTATCCTCCTTGGCTGAATTCTGTGGAACAGATGCATCATGATGCGTAAGTACCAGTATGGTTCGCTCAAAGTGGCACTAGTACTGGTATGATTTCGTATATTAGTACATAATCGGACTCCGAGCCGGACTTCAAGTGACACGCATTTACATCGACAGCGCAGTCACAGCACTTGTGCCTCTCACGACCATGAAGATTTTCTCGCTCTCTGTCGTTCTCGCACCCTCCTCAGGCCCTTGTTCAGTTCTTAGCTCTACTTCAGATGTCTCCAGTTTCTCGTTTTACCAGAAAGGTTCCGTCAGCGAGTTCTTGACGTTCTTCACCAAGACAGTCGTGGAGAGAACTCCTCAGGGCCAGCGCCAGAGCGTACAAGAGAACAATTACACCGCACATGTGTACAACAAGGGTGGTGCAGAGCAGCTTGCAGGTGGGTCAAAGCTTCGGATGTAATGGAGTTATCGAGCTCACTTCCTTCCTCAGCTATCATTATTACTGACCAGGAATACCCCGTTCGACCTGCCTTCTCTCTTCTAACAAAACTGCTTGATGATTTCACTGCCAAAGTCCCCCAATCTGCCTTCGGAAATCCAGCATCGATATCATTCCCAGAGATCCAGACCTACATTCAGAAGTACCAGGATCCTCGGCAAGCTGATACAATTATGCGAGTACAACAGGAGCTAGATGAGACAAAGATTGTTCTGGTAAGTCTTCCTCTCATTGTGAGAATCACTTGATTGTTTTATCGGTGTGACGGTGTATTGTAGCACAAGACCATTGAGTCTGTTCTCCAACGCGGAGAGAAGTTAGATAACCTTGTGGAGCGATCGAATGCTCTATCCGCGCAGAGCAAGATGTTCTACAAGACAGCTAAGAAGGTTAGCATCTGTCATTTATGTTTGGGCGGCTCGGTCTGACAGCCTCACTAGCAAAATTCGTGTTGTGTGATCATGTAGACCATGTTTCACTTTCCTCATCATGTTTTCTCTGCGTTGCGGTTGTTGTTACGCCAAACTAGTAATACATTCGTTAGTTCTATTTTCACGCGATGTCAATGTGGCCAGTATGATGACAGGCCCTTGTGAAAGGTTGCTTATTATCATCATTGATCAAGAGAATGAGTTTAAGCTGCAGCCTGCAGCTGGAGATGCGAGCGTTATCATAGTCTAACAATTGGGAAGAATACAACATGAATTCTGACTAAAAATAATGTGGAAGCTCCGCCACATTACAGAAATTGGGAGCATTCGCAATGCATTAAGAGGGAATCGAACCCCCGGCGGGTCGATGGCAACGACCCAGGTTACCACTACCCCATTAATGCTTGCAAGATAGTAGTGATTTTGAAAAGATCTACTACGTGCTAGCTACACAGCATTTTACAGTGCGGTGCGTCCTCAGGCCACACGGATAATCGGGTCACTTTGACAAGTCGTACGATCGGTTATCCTTTTCATCGATCCCGAATAATCTGTTTCGGATCCCACTGGCATATAAAGCCAGCACGATCATGGTGCTTGCAACGTGTTTTTCATCCATATCCACATTTTTTATCTCCCATCACCAACTCATCGTCTTTCCTGTAAAATGGTATGTTCCTATCGGAATCCTATATTCTGGATAACAATATCAATCATTCATAACTTTACAGCCTGCTCACGAAGCTGTAATTGTTGCTGCGTCCCGTACGCCTGTCGGGTCCTTGTATGGATCACTCAAGACTTTGACTGCTCCCCAACTTGGCGCTGTCGCTCTCAAGCATGCTTTCGAGCAGTCAAGCGTTGATCCCTCAGTAGTTGAGGAGCTCTACTTCGGCAATGTCGTCCAGGCTGGTGTTGGTCAATCACCCGCACGTCAAGTAGCACTCGCTGGTGGCATGAAATCCGCATCTGACGCTACGACTATCAACAAAGTCTGTGCTAGCGGCATGAAGTCGATCATGCTTGCTGCCCAGAGCATAGAATCCGGCTACAAGACCGTAGTTGCCGCCGGTGGTATGGAGAGTATGAGCAACGCTCCGTAAGTGCTACAGTCCCAATCGCCACTTTGCATGAGATTTACATGTCATTCAGTTTCCTGCTTCCCCGCACGAACCCTTTGTTCGGCAAATTCGAAACCAAGGACTCCGTTGAAACCGACGGTCTCTGGGATGTCTCCAACAACTTCGCCATGGGTAACTGTGCCGAGGCTGTCGCAGTGAAGTACGAAATCACCCGAGAGTCACTCGATGAGCACGCAATCGAGTCGTACAAACGCGCTGATCGTGCATGGAAAGCGGGTGCATTCAATGCCGAGATAGCGCCTGTCACGATCAAGGGCAAGAAGGGCGACACCGTGGTCAAGGAAGATGAGGAGTACAAGAAAGTCATCTTCGAAAAGGTCCCCTCCCTCAAGTCAGCGTTCAAAGCAGGGGGTTGCATCACTGCTGCCAACTCTTCAAACCTCAACGATGGCGCCTCTGCTCTGATATTGATGTCAGCAGAGAAAGCAAGGGAGCTCGGCGTAAAACCTCTCGCCAGAGTGGTTTGTAAGTTCGACCTTCTTGTGTGACCGAACATCGTCTAACGTCGTTTTCTGCAGCATATGCAGATGCGGGTGTTGAGCCCATTGACTTCCCCATGGCTCCTGCTGTCGCTCTCCCAGAAGCACTTAGGAGAGCAAACCTGACCGTCGATGACATCGCACGTTTCGAGGTCAACGAAGCTTTCTCGGTTGTCGTCCGTGTCGCTGAAAAGCTCCTACAACTGGATCCTGCAAAGGTCAACATCGATGGGTGAGTCTTTCTACTTTGCGTTTAGAGATTGTATTTGCTAACGAGATTCAACAGTGGCGCTGTCGCACTTGGCCATGCGATCGGAAACTCGGGCTCTCGCATTGTGGTGTCCCTCGTCCATGGCCTAAAATCTGGCGAGTACGGTGCAGCAGGCATCTGCAACGGGGTAAGTGACTTGTCATTATCCATGCTGTCGCGATGCTCAAATGATATCTTGTCTAGGGTGGAGCTGCTTCTGCCATCGTTATTCAAAAACTATAGTTGTTGTAACACCTTTATACTTTGTTTGTTTCTGGACGACGTACGAGCAACCCATCTATACTGTATCTGTATTTTCCCAATAGAACACATCAAATTTCAAGCTTTGCATAACGTTGGTCAGGTTGCTATGAGAAGTTAGAACCTTGAACAAAATTCTTATCTAAAAATGTGAGGAAGTTCGATATCTTGTTCGACTCTTATTCTTCGCGCTTGTTTCTCGGCTTCTTGATCAAGGTGTCGATTCATGTTACATCGCACAATCAAGGGCGCCGTAGTTCTCGTTATCCTAGGCACCGAATTGACACAATGCAGGGCTTCCCCGGTCATTCGGGGAGCCTGAAGGGAAAAGAACACAGAAGACTCATCACGTTCCACCTTCAAGCTGATCAGCGTGGAAGTTTTCAGGTGGTTACATGATGCAGTAATCGCAGACAAAGGAGCTCGCAGCTTCTAGGTCGTGACGAGAACCCTGAGTATGGCCTGGACTCGATCTCTAGAAGGTGTTACGGCCTGAGACTCGTCGGCACCGCAGAAGTACTTAGACATCATTTCCGTGGGGTGTTGGACGCTTTGGACGGCGGCCATGCACTAGTACTGTCAAGATGTGCATGTTGTGTTGCCGTACTCCTCAGCACGTTATTCGACATGTGCAGTGATTTGACGTCATCTATCATGCTCGCCTTGACCAGGGACAAGGCCTCGTGAGGCAAGCACTGTTCGGAGTGAGGGTTTCGGCCCTGCCGACGACATAAACCGCACCATATCTGGCAGGGAGGCGGTCTATACCTGAAAGAGACACAATCAACTGATGGACGTTGTAATAATAGCTCGATGTTCATGGCCTTCCGTACGGGTGACGTTTTCGGTCATGCAGATGCACGAACCGCATCACTACATCTGGCGGTTCCGCCGTCTATACCTCAAAGGGACACGATCAGTCGTATACCTTTACGGAATAGACAGACGAATGCCGGGATAAGTATTCCTTGGTATCCATGAAATCACACCGACACTTCGTACGTAGGCGGGGGAATGACGGCGCAAGCCTGAGTAATAAATTCATCAGCGCCCAAATCGAATCGTACGCATTCCGGACGCATGGGTGATGAAGAACCACTACTATTATATGTGCACTCGATCCGAAATGAAACAAAAAGTCAGATAACAAACTATTTGACGTACAATTGGCGTAAATTATGCGTCGATCGTGCTGTGATATTAAAGCGAACCGGTCGTGGACCAGAGATATATTTGATGGACCTGAGCAATACCCGGTGCTAGGCGACAGAGGCGATATGCGCCGTATCTCGCCTACGCAACCTGATTGGACGGATTGACGCATAATTAACACGTCCTCTATGTCCACCGACGGCGCGAAGCACGACCCAGTTGCGTGCACCAAATACCGAACAGTCATAACTTGAATGAGCCGTAGAGAGGAGGTTGCCTTCGGGCGTACAAATGAAGTTGACCGGGGACCCTATCAAAACGATTCGTAAACGAGGCAGGCGAAATGCCGGTAGATGGAAGCCGTACGTCGACGGCAACACTAAGAGACGGACGATAACGTGGAAGAGCGTAGAGTAAGATGAGATCCAAGTACAGGTAGGTCGACTATATATATGAATCTGTGTCGTGCGCGGTGTCCAATCAGCGATGTACTAGGTGAGACGCGTCATCGAAGGTGTTGCGTCATAGGCTGCGTCATGCTTACAGTCACGGTAGAGCACAGAAGGAATTATGAGGATGCCAGCGGAATGCGCACTTTGATAGCTAGCCACCGAGTCCGAGTTGTTGGCCTCGGAGTCATCAAGATGGACAATATTCGATCAAATGGTTTCTTGCTCCGCGCGTGAACACCTACAAATATTAATATTACATAATATTAACGCGTCAATCGATCATCGAAAGGCCCTGGAGTGCACCCTGCAATGCATGGGCTCTCCTTGTTGTAAATATTAATGTAGCTTGTCCGTGATGATCAGACTAATTCACACTAGTACTATATTACCAGCTTGCACGTTCGCAGCTGTCCGACTCGCCAACTCCTTCCGACCCTCTCATAAAACTACACACCGAAAATAGTGTCGAAATTCATTCACGATCGGGAGTTTACATGAAAAGAAATCTTTGCACTGATGCATTTGATTGTATGTATGGCCCCCCTTGTGATCCTATCGTCAGTGATAACTTAACACTACACAGGATGGCATATCCGAGAGCAATGTATCGGAATCAGATATCATTCATCATGCCATCATCCGCGAACCCCGAGCCCACCCTTCAAGACATGCTTAAGTCCAGCCTCTGTTAGCACCATCGGACTGATCCCGCGGAAGATGGGATACGAACTTCTAACCTCCGAGCCATCAAGCGAGACTTGACGGTCTATCAAAAGCCATAGAACGGTTTCTTGCTAGAGATGATAGAGCTCAAGATGCTCATACATCATATACCCATAGGGCTACTCAATTCTTGACTCTGTAATGTCGGTCGGCAAGCACCCGGCATCCGCGCGTCAACACCCACAAATATCAATATTAACGTCCGTCGATCATCGAACTAAGGCGAGTGCGCATCACACAAGCTCCCCTAGGTCTTGCTGTATGCGAAGCATAGCTCGATCGTCCGTGCGCGTGATGCATAAGACTAATACTATTGCTAGTTTGCACGTTCGCAGCTGTCCACCGTCTGGCCCTCGTGAACCCATCACCAGTGATAGATACTCCAAAGGACTCGGATCGATATCCGAGAGTGAGCAATGTATCAGAATCAGATAATCATTAATCATCATCTGCGAACCCTGAGCTTACCATTCAAGACGTGCCCAAAGTCCAGCCTTTGTTAGCACCATTGGGCGAATTGAATAGCCCGCTTAAGCTCGGCATATACATTTCTTACATCCGTCACAAGGCAAAAACCTTAAATCTCTATTCCAAAGGCTAAGCGAGGCACAAGCAAACATTCCAGTTAACTATACAGTCAGGGGTCTCACGTTGCAATAACCAAGCACGCATAATATTTCCATTGCCTCCAATCTCGATGCTAGTGCCAATCACAATGAGCAAATCTTCAGCTTCAAGCTTCAATACAAGCTTCAAGCCCAAAACAACAAGAAATTACAAACGAGCGACGACGAGAATCTAAAACTATGCTATGTATGATATGGATATGATGACGTCCATGTCCGCAGCACGTATCGTCGTAATTCTAAATATCGCGAGAACAAAGTCACTGTCACCAAAAACAAATGTTCAGAGTTCGAGTCTGTTCTACGTCCCGCACAGTTTCCACATCTTCACGTAATCACTGTTCCAAACCACATCAGCCTACAACAGATGGTGAATGTAAAAACGCGACTTACATCCTAAACGCACGATCATCCGCACTCGAAGGCCATGTAGCACTCCACGTATCCTGAGCATTTGCAAAATCGTGCATCGCAGCTACATCGCATCAAAATCAGCCCTCACAAAGAAAGCAAAAAAACGTACTAGTAGACCCATCAAACCACGGCTTTCCACCCACACTATCCGGGAACCACCCACTCGTCCCGCCAACCGCCAGATCGATCACAAGATAGAAATCTATCCAATACCAGCATCAACATCAAATTCCAACCCCCTTCTCAAAAAAAAAACACTGACCCTGATCAAAAGGCGCAGCAGCACTGCCACCAAACGCCGTACTCCATGGATCTTCAACAACCACTTCCTTTCCGCTTGACGCATTCATAGCCACACCCGGGAACCCACCTGCGTTGAAGAAATAGGAGTCGGAGGATTTGGAGGAGATGTCTAGGTTGATCATTGCCTTTTTTTTCGGTCAGCGATGGGGGCGGGAGTGCAAATCGGGGACGGGAAGGGGACCGCGGGACAATAAAACGCCGCGAAAAAAAAAGAGAAAACCGCGGGGTACAGCAATCTAGGAACGGGAACAGGAAAACAAACTCACCTGCAACCGATCATCCGTATAAAACCTCATCCACCCGCCAGTCCACTCAAACGCATAAACATGGAACCCATCGGCAAAGTTCCCGCGCTTGGTGAACACCCAGCCGTAGATGGTTTTGAGGAGGTTGGCTGTGGTACTTGTGCCTGGGGTGAAGTGTCAGTTAGGGGCGTGAAAAGTGGAGAGGGTAATAAAACGTGGGTGAACGTGGTGAAATTACATGTAAAGCGAACAAGAGTCATGAACCGAAAAACGAAAGGCCGAGGCAGAAAAACGTCAAAGAAAACCCAAAAATACAACGAGTCTAAACGAAACCGAAAAGAACCCCGCCCCAAGAAAAGATAGACGCTTACCGGTAGAGATAGGCGTACTCCCTCCTGCAAACGGTCCGTAATTCAGGGACGAGCGGACATAATTCGATCCTTGGGCGGGATATGTGGGCAAGTTGCCGCGGGCTTCCATTATCTACATGAGCCACGGGGGCTGGTATGAGCCAAGTAATAGGGGATGCCGAGAGACTCACATCAATTTCCCCACTGACAGGCCACGGGCCATACACGCCCGTTCCCTGACTAGTATTTGAGTTTGTACTGTTACCCTGAGGAAGCATCCAGATAGCGGGCCATAACCAATCACCCTGAGGCAGTTTTGCACGGACCTGGGATCTGACATGAGCAATGGTGAAAGATTATGAATAGAAGAGGCGGACCTCGACACGGCCATACTTCATAGTCCTTTTTCCACGAGTATTAAGCCGACCGCTCATGACAGGGTTGATAACGGTGCCGCTCTGGGCATTTGAAATGGCTGTACATGGATCGCTAGATGTGGTGGAATTACTGCTGGTAGTAGAGTTGCTTGAACCGGTAGTAGTGGAATTTCCCGAGCCGGTAGTTGTGGAGTTGCCTGATCCAGTTGTTGTAGAGTTACCTGATCCAGTTGTTGTAGAGTTGCCGTTGCCAGTGGTGGTAGTTGAGTTACCAGTAGTTGAATTGGAATTGCCTGAGTGGAGTGAGCGGTTGAGCGTGGGAATGAAATTGAGTACACACCCGTGCCGTCGTTTTGCCGACGTAGAACCCACGCGCCTTGGTCTGTAACTACACGGAATGAGCACGGAGATGATAACTGCGAGGAGAAAAAATTACCTCCGCCTTGGGCTGTACAGTCTTGAAGCTGATAACTGCCGTTGTTCATGACGGCATTCCAACCGCCGGGGATGCTGTCGCTGGTGAGAGTGGGCATGATGTAGAGCTGACCATTTGAGATGTAGACGTTTGAATCAGAGTTTGTGGTCATTTCAAATTCGCCGTTGCTAATGAAGTGGTTTAACAAACAGGACAGTGATATGGAGTGGGACGTACCCGAAGCCACCGAGCTCGACGTCAAGAGTCCAGTTTGTGTCATCGAGAGAACCGGCAGAAAATTCTTCATCCATGACGATGCAGAGTTGGCTGTCTTCGAGGACGTTTACACCGTTCCAGCCTTTGAAGCAGAGTGCTGCTGCTGCGAGGAAGCCTAGGATGACGGCGACAAAGGTGACCCACCAGCTGCCTGTTTCGCAACGACGTTTTTTTTGTGAGCCATGGTTTATCCTCCTTTGTGAGTTTTGATTTGAGGCGGGTTGATTGGAGAGGCTTCTTCTGTGTGAGTGGGAGTGCTATGACAGAGGGAGAAGCAGACAAGGAGGGTACTGGAGGTGGGGACCATATGGTAGAGGGACGTGAGGCGGGGGATAGGAATGGGGATCTGAAAATGGTAGTTGCGCTGCTGTTGCGTGGGAGTTGTGGATCTGTGGGTGAGCGATTCAAGTTTGATAAAGAGAATGAGCCATTGAAAGATTTGTAGGGTGATTCTGAATGAAAGGGAGGGTTCGGGGAAGGTAGACGAGGACTGTCGAATGGATTTCCGTCGAGAGACCTCCGACGGTCAGAATTATATGGAAAAATGAAAGAAGATGGAGGAGGTCTTTATTATTATTATTATTATTTCTTGGCCGTGGTGAGTCATCTTCTTGTGATGAATGGTCGTCTGAACTTGAAGCAGTTAGAAAGAAAGGACGAGGTGAAGCCATGAGGTGTTTACTCGGAATATTGTCTCTTTGAGGCGTTTCTTATCTTCAAACACGTAATTCCCGGTGACGCGTGTGTAACGTACACAGAACCAGATCCAAGATCCAAGATCGTCAGATCTAGATTCTATCACCGCCCTCATTTATATATGCAACCCAACACACGCATTTCTACTCACCCGACCATGGACTACGACAGATACGACGCTACCCTCCATTACATCTTCAAACAAACTCAAGGTGACGCTTGGTTTAGACCACATGAAGATTCAGTCCCACCAGGCGTCTGTCTTCGTACTCATGACGGTCAATTCAGAGTATTCCCCTACGAGACAGCCGCACTCGCTCCATTCGAGGCGTCAGTAGCTGCACTCAATCCACTCGTAGCTGTCAAAGTTCGCAGTGCTGCTGTACATGCTGCTTTGGCAGAACAAACTCTCGATGATTGCGTCTATGTCGACTCAAATACTCGCATTCAAGTACTCGATTCAATGGTCCTCCTTCCACAAGCAGAAAAGGATCAAAACGCTGCTTTCATCCGTGATGAACGTGTACTCGTCGTTTGGAGCGACTCCCTCGATACAATTATCCCTATCGCACGTGACTTTGAAGATCGCCTCATTCGTTTACTCTGGCGTACAAAACCACCTCCTCCCCCCTCCACCCACGAACTATCCATCTACTCAGAGAAACCAGTCGATCCTCGTCTAACTCCTTCATCCACTGTAAACTCTGCCACTGGAGTACAAGATCCAGAAAAGGTTTCCCAAAAACAACCTACTCGTCCAATCATGCTATACGCTCCTCTATACAACGGTCTCTCCGCCGCACTCGCCATCAGTCAGTCATCGTCTTCTTTTCAATCTCTTTTACTCACATTCTCTAGTTTTCATCGGCAATGGTATGAAAACACTCCTTCAAGAATTTCGCCTAGACGGCAACTACACTCATTTCATTCTTTGTGCTCTCATGCCTCTTCTCTTTTGTGTCTCCTTGGTAGCTATTCCTTTTACATTCTATACACTCGCTCACTCTTTCCAGTTCTTCACTATTCAAATCCTACAAAACGTTACTTTCGCAATCGGTCCCATCGCTCATTACCACCAAAACAGTCGTTACTACTCTGCAATCCCACCACTTCCAAACCCAGCCATAGACAACGCACTCCCTCACATCACAATACAAATGCCCGTCTACAAAGAAAGCCTTGCTACAGTCCTGTAAGCCTCTTCCTTCTTCATTCATCTCCGCTAATCCATCCTAGCACACCCTCTCTCACTTCCATCAAAACAGCAATGCAGACCTACGCACGCCACGGCGGCACATCAAGCCTCTTCATCAACGACGATGGCCTCCGTCTCCTCCCCCAAGACCAAGCCAAAGAACGTATCGATTACTACGCAACTCACGGAATCGGCTGGATCGCAAGACCGCGTCACGGACATGAAGGTCAGTCCCATCCCCTCTTTCCACTCAACGCTAACCCAACCACCCACAGGCTTCGCTCGCCCGGGCCGCTTCAAAAAAGCCTCCAACATGAACTACGCACTCGACGTCTCCATCCGCCTCGAACGCATCCTCGAGGAACTCCAATCGTCTAATACCTACAGCTCCTATGGCCAACCCGCTTCTTTTGCCCATCAAACCCAAATCCCCAACGAGAGTAGAGATAGCAACATTTTCACCCCTCCCAACCCGCCCTTTCACCGCGCCAGCGTCAGCACCACATACAGCGCTCATACAGCGCAAACAGAAGGTGGGAGCATCGTTAGTGTACCCGGGCAGTCTCCTGGGACGTACGGAGTGCAGTATATCGGGAGGGATGGTGATGATCAGTGGTTCATTCCTCCTTTTCTCAACGGGAACGGGAACGGGAGCGGGAGCGGCAACGGCAGCGTACCCGGAACGCCAAGACCGGGTATGGTAGGGACCATCAGCCCTGAACCCCCCACCCTCGCAGGGACGCTTATCGAAGACCTCGAAGAGCGGGCTCTTCAACTAGCCATGGAAGAAGGTTTGTGCTAATGGAATCAGGTTTTGATCACTGGCGCTGACTCGAAATAGTATTCCAAACATCCCAAACAGGACACAGACCCTGGGCAGCAAACGCCCGCGCCTGCCGAATCGGGAGTATTATCTTATTGGTAGACGCTGACACGATCGTACCGGCGGATTGTTTTAGGGATGCGGCCAGAGAGTTCGGGGAGGACGAGGGTGCCGAAGTCGGGGTGCTACAACACGAGAGTGGTACGTCCATTCCTCCTTCCCTGGAGTAAACAATCCGCTAACCCAAACCCAGACGTCCTCCAAGTAGCCCACCACTACTTTGAAAACGCCATCGCCTTCTTCACCCGCCGAATCAACAGATGCATAAGTATGATGTGCGCAAACGGGGAAGTGGCGCCTTTTGTCGGGCATAATGCGTTTTTGAGGTGGAGTGCGTTGCAGGATGCGGCGTTTGGCGGGGGAGATGTCAATTCTTCTTCTTCGGCTACTCCGTCTTCTTCTGGTTCTACTCCTAATCCCGGGTCGGGTCCTACAGCCCAAATCAAGGTCTGGAGCGAGGATAATGTCAGTGAAGATTTTGATATGGCTCTGAGGCTTTTGAGACAGGGGTATATCGTTAGGTTCGTGTCGACTTGTGTTTTTCTCGAGTCAGGTTATTGATGTACTACCGCACAGATGGGCGACCTACTCCAATGGCGGATTCAAAGAAGGTGTATCGCTCACTGTCGATGACGAGTTGAATCGGTGGCAGAAGTATGCGTATGGATGTAATGAGTGCGTTTTTCTTTTCTTTCCCGTGCATGCTCGATATTCATGGCTCACACAGGCTCCTCTTCAACCCCTTTGTCAAATGGTTTTACAAAGGCCCCATTAACCACCAGATCCACAAATTCATATGGAGCCCTGCACCGCTACATTACAAGATCTCAATGATGGCTTGTACGTCCCCCTCCTATCTCTTCAAAGCTTACACTGACCACATCACAAATAGACATATTCTCATATTGTACGTCCCCTCTATCTAAAGTACAAGACACTAACGTGAACGCGGCCAACAGACGGAATAGCAGCCTCAGCGACCATCTCCATCATCAATTACATCATGCTCGGTTTCCAATTCCCCACAGACGATTTCTACATGCACAGTTTCGAGATCTGGCTCGCTACCTTTGTGGTATTTTTCGGAGCTGGAAATGTGGGGTATGTGCTTTTGCAGTATAGGCTTGGTGAGAAGGGTATCATTGGCGGTGTTATTGAGTGCTTTGGATGGATTCCGTTTTTGTGAGTCCCTCTATTCCTACGGTGCTTGCTTGGGAGAAAGCTAACGTGATACAGCTTCCTCTTCTTCGGAGGTCTAAGTATCCCGCTCTCGCAAGCCATCCTCGCTCATCTGTTCTCGTATAACATTACGTGGAGCGCGACAAAGAAGGAGGTTGAGAGGTCGAATTTCTTCAAGGAGGTTCCAAAGATTTGCAAGAGGTGCGTTTCTGTTTTTTTCCCCGTGTTTCTTTTTTCACTTTTGATTTGCGTTCACTTTTTGCATTGCTTCTGTTTCGGATTGGAGTCGGGACGCGTTTCCGCATCACGCGTCGCGTTGCGTTGGCGCCCACTTTTTCTTCCGCGCATCAGTGATGTTATCTCCGTTTTTGGGGTAATTGGCCATGATCATCCTAGGAATCCGGATGATGTAGCCTCGGGACATGTGCCTGGGCGTTGCATGTGTATGTGGTGCTGGGACGACATGCGCTCTTAGTGCTGGCATATTGCCACCGTAGTGCTGAACGCGAATGTGTGTTTTGATCGGAAGACATGCATTTGCGGTCTTGGCTGTGGTGCGCCCATATGCATGAATTAGTACCCACTCTATCGCTCCGTGAAGTGATCGTTTCGATCGTCACTCAAAACGCCGCACCCTCTTTGTTGGCTGCTATGTCCCCCGTTGCCTCGTTTTACGTGGCACGATATCCGCTTCCATCTTTTTTTCCACGCCTTTTCCTTTCTCGTTGTCCTTGATGTCATGCTGACGGATATCACTTGGCCTGTTCTCCATATAGATTCTGGTTCCCCCTGCTCGTATGTATCCTGCTGCTCGCGGGTATCGTCATCGTCAGTACGCCGCTAGTGCCATATGAATGGCAACTGACCGGAAATGCGTGGGCTGTTATCTTCCCGTTGTCGGTTGTATGCGCTTGCCATATCCTGTTCCCGGTACGTTCTTTTTTCCATTCCGCAAGATCGTCCTCCGTTTTCGGATGATACGATGCTTCTTCGAACGTTTTACATCTCATTCTATGCTTCCTGAACGTTCTCCTACGCTTCCCGAATGTTCTTCATTCCTAGTCTTCTTTGCTTCGGCATTTGAACATTCTCAGTATCCCCTTTCTGCATTCTCGCTACCCTACTCGCTCGATGCTGACACCGATCTATATAGATCGTCCTCAATCCATGGCTCATGATCTTCTCCTACTGAGCATGTACAGTGACTCGGGCAGGATCCCCGAATGCATGCCTACTAATTAAACACATATCTTGCCACTTAGAAACCAAGAACAATGAACCACCTTCGAATCACCATTCTTTTTTCATCGCGCGTCTTTACATATTCCCACGCCAGGGCGCAAACCCGCTCATCACATCCGCAATCGAACAATTATTGCAAAGATGCTGGTTGGCTTGCACATCTTGCAAGTCTGGACTTTCTTACAATACATACAATACATACTCGCGCTTTTGGACAATGTTGTGATTTTGTTGTTGTCATTGCCATCGTTCGTGATTGTTGCCACGCCATACGGCATCCCGCTCCTTTATGAACTGTCCACGTATCATATACTTATACATTGTTCGACTGAGTGGGATGTTTCCTGATTGTTAGCAGGCTTTTTTGCAGAACTTTCAGTGGTTAATATTATAATGCTTTCATGCTTGATATAGATAGGCTTATGACCATTACCGGGCAATCGGCAGCTCCTTGGGTCCATGGACATTGGAGCGCGTGTTGTTCTTGGAATATCTTATCAGGTCGGTGGAGTATCAAGCCTCGAGCCAAGGGCTGTCAATATCAATATGCAAAAGTGGAGATCTTGTTCTTGGCTACGGCTATGGAATGTCCACGAACCGGAATGCTGTGCACGGCGTTCTAGCTTATCGAAGAAATAAACTTGTTATCCTGTTGGCTACGGAGAACGTCACGAATTCGAACGAATCGCGGAATGCTATCCTTCAAAATAAACTGTTTGATTTGTCTAATCTAATTCTAGAGTCGTGCCTGCCCAGGTATGTCATGACTCATTGCCATCGCAGCCGTTCACCTGGACATCATCTCAACAGTTGGACTACTAATGACCGTGTGTGTCAGGGAATTTCCGGTGGTTGCAACGGTACGGTACGGTAGTAGTGCAAGTGCGGAAGCGGCTATAGCTAACGTACAAGACGCTGCGAGTTGGAGGTTCTGTCAATCATTGGCCGCGGCGCCATATGTAAAAGTGGAGATCGTGTTCTTGGCTGCGGAATGTCACGAACAGGGATGCTGCGTAGACAGCGCTCTAGCTTATCGTTCAAACAGAGAAGAAATAAACTTGTTATCGAGTGAAGTTGATGAGTCTAACGTGATGCTAGACTCTAGTCGTGCCTAGTAGAAGCCCAGGTATGTCATCGTAGGGACCGTTCACCTGGACATGAACAGTTGGGGTACTAATGACCGTGTGTGTCAGGGAATTTTCCGGGGTTGGTTGCAACGGTACGGTAGGTGCGGAAGCGGCTAGCGTACAAGAGGTTGCGAGTCGGGGGTTCTGTCAATATGTAAAAGTGGAGATCTGGTTCTTGGCTGCGGAATGTCACGAACGGGGTGCTGCGTAGACGGCGAGCTAGCTTATCGTTCAAACAGAGAAGAAATAAACTTGTTATCGAGTGGGGTTGATGAATCTAACGTGATGCTAGAGTCGTGCCTAGTAGAAGCCCAGGTATGTCATCGTAGGGACCGTTCACCTGGGATACTAATGACCGTGTGTCAGGGAATTTTCCGATTTCATTCTACGACGCCCGCCGGTGTTGGTTGTAAAGGTACGGTAGTGGTTGAAGTACGTCCGGAAGCGGCTAGCGTTCGAGTCAAGAGGTCACCTGCGAGTTGGAAGTATACGAGGACTATGTGCGGGATTTGACAGCCTCTAGGCTCTGATAGCCCGTCGGGAAGTGGTGTCTATGCCTGACAGCCTGTCTATAATGTCTGGACTCTGGACTGTGCATGCAGATAAGATCATCAAGTACCCAAGAAGGGGGAAGACAAGCCCAGCCATCCAGTATTGATCATCAGGCGTTGACTTCAGCTTCCAAGGAATAGATTATAGATGTCATATCAGTGGAGACTCGGTCGGGGTTCTATCGCGGACTCTTCAACTTTTATCCTTACCTCGCTGGCTTGGCAGCATTAATGCAAATGCGATACTGGAAGTTGACTGGAAGCGCGCAGAAGATTTGATGTCATAGCCTGGAGTGCCTATATTATATGGATTCTGCAAAAGGCCCAAAGCAGCTAGTCTCACTCCATTATCCATCACATGATAAGGTCTGTGGCGGTAAACGTTTTCAGTCTCAAGAAGACGTGTAATAGGAGTGCCTCAGGAGCGGACATTACGGAAAGGAAAAGAAAGAATGCTTGCAAGGGGATACGGAATCACAGGAATTACCCGCACCGGACTAGTCACCTGCAGAATTGAAGCTTCGTAGAAGTGCGTATGGATCTATCTCCGAACAACGATATCATGCCCCAGGCGGGAAAGAGTCGTTTATCCGAGGTCGACCGGCGGTACCGATAATACTGCAAGACCTTGAAAGGCACGCAGAAGAGTTGAGGATAAAAGGATTTAGACGGATCCGTGAATAGTACGTACCCCGTAGTCCTCTATATAACGGCGATTGCAATAGTACTTATCAGAGTTGATTTCTCCCTAGCTCTGATCGAAAACCATGACCATCGCGTACTATTACCTAGGTGCGGTTTTAGCGATTGTTGCAAAGCACTTGGATCACCTCCCAGGATCATTCCAACGCGATCTGATGCAAAGATAGGATAAAGCGGCAGACCGAGCGCGTCTGTCGGTGATAACGGTGGATGCTGGAGGTGTCTGCACAACAAGGAAAGAAAATGCCTGGAAAGTACGAGCTTGTCTCGTGCACCAAGCTTCAAGGTTCTCATAAAACTGATACAGAAGGTGCAATTATCTTCTACGGCCGTGCCCCGTCTAGTCTTCCTAGCGATGACTCAACACAAGTAAATGACGCGGACGATTGCCACGTCAGTCTAAGAGGGGAGTTGCATCACTACAAGGCAAGTATGCAATCGAAGCACCCTCACCGCAAGATACCTTCCATAACATATTTTGAAAAGCTCGACCCAGTCACAGATACTCACAGCCAGGAGACCTGTTTCGAGACTATTCGTCATAACCACATCATCCTGTACTCGTCCGAGGGGGAGATGTGGTGGATACACGTTGGCATCCACTATGACTCGCTAATCCTTGAGTAGAAGCGATATCTTGAGCAGATAATTTGTGTTAAATAATTGTGTGCCAAGTTGTATCTGTGCTGAGCTTCGCGGGTTTGCTGAGGTCACGGTGCCCACTCTGGGGCTACTCCACGTAGACTCTGAGGCCAAAGTCTAGGAGCTTCGAAGTTCGGTGTTGAGTTCGATTCAGAGCGGAGTTGCAATATTAATGTGCTCATCACCATCGCGCCCGCCACTCCCGTCCGCCACCTGTACCCGCCTCATGCTACATAGCTACCAACTTGTGAGTTACATTTATTTATTTCTTGGATTTGCTGTTTTGTAACTTTTGTTGCACTAAATCATTGAACAGTCCGCTGCACCCTCCTGGTTTCCAACACCTCCTGCTACCTTCTCGTGCTTGCTACTGCTCTCCTACACCTGCCGCCCTCTTACTTGCATTGAATATTCTCATTCACTAGTTGAATCATCGAGCACCTCTCGTGCACTCTCGTACTAATAAGCCCTCCCACTGCACCTCGTGCCTGCTGCTACCCTTGTGCATGATCTGCACTCTTGCACACTATGTCTCGACTGACTTGTGCCCCGACACCTCCCGCCCATACATGTGAGCTCCCTGATATCCTCCACCTATCTCTGTTCCGACATTCATGATTTAACTTAGTTTGTGCATAGAGTAGTTTGGTTCGGTGTGTTTGTGTACCATGTGTGAGAAGACTGTACACACCGCCGACCACGAGCGTGCTATTTCGGGGGTACCACCGTCGAGCAGCATCTAAACTCCCCCGAAGCCAGCTGCCGAAGCCCCAGAGTCTACGTGGAATAGCTCTAGAGTGACCATTTCCCGCACGTTCTCGAATGATGACGAGTCGCCTGTCAGTGCTACTCGTTTCGCATCCGAATCACAAGGGACCCCTCTTTTGCTAAAGTCAGCTGCTTCGTCTCACCTGAACCATAACCTTGAGTAAATATCGTGCAACACCTACCGGATAATATCCTGGGGATATGTGAGCTTTGAAACTGAACTCCGAACGAATTCATTCAGGTTCATGCGCATAAATACGCGACGAGTTTCGAAGGTGGCTCCCCATCGCTCCTTTGATTACTCTGAGCGAGTCTAAGGCCTGGTTTCATTCGTCCTCCTTTCTGATTCATTCCCTAGGGATCTTTATCACTGCGCTGAACACTTATTTCAAATCTCTTTGCCACTATACACAATGTCTTCCTAAGGTGCGCTCAGAGGTTTACAGCCAGTTCTTAATAATCTTTCTGGACGCACCGACAGGCGCAGAGAACCAGATTGTCCTTGTCAACAACACCCAATACACGATTTCTGCCCGCATCACCAACGACAACGATGACACGGGGAATACTGGATTCCTTGATATCGAGCCAGGGAACACCGAAACGTGGAAGCGAACCCACTGGCAGGTGGCCTTCGTGTTGAGGAACTCGACCCGCCCATCTGATAACACCGCGGAGACTTTGATTGTGAAGCCTACAGGGTTTACAACCTCAATGATAATTAGAAGCAGTTGGGTCATGGCGTGCACTGTGCATACTACTAGTATTGTAGGATGACATGTGTCGTGTTGTACAACACAGTTGCAAAGTGGAATCAATAGGTGTGCTTGTCATTTGATGATCGTCTGCGTTTTGTATATCGTATGGAGTAGATGTGGAGACTCGGTCAGGGTTCTATCGCGGACTCTTCAACTTTTATCCCACAAAGCCAACTTAGCTCGCTGGCTTTGCACAATGCAAATGCGATACTGGAAGCGCGCAGAAGATTTGATGATATAGCCTTGAGGTGCCTATATTATATAGACTCTGCCAAAGTAGCCAGTCCCACTCCATTACATGATAAGGTCTGTGGCTGTAAGACGTTTTCAGTCTCAAGAAGACGCGTGATAGGAATGCTTCAGAAGCGGACATCATGGAAAGGAAAGAATACTTGCAAAGGGGATACGGAATTACCCGCACCGGACTAGTCGCCTGCAGAATTGAAGCTTCATAGAAGGGTGCGTATAGTCTGCTTTACGATCTATCTCCGAGCAGTGATATCATGCGCTGGACAGGAAGGAGTCGTTCACCCGAGGTCGTGCCTTGAAAGGCACGCAAAAAAATTTAGGATAAAAGGATTTAGACAGACCTGTGAATAATGCGCGTCTGTAGCAGTCCCTATATAAAGGCGATTGCAATAGTATGAGAGTTGATTTCCCCCTAGCTCTAGCCTCTAATCAAAAAAACCCCATCACTATCATGTACTGTTACCTAGGTGCGGTTTTAGCGACTGTTGCAAAGCACTTGGATCACCTTCCAGGATCATTCCAACGCGATCTGATGCAAAGATAGGATAAAGCAGCAGGCCGAGCGCGTCTGTCGGTGATAACGGTGGATGATGGAGGTGTCTGCACAACAGCAAGGAAAGAAGGATGCCTGGAAAGTACGAACCTGTCTCGTGCTTCAACTTGAAGGTCCTCGGAAAACTGGTACAGAAGGCGCAATTATCTTCTACGGCTGGGCCCATGACGTCCAGTCTTCCCAGCGATAACTCGACATAAGTAAATGACGCGGACTGCCACGTCGGTCCAAGAGGTCAAGAAACGAAACTCACAGTACCCAGTCTGTGCCCGGGCGAGCTTTGGCTCCAGCATCGCCTCGAAGTTCTATCCGTACTAGCTGACATTATCGAATGTCCTCGCTGGCATCATGATGGCCTGGGTGTGCGACTTGGCTACAGACTAGTCTAGCGCCCAGCCACATTAAGGTTAAACGTCACCTGGCAAGATTCATGGTGGACACTGGACTTCGAATGGAAGGATGACTTCCCCGGATACTACCGACAACAGATAGTTTTGACTCACGAGCAAGCATTAATATTGTTGGTGACCAAAGCCAAAGGATAGCCTGAGTGTCTCAACCACGGATATTGCTAACTTAGTATCCGTTCCATGGACGGTTGACCTCCATTTATCCGCAGGCATGTTGCTATGAATGTCGAGGTTGTTTAGTCCAGATGGGCAACCTGCTTTGTAGAACCTCAGGCCTCAGTGGTCAGCTGGCCATACTCGAGCGCCTCAGGGCTCATCTAAACGTAATACCACCCATGGCCGTGCCAAATCTTGGTGTAAGATGCCCCTGCGCCAAGTCGTCCCTGCGCCAAATAGTGCCGTGAGATAGGCCTGCCAAGGTAAGATTACATAATTCGCGATCATACGGATCAACAGGCCCATCAGTAGCGTAGGAGTCAGCCAATGAAAATTGTTTATCGTTTAACACAATGCTATAGGTCAGGCACCCGAGTTGAGGCTATCATAGCCTACAACGTATGTCGGCTCTTTGGTGAGCCTTTGAACTACTGTACTACGACACTCATTGATATGACTGCTTGAGCAGCCTACCTAGGCCTAGGTTGTGTTATACTTGATCGTGTTTTAACATAACACGCTTATGAAATACATCTGGCCGCGCCAAATTTATGTGACCAACTACATAATACAATAGGTTAGGTCTGGATCTGATTCGTTGTCTGCGGCATGGAAGATCATCGATCAACCCTGGTGCCCTGCCAAGAATCTCGCACAGGTTCACTGCTTCGCTAAAACTCGTCTGACTTGAAAAATCAATGCCGATAAAGAGCACGAACTTAACAGACGAACACGGCATAGCTAGCTGTAATCCCCACCATCACCATGCTGCGTCTGTTGTGTATCGCGCTGTCTATTTTCTTATTCCTTCAGCTCGCTGTTGCGGACTCTACCTCAACAGTCTTACGAATTCCACGTCACTCCAAGTCATCGTCACTAGTAGTGACCAAGTCTGTACTGTCAGCTCTCTTGGTTCGGCGAGGAAAGTTCACTGCTCGACAGGGCAGTGGGTGTCCTAGCGGATATCGTAAGGAATTCACGCGCCAAGTACTGAGAAACACATCACTGACCCGCCGTAGAGCAATGCACTAACTACCCGGACGCATGCGCCCCTACTGGCAGCTACTGTGTAAGGTTGCCTGATGAGCCTTTCCACTGTGATTAATGTTTTCTAGTGCAACGATTCGTATAACTGTCCAGACGGCACCACCGTACGTGCCTTCGCGCCTTCTTAGACCCAATCGTCAAAACTGACTGACGAACGTTACAACCAGTGCTTCGGAACTGAGTGAGACAAATATTTTGATCAACTTTCTGTTCTTTTCTGAAGGCTGCTGTAGATGTTGTCCCAATACCGCGCAAACGTGTAATGGAAGTACCTGCTGCACCTCTGGTAGTGAATGCTGCAGCGACGACAGCTGCTGTGAATCCGGCTACCTCTGCTGCAATGACTCTACTGGGGGATGTGTGTTATATTCCCTATCAATTGCATGAGCCACGCTAACATCTATTCAGGCTGCCCTACTGGAACTACGTGCATCGCAAATTCTGACGAATGTTCTGCTGGAGGCTCAGGTGGTGGAAGTTCTGGAGGTGGAAGCGGTGGAACTACTAGCGTCACGATTGCTACTGCTACTCATTCTCAGTCAACTGTGCTTCCAGGAACCACTCCTACCAGCAGTGGTATAATTACATTCAACGGCCCCACAACAACTGGGTCTTCGAGCAGTCAATCCCTCACTTCTCCGAAGAGTCAATCCTCCACTTCTTCGACGGTTTCATCCGCAGGGTCCACTTCCACTGGCTTGAGTAAGCAGCCTCTTTCCTCTACTACGTGATCTAGCTTATACCATACACTTAGCGAACATCAGTGCTGCTCCTCGTGGTATCGCACTCACACCTGGGAAACAACTTATGGCCTTGGCTGCAGTTGTTGGTTTGCCGATTCTCCACAATGTTGCCCAGGCATTGTGAGTATGCAATGGCACTACTCTTCTCATACTGTTCATTGGTTGTTAAGGTTGTGATTTATGATATGTCGGATACGGTGTTCACTTTGTTGCATAACGGGACTTGTAACACGACATTTTACCTGCAAATCAGTTACAGTTGGTTCACGGATTGCGGGAGATCCAGGGTAAATTAAGTGGTGGTTAAATGACTAGGATGTACAGGGGTGCATTGCAAGTTGGGGGCATATGAGGCTCATACTCATGGTACTGCTTACGACGGCAATTGCGTTAGGACTCGTGTCTGTGTACAGCGCAACATGCTATCAAACTTCCGGCCACGTCTGCATCACTATCACAACCTGTCAATGAAACCGTCGCCCCGTAGACCAGCCATCAAGCCCCAGTGACAAAACTGGCTGGCGCGGCGCAATGGCGCAGTATTGCCAACAACACTAGGAGGGCAGCGTTTGACTCTGTATCCTTACGAAATATATCTTCTAGGACCTTGAGCTGTGTACGAGAGGTGCGCTTTCTCTATGCTTGACTTCGTTAGTCATTCGTCCTACCTATAATCCAGGATCTTCTCCCTCTCAACACACACTCCTACATCGACCGTTCGATAGGAACACCCGCCATCATCCTCGCACCTACTCGTGAGTTAGCAAGACAAATTTCCGACGTCTTAGAGGTGCCATTTACGCTTAAGCTATGTCCAGAAGGCGAACAGGAAGGTGCAGAGGGGTCTACACGTCATACCCGATGGTTAGTTTCTAGCCTGCCAAGTGGAGGCACAACTCGTGCGCACGAGAAGGCGTGTCGTAGTACGACCGCTGGTAATCAAGGGCCTCGACAAAAAGAAGGCGGAGGATTCGCCTGAATCAAAACACGACAACAAGCCAGCTACTACCAGCGCCGAGAAGTTCACTCCCCCGTCACAACTCTTCCTGTAATTTTATCTGCAGATTAGTGAGTTCATAGATTGCGAGAGACGAAGGTAAATCGATTGTGGCGCACCCATTGCAGACGAAATTATGTACGTGCTCCCGATGGCAAGCTAAAATGTAGAGTCGAACGTGAAGCCGGTTGTGTATAGTCAACTCTGCTCGTCCGTGGAAGTGAACAGTTTCACCTTCAGTCAATTTTCAGTCTTGTAGTTTGACAGCCGTAGCTGCCAACCGAATGTTTCTGGCCGAATCCCACCGTATTTTTCGTCTCTATCTTTTCTGAGTGTCCACGGCGCAGTGGTTATGGTAGAGCTGATAGCCTTTCATCCATATCTTGCGTCAGGTACGTTGGGATGATATTACAAACCCATATCTCTGAAGTCCAGGCATCAGATACAATTGTATGATATATTACAAACCGATTTCTCTAAAACGGTACGAGTGGTGGTAATACGTGTAGTGTAGGTGTCCGAGTCTTGTAATACAGTGACGAGAATTGGGCGTCCGTAGTTCCATATTAAACATCATACTACAATTGCGTTTGAGTGGTGATCATATCGCATGGCAGCGTTCACTCACCTCAACGACCATTGAGGTGGGTATGGAGATGTCGGTGAACCTCGGTGTTTGCTCTGCTTCAATGAATTGAAAAAAGCTTAAAACAATGCAATCACATAACTTACCTGCGTCAACGCGCGCCCCGTTACTATGAGTGGTGATTTGAGGACGACGAATAGAACCTGCGCGGAAGATACTGCAGATGATTCCAGGTGCGATCTGGAAAATTCTCAAGTCTCGCGTCAAACTCTAAGCACCTGCATTTACCTTTGAGAAGACGTTCCAGGACAAAAGGCTGGATCACCATATCTATGTGAGCTATACACGCAGATAATCGGTAGACGCACCCAGTTTGCTCTGGAAGGGCAATAACTTGGCCATCGAGAGTGATACGCAAGACAGGTGACTTAAAGGACGTTCAGACTCAGAGAGCCACGTTGATACTTTGAGATAACTCACCTCGTCATTCGACATCATCTTTATCTGAAGTTAGTGTATGTTTCGAGTGAAAAAGTTAGGGACGAACGTCGATGTCCAGATCTGAACCTTTGGTTATCATACACCAGGTCGCAGAAAATGCAAAGGACTTACTGAGTGCTTTGCAGATATACCGCAGAACGGCTGGGGACTGTTCTGACCCTTTGTCTTGACAACCAGAAGTAAAGTCGGAGTAGTCCTCGTTTTGAGCGTGCATGTAGTACTTCACCACAGAAGCGATGACTGCGGAGAACAAGGCCGCAGAAGGGATGATCTCCTCGAACAAACACAATGCTATCTCCTCTATCGAAGCCCGTGGTGTGACTTTGAGAACCTCCGAGAGGAACACTTCACCTTTATGCGAAGACAAGTGGTTTGAAAACAAAAGATCACATATACCATTGACTGAAATCTGGTTCACCAATTGAGCAGCGGAGAGTATAACAAAATGCAGGATAATTACGATGCCATCAGAGAGTCTTTTCAAATGGCTCTCAAGGTATATCTTGATTAACTGGGTAGAGCGCATGGCTTCCTGGCAAAGAGTCCAGTCGGAAGCAGGATCTTTATTCAAGTACAAGTAGCTATGCACGCGTCAGTGACGGGAGGCTCGTCACAGCGGATAGACTTACCGTGTAATGGTGAAAAAGGCTTTGTACCAAAATTCTGGAGTCATTTGCGACGATGATTTGTCCATCAATGGTAATCCAACCTGACCAAACAGAAACAAGTTAAACTCCAAGCAGCCTCTGTTGATGTATCAGAAAGCAGACCATGATGTCGCCCACCCAATAAACAGGAAGGAGGTTCAGGATTTCAATTATGTCAACGTGCTCATCAACTTCGCGTCTCTTGCGTATCAGCTCACTTGTAAGGCGCGCAAAATGCGAAGTGGACGCAGTGTATTCAGAAACTTTATCAGAGATAGGCTTTCTGATCTGAATGATGAGTAACAATGAGAACCAATAGATAACAGCGTAAAAAGGCCCTACCGCTTCGTTCCGTACCCTGGGAGGCATGTGTAAGTTCGAAAGTCGACGCCCATAGTCTCTGATAACGTCCATATCAGCAGCCGCAAACGCAGCTGGCCAGTCCCAATCGTAGAGATGTCGGATTTCGGCACTACGTGGCACCTTGGCCATGCTCGAGGCAAGGAACTTTGGGGTCAGGAAAGGAAAGTGAGCGTAGACTGAGCCCGCGGGGTAGTGATCAGGGAGCATGCGAAAGAGAAGCTTGGTGAGCATGCCACCATAGGATCCATCCATTTTGTTGACCATGCAATGCTCGTAACCCCATGTTGTCAAGTTGAATGCTACCATGAGAAGCTCAGTATCGACGAATGATGTATAGGCCTGAGAATCAGTTGACTCACGAGTGAAGTCTACTGTAAGAAACCTGTCTCCACGGGTCAAGCATACAGCATCGGCGAGGATGGCACGTGAGATGGTGTATCCAGGGCAAAGGCCAGCACCAGGAATGGGAGGTTTTGTTTCCTCAGCCTGCAGGCCCACCTGAGTGTGAATCAGCAAATGCAAACCGTCCAAGCTATTGTCGAGACTCACATGCAGTTCCAGGTTTTCAATATCCCCGTACAAGCGTTCGGCTGCGATCTATTGATGGTCAACATGCGAGTAAGCACACACAGCGGGATTGATCCCTACATGAATCTCTGGATCGGGATTCCATTCGCTGAAGCTTTTGTATGCTGGGAAAGCAAACTATAAATCAATAAACTGACGGAGTGAAAATCACCCCACGTTTCAAGCCAATGAAGCGACGAAATTCGTTCAGCTGGGTTTCAATACTTAGTATCACTGCGAGTCCTTGCAACCCTCGTTGGACTTACTGAACAAGCACCCCAGGCTCGTGCCTGCTCCATACCCAAAATCTCCACAATTCGCATCACGGCTGGAACACCCCTCGCACGAAAGGCACAAGCCCTGTCGGCCGTTGCGTCCTGTAAAACACGGGCAATATCGGCGTCGCTGAATCGACCATCCTCCTCACGGGTAAGACTGGGACTTGTTAGCTGATAATACATGACAAAGTGACCACTTCATACCCGCCAAATGTCCAGCTACGAATGCCGGGCATTTTAGCACTACCCTCGCGGACGGCAGCCTTGAACTCTTTGACAGTGATCTAAGGAAACAAATACAACTTTTGGAAACTCCGTATAAGGACGGATACACGCACAGTTGAAGGGTCTTTGCCAGGGAGAATGTCTTTGAAAGTGTGTTTAATCCACACTTCATCTTGACGCGATATCGCCGCATGCCAACGATAAAGCATGTTGAACTCCAGTGAAACAGCGTTCCCAGCTCCTCGTTGGGAAACATCATGCGTTTGCTCGCGAAACCCCTGAATGAAAGTTAAAATGGATAGTAAGCATTACGAACAATTCCGGACCTGAAGTGGATTTAATCGCCAAGTCAATCCATCTCTGATAAGGCCAAGAATGCCTCCAACATAGTCCGTTAAGATGATCTGCATGAAGAACGCTGTATTGACCAGTCGAGCACGGTGAAAGATCTCATCGCATTGGGCAGTGCGTTCCGCTTCTGGAAGAGTCGCTGGATTTGGTACGAATGTCCCTCGCTCGTTGAGGCTAAAGATTTTGTTTGCAATATACTGTTTGAGGGGTTAGCATCTCTCCATTTACGTAGTAGGACAAAAACGGACATTGTGGTGACGACTGAATAGGACTGCAAGGGCACCCACGGAGGGGGGCATGAACAAGAGACGCTTGTCAGCAAATACATCTTCCCAAATGTGACCGGTTCCGTCCTTCTTGCGTATGCTGTCGACCTGCTCTTCGTTGTTCCCATATAGGATACTCAGGTCGAGGTAGCTGCTGGCGTTGTTAATCGTCCAATCGTGGGAGTTCGTATCAAATATGCTGTGAATGACGAGATCTGCAAATGCGAAGAATAAACTGGAGAGGCCCCCAGGATGGGGGACGAAGTCATTCTGGGGGCGACGCAGAAGGGTATCAAATACCTCTCCTGGATCTGGTAACGGATGACGCGACGAAACGTGTGTGGAAGGCACAGATCGCGCATATGGTTGGCCTGCTTGACCAAGGTTCGGCGCGGACATCGAATAATTAGAGCCATCAGCACTACGGAAGACATATGGCACGCTGCTGAAGCTGGACAGAGGTGTCGTTACAGGAGTCTTCAAGAAGCTGCAAGGCGGGTGAGGAAGGTCCTTATAAACTAAACGCGCCTGATCAGAACTGTACTTATAACTTGTCGATAAAGACTACACGTACGGATATCGATCGCGGAAATCTGAAGTTCCTTAGCGAAGACTGAGTCGTCGGGAAGGCGCGACATCAATATCAAGAGTTTTTCTAGCTAAGTTACACATAAAGCAGCGTGAATTTACATCCAATGAAAGACGACGCATATACCTACCAAAAATTCCCGGTCATTGATCCCAGACTTGAGGTTCTTCAGTGCATCAATATATGCTGGCTGATAGTAAATAGCTTGCATTCAGCTCAATTTTCACAGCGGGTGACAGCCTACGCACCAGGTCTGCCAGGGTAAAGGGGGTTCCTCGTGTGATCATTTGTTCGAAGTCTTCCACTGATTTCATTTTGTCAAAGCACGCGGGGATGTCGACCTGGGATATGCATGTAAGAATATTGATCTTCGGTACAAGGGACGCTGCTGCTCGTTTCATGGTTTGGGTATTGGAACTGAACATTGGTTTAGTTAACTTGGCGGGAGGGCGCGGTCAAGGAATGTGGTGCTGAGAAAGGCCTAGCACGACTGGCTATATATGCGTCGGGTCTGGAAGGTATTCAGTGACAGATGTAAAAGGCCGCCAAAAGGAATTCCAGCCTGAGTGTCAAGCAATAATTAAATAATAAAGATTACCCTTGCAGCTGGGTTGAGCTGGGGGATTCAAATGTTCATGGAGCGCAGGGGAGCCATTCAACATATATACGAATATATGTGTGAGCGCCAAATCCGAAATTTGGGCTGCCGCCATGCTGCATATCAAGTACTGCGACACGCGACAGCCGCGTATATTCTCAAACCAGACGTTTGAGGAACTCCTTCGGATTCTTCAAAATAGGTGGGTTAAGTCGGCGCGTGAACATATATACGTTCTTATTAAGAATTTGGTCGGTTACAGCCTCGACGGCGGACGCGTCGGTGGCTGGTGGAATTTACATTCGCGTATGTAACTAGGCGCAGTGACCGGCGATGACCTTGCTTAATTTGTCATCATTACATCAGCTTTTGTGATCGCTCAACGTTTAATCTTAAGTATTCTTAGTTAGCATGGTTGATCACAGTAAGCTGCTGTAGGGTACGTTGTCAGGAGCACTTGGGGCAGGATAAACAAGCGGTCGTACACCAAACAAGGTCTGTTCCATATGAAAGCCTTGTCGTAGTAGCCATGATCTTGACCAGTTTGTTCGGGATTTCCCGTTATTTGTCCGTACAGACGAATCGCAGGATTTTCAGTTCGGTATATAATCTTGCAAGCTAGGTGAGGAAATGAGAGATATTGTAAAAAAAAGTATGTTAGTCGACTGCCAACACCAAGGCCATCATATGCAGACGATGTACTGGGAAGTGAACTTGAATTAAAGCAGAGGAATAGGAAAAGTATCTCGGCAAGGCAATTCAGAAGGATTTCCCGTTATTTGTCCGTGTAGACGAATCGCAGAATTATCAGTTTGGTATATAACCTTGCTTGCAAGGTGACTATGCTTGGGTTTGTATTGATAAATATGACAGTATACCCTCATAAGCTATCATCGATGTCTGTACGGGAAAGACTCGACTGACATGGCCGCATGCGATCATCGAGTTCCTCCCGGCTTCGAAGTTCTATTGACATTGCCTTATGTGTCCAGAGCACACTGATGAGAAGTCTGTGAATCAAAATAATGTTTAAATGATCTGAACTCATAATGTATGGAGGACGCGCGTTGATCAGATGCACAGTGTAGAAATATCTTGTTGAGGCTCAAGAACGTATGTATTCAAATCAATGTGACTTGCCGGCCAATTGGGCCACGTCCGGCTGCTCACTGACACGTCAATCCTGCAGAAACTCAAAAGTTAGAGAGGTGCTGACTTAACTCTATTAAGTTACAGGTTTACGGTTGTTCGTCCCCTAGGCTATCATCACTTTTGTGCAGATCCTTTGATAATGTTCGACCAATAGGTACTCGATTTGTTGGCCGATATTCCGCTTGATGCAATCGCCCCATGCTGGCACTACTATGAGGCGCCTGGCGTACAATGCGATTCTCCGGAAAGAGTCCGATGGTTATTCAATCTATCCAATTTACGAACTCCCAGAGTGTTTCGTATCACTTTTACCACGACAATCCTGCCCTCTTTCTCGAAATCAAGCCTCCCGGCCAGGATTGCTGCAGACAGTAGCATGAGTGAACGATTTAAACCCATAACCACGACGTCCACACTCCATGATATCAGTGTTATGGGACAGAGACTTGATTTCTATTGCATGGTTAAATGTACTTGCTGCGTAGTCCCCGAACTTCCAACAGCAGGAAACATCCTAATCGAGTGGTGGGAGCTGGATGTCACGACGAAAAACCGGGCATCGAGAGTTTATGGTGGTACTGAGTGATGTGCTATGTGGCACTCTTGATGCATTCTGATTGGTCTAGGCCGTGGCACACTTCTGAGACATTTTGTTTATGATTTCAATTGGTACGGTGTTATCCACGAAAGTATCCTTCGTCTAATTGGTTGGGCTAGGGGAGACTGATATGAAATACGGTCTTTCAGGGAAAGGCAGCGGAGTACATACTGGTCTGTACTATATTCATTTTAACGTCGAGTCTTTGATAACAGTAAGCGGCGAGTTCGTGAAGCCTTAGATCTACAGGAGCCATCGTTAAAATAAGAAATAACCATAGCGAGACACTCGTGGCATCAACGGAGATATGGCTGGTGACTTAGAAGGCAAGTACAATAGAATATACTCATTTGGAGATCGTCGGGAAAGCGGATCGTCTCCATGAAATTTCCATGCGAGCTTGACACCAGCAAGATATCGAGGAGCCACGTCGAAAGATATCGCGTTGCCACGGCGCATTAGGTTTTTTAAAAATCCAATTATTGTACAGTTTGGGGCGCATTAGGTTGCTCAGTCGGACGTATGGTAGATGCATGTTTTTGGGCTGACCGCCCTTTACTGCCTCTGTATAAAAGCGAAGCGGTAACTTCAGTTCAATAAAAAAGAACATCGCCCAGACCTATCTTCAAGTCCAAAAATGAAGTTTATCTCACTCACTACTATGATCATGTCTGCCGCGGTACTAGCGGGCATCGTTACAGCACAAAAGGAACCCACTGGCTTACCATGCAGCCCGCCTAGTAAATATCTTCAGCGTACCCCTGTTTTTATCTCAGACCGCATGCTTACGGGTGCTTGCAGTACAGTTTGCGTGCGGAACGCTCCCGCTTTTTAACGGTGGCCTTCCGTATTTGTATTTCTGTGAAGCAAACAGCACTATCACGGTCATTCAAACTTGCAACTGTGCGAGCTGCTGCAACCTCGTCAACGGAGGCCAAGGTCCTGGCTCGTCCTGCACAGGTACTTAAGAGGAAAGGGTGAGTCCGCTTCTTGCTTGCCGTGTCTATAATATCATAGCCATACAGCACAGCTGTCTCCGTAATTGGTGGTACTGGCTGGCGCTGGGGGGAATAGGGCTAAGAGTTTGGGGTATAGAGTCGGAAATATGTTGTTGAGGGCTCGAGAAAGTATTCGAATAAATGTGTGACTCCACGTACAGCTGCGCATGCGACTCGGACACACCAGAGTGACTAATTTGGGCTGCAACTAGTAAGCACTTGGGAAATGTGAAAATCTCACCGGGGTCCCATTGGCAGACGTCATCGTCAGATTCATCACCGCCATTTTCATTGATTGCTTTGGCATTTCCACATATATACCTTCAACCATCTACCACTGCCAGCACCAAATCATGGTGATGGCACGGAAGGCTCTAAGAAAACTGAGCTGTGAAGATACTCAGGAGTCATTAGTCAGTAGTTCGACTGTACCCACGTGACTCACTGATGCGAAGAGCGCAGTTACGCGGATACATCCTTCTTCATTCCATCCTACATATGACCTGGTCACCTTACCTTGTGCTCAGACTCCACGATCCCCTTGCCTTGACCGTTCATTTTCACCTTCACCATATACTCCTCGTGCTCATTCTGGCCTAGTCAACCGTTCAAAAATGTATATATACAGCCCATGTACGCTCATACCTAGAGCAGCAGAATCTTATTGCGTAATACATAATGACATAATCATTGCATATTTATATGATTTCAAATTTATGTTCCTTCTGCCATTGAACTTTTTCTGTGATGGACGTTGATCCAACCGTGATTCTCTTAGAAGCATGACTATTTCGAACGGTTTATCGAAAAATGTAGCGGTAGACTGGGCGTCTTGTGTCATTTTCGCTCTGTCTACAATTGCATGTATGGTGACCTCTAGTAGCACCTAGGCCTCATCATTGGTGCCACACCACAACGTACTGCGGCCCACGTGCATGAATATATACTGGCACGATGAATCTCTGCTCAGACTTTTGGCAGTTCACATAGACTTTACCTGCCGTTCCGAGGACAACCAAAAAAACGTGAAGCAAGTCCTCAACAGCTGGTAATTGCCCGCGCTCTCCTCCGTTACTTCACAATTGCTGCAGTACAAGTGGAACAATGTCTTGTGTCTGTTAAACGTTAACAACGGGGCAGCCAGTCACGTCAATATCGCCGTGGTCTCCAAAAGCGGACGCTCGCCCGAACAAACACCAGAAGACCTGCAGGGCCTTGGATTTTTGTACGTTTGGTGGTATAGAAAGGATCGTGCACCGGTCGAGCACCACCAACCGGGTTAATCATACATCGCGCTCTCCTAGGAGTCAACGATTCACTACTTCGCTTGTGATATATTATTAGACGCCCCGACAGATGAGGCAGAGAAATTGGTTGCTGCTCTTCCATAAGGCCTGCGGTTATGGTTCCTCACGATTCACTATGGCGCTACCTCTCAAAAACATTCAAAAGTCGAGGGAACTCGTCCTGATCGGACTCGCTGTGTGTCCTATAATGCGTAACATTGCTAATCTCCAGCCTATGCGCTTCCTGCAATCCCTGGTGCTTACTTTGCAAGGAGGATCTGGCGGCATGGAAAACCGACCATTAGATGATATGCCGCTGGAATTAGGTGCCCTCAAAAGCCTTACGGTCTATACCAATCACATGCAACGGTGCACATATTTCCCTCTTCGCGCCCCCGTCCCACGATTATCCAGTTTTTCCATCACGTATTGGAAACGTGTGCTAGAACACTGATACCTCAAGTCGCTTCCACCATGTCACCCTCAAGTGTCGAGGGATGAGTGACCGATACCGAGAATAAGAGTCCGAAGAGTCCTAAGGTGCAGTGAAAAATTGACCGGTCAGTTGCTTATTAACTGGGTCATGAACGCAGGAATTGATCTACACGATAAGTCTACAGCATAGTGGTACATTGGTGGTAAGCGGCTAATTAGGGATAACTCCAGATAGCTGAAGCTACAGCCACGACGTCTCGCATATCTTGCACATCGTGAACTCTCACAACGCTTGCGCCCTGTTGAATAGCACAAGCCACGGTCGCTGCCGTCGCCCACTCTCGTTCTTTCGGTTGGGTTTTTTCTCCCCTTGTATGTCCCATCCGCATCTGGGCGTTCTAGAATCGCGCCGAGAAACGACTTCCGAGACGATCCAATGAGTTGCGGATATCCTGCGAGTGGATTCGTGGGAGTGTTCGTAATCATCGAAGAAGCGTCACGAAGAAGTGCGCAGTTTGCTTCAACAGTCTTGCTGAAACCGATACCAGGATCAACGATAACGAACCACCTCCGTACTCCGCCTTTGCCCTTAATAATTGCCTCCACTTTTTCTCCCAGCTCAACCCGTACACCTTCTAGAACTCCGCCCTTGTACTGGCTGTAATCTTTGTTTGAGCCTGCATCACCGCGTGAATGCATCAAGATGACAGGAACAGCGAGTTTTCGTGCCACCTCTCGCATTTTCAACAGGTGCATTGCTGAAGTTTGCGTAAGGGGGTACTCAGGACCCGTGAAGGAATACACATCATTGATGCAGTTTGCACCAGCCAGGACAGCAGCTTCCGCAACCTCCCAACGGAATGTATCAATTGAAATAAGAGCGGAACTGACATCCTGATCTTCATGTGACCGTATGGCCTGAATGACAGGCACGACACGTTGGCACTCCTCTTCGGGTGAGACGAATGCTGCTCCCGGGCGAGTCGAATAGCCCCCTATATCGATGATATCGGCACCTGCTCGTACGGATGTCGCAGAGTCAGTCAGAGCAGCTGACAATGTATTATTAACAGAACCATCCGAGAATGAATCTGGAGTCGCATTCAAGGTGGCCATCAGCCTCACTTTCGTCGGTCGCCGGATGTCATTTGAACAATGGGTGCTCCAGTACCTTCCCATAGAGGGTACCTGATGCATGCCCAGGAGCTGCCGTATTTCTGCGATCGGATAATCGGCGAAAGGGGTGACTTTGAGCATTGGGGAATCGACGGTCGACTGCCTGACAACGTCATCCAGAAGGGTGCGTATTGATTTCTTATGAACAGGATGCACGAATTCGGGGATCATACTGAGTTTGCAAATTTAGTTACCGCCAACAACCAAGCTGTTACACACACTCAGCTAGAGGGCGTAAAACAAATTCTCGTTCTGCCATGCGTGGATGTGGTACAACAAGTTCATCGGCCAGACCATCAAGGGTATCTCTCAGGCCTTCAGCACGAGTGTCAACGATCTCGTTGTCGTACAATATTATATCCAAGTCAACCGCACGAGGTCCATTCTGGATAGAAGGCACCCTTCCCACTGTCGTTTCAATTCTTTTAAGTAATTTCAATAATATCCGCGGGTCCACGTTCGTCTCGACCTAAAGGGCCCCCGACTAAGTTGCAGACTGTGGCCATCAGTCATTGAATGGACAAACTCACTAAGCACGCACAATTTGCAAATCTTGGCTGGTCTGTGACGTACATAGGCGCGGTTTCATACATGAAGCTCGTATCAACGACCGATACGGCGTCAGCAGCCACGCCGGTCAACAGCTGATTGGGTTGCTCGATCAAGCGCAATGCGGTTTCGATATTAGCGAATCGATCGCCAAGGTTCGAGCCTAGGGCTATTGCCACGCTATGCTTCGTTGTTGATGGAGAAACATTCCGAATTATGGATGCAAGGAAGCCAACCATAAATACCAATAAAAGACACTGAAGAGAAAGGACTGCAGTGTTCTGCGGTGTATGAGAACGAATGCCAGTTGGCGGGACCACGGAGTTTGCACGGAGTTTTATGATTATGTAACACTGGGACAAGAGAACCACGACGGTCCAGGTTGCACTTTACTATTTTTCCCCGGGCCCGCAAACATGACAATGCCAAAAGATAATCCATACCTTGCCCATCGACATCCCACTGAGCGAGCTGCTTCAAGCGCAAGCACTCTTAATGGTGCCAGCGCTTCCTCGAGAGAGCCTCTCTATGGTTTTGTTCCTCGGATGGTCAATGCAGATCAAGTCCGTCAGGCATTGGTATGTCCTTTTAATACTTAGCATCAATGCTGGCTAGCTGACTCGAGAATTCACTTAGGAACATGATTTAAACCCGTTCACAAAGCTGCCCCATACTGCACAATACAAAAAGATACTGGAAGCTCGCAAAAAGCTCCCTGTGTTTGTACAAATGACTGAGTTCTACAAAATAGTAAGCTCCTCTTCCAATCCTACCCCATTCACCCCGACTTACGTTTACAGTTCAACAAACACCAAATCATTGTTATGGTCGGCGAGACTGGCTCAGGCAAGACCACGCAGTAAGTTGGCACCCCCAAGACAAATATTCTCCCTTGTCATTTTTGAACAGTCACTTATAGACTCTTTTTGTCACTGATAGAATACCCCAGTTCGTCACCTACTCTGATCTTCCGCACACCAAGAACAAAATGGTGGCATGTACTCAGCCCCGCAGAGTTGCCGCCATGTCTGTGGCTAAACGTGTAGCGGATGAGATGGACGGTCCGTTTTTTTTTCTTCATGTTCTAATCAAATTTTGAGTTCTTTCCTCTCCTAGTCCAACTCGGTCGACAGGTCGGTTACTCGATACGTTTCGAAGATATGACTGAGCCTGGCACCACCTTTCTCAAATATATGACCGATGGAATGCTCCTTCGTGAAGCTATGAACGACCCTGATCTCACCCGCTACTCCACTATCATCCTCGACGAAGCTCACGAACGTACCCTCGCTACCGACATCCTCATGGGCATCCTCAAAACCCTCGCCCAACGCCGTTCAGACCTCAAACTGATCATCATGTCCGCTACTCTAGATGCCCTCAAGTTCCAGAAGTACTTCGCTGTCTCTGGTGATACCCCCGCCCCGCTCTTTAAGGTCCCAGGTCGTACCCACCCCGTCGAGGTGTTCTACACCCAGGAACCGGAGCCAGACTATGTCGAGGCTGCCATCCGCACGGTGCTCATGATTCATCGTGCTGAAGAGCCGGGAGATATCCTATTGTTCCTGACGGGTGAGGAGGAGATAGAGGATGCGTGTCGGAAGATCAAGCTCGAGGCGGATGACCTTATCAACTCCGACCCCGAGTCTGTAGGCCCCCTCACGTGCATCCCACTGTACTCATCGCTACCGCCGCAACAACAACAACGCATCTTCGACCCGCCACCGAAAGGCAGTCCGGACGGCCCCCCAGGACGCAAGATTGTAATCAGCACGAACATTGCGGAGACATCGCTGACGATCGATGGGATCGTGTACGTCGTCGACCCAGGATTTTCCAAGCAAAACGTGTATAACCCGCGCATCCGTGTGGAGAGCTTACTCGTGAGTCCGATCTCCAAGGCGTCGGCACAGCAGCGTGCAGGCCGGGCCGGGAGAACGAGGCCAGGCAAATGCTTTAGGCTGTACACGGAGAAGGACTTTATGTCGGAGCTCGAGGAACAGACGCACCCAGAAATTTTGAGGAGTAATTTGGCGAATACGGTGCTGGAGCTTGTCAAGGCAGGGATTAAGGTGAGCGTGACGTGGGGGTTATTGTTTTCAGTTTTCAGATGGGCTGACACGTGTGTAGGATCTTGTCAAGTTTGATTATGTGGATGCGCCGGCGCCAGAGACGCTAATGAGAGCACTGGAACTGCTGAATTACCTTGCTGCGTTGGATGATGATGGAAACCTCACGGCATTGGGGAGCATCATGGCTGAATTTCCCCTGGATCCACAGGTAGGTGATTATTCTGACGGGGTTGTTCCTCGCGGTTCTGACGCATGTTCCTAGCTCTCGAAGATGCTGATCTCCAGCCCAGAGTTCAAGTGTAGCAACGAGATCTTGACGATCACTGCGATGTTGTCAGGTGCGCACTCAGCCTCGACGTTTACTCTCATCTGACGCTCTTGCAGTACCAAATGTATGGCTGCGGCCGAATAACCAGCGGAAAGAGGCAGATCTTGCAAAGGCGCAGCTTACCGTCCCTGATGGTGACCATCTAACACTTCTCAACGTGTATAACAACTACAACCAAAGTAGGTTATCCTCTTTTATACACCCACACACACTCACATCTACCCCCAGATCAATACGACAAAAACTGGACCTGGAACAACTACCTCTCCGCTCGGGCGCTGATGCAAGCAGACAACGTGCGCGAGCAGCTGAAACGGACGATGGAGCGGTTTGAGGTGGAGCTCATCAGCGTACAAGATCAGAAGAAGATGTTTATGGCGATTAGGCAGGCGTTGTGTTGTGGATTTTTCATGCAAGTCGCGCATAAAGAGGGAGAGAAGGGGAACTACATGACCGTAAAAGATAACCAGGTGCGTTACAATTATTTTGGGTGGGTTTGGCATGCTGATGGTTTTTATGTTGTGGAAGGTTGTGGGGCTCCATCCATCGTGCGGGCTGGACACCCAGCCGGAGTGGGTGATTTTCAATGAGTTTGTGCTCACGACGAGACCTTATATACGGACTGTTACGGAGGTGCGACCGGATTGGTACGTTCTCAGGCCTCTCAGCTCTGGATTTGCATTGACGTTCCGACAGGCTCCTCGAATATGCGCCTTCGTATTTCGATTTAAAGAATTGGCCGGACAGCGAGATGAAGCGCGCGTTGCTGAGGACTGGGACAAAGCAGGCGGGAAAATTCGGGGCGCGGTTTGACCAGGTGGATGCCTCAAAAGAGGGAGGGGGTTCGGCGAAGAAGAGGAAGAAGATTAAACAGCAGGGGTAGGATAGGTACTACAGGGTTCGCTTTCGTGTGTTATGCGTACTCTTTTGTTATTTTCTTCGATCTGGAATGTATGTGCATATCACCTCTGAAGGGCTGTAATCTGCAGGCGTCCCTCGCAGTTTCGCGTTTCAACTGTGTCTGGACAAATATTGTAATAGACCAGAGCATGTATTCTGCTGGACAGTAACTCCGTAGTTCTACTTGACAGTCAAGAATGGATATATTTCTATCGTGTCTAGTATAGACTGTTGGCTGGTGCACGAGTCTAGAGTGTGGAGGCGTTCATGTGTAGAACTTCCTGTTCTCATTTGGCCCAAACAAGTCTCTTCTGATCTCGGGGAGCATCTACAAAAGTAGATTAGACGAGAATGGACCCAACATTTAGTGAGACCCACCTTGTCTTCTAGAAGTCTTAGTCGCTCGTCCAATGTGTTGTCGATGGTAATTCGTCGCGAGCTACTCACAAGCTTGACACCCCCCGCACTAAAACGGGTTTGTTGAGAGAATAGCACCCCAGGAAAGTCGATCGACTTACCAATCTTTGCTCAGAGTTGTCTCCAACTCAAAAGACACCTCGCGCCCGCTGATCTCAGCATACGAATCTGCGGCTGCTTCTCCCGCCTTTTGCATGATATCGGCATCCTGTTCACGAACATGTAATGTGACACTTGTCTCCATGAGCTGGAGAAAGCCTTGCACGACAGCGCCTTCGAGGAACTGAAAGTAACGCCCTTCGTCTTCGGCGAATGTCAGAATAGATGTCCGAGCGATAGAGAATAGTTCCTGCAGTTGCTCCTCGCGACGCTGTAGAAGCTTCAATCGCGATTTGTTGGTCAAGTTAGACTGTGCGCTGAATAACACTAGGCGATTAGTATGACATCCCAATATCAGGCGAGTGGGTGCCATACATCTTCTGTGCGACATCAGCACCCTTGCGCTTCTTCTCGAACTGTGCGTCAATAGCCTGTTGTTCTTGCTTCACGAGTTTTGCCTTTCGAGATAGACACGCATTACGCATTAAGAACTACGGAGTGGAACAACGCTGCGTACCTTCTCGATAGCAAACTCCTCGTCCGCTTTCACTTTGATCTCACGCGCTTTCTCCAGAGCCTCCTGCTTGATGAAAGCAACCTATGTACACAAGCTATGATGTTAGATTCGTTTGTATTTCGACCGAGGAGGGGTAGGGCATCGGCACCATATATATGCGAGACCATGCGCAGACGTACCATCTTATTCATCTCACTCAGGACCTCCTCATCATTCATTGGTCGTGGAGGCATCTTGGAAATATTTTGAAGCTTATAGGATGGACCGCGCTGACTGGAAAGTGACAGAGTACTCTGTAAGTAACTGGTCGCCTAATGAGGAAAGCCGAGTTTGTTACGGCAAAATCCGCAAACCCAAAAGTTTCTGTCCTGCTCACCGTCAAAGACGTTCTTGAAGCAGAAAAAAACTATGGCTCATCCGCGCGTTGCACTATGGGCTGCCGAACCAGATCTTGACGATGACATTAACGATGCCGATGTCGACATCCCCATTCCGATTCCTCCGTCAACCAATGAAATGTACGATGACCCAAATCTTCAGCTCGACGAAGGCTCCTTGCAAGCAATGCAACAGCACATCGCGCAGCAAGCTGCATTTGAACAAATTCCAGACATCGTCAAGCGCGTGAGTATTCTATCATTTGGTTTATGAACTTATACTCAGCAACTCGTAGTTTATCGTCCATTTTCACCAAGCCGTCTTGGACAATAACCTCCAGGAGGTAACTCTCGCTTACGAGTCAGGCTGGACTCGTCTCACCGAGAAATACTATGCAAAAACGGAGTGGCCAGAGGCGGAGACCATTGCACCATTAGTCAACGATGATCAAATCTTCCTCATCCTGTATCGTGAACTGTACTACCGACATGTGTACTCAAGGCTTCAACCCAACGTAGACGACCGGTTCCACTCATATGAGAATAGCTGCGAGCTCTTCAACTACCTCCTTAGTACGTGCCTAAATTACACTTCGATCACTCTTTTGATGAGATTTGGTAGACTCCGACGGTCCTGTTCCACTATCCCTCCCTGCAAACTGGTTGTGGGACATTATTGACGAGTTCATCTATCAGTTCCAATCATTCGCTCTTTTCCGCTCGCGTCCTGCGTCAAAAACTGACGATGAGCTGACCATGCTCGGCTCAGAGGGCGGTGCCCAAGCTTGGAGTTCGTATTCCGTGCTCAATGTCTTGTATTCGCTTATCCAAAAGAGTCGCGTGAATGAATGGCTCAAAGCACGTGCAGAGGGGAAAAGCGATGAGGAAATAGAGTATGTCAGTTCACTTAAAAGTCTGCTTAAATTGACCGATTCTTCTGCTAGAGAAATAGTTGGCGAATACGGAACGAAGCCTTTGTATCGCATGCTTGGATATTTCTCCATAATCGGCCTTCTGCGCGTGCATGTTCTGCTCGGTGATTTCACGCTTGCCTTGAAGGTCATGGAAAACGTCGGACTCGGTCAAAAAGCTCCCTTCACGGCGCCTACAGCTGTGCACGTCTCTACCGCCTATCATGCTGGTATATGTTACTTTATGCTGCGAAGGATTCCCGATGCAGCTCGTGTTTTCACTGGCGTTCTTAACTGGGTGATGCGCGCGCGGCAATATCACACTCGCAGTTACCAATACGATCAAGTGAGGGCTTTCACGTGTTTATGCTTTTTGTTGTTTATGCTCATTCTTTGTTAGATCAACAAAACGGCAGATCGGATGTATGCTCTGCTAGCGCTTTGCCATGTGCTTGCGCCGACCAGGCTTGATGACAACGTAATGAATATTGTGCGTGAGCGATATGGCGACCAAATTGGACGTATGGGCCGAGGGTATGTGTCTGACACTACCGTCCAAGTACGGTCACTCAATATTTTTCTAATTCATTTAGTGAGGAAGGTCTGTCGACATTTGAAGAGCTGTTCTTGTATGCCTGTCCCAAATTTATCTGTGCCCAATTCCCCGCCATATGACGACCCTGCCGCGCTCGCTTTGATGCTCATCCCACCAACGCCGACCTCCCCATCCTCGCAGAACCCTAGCGTAGTCCTTGGTGATCCAACCCAGCGACACCTCCGGGCTGCGTCATCTCATTTCATGTCCGCTTACACCAGTCTCAAGCCTTAAGAGTCTCCTGAAGCTCTACACAAGTCTTGATGCACAGAAACTTACTGGCTTCCTGGATACATCTGGTGCTGGTGTAGACGAAGAGGAGGGTACTGAGTTGGATGATGGTCATGAAAAACGCCGGGCGATGTGTCGGACGCGTGAATACTGGTGGTACTGCTGCGAATGGCGAGAAGGATAATGATGAAGGATCAAGACCTTCTGAGAGTTTACTTGATGGCGAGTGGATGTCCATAAGTGACTTGAACTTCGTGATAGATCAAGTTCGTTATCTTCTTCATCCCATTCACTTTGAAGAGCTCACACGATCGTCTAGAATATGGTCCACATCGCTGAGTCAACAGTTGGCCGGCGATATGCAGGGTGGTTCATCCGTAATTCTGAGCATGCAGCGCGCGTGCTCGACGGCATAAAAAAGCATCGCCATTACCACCACGTACAGCCCCTACTCAGGTTCAGAAAAAGAGTGGTGATGGACCAAAAGCAGAGAGCGCACCGAGAACGACTGGACAGAAGGTTGCATGGGGTGGGGGTCAAAGTTGCATAATAGACTATGTGCCCTGTTGTGTACTAGCTGTGAATCTAAGGATTTTTTGCAATGCCAAAGAACTACAGGAGCAGCGGGGTATACTTACATACATACTGCGGTCATACAAAACGAACACGAAAATAGCACAAAAATTCTCCAAGCTTTGCATTAAGAGGGAATCGAACCCCCGGCGGGTCGATGGCAACGACCCAGGTTACCACTACCCCATTAATGCGACGTTCATCTTGCTCGTGATCCATCTGTGATGGATGCGGCTAAAATAGCACACTCTCCCATTAATGTGACCTGCACCTCTCACATACTATGGGATCTCCAAACACCGTAGGGCCACGCAAATAGATAATTTTCCTGATCGCGCCTTCCCAAAGAGTCCGCTTCTAGCGCGCTTACCCTTAGTTTCAAGTGCGTTTGCCCTCTAGCTTTCCTATCAGCAGGAAAGGAATTGCGAAATCAACGTCCGGAAGAATATTAGCTGTTCATTCACTTCGCAAGTTCAGAAGTGACCAGCAAAGATGGAGGTATTTCAGGTCCTTGGAAACACCCTCTGGGTCTGTCTCTTCCAAGTTTCTACGGCTCTTCATGGAATCCTCCCATACTCAGTCCGAGAACGCTTGTTGAGCGCTTTGGGCATTGTGACGTATGTCTCCTTGATACCTTCTGCGCCTCCTAGCTTTCCGAGTTCTGGTAATGGTCTCTGGTATACCGCACCTGGGACGACATGGGTTAGAGATTTTTTTACCCATCGGCAATGGGTACTTAGGTGGTGAGTAATGCTTGCTCGTAATCCCTGTTGATCACCAAATATGTTCAAATGTGCATAGCGATGTTACCTGGTGGTACTAGCCAAGAGGTCACGCAACTCAACATCGAGTCCCTGTGGTCGGGAGGTCCCTTCCAGGATACCGTGCGTGTCGCACTTTGAAAGCCTTCCGATATACAGGATCCCAAGGTACTAACCATCCACATAGTCGTACAATGGGGGCAATCACTTGCCTTCCCAGCAGTCCAAAATAGCCGAGAAAATGCAAAACATTCGCGAAGCTATTTTTTCTAGTCCTACAGGGACAATTGACAGTATGTCTCCAAGTTTTTGGTATAGTCGCGCAGCCTTCCTCATCCCTCATTCTGTCATTAAGACATCGACGAGATTATGACACCTGGTGACACATATGGTAGGTGGACACATAGTTTTCTTGAGCGAATTCTCGCACGCTTGCTATCTATACTCACCGTTTTCAATGTGTGGCCCGTGCATTTTCCAAAGGTTCATACGCCAGCGCGGGACACTTGGTCGCAACATTGGATTCAACTGACTCGGTTTCGAAGTATGCAAGGTGGTTGGACCTGGATGAAGCGGTGTCTCGTACTACCTGGTCTGATGGGAGCACTACTTTTCTCCGGTTTGTCCTTCCTTGCCTGTGTCAAGGTGTTGTCTGACCACTATGCTCAGGGAATCCTTTTGCTCCCACCCTCTTCAGGCATGTGTACAATACCTGAACAGCACGACTTCTCACGTCCTTCCAACTGTGACTTATGCCTACACTGTCGCCGGGGTCGATGGCCTCCCGGCTCCGAATGTCACCTGCTTGGATGACAGAACGTTGAGTATTAGGAACTACGTCTACATCCCCGGTATGCTTTATGAGATTCTCGCACAAGCGCAGGCACCTAGCGGGTTGGTCTCGTGTTCTGCGGTATCTGGGGCATCCCCACCTAATGCAACTTTGACCGTCCTTGGTGCATCTGAGGTGTGGATCAGCTGGGTTGGAGGAACGAACTACGACATGGCTGCTGGAAACGCAGCTGCCAACTACTTATTCCAAGGACCAGATCCACACAACCATCTTGTCACGTTGCTTTCGTCTGCTAATCGTACATCTTACGCGGAGATGCTGAATGGGCATATTAAAGACTATACCTCCCTCGTTGCCCCTTTCTCACTTTCCTTGGGACAGACTCCGGATCTCAATACCCCTACTGATCAAATTCTTGCTGGATACCGGACTTCTACTGGGGACGCTTACTTAGAATGGGTTCTGTTCAACTATGGAAGATACCTCCTAGCCAGCAGCGCTAGAGGCACCCTGCCTGCAAATTTACAGGGTTTATGGGCTGATGGGTATACGAACCCTTGGAGCGCTGGTGACTGATTTGATGCATAGGTTAACTGTAATTCTAACCAACTAATAACAGATTATCGTAAGCACCACTTTGCCTCCGTAGAAGAAGGTATCCTTATTTCACGACTAGATTCCAATATCAACATCCAAATGAACTATTGGGCTGTCGAAATGTCTAATCTAGATGTGACTCGGTCACTTTTTGACTATATTGAGGTAATCGGCTTGCTGATATAACTGACACTTGGCTAAAGCTGACCCCTTGTTTCTTGCAGAATACGTGGGGACCCCGCGGGGCGTACACCGCTCAGGTTCTGTATAACATTAGCGAAGGATTTGTGACACACGGTGAAATGAATGTGCGTTTTCGGAGGACTTGTTCTGTACTTAAATGCATGAACTTTTCCGATAGATCTTCGGCCATACTGGTATGAAGCTTGGCGGGAACTCTGCTCAGTGGGCCAATTATCCAGGTACAATGGCTCTTCTTAGTTTTCTTACTGAATGAGCGCCCATATTTATGTCCTCAGAATCTAATGCTTGGATGGTACGTATCCTTTGTTGGATCTGCAGCGGGCTTAGTGAATTCCATCATAGATGATACATGCATGGGATCATTTTGACCACACCAATGATGTACAATGGTGGAAGGCCCAAGGATGGCCGCTAGTCAAGGTGATCTACTATGGGACTTTTGGAAGCCACGTTCAGCTGAATTTCGCACAGTCTGTTGCCAGCTTTCATCTAGAGAAGCTCATCGAGGACTTGCACTTCAACGATTCAACTCTTGTTACCGCACCTTGCAATTCACCAGAGCAGGTCCCTATTACTCTCGGTCAGCTGGACTCTGAAATTTTTTGAATATTGCTGACCATCGCGACAGGCTGTGCACACGCTCAGCAGCTGATCTGGCAGCTCTTCAATACAATCGAGAACGGTTTCGAGGCAGCTGGTGATACAGACACTGCATTTCTAGATGGTAGGAAACCATCCACCGTTTATCTTGCCTTTTGCTCATGGGATGCACAGCGGTTATTTCCAAACGGCAGCAGATGGACAAAGGGCTGCGTATCGGACGGTGGGGTCAACTGCAAGGTTGCTATCTTGTCCCCTGTGTATCCATGGTGTATTAATGCTATATTCAGAGTGGAAAGTCGACATGGATTTGCCAGATGACACTCACAGGCATCTTAGTCATCTGATTGGCGTAGGCCCTTGTTTCACAACTATCATGTCGAGCTTACAACCTTTACTAGTTATACCCTGGTTATGCGATAGCATCTTATTCCCATGAGTTGCAAGGCGGTCTTATTGTCAACGGGACCTTCATGCATTATACCAAAGAACAAATTTTGAACGCTGCGGAAACCAGTCTGTTCCATAGAGGCATTGGAAAGGGCCCCGATGCGGATGCAGGATGGGAGAAAGTGTGGAGAGCTGCGGCGTGGGCGCAGCTTGCCAACGCAACTGAATTCTACAAAGAACTTACTGTAAGAACCGGTGGTTACGTCATGCCGCTAATGCTAATCTAATGCAGCACACCATCGAGAGCAATTTTGCGCCCAACCTCTTTTCCCTGTACACGTCTGATGGAATCTTCCAGATCGATGCAAATTTGGGATATCCTGCTGCTGTTTTGGTAAGATGTTAAAGTCATTTTATCTGGGACAGCTGAACCTTGAATTCAAATCGGTAGAATGCACTGTTACAAGCCCCTGACATTGCGAACATCAACATTCCACTCCAGGTTACGCTCCTACCTGCTCTTCCTCTCACGTGGTCGAATGGCGAAATGAAGGGCGCGCGCATACGTGGGGGGATAACTCTCGACTTCGCGTGGAATGATGGCAGGCCAACGACAGCAACCTTTACCGTCGATCAAAACGTTGCAGGTAGGGAGAGAGATGTGATAGTGAATTATGGTGGGCGGGTTGTAGCACAATTTAGGAGCAATGGGGGATACAGCCAAACCGTTTCTTCATTTTAAGATCGTCAATCTGAACAGAGGACGAATTTTGGATGTTCTTGTAATCATGTACTATTACTTAGTATCTCTGGCCTGGTGTTGCAAAAAATTTCGACCTGTTTTTGATAACACAACAACTACACAACATTAAGATAAGGCAACAACAGGAGCACGTAGAATTTAGTACAGACTCTAAGGCTATGTAAAAAAAATAGAGAAATCTGGTAAGGTTGAGTTGCCAGAGAGAAGCCGGTGCGAAACAGTGTTTGAGCACAGAACTGCAAATTTTCCAAAGCTAGTACTATTATTATAGTGAGATATTTTATCAAATTCTTCACCGCATTAATGGGGTAGTGGTAACCTGGGTCGTTGCCATCGACCCGCCGGGGGTTCGATTCCCTCTTAATGCAAGAGGATTTTTTTGGTGTTCAGATTCCAGAACGTTCAAATTCTACTTTTACATTTACTGAGTTTGTACTGAGTACTTACCTTTTTCACCATCCACCATTCACGCACATGCTCAATATTTGCAGCTAGCACTTGTTCTATGGCTTCGCGCATTGTGCAAAGCAAGAACTATTTGTGTAACATTACACAACTGATCCCACACAGCGTTCCCCAGCACCAGCCCGAATCCCGTAGGTCATATCACTTGGTATTCCAGAATCCATTTATCAGTACTCATGTGGGTTTAGTGATTGTTTCTGCTGCATTCGCCTCCTTACCACGATCACAGAATCATGCGGCATTTGTATCTGGTGTTGCCTTGCATCGGATTCCCCAGCGCGCGAAAATAGCGCAAAGATGGATTGTCTGCAGTGACGTCGTGACCAGTCTCAAGCCTTTGACACATAGTCGACCGTGTGGTGCGGGCCAGTTTTCACGTGGTGTGCACACAACTGCTGCACATGCGCAGCCCAATGGTGAAACGGTCAAGTGTAACCCCAAAATTAATGTAATTTGTCTTCCAAAATCTGCATCGTCATTGGCTGACTTCCCGCTATTCATTGATAGGCCAGTCATGCCGAGAAAATTAAAATAGGTGTGTCTAGCGAGCTCGCCGTTTCTTTTTTCACATCAACTCTGATTGTCGTCAGAGTTCCCACTGAATGACACTCACTACGACATTAGTTCAAGTCGGAATGACGAGAGAATCAATACAAGAGACCGGTTAATTCGCAAAGTTAGACATATCATCCAATGCAAATATGGACCGAGATATGACGTGCAGCCCTATGGAAGCTCAGTGTATATGCCAATGGAAGTCCTGTCAAAAACGGGAAATGGAGACCTGGATCTTGTCGTGCTTGTGAGTTATTGATAATCAACCGGCCACTCGTGTTCTTGTTATGTAATTGCTGGCAGGATACCAATTGGCCTCAAGGTTTTTCTCCAGAAATGGACATGAAGCATCTACCTTGTATGTTTTATTCGTACAACTGAGGTATCAACAATATTAATATTTAGAAGCCATCTACCATACTAGGTAACCTCACTCACTCGCCGACGCCAACGGAGTTAATCAAATGACAGAAAACTTGCTTTGACAATGCGATATGCAGGCTTTACTGATGTTGAAGCAATTCCCTGGGCTCGGGTTCCCATTGGTTCGTCACCACACATTGGGAGGGTTGTTTCGGGCTCTTCATCCTCCGTCTCGATTTCTAGTTAAGCTCATTGATCCTGCATCTGGGCTTCACATCGACATAAATGTGAACGAGAGGCTGGGATTAATGAACACTGGCCTTATCAAGACATATTGCGATATTGTACCCAGCCTTCGTTGTTTAGTATCTGCCATCAAAAAATGGGCTCGTCCAAGGGCCCTCAATCGACCATCTGCCTCTGAAGCAACTCGAACTTTCAATTCCTATGCATTGGTGCTTATGACGATTGGATGGCTCCAGGTATGGTCTGTATTGCTTCGATTGGATCATTGGAACCTTAATCTCTAAGAGACACGGGACTTAGCTCCAAATCTACAAGCTGACCTTCAGCCAATGGAATCCAACGAGCATCTATTCTGGATGCGGCCACCAAAACCATCCAAGCGGATACCTTGTGACATACGATATCGCAAGCCCACCAAGTGGGTAGCACCGCGCATCGATTCCCTGGACAACCTCGTAGAGCAATGGTTCGGGTAAGGGATGGTTGGGGGAGCTTCTATCTTGTGACTGAGATTTCATCGTTCAGGTTCTGGGCTCAATTTCGATTTTCGCACCATGTGATAGACATCAAGCGGGGAGGCATTTTCCCCCGTATTTCGCATTTCGAAGAAACTGCGGAACTTGACCATGTCTCCCGAGGTCCTCGACCTGAACCCCACAACAGTTGGTCAGCATTTCTCGGTCCAGATGTGGATTCGAAGACAATGCTAGAGAGCTATCCTATTTCTGTCGTAGACCCATTCATTCGATCAAGAGTATGTACGTGTGGAAAGATATGGTTTTTCTCCTCTGACTTGTATCTTCTTAGAACGTCACCAGGGGCATTAACGCTCAAGCATTGCGCATGTTTCAGGATGAGTGCGCGGGTGCTGTCGAGTTATTGAAGCTCGGCACTGATATGACGGACATCATTGATGGATTTAACATGCTCAAGCAGGATTACAATGGACATTGGACGACTAGGCTACAGCGGAGTCGAAAGGACCTTCACGGCCAGTCCACAACAATCCTGAAAGCGCATGCTGAGGAGGCTGATGCTATTCCTCGCTGGAACCTTGTTTCACGACAGCCACCTAAATCGGCTGATGTTCTGCGACACAAGGACTCAAAACGTAATGATCTATCTGTTGATGGATCATCATCAGACAGCCTCGAACCGTCTCATATAGCAAATGAGCAAATCAGGGACGATGAAGAAGGCTTTGGGCTAAAGTCGTCTTACTTTCAGAAGACTCGTCGCGTGTAGGGTACCCATGGTTGTTGATGATACCTATTTGCCTCTAAAAGTCATTGCAGTTGAAAGGCACGCATTGCACAGTGGCACGCACGGGGTGCCCTAACGCGTCTAAAGATCTTGCTGTTACGACACTCCTCACAGCATATATACCCACATTACCTCATGGCGTGGGGCAGTGTTATGATGATCAACGTCGGGCACCCGCCGGTAGTGGCGTCCAAACCAGTGCTAACTTGATGATAGTAAGCAGAGATCATGAGAAGAACAGTATTAATATTGCGAATGCTGTGACGGAAGATATCTAACGGCGACCACATCATATGCGTACAATGAGCCAATAAGACGGATAGAGAGGAGGTACACGAGGGTACATGCCATTAATATTGATATATTGCTTAGAACTAGGCCGTTCTGAACTTCTGCTTATGTATAACATCTTATCTTGAGCCACATAACTCATAGGCTACTACAGTCGCCAGACCGACATCACCGCCCGTACTACGCTTTCTCATTCCTTCTCACAGACCAATTAGCTCTCTCTTTACTCAACCTTGTACATTTCCTTACATCCAACATGTCCTGGAAACTAGGCACTTCCAAAAGTAAGTCCATGCGCGCCGGACCCCTTTGCTGATCTCCCATCCACCGGTCACTGTTTTCCATGAGATCTCATGTCCTGACTACCACACAGAGGCTAAGGACGTCAGAGAAAATGGCGTCGTCTCACGATCCGTCACACCGATACCGTCGCGGCCCACAACTCCCAAGCCTTCTGGTGCTCTCGACCAGCAAGCCCATCTTCGATCTGGTATGCTCACGATTCGTATCTTCTCCGGTAAGGCGACTGTCCGACCTTTGAACAGTACTATTCTAAATACACTCTGATGTCATACATATACAGGACGCGGTCTCTCCTTAGCACCTGGCGTGCATGTCCCAGAGGTCATCCAGAAAGCGCTTGACAACCCACCTGCACGAAGGTCGACCAGCAACCGCGAAAGCATGCAGAGGAGGCGATTGTGGTGGCTTCCATATGTTGTCCTCGAGTTCGACAACAATCAAGTTCTGGTAGACGCCATGGGCGGAGATCTAGCCAACCCTGTGTGGTCGTACCGGGCAGACTTGTGTGTAGCCATGCACGATGACTCAGGCGTCTCTGATTGTCTATGTCACTAGTGATGTGTCCCGCACATCGACAATATCAGTCTCATCATATCTTCGAACTGCCGCTGCGGTACACAGCCAAGAAGATATGGGTAACGACCTGCTCATGGCCCGTGTAGATCTTACACCTGTACTTGACGGACATGTAGGTTCACTTGTTTGAGCTTGTGCTGTCCCCTGAATACCGCACTTTGCATTCAGCATGCTTCAGATCAATGGTACATTGCCACCGCCGGCACTGGCTCGTTTCACCTCAAAATCGACTACAGACCAATAAGGAACGAGTCTTTGACTATCGATGCATTTGATTTGTTGAAAGTGATTGGCAAAGGGAGCTTTGGTAAAGTGATGCAAGTGCGCAAAAAGGATACGCAGCGGATATATGCCCTCAAGACCATTCGAAAAGCCCATATCGCGTCACGCCCCGGCGAAATCACGCACATATTGGCTGAGCGGACGGTCCTGGCACTGGTCAACAATCCATTTATCGTTCCACTTAAATTCTCTTTCCAAAATCCTGACAAGTTATACCTCGTAATGTCATTCGGTGAGTATTTTACCTTTACTAAGTTGGTGACAACTTATATCTGCCCAGTAAATGGCGGCGAACTCTTCTATCATCTGCAGAGGGAAGGTAAATTTGATCAAGATCGCAGCCGATTTTACGCCGCAGAGCTTCTATGTGCACTTGAGCATTTGCACGGATTTAATGTAGTATACCGGTGCGTTCTTAATGCGGGTAGCTGTGCCATTTTGCTAACGGTTCCATAGCGACCTGAAACCTGAAAATATACTACTCGATTACACGGGTCATATCGCTCTTTGTGATTTTGGTAGGTACATGACAATCTAGGGGCTGATGTGCTGATTATCGTCCGATCAGGTCTTTGTAAACTCAACATGTCAGAGACAGAGAAAACAAACAGTGAGAATGACTTTGATTTTAATGGAACGATATAACCGGTCGCTATAGCGTTCTGTGGCACACCGGAGTACATTGCTCCAGAGCTACTTGAGAGTCAGGGGTACACGAAGACGGTTGACTGGTGGACGCTCGGTGTCCTGCTCTACGAAATGATGGTGCGTCTTTCGAAACATTTGCTTCTGACCATAACTTGATCAAACTCACAGACGGGACTACCCCCTTTCTATGACGAGAATGTCAACGTAATGTATCAACGCATCCTCAGTGACCCACTTCAATTTCCTTCGGATATGCCATCAGAGGCCAGGAGCGTCATGATCGGTCTCCTTCAGCGTGATCCTGTCCGACGTCTGGGAGCAAATGGTGGTGAAGAGATCAAGCGTCATCCTTTCTTCGCCAAATATGTTGACTGGAATAGGCACGTATCCTATTCTTCGACTATCTGTGCGTCACTCATGAATCACGCTAGGCTGCTCCACAAAAAGATTCAACCACCGTTCAAGCCAAGTGTTGTGAGTAACCACGGTCGTGTTCCTCTTTGTTATACCAAGCAAAATATACTTCTAGGAATCCGTACTCGACGTGGCTAATTTCGACCCGGACTTCACTAACGAGGACCCTCAAGACTCCGTTGTCGAGGACTCTGCTCTTTCGTCTACCGTGCAAGAGCAGTTTAAGGGATTCACGTACAATCCCGCCAATGAGCACCTCAGCGAGAGCGTCAACTATGGACACGCAATGGGTTAAACCCCCGCAATGATTATTTATTATTTGTAGTGCGCCGGGGTGCTCTCGAAAGGTTTACGGATATTTTTTTCGTCCCAGTCCGCTTTGTGTGTATTTATACATTCGCATGCACTCGTCGTTTTCGCCTCTGTGTGATTTTGTTGCACCTTTTCTTTCCGATCAGTGGTAGGAGTTAATGGCATGTCAATTTTCATCCATGTAATACAGGCTTTTCTGTCTCTCGTGCTCGTTCTGGTTATGGAAAGCTTATGATAGTACAAGCGGTGACCGGTGACCTTCAAGTTCGGTCGTTGCTTTTTATATTGGCACACTGATGTCATTTCACTACAAAAGCAGACATTTGTTTATAAGCTAGTCTCAAACGCAATTATCGTCACATCAGATTGTCGGATATCCAGGTCCATTCTTGTTGTGGGTGCTACTGGCACGATATCGCTAATTCAAGCATGATTCGACAATATCGAGCATGACGGTTTAAAAAGAGACTCGTGAGGTGAGTATATGCACCTGTCCTGTCACGAACGAATGCGTGCGGTAAGGAGACGAGAAGTGCCCAATGGGGTGTACAATTGAAGAGAACCGGGGCTTCAAGTCATGAAGCGCACCCAGAAAAGTATCAGTAAAGCGCCGACCATGATATTCTGACATCTGTACTTTGATCAAACCGCACTGATTCTACCATGTGTCTGAGCAAAGCAAAAGAAGAAGCAAGAGAGTCGTAAAACCACAGATGGCTGATAATGTGACATATCGGCGAGAACGCCTGTCCACCATCATCAACCATCTGGGCCGCAGGAAAGGAGTGTCGGATCATGCGTGAATGGTAGAAGCAAGGTGTCTATCATCTGATTGAACCTACCCATCGTTGACCCTGCCAGCAAGTCGTCGACAGCAATCATCTGTGTTCAAGTGTGACTCAACGATATGGAGTATGATGGTTGAAAAAACTTACGGCTCGAGCATTGACCTCTATCACGGATTTGCATGGTAAGGAGATGTGCTGTGCTGGGCGGGGGGTAAAGCGCACCTGACAAAGTATTCGTAAGGCATCAGTTGTCTGAGCACAAAAAACGAGTGCAATTATCCATCTGGACAGAAATGAGCAGAAGCAGGCAGAAGCCCAGATTACTGACAACATAGCGGTTCAACTGGTTCGCAGGACACAACCACCGTGACGTCTACCATCTCGACTTGACTCGGGGGGATGGGAAAACGAATAAAGTGAGGGGAATAACTTGAACAGATGGGGTGCGAGGGGCTAGAGAGGACTCGGAGCAGCATTGGATGAATGGCAATGATTCGTGATGACAGCAATCGTGAGTGGAAGCCCAGATGGCTAAAAAGGCAATGTCCATATCATCCATCTGGGTTGTCCGTATAGATGAAGTACGAGATGGATGCTGGTTCGCGGGAGTCAGTCTGTCAGAGCATATCCGAGAGGAAAATTTAAGGAAGATGCTTACCCGACTTCAGAGATTAATTAGTTATTAAGAAGCATGATGATGCAGTACTTATCAGTAGCTACACACAACCAGAGTCTGGACACAAGGATACACAATCCATGGCGCACGCGCAACCACATCTCTGATTGGAATCGACATGCCTTGTCCGTCGTTGCGTGCGCTCACAAACCAGCACTAACATCATGAGTGCCGCACAGCCAGCTCACGTCGTTTGCATGGACGATCCTAAACTCGGGCATAGAATAGAATACGAAGTACGATTCACTGTACACTCGGTCACATCTAAATTGTATCTATCTCCAAAATGGATCCATTGCTGCGATCATAATTAGTACTAAGGTCTGCAAATGTTGATTTTAGTAACTGCGAGGAACGGAAAGGGCCTTGAAGACACTCACCCCTCTCGGCACTTTTGCCAGTGTTGCCCGTGTGCCATGCGGCTCAAATCAAGCTCAGGACTTCCTCTGGGTATCACTAATGCAGTTGCAGGGTTATAGAATACGTTTCGAGAAGCCGGTGGTACCCAGAATAACAGGCGACGTTTGGGTCCTACCATCCATCCACTGTCATGATTCAATGAAAAGGGGGTCGGACTGCGGCCGTCATGGGATGCTCCCTCCGTTAGCTCTGAGGTGTTGCAGAGTGCATGGATAGAGTTGGACGAGAAGCGAATAGGGTGATTGTTCCAAATGTTCAATGTGATGGTAGTGGTGGCCTCGATCGTGCGATGTTCATCTGATGATGCTGAAGGATCTGACACAGCGCACTGTTGCGAGGGCTGGCTCATCATTGGACCCCACAGCCGAACGGTGTTATCCCAAGAACCAGTGACGATGCGAGTGCCGTCCGGCGAGAACGAGACCGAGTTTACTTCTTTAGTGTGCCCCCGCAAGGGCTCACGGACTGGCTCCCCCGTCCCTGCATCCCACAGCCGAACAGTGTGATCCCAAGAACCAGTGACGATGCGAGTGCCGTCCGGCGAGAACGAGACCGAGTTTACCCAAGAAGTGTGCCCCCGCAAGGGCTCACCGACTGGCTCCCCCCGTCCCTGCATCCCACAGCCGAACAGTGCGATCCGAAGAACCAGTGACGATGCGAGTGCCGTCCGGCGAGAACGAGACCGAGTTTACCCAAGAAGTGTGCCCCCGCAAGGGCTCACCGACTGGCTCCCCCGTCCCTGCATCCCACAGCCGAACAGTGTTATCCGAAGAACCAGTGACGATGCGAGTGCCGTCCGGCGAGAACGAGACCGAGTATACTGAAGAAATGTGCCCCCGCAAGGGCTCACCGACTGGCTCCCCCGTCCCTGCATCCCACAGCCGAACAGTCCCATCCCTTGAACCAGTGACGATGCGAGTGCCGTCCGGCGAGAACGAGACCGAGTTTACTGAAGAAATGTGCCCCCGCAAGGGCTCACCGACTGGCTCCCCCGTCCCTGCATCCCACAGCCGAACAGTGTGATCCCAAGAACCAGTGACGATGCGAGTGCCGTCCGGCGAGAACGAGACCGAGTTTACTGACTCAGTGTGCCCCCGCAAGGGCTCACCGACTGGCTCCCCCGTCCCTGCATCCCACAGCCGAACAGTCCCATCCCTTGAACCAGTAACGATGCGAGTGCCGTCCGGCGAGAACGAGGCCAACCAAACTGAATCAGTGTGCCCCCGCAAGGGCTCACCGACTGGCTCCCCCGTCCCTGCATCCCACAGCCGAACAGTCCCATCCCTTGAACCAGTGACGATGCGAGTGCCGTCCGGCGAGAACGAGACCGAGTTTACTGAAGAAGTGTGCCCCCGCAAGGGCTCACCGACTGGCTCTCCCGTCCCTGCATCCCACAGCCGAACAGTGTGATCCGAAGAACCAGTGACGATGCGAGTGCCGTCCGGCGAGACCGAGACCGAGGTTACTGAAGAAGTGTGCCCCCGCAAGGGCTCACCGACTGGCTCCCCCGTCCCTGCATCCCACAGCCGAACAGTGTGATCCCAAGAACCAGTGACGATGCGAGTGCCGTCCGGCGAGAACGAGACCGACTTTACTGACTCAGTGTGCCCCCGCAAGGGCTCACCGACTGGCTCCCCCGTCCCTGCATCCCACACCCGAACAGTGTTATCCTCCGAACCAGTGACGATGCGAGTGCCGTCCGGCGAGAACGAGACCGAGGTTACTGAAGAAGTGTGCCCCCTGAGCACGGTCAGAACAGCTGGCCAATTTATATTACGTCCACATGCTACACGAAGAGTATTCGGAAACCGTGCAGAAAACTTTCTCGATAGCGGACAGTTGGCAGGCGAGAACGGGAGTGCTGATACGTACAGGTGTGGCGTGCTGTGCAAAATCATGCCGCCGAAGACTTGAATGAACCTCTGTACGTCCATTGCAGTCGAGGAGACATCTTTGAATTTAGGATGGCCCTGTGGTTGCGCATGAGCGCTTTATCTGGCACTTGGTAGCAATGCATTCACCTTCAACCACTTGGGAATGAGTGAGAGGGCAGGAACTGCACCGCCCAGCGCCCTGATTAAGGCGAGTAACTCAAGCCAGAAAAACACCCGCTCGTGGTCGAACAACAATGTCACTTCTTTCGCGAGTTCCTTGTCAAAGGCTGTGGTTCGTACGTGTGACGTCCAAAATCGAGATGAATATGACAGATGTAAGGGGATGCATTTTTGCACTCGTTCTTGTAGACCGCGATCTTCACTATTCGGCAGATACGACGACTTTAAATCACAGATGTTGAAGCGAAGACCGTTTTTCATCACTCGAAGCGACGCGAATGCAAGGTCGTGTTGCGCCTTTGACAGGTCGATGAAAAACTCTCCACTGGATGATTTGTCCGTCAGGAAATCGTGGAAGGATGCATGAAGTGGTCGGATTGGGGAATCTGGGTTGGTGGTGCCGCTGAGGAGGGAGCCCATGCTTTTTACCACAAGCTCGACGTCGAAATTATCCTCCGGTGTTGGAAAATGGCGCCTCATGGCGTTCAGGGAAGCTAAAGGAAGGGGTTCAGCTGTGACTAGTATTTGTCTCATTACTGAGCGAAATCTCGCTAGCTTCGTCGAACGCAGTTTCGCCGAATGCTGCATATGGGTAGATGTATCCCTAGGCATGATATTTGTTAAAATGAGGAGATACATCTCGTGCAACAGCCTGCTTCTCTCAGCAGGATCGCGTGACACCACGCTATTGTAGCATTCGATTGGAGATAGCCCCATATCAGACTCTTTGATGTATCTGCAAGCGAGACGCGCCCACTCGAAAAGTCCATCAGCTTTCTCAGCGAGGACTGCGAACTCTCTATCATGGAAATCCAGCCCTTCCAACTCCTTGGATACGTAAGCACGGATGTCGCGCTCTGCATCTGCTCGTGGAATATCATCCATCGACATCTGTCGAATGTGCTGAACACCACGAAACTTCTCTTTGATGTCATCAAACGGGCGCGAGGTGACGATGAAGCGGAAGTTGCCAGGAAGGTCTGTGATTTTGGGAACAGCGGGGTTGTGATGTTTGCCAGTTAGAATGCCGAGGAGGTCTTTCCGTGTCTCTACTCCACCGCTCTCGTCCAGTGCATCGATCACGATCACGATGGGTTCTCCACTTGACCCAGATGACTTCTTCAGTGGTTCGATAAGAAGTTTCCGCCACTGCTGGATGATATCCGTTGTCTTCCTGAGCGAATTTGCGGTCTTGACTGCATCTGCCAATCCTCGCCTCATCTCCGGATCACGGTCAGCTAGGTCGAGCGCGATCGTGGAAAAGATCTTTTCATGGCGACGATCTGCTTCTCGCTGGCGGTCAAAACAGTAACACGAACCAAGCCCTCCCACGTCATCGACCCACTTAGCAACGGTGTGGGCGATGGCCGATTTGCCCTTGCCTGCAGGGCCGGATAGCCACAGCACGCGTGGAACGTTGTCCCCAGTGCTGTTGACCCATTCCGTGATCTGGGAAAGGATTTCCGTGCGGGTCCCTTCAAGGCATTCTTTTCTGGTATCTAGTCCCGCACCATCTGCATAAGTCATACCGCTGAGGTCCAATGTTTCTTCTGAAAATATATGAGTATATGTCAAGTCACAAGGACGTCCAACCCTTACCCATACGGTGGACGTGTGTGCTTATGTCGTGGACGTCTATGGCTACGTCACGAGTGTCTTTGTCCCAGAAGTTTTGCATGAGCCTATCGAACACGTCATTGTACTTTTGGACCGTATCTTCCGTTTCTGAGAAGACGTTTTTTCCAAGTCTGCTCCCTGTGATGATGATAGAAGCTCGAGACGGCACAGAGCGCACTAGCTTGTAAAACTCACAAATTTTTTTAGTCTCCGAATATTTTTTGATAAAATGTGCGCATTCACGGGTCTGCTGAGAAATCTTGCCAAGGAAAATTGGCATCGACGAGAGTTGGTGAAGCATGTCGTCTTGTGTTATGAAGCGGTAAACATCACATATCTTCTTGAGAAGTTCGAGTAACGCTGCGTCGCGATCCGCTTGAGTTAGAATAATCTGTACCAATAATGGCTGAGCGGTGGGAGATAGAAGGAGATAAAGAGAAAACATACTTTGGCTGCGCGAGACAACACGCCCAGTGCCATCTTTGCATATGGATGTAACTGTGGGATGGGATTAGTTCAGTTCCGATCGAGAGGAAGGTGCATACATCTGCGATCTTGCCGATAACATTGTCAAATATTCTGAGGGGTTCGAGATATGTGTCCTGGAAACTAGTCACTTCCATTGGAGATGGAGCCGCCTGAACTCGCGGGACCACCGGGATTTAGAAAGAGCGCAGAGACTGGAGGGCAAGCATGAGAACTTACCGAGGTCGATGAAGTACCTTCATGATTAACATTCGGGGGAAGAGGGCTGCGGCTGCGGCTGCGTCTGCGTGAATCCTTGGAGCGCTTATGACATTCTCAGTCGTATTCCAGGACACTCAATACGCATGCTCGTGGACTTACTGAGATCCTTGACTTCTTTGCACCGTGACCGTCCTTGGATTTGTGGGTTTGTTGAGTTGAGTCGCTCGACAATTTGCGTTTGGGCATTGTGAATAGCAGTTGAAGTGAAGTAAGATACACAACATCATTTAACAGGCCATTAACGCCTCGAGGCAATATTTGGCAATTGCAGTGTTTGAATTTCGACCGCGTTCTTCTGACATGCTGTGGATCATCAAATGATCAAAAATAGACTCGGCAGTGCTTATAATCCAAACGCCCAAAGCCCAACGCCTAACCTCGTGACTGAAATGAGAGTAAGTGACATAGGCAGCAGCCAGCTAAGTTCCCATGATCGGTTGTCAGGCCTTCGGGATCAATACATCATTCTCATTTTTCTCCTCGTATCACCCATGGCCACCGAGCGCGACATAGTACGCATCATACAGCCACCGCATCTTAACTTCCAAGCCACATCCACTGTTTCCACCAAGAAGACCGGCGCTCTCTTCAAATAGTTGCCTCTACCCGCCACCTCCAGCGTGTCCTAGATGCACTCACGTCAGTCGGGCAGGTACTCAAGACCACCACCCACGTCGTCAGCGTCTGTCCAACATCGTTGCCGTATCTTTGTGTCCTGGGCTCTCTAGATCAGATATCATTGCAACCGCCATTAACGCAGTTGGAGGACCCACATTCGACATCATTCTTCATTTGACTCGAATACCAAGATACTGACTATTCCTCAGGTATACGTTCCCCTCTTCCTCCTTCCTATAAAATCCATAACATCTGCTACGAAATTTGTGCTGCATGTCCTTTTTCTCCCAACGTCTTTCAAGAGCAATGTTTACCAAGGCACCGATGCTCCAGAAGAAGTGCTCAAGGCAGGTGCACTTTACTGCGAGTGTGATATTGTTAACCCTCGGATACCAAGTCCTACAATGATAGACGCTGCCGACACGCAGCTAGGTAAGTCGGTTTACTTGGTTGGTGACGATGTTGATGATGACGTGGATACACACAGGCCACAGACTTGGTGTATACGACAGAGTCCGCAACATATAAGATGAATCAATTCCACGAACTTATCGAGCTATGGAGGGCGAACAGTACCGGACTTGCAAGGAAATCAGAGAACATGATAAACTGCAAGTGCGCCACGACCGCGTTGGTTCCTTCCTTCCCGCGATGGGTGACGCGCTGCCTCATCCGCCTAGCGTTAACTGGATTCCTTGACAACCTCCCCACCATCCAAACACTCCAAACGCGCATCCAGCACTTTTCCAGGGCTCCCACTCCCAAACTCCAGCCGTCCTACCCACCCTCACCCATCGTCACTCACGTTGCCGACGCATACTGACTTTGTCGTTGTTGGCTCGGGTATCATTCGGACACCGTCTGTGAGAAGGATTTTGGATAGTGCAAGTGCTGATGTGATGTTAGAGTTGTTATGTTGAAAGCGAGAGATGGGTGTTCTGGGGCGACTGGGAGGTAAGTATCGTATCTACTCTCCCATAAAGCAGCGCACTAGGCAAATCTCACTACCTCTATATCATAACTACGCCTCACTCAAGTGTGATCACGGACTCACAAGTTGTCGCCCAAAAGATGATTAAATTGAGCTTGGGGCGCATCTCGAGGAGTTTACGAAGCGTCACTGAACAAGGCATTCTTGCAGAATCTCATTGGCGGGAGGTGGAATCAGTAGATGTGTTTTATAACTCGCACATGTTCGAGAAGGCTGCAGGTCCATGCGTCTAATCTGTGCTCATGCTCCTGGCTTTTTTCCGGTTTTCTCCCCAAACAACTTACTTATCTCCTTAACCACGCCCCTTCACTCTTGTGGTTAGTATGCATCTGTCGCGTTGCAAACGCTTGTGCGTTTGTGTGTGCGCTCGTTTGCGATTTACTTCCTATTTATTTGCTCCCCTTCAGTTATGTCGGCGTATGGGACTTGTTCACAGACCGCCGAATGGCTAGGTTCTAGGTGGGTACATCGCCGTCCAATGTTCCTTAACTCAAACTCTGATCATCCCAGTCATAGTATGGTACCAATTTAGGCTCAGAACGAGCTGGCGCCAGACCTGACAGATTGGCATTATGTAGCGAGGGACGGCCAGCAAAATGCAATGTGACATTTAGCTTCGTTTGCGTGTCAGCGAGGTAGTTCTTCTTTCATTCACAGGATTATGCTATTAAAGGCGCAATTCAGATCGCGCTTATCTTGAACGATTCGGGTCCCGTCATCAATCCCTAGAGCTTTTCCCAATCTGTGGAAAATCTATTCCATCTATCGTATCTCTTTCTGGACCAGTTCTGCAAGCGCCATTGTTTCTGTTGGTTTGTTTCAATGTCTTGTGCTCATTTGTAATTTCGTGCTGTTCGCTCTGACATCTGCCCGAAGGCACTCATTGACGCGCTCGTCATCTCAATGTGTGAGCCAAAAGGTCTTCTTCGATTATTTAGTGATTCACACGCATGGCCCTAGCACGTGTATATCACAGGCGGCAGTCAAGGTCTTGGACTTGCACTCGCGAAACTCGTCGCGCGGAATGGTTCCCGAGTTTCTATAGTAGCAAGAAACCAAAAGCAAACTCAATGATGCTTTGAAAGAACTCGAGTTTTGTGTCTGTGATCAAACCCCCTGTTCGTTTTGAATGTCATACACAGGCCAACCGCCAAAGCCCAGACCAAGTATTCAAAGCCTTTCCCTTCTCCCTCAACACCGCAGAGGAATCTTCAGCTGCTCTTCAAGTTGCTAGCGATGCACACAGCAGTCAGGTCCCAGATGCCGTTTTCGCATGCGCAGGTGCTGCAAAACCGATGTACCTTCTCGAAATGCAGCCAGAGGACCTCTCGCGCGAAATGGAGAATGTGTACTGGATACAGGCATGGACTGCATTCGTGAGTCGACTGTTCAACTCTATTTCAGATCACGGACGAGAACATGTCATTTAGCGAACAATAAACAGGCTGCTGCTAAACGAATGGTACCCGAGAATAAGAAGGGGAAGACTGTACTGCTGTCTTCGACACTTGGACATATGTCTTTGATTGGATATTCTTCGTATTCGCCTGCAAAGCATGCTCTGCGTGGTATCTACTCCTGTTTTTTTGGTGATACTGATGATACGGCTTGGTAGGACTGGCTGATTCGTTACATTCAGAACTGATGCTCTATGGAATCGATACTCACATCTTCTTCCTTCCGACAATGTATACACCTGGTTTTGAAGAAGAAAACAAGACGAAGCCGGCTATTACTAGAGCGATTGAGTCGGCGGATGAAGGTCTGACAGTGGATCAGGCTGCTGCTGGATTAACGCCCTCCAAAAACTGCGTGAGTCAGTCTGTTTCCCCTAGTCTCATATACGAAGATTCACATTGTCACACATTTATCACGAGTTCAGTGCAGATTTATGGAACTCAATTTGTAGCCCTTGCACTCTTCCTGTCGAGTCTCCAGAAATCAACTATCGAAGAGCTCCTTGACGAGGACGCCAGTTGTGACACCCTGGTGCATCTGCGTCCAATATCACCCTCTGACATATATCGTACCGGAACCGCTCATCTTAGCTCCTACTGTTCGCATTGCGTCAATTTCATCGTCCGTTCACTTACTCTTGCCCGGTGCCTTTTCCTTCCAGCTGTTTGTTCATACCTCACAGCTCATACCATCCGTATACGCATCGTATTTATGGTGCTCTCGTTCTCAGATCTCACCGCCTTCGTCGTGGATATCGCGATTACATGTTGAACTGTACAGTGAACACAATAAATTACACATTTCGTCCCACCCTGTTTTTTTCAGATTTTAGCCACTTTGAGTGTACTCACTGCAATGGGAGCTTGAACGATCACAGACGACCGCAACAACGACGTCCTTCTGTCCAGCTTCTCAGTCCGCTATGAGGAAGCACCAATGTATACACTTCAACACGATCCACACTGGATGCGCAGCCGCATCTCTGATGGAATGACATGCCTTGTCCGTCGTTACGTGCTCTAACATACGGCCAATAGCTGCACTCACATTCAGAAATCCATTGCTCATCAAATCCATCACTCCATAGGTTCGCCGCTAGTAATCGGAACCTCTGATAACACCAAATTCCCATCTGTATCTTCAGTGCGGATGAATTGATGTTCAAGTTTGGCCTTACCAAATGGCCCATCTTCGAATCGCTACTGCCGTCAGTCATATAGCAGATTGACACCGGGAGACCTCACCTTGGCGCCTCTTCAACGCATCCAAAGAATACCTTGCCTACTTTACGGTTTCGCTCACGGAGGCACAGCCATGGCTCCCATGTCGACGAAAGCAGCTACGAAATCGATTCTGACACATCAATAACTTGAACATGGAGAGCGAATTCCTGCTTTCCAGACGGCCGGCGAATGATCAGCGGATTTTGGGACAAGATTACTCGACAATGGGATCTGAAGGCAGGAAAGGAGATTAAGGAAGCGTGGGGTGTTGTGAGGAGAAGGTGTTGACAGTGGCGGTATCAAGGGATGGTTGATGGGTTGTCACTGCTGGTGTGGCAACTTGAAACTGGTGGCTGGTCCGTCCGGGGATCTTGGTTGGGTGGGTGCAATTCGATTTTCCACTGATTTGAAGAAGGTCGCGGTGAAGTTAGATATGGGGGACTGCCTTGAAGTCTGGGATATCCGATCACAGAAATCGGTTGTGAGTATAGGAAAACCCTATGGATACTTCGATTGACTTGCAATGAAAGCGCAGAGATGAAGAGAGATCATGACTAAAAGCTCTTTCTGACGTCGCTTACCGTGAGGCTCGAAAACAACAGGTTACGGCGAAATAGACAAGAGTGTGTTCAAACAAAATGACTCCAACATCAAAGTCTGAATTCTACTGGTCGAAATAAAGTAGCGTAACTGTACGACTAACGATGGTACGTAAGGCCCGAGAAACAGCGAGTATCAGGCAAGCGGAAATAGGGGTAAAGAACAGGTGAAAAAGTACTCAGCCGATGGCGACATCGTGCGACTGTAGAAACAACAGCTAATCGAGGGTAGTTAAGAACTTGACATAAATATAACATAAACGAAACAATTAGGGGACAGATGCTGTTGGACAGTACACTCGGTCGCATCTAGATTGTATCTGAAATCTCCATAATGGATCCATTGCTGCGATCATCTTTGGTACTAAGGTCTGCAAGTGTTGATTTTAGTAACTGCGAGGAACGGAAAGGGCTTTGAAGACACTCACTCCTCTCGGCACTTGTGCCAGTGTTGTCCATGTACCATGCGGCTCAAATCAAGCTCAGGATCTCCTCTGGGTATCACCAATGTAGTTGCAGGGTTATAGAATACGTTTCGAGAAGCCGGTGGTACCCAGAATAACAGGCGACGCTTGGGTCCTATCATCCACCCACTGTCACGATTCAGTAAAAAGGGGGTCGAATTGCGGTCGTCATGGGATGCTCCCTCCGTTAGCTCTGAGGTGTTGCAGAGTGCATGGATAGAGTTGGACGAGAAGCGAATGGGGTGATTGTTCCAAATGTTCAATGTGATGGTAGTGGTGGCGTCGATCGTGCGATGTTCACCTGATAATGCTGAAGGATCTGACACAGCGCACTGTTGCGAGGGCTGGCTCATCATTGGATCCCACAGCCGAACAGTGTTATCCTCCGAACCAGTGACGATGCGAGTGCCGTCCGGCGAGAACGAGACCGACAAAACTGACTTAGTGTGCCCCCGCAAGGGCTCACCGACTGGCTCCCCCGTCCCTGCATCCCACAGCCGAACAGTGGAATCCGAAGAACCAGTGACGATGCGAGTGCCGTCCGGCGAGAACGAGACCGACTTTACTGAAGAAGTGTGCCCCCGCAAGGGCTCACCGACTGGCTCCCCCGTCCCTGCATCCCACAGCCGAACAGTCATATCCCAAGAACCAGTGACGATGCGAGTGCCGTCCGGCGAGAACGAGACCGAGTTTACCCAAGAAGTGTGCCCCCGCAAGGGCTCACCGACTGGCTCCCCCGTCCCTGCATCCCACAGCCGAACAGTCCGATCCCAAGAACCAGTGACGATGCGAGTGCCGTCCGGCGAGAACGAGACCGACAAAACTGACTTAGTGTGCCCCCGCAAGGGCTCACCGACTGGCTCCCCCGTCCCTGCATCCCACAGCCGAATAGTGTGATCCGAAGAACCAGTGACGATGCGAGTGCCGCCCGGCGAGAACGAGACCGACGAAACTGACTTAGTGTGCCCCCGCAAGGGCTTACCGACTGGCTCCCCCGTCCCTGCATCCCACAGCCGAACAGTGGAATCCGAAGAACCAGTGACGATGCGAGTGCCGTCCGGCGAGAACGAGACCGACAAAACTGACTTAGTGTGCCCCCGCAAGGGCTCACCGACTGGCTCCCCCGTCCCTGCATCCCACAGCCGAACAGTGGAATCCGAAGAACCAGTGACGATGCGAGTGCCGTCCGGCGAGAACGAGACCGAGTTTACTTCTGTAGTGTGCCCCCGCAAGGGCTCACCGACTGGCTCCCCCGTCCCTGCATCCCACAGCCTAACAGTGTCATCCAAAGAACCAGTGACGATGCGAACGCCGTCCGGCGAGAACGAGACCGACTTTACTGAAGAAGTGTGCCCCCGCAAGGGCTCACCGACTGGCTCCCCCGTCCCTGCATCCCACAGCCGAACAGTCTTATCCTCCGAACCAGTGACGATGCGAGTGCCGTCCGGCGAGAACGAGACCGAGTTTACTGAAGAAGTGTGCCCCCACAAGGGCTTACCGGCTGGCTCCCCCGTCCCTGCATCCCACAGCCGAACAGTCTTATCCTCCGAACCAGTGACGATGCGAGTGCCGTCCGGCGAGAACGAGACCGAGTTTACTTCTGTAGTGTGCCCCCGCAAGGGCTTACCGACTGGCTCCCCCGTCCCTGCATCCCACAGCCGAACAGTCTTATCCTCCGAACCAGTGACGATGCGAGTGCCGTCCGGCGAGAACGAGACCGAGTTTACTGAATCAGTGTGCCCCCGCAAGGGCTCACCGACTGGCTCCCCCGTCCCTGCATCCCACAGCCGAACAGTGTTATCGTACGAACCAGTGACAATGCGAGTGCCGTCCGGCGAGAACGAGACCGAGTTTACTGAAGAAGTGTGCCCCCGCAAGGGCTCACCGACTGGCTCCCCCGTCCCTGCATCCCACAGCCGAACAGTCATATCCCAAGAACCAGTGACGATGCGAGTGCCGTCCGGCAAGAACGAGACCGAGGTTACCCAAGAAGTGTGCCCCCTGAGCACGGCCTGAACAGCTGGCCAATTCATATCACGTGCACATGCTACACGAAGAGTATTCGGAAACCGTGCAAAAAACTTTCTCGATAGCGGACAGTTGGCAGGCGAGAATGGGAGTGCTGATACATACAGGTGTGGCGTGCTGTGCAAAATCATCCCGCCGAAGACTTGAATGAACCTTTGTACGTCCATTGCAGTCGAGGAGACATCTTTGAATTTAGGATGGCCCTGTGGTTGCGCATGAGCGCATTATCTGGCACTTGGTAGCAATGTACTCACCTTTAGCCACTGGGCAATGGGCGGAAGGGCACCGACTGCACCGCTCAGCGCTTTGGTCAGGGCGAGTGACTCGAGCCAGAAAAACACCCGCTCGTGGTCGAATAACAATTTCACTTCTTCCGCGAGTTCCTCGTCAAAGGTTGTGGTTCGTACGTGTGACGTCCAAAATCGAGATGAATATGACAGATGTAAGGGGATGCATTTTTGCACTCGTTCTGGTAGACCGCGATCTTCACTATTAGGTAGATACGACGACTTTAAATCACAGATGTTGAAGCGAAGACCCGCTTTCATCACTCGAAGTGATGCAAATGCAAGGTCGCACTGCGCCTTTGACAGGTCGATGAAAAACTCTCCACTGGATGGTTGGTCCGTCAGGAAATCGTGGAAGGATGCATGAAGGGGTCGGATTGGAGAATCTGAGTTGGTGGTGCCGCTGAGGAGGGAGCCCATGCTTTTTACTACAAGCTCGACGTCGAAAATATCCTCCGGTGTTGGAAAATGGCGCCTCATGGCATTCAGGGAAGCTAAAGGAAGCGGTTCAGCTGTGCCTAGTATTTGTCCCATTACTGAGCGAAATCTCGCTAGCTTCGTCGAACGCAGTTTCGCCGAATGCTGCATATGGGTAGATGTATCCCTAGGCATGATATTTGTTAAAATGAGGAGATACATCTCGTGCAACAGCCTGCTTCTCTCAGCAGGATCGCGTGACACCACACCATTGTAGCATTCGATTGGAGATAGCCCCATGTCAGACTCTTTGATGTATCCGCAGGCGAGACGCGCCCACTCGAAAAGTCCATCAGCTTTCTCAGCGAGGACTGCGAACTCTCTACCATGGAAACCCAGCCCTTCCAACTCCTTGGATACATAAGCACGGATGTCGCGCCCTGCTTCTTCTCGTGGAATATCATCCATCAACATTTGTCGAATGTGCTGAACACCACGAAATTCGTCATTGATGTCACCAAGCGGGCGAGAAGTAACAATGAAGCGGAAGTTATCTGGGAGGTCTGTGATTTTGGGAACGTCAGGGTTTCGATGTTTGCCAGCTAGAATGCGGAGGAGGCCTTTCCGAGTCTCTACTCCACCGCTCTCGTCCAGTGCATCGATCACGATCACGATAGGTTCTCCAGTTGACCCAGATGACTTCTCCAGTGGTTCGATAAGGACTTTCTGCCACTGCTGGGTGATATCCGTTGTCTTCTTAAGCGAATTTGCAGTCTTGACTGCATCTGCCAATGCCCGCCTCATCTCCGGATCACGGTCAGCTAGGTCGAGCGCGATCGTGGAAAAGATCTTTTCATGGCGACGATCTGCTTCTCGCTGGCGGTCAAAACAGTAACACGAACCAAGCCCTCCCACGTCATTGACCCACTTAGCAACGGTGTGGGCGATGGCCGATTTGCCCTTGCCTGCAGGGCCGGATAGCCACAGCACGCGTTGAACATTGTCCCCAGTGCTGTTGACCCATTCGATGATGTCGGAAAGGATTTCCGTGCGGGTCCCTTCGAGGCATTCTTTTCCGGTATCTAGTCCGGCGCCATCTGCATAAGTCATACCGCTGAGGTCCAATGTTTCTTCTGAAAAGATATGAGTATATGTCAAGTCACAAGGACGTCCGACCCTTACCCATACGGTGGACGCGTGGTGCTTATGTCGTGGACGCCTATGGCTACGTCGCGAGTAACCTGGTCCCGGAAGTTTTGCATGAGGCTATCGAATACGTCATTGTACTTTTGGATCGTATCTTTCGTTTCCGAGATAATGTTCTTTCTAAGTCTGTTCCCTGTGATGATGGTAGAAGCTCGAGACGGTACAGAGCGCAACAGCTTGTTAAGACTCACAAAAGTTCTTGGTCTCCGAATAATTTTTGATAAAATGGGCACATTCACGGGTCTGCTGAGAAATCTTGCCAAGGATGTTGCGCATCGACGAGAGTTGTCCAAGCATGTCGTCTCGTGTTATGAAGCGGTAAACATCACATATCTTCTTGAGAAGTTTGAATACCGCTGCGTCGCGATCCGCTTGGGCTAGAATAATCTGTACCAATGATTGCTGAGCGGTGGGAGATAGCAGGAGATAAAGAGAAAACATACTTTGGCGCGCAAGACAACACGCCTAGTGCCATCTTTGCATATGGATGTAACTGTGGGGTGTGATTAGTTCGGTTACGATCGAGAGGAAGATCCATACATCTGCGATCTTGCCGATAACATTGTCAAATATTCTGAGGGGTTCAAGATATGTGTCCTGGAAATTGTCAACAGCATCGAGATCCTCTTGTCCGCCTTGGCCAACAGACGCCACAGTAATCACAGGTCCCGCAAGCGGATGCATGCGCTTTGTAGACTCTTGTGCATCCCGAAGTTCCAATTGGGTATCAGTCACTTCCACAGCAGATGAAGCCGCCTGAACTCGCGGGACCATCAGGATTTAGAAAGAGCGCAGAGACTGGAGGGCAAGTATGAGAACGTACCGAGGTCGATGAAGCACCTTCATGATTAACATTCGGGGGAACGGGGCTGCGGCTGCGTGAATCCTTCGAGCGCTTATGGTAAAATATTAGTCACATTCTAAGACACTCATTACGCATGGTCGTGGACTTACCGAGATCCTTAACTTGTCCTTAACCTTCTTCAGAAACCGACCAACTCTGCCACGGGGTCGGTGCTAGACGAAGGATGCGTCAATGACAGTGTTTGGAATGGAATGAACTAAGTGATGCCGATAAGCCACGCACCGAGCCTCCAGGAGCTAATGCTTCGCTAGATGTGCGGGTTTGTTGAGTCGAATTCCTCGATGAATTGCGTTTGGTCATTGTGAATAGCGGTTGAAGCGAAGTAAGTTAAGAGACCCACATCATTTATATAAAATAGCCAATAACGCCTCGAGGCAATATTTGTTGCAAGCGTTAAACGATAAGCATTTGAATTTCGAGTGCGTTCTTGAATCTTCTGGCATGCACGGTCGAAGGTGATTGTGACAAAAATAGCCTCGGCAGTGCTTATCCAAACGCCCAACGCGCAATGCCCAATGCCCAACCTCGTGACCGAAATGAATATACCGAAAGTAAGCTCCAGAAACCGACCAAGGTCGGTGCTAGACGAAGGATGGATTAATGTCGTGGAGTGAGTTCAGTGCACGTACGAACTTTCACCATGGCTGGTGCTTTGCTAGATTTCTTGGTTTGTTGATTCGAACCCTTCGATGATGTCATTGTGAATAATGTACAGTTGAAGCAAAGTAAGATAAGAGTCCCGCCTCGAGGCAATATTCGTTGCAAGCGATAATTATAAGCATTAATATTGGAACCCAGTGAAAATCGACAAGAATGAGGTAGATACGTGCCGATAGATGTCTAAGTACAAAATGAGATGGATACAAATCTAAGAAATTCGAGAAGGCAAAACTCTAATTTTGTGCAAACGCAAAGAATCTTTCCAAAGGTGAAAAGATGCAAACATGTCGGACTTCGATTGCGTAGTTTGCAACTTTGCGACAAATTTTGCACCTGCGTGCATTCGATGCACGTGTATTTTGCACAAGTCCATAACCGTATTTGCATTAATTAATGATGTTTATTCACTGCGGAAGTGAGAAACTGATCAGACCTGAAAAGGGTAGGAAAAGACGTTGTAAATAGTATGTAATCCGACGTAGCAATTAATATAAATTCCGAGGTGTTAGAATCTGGAGAGATCCTCAAATCGGATCATTTTCCGACATAGGAAACATAGAGGTTTGCGGAGGTGCACAGAATTAATAAAACCTAACCACACGTCTGATTTGCGTCTGAATACGATCATAATTTAGTCGGATTAGTATCTAGTTACAAAAGTGCGGATCCCTATGATTCTGGGGATTTGCCAGCTTCTGGGCGCTTCGCACTGGCTTTTCCCCATCCCCCTCGACCCCCTCGTTCGCCTAACGATGTACAGGGCACAGCGCCGCCCTAGCGGTGCTCCAGAAAATCAGCCAACGATCGAAACGAACATGAATCCATACCAGTTTGGTTCCCCAGCCCACGACTCAAACACGAGTCCATACCAGTTCCCGTCCCAGCTACCTCCTGGAACCCTGCTATCGAATGCTGGGGGTCATCCGCTGCCCCAGGTGGATGATTTCTTCAGTCGACCGCCTCAGGCTGAAGCAGCAAAGCCGCCGGCGCAAGAATATCGAACACCGTCCAATATAATGCGTCCCCCTAGCGTAACGCAAAACTTAGTCACTCCGTCGTTTCAGGGAGGGACTCCATACCTGGGACACAGCTCTCGCACTCCGTTCACGGGCAGCGAGTCCTCCGGGTCTCGCGCACCCTCTCTGGGACCTGGAGGAGACTATGGTCAGCTTTCGGGTCCTGCACATCATCAGCCCCATATAACATAAAATCGGGCCTTGTTCCCCTGCTCTGTATGCCCATGACCTCATGCTATGGTATCATCGACGAGAGAAGTTTGAGCTAGGTCGTTCAACTGATAGATAATATTGAGTGCCAATATCGCAGACAGAGGAACAAACTTACAGCCTTCTTGGCCTTGTACCAGTGGGTGAACTCTGCCGGAGTCTCTTTCTCCGTGTCGCTACTATCAAAGGTCTCTTCTGTATCGATCCTTGCCACAATTCCAGCTGCAGACTTCTTCCAAGCATATTAGTTAGTATGATTAGCTAGCTACAAGGATGCGTAGTACTTACTTTATATTTCTGGGCCTCTTGCCAGCGCATGACTTGAAGTCGGTCAGGAGTTTCGGGTGAGGTCGCGCTGAGGTCGACATGTTCAGGAACTTGTAGTAATCTGGGCCGCTTGGTGGGCCATCTGAGCGTGATTTCGACTGTCTACAAAGGTACTTAGTTAGTTGGTTGTATTTAAATCTAAAACTTACCATAGGCCCTGGCCGCTTGGTTTCAAAGGTAAAACTGAATGCCTGTAGTTTCGAAGGTAGTTCAAGCTTGATCTTATCTGCATCGTCCGACATAGTGCGAGTTAACGATGGACTTAGAGAAATTTTTCGAAAAACATACCTCACTTAAATCCAATCGTATGCAGACGTCGAAAGAGTGGATTTCCCGGGTCAGTTAGTGTTGGAACAGCAAGTATTTGAAGAGAAATAAACGGACGTCGGAAAAGACATGGTGGCGAAGTCCGAAAAGCATCTGTTTACGTTTGTAGCTGTGGACCAAATGAAGGCTTTGCTTCAAAATCTATGATACGTCGGATTTGCGTCGGATTAACAGCTAGGTACGTTTTGTGTCTGCTCACTTGCCCTTTCTCCCTCGGAATATGGTCTGATCAGTTTCTCACTTCCGCAGTGATTGGAGTCCTAGTACAGTTGAACCACTCACATCTTCTCATCTGCCCACCATGTCATTCGCCCCCCGCTGCGACACCGAGTCCAGCTCGATATGACCATTCCCTTGTGTTGCTAGCACAACACGACAATCGCAAGCCCAGGGCGGCGAGCAGTTATTTCGCTTAATGTGACTGCCAGTGTTGTCCTTGAGGAGAGGAACTCAGTCCTTGCTAGTTCTTCGTGCCTCTCCCTTATGTTTCCTTGGTCACTGGTCTTTCTATCACACTGATCAATCTCTCTACTTCACTCACTCATGCAGTGAGTATACGAGCTCAGTGGACTTATGATAGTCACTATATTGATTGTATATACCTGCAGTGAGTATACGAGCTGCAGAAGGCATTAGCTAAGTGCGAGATATCTAAGTATTCTGTACTGACCTCAGTGGACTTATGATAGTCACTGAGGAAGTTCTACTAGCTGCGAGGAAATGAAACAAAGGAACGTGCTTATGTAATGTAGCTAATATGGACGAGCGAAGTTAGAGTCCAACACTCCCCTTCAAACTGAGCGAAGTCCAAGAGCGGAGGCGAAGTGTTTGACCTTGAGACTAGGTAGAGCTTTGGTAAGTGTATCTGCAGTCATACTATCTGTAGGGCAATAAACGAGTGAAATAGAACCTTTTTCAAGAGAGAAACGAATAAAATGGTAACGAATGTCAATGTGTTTCGTTCGGGCGTGAAACGCGCCAGAATTCGCGAGGGCGATAGCGGATTGGTTGTCGCAATGAAGGACGGTTGGTTGGTCGAGGGGACGGAAGATTTCGGTGAGGAAACGCCTAAGCCAAATGGCTTCCTTTGCAGCGTGCGTCGCTGCGACATACTCGGCCTCAGTCGTTGAGAGAGTTACTAACTCTTGCTTCTTCGAGCTCCAGGACACTGCGCCGCCGTCCAAGAGGAATGCGTAGCCAGATATGGCATGCCGATGCTCTTGTGAGGCTGCCGTCTGCGTCAGTAAAGCCCTCAAGGCCTTGCTTGCAGGTCCCAAAGGTGAGTGCGAGTTTCTTCGTCCCTACGAAGGTAGCGATAGATTCGCTTTACAGCCTCCCAATGAGCCATACCTGGGTTAGCTCCATACTGCGCGACAGTCGATACGGCAAAAGCTATGTCGGGGCGTGTACCGACGGCTAGGTGCATGAGTGAGCCGACTGCCTCTCGATAGGGGATGTTCTTCATTAGCGTGGTTTCAGCTGGAGTCTTAGGGCATTGGGATTGCGAGAGCGGAGCGTTTGGATCCATTGGAATGGAGCAAGGTTTCAGATCTGTGAAATTATATTTGGCGAGGATAGAGTCGACGTATGATTCATGGGAGAAGGAGATGGTACGTGTAAGACGGTCGCGGGTGACCTTCATTCCAAGTAGAAATGCGATAGGCCCTAGATCAGTGAGTTTGTAGCGCGACGCTACGTCTCGCTTGAACTCTGCAATGAGCTTGTTGTTGCTGCCAGTTACTGCGCAGTCGTCAACGTGTGATGCAAGAATTAAGATGTCCGCGCCTGTATGCTTGTAGAAAACTCCCCAGTCTGATTCTGCGCGCGTCATCCCTAAACTCTTCAACAAGCGACACAACTCCTGATACCACTTCAAAGCTCCCTGTTTCGATCCGTAGAGTGCGACGTGTAACAATGCGACAGGACGTTTGAACTTCTTGTCGACGCTGAGTCCAGGTGGGAGTTCCATGTAAATAATTTCGTCCTTGTCGAGTTTACCGTTTAGGAAGGCACTGTGGAAGTCGAAGACGTCGATATTCCAATCGTTACGTGCGGCTATAGCGAGGATGGTTCGGAGAGATGCGAGGCGTGCGACTGGTGCGTAAGTGTCATAGTAATCAACACCATACACTTGAGAATAACCCTTGGCTACCAGCCGGGCTTTGTACTTATCGATCTCCCCATCCACATTCCGTTTGATTCGGAATACCCACTTACATCCCACTACATTGACGTTTGCTGGCTGCTCAACGACGGACCACGTGCGGGCATCTTCGAGTGCGGTAAGTTCCTTGTTGATTGCTTCTTCCCACTTTGGCCAATCTGTTCTTTTGCAGGCTTCTTTGACCGTAGTCGGGTCGCTGCTCTCGATTGCCGCTACTCCCGCCATCATGGCGAAGACTTCTTCATCATCCTGGTCCATCTCTCCATCCTCCCCTACCATCCCGAGCTCTGCCGCCAAGTTAGATTCTGCGGGAGCAGGCTGCATCCCACGAGGTAAGTCCGTGCTCCTTCCATCAGTCGTTCCTGCGCCATCGCACAGACTCTTGATGTATGCTGATTCGACTCTCACTCGTCCAGAACGGCGCGGCTGCTCAGTTCGCTCAAACTGCGTGCCCAGGTAGTCTCTAGGAGGAGGAATGGGTTATGGGGTGGGGTTGGAGCATTGCTGGGTGGGATATTATTGGTGCGTGATGCTCGGCTTGATGATTCGTTGGGTACTGAACCGACATCATGGACTTGTACCGTGCGGTGTTCCGGTTCTCCTGGTTTAGGTACTAGACCGGCATCATGGACTCGTACCGTGCGGTGGTCTGGACCGACATCATGGACTCGTACCGTGCGGTGGTCTGGACCGACATCATGGACTCGTACCGTGCGGTGGTCTAGTCCTCCTATAGGTATTCTAACCTCTGCCGTGTCGAATTTGACGCTCCTCTCCACAGCTATCCGTCGAGTTTCGGGTAGGTATACTCGGTGACCATTGCTGTCACGATCAAATCCCATCCACCTGCCATCTATGGCGCGCATATCGAGCTTGGAGCCGTTCGTCGAGTGCACCTTGACGTGGCTACCCCAGACTGGTAAGTGCTTTAAGTTTGGCGCCTTCTTATACAGCATCTCATATGGCGTCTTGTTGTCTAGGACACGAGTTGCCGTCCGGTTCTTCAACCAGGTGACGTGCATGATGGCCTCCCCCCATAGGAATTTGGGTACATCAGTAAATCACTAAACCTTCACAGACTTTGGCTTTTCACACAGATTCTCACAGTGTGACAGACATCACAGAATCCCAGGATCCCAGAGCCACAGACTTACAGATTCTCACAGTGTGCTACAGACTCACAGAATCCACAGAATAAATGACAAAATTTTCACTAAGTCTTTTCTTTAGTTAAACATCAACACTAAGCCTTATTGTAAACTAAAGCTTATTAAAATTCATTGTTAGGACAAAAAGTGCTAAACCTATTGACTAATTAAAACTTGTTGGAATTCACAAATTTTACACTTTGTACTAGTAAACCTCCAACTTGAAGTTTTCTAGTCAAAAATAAGGATTAGTTTTTTTGAAGATTTCAATAAGGGCAAGTTATGTTGAGGTTTGACTATAGATTTCAATAAGAGCAAGTTATAATGGGGTTTGACTATAGATTTCAACTTGACAATATTATGAGGCTTGAGAATCATTGGTATATGTATCATTGTGAGAGAGGAAAAGTAAAGACACTATGGTGTAATGGTAAGTTTGTGTTATTGTTGTTGCTGAACTTTGTGAAGCCTCAAGTTCAATTCCTGCCAATGACACTTGAAAATGTCAAAAATGCGAATTTATTTTGTTCTATTTACTAGGCAATGCTTTGTCACTGTGAGTTCTGTGGCTCTGCTGGGAGGTTCTGTACAGAGCTGCACAGAAAAGATGTAGCTGGACAGAAGGGACCAAGCTGTGGCACTGTGACACTGTACAGCTCTGTACAGCTCTACACAGAACATTGTAATTTACTGATGTAGTTCACTGGCGTGCAACAGCGCACGCGTTCGCTCGGAGACGGTTCTGTTGAGTCTCTCCGCAACTCCGTTGTGCTCAGGAGTATCATGCACGGTGAGTTTGCGTTCGGTGCCTTTGCTGTTGAGATAACGAGTGAACTCTTGCCCAGTGAATTCTCCCCCTCGGTCAGAGCGAAATCGTTTGATTTTTGCGTCAAACTGCGTGTTTGCCCAGGCTTCGAAGAACTTGTACGCGCTGAAGGCTTCGTCCTTCGTGCGCAGCAGGTACAGGTGAGTGAATCGCGTGAAGTCATCTGTGAATGACACGAAGTACTCTTTATGCCCAGGTGTTCGTATGGGAGATGGACCCCACAGGTCGCTATGGACTTCATTGCCAAACTTCTCCCGTCTCGGAGGGTCGCGGATTTTGCCAATTGGTTTGCGGGTGGCTTTTGCGTACTCGCAAGAGTCGCACTTGTCCATCGTTGCGTCTGAGGGATCTAGCTTGATTCCAGTGATGACACCATCGTGTATCATCCTTGCGATGCTGTCCGGGGAGATATGGCCAAGTCTGGCGTGTACTTCACGCATGGTGAGTGTTTCATCTGCATTTGCGAGTCCAGCAAATAACTTCCTGGGGCCCTTGACGCAGTATAGTCCTTTTGAGACTGGGACCTCCCCCAATAGCTTCTTCGTATCACTGAAGATCTTGCAAGAGTTCGCGCGGAACATTGCAGCATATCCGGCTGCCGTGAGACGACTGATGGAGACCAAGGTTACGCCCATCTTAGGTGCATATAGAACGTCTTTGAGGAGTATTCGCGTGTTTGACTCGCCGTTTGGTAGGGTGATCATGATGTCCCCTTTGCCTGTTGCCTCGAAGGTATGTTTGTCTGCTGTTGTTATGGGTTTCGGCGTGATGTTGACGAAATCTTGGAACAGATCGCGATAGGACGACATATGTCTCGATGCTCCTGAGTCGAGCAACTCGGTTCGAGATTCACGTTGGGAGTTTGAGTTTGCTAGGGTTGCATAGGTGAATGACGTCTGCTCTTCTCCCGTCTCATCTGTATCATCCATTAACCAGACACCTTCAGGTTCGTCATCTTCCTCATTGTCCTTTGCCTTCGCGGCAGTCTCGGGTTTTCTGTCCTTCCCTTTTCCAAAGGACTTCTCCCCTGATTTGCTCCCTGCTGCACCTCCTCCTGCGCCTCTGCAGTCTCGCTGCATGTGGCCGTACTTGCCACAGTTGTGGCAGTTCCCCTTGATTCGACGAGTCCGTTTGCCAGCATTCGCGTTGTAGGCTGCATCATCGTTCGATGAGCTCCCCTTCTTTGTCTTGGCTGCTCGACGGTCGTATTCGTCTACGATTGTCGACATCAATATGTCTGCGGTGAGTTGAATGCTTGAGACTTTAGCGGAAGCTGTCAATGCTGACAAGTGGGGGTCGTATGATGCAGGTAGCGAGCTCATGATGATTGCTGTGAAGCTTTCATCTGTTGGGGCATGGCCTAGTGAGGACAGTTGCTCGCGAATCGTTCGCAGCTTGTCGAAGTGTTCTCTAATATTGCCTTTTTCAGAGCATTTTTGGTCCTGTAGCTTCCGCAACAGTTCAACTGAGACTACGCGAGAGCGCTTCTCAAAGAGATTCGAAAGGTACGTGAAAATCTCTTGCGCTGTATCCAAGTTCTTGACTTGAATAAACAAAGAGTCAGGGATCGTGCTGGCAATTTGCTGCTTCGTTATTGCCTCGCCCATGCGCCACTCCTTCATTGCTGTCTTGTATGCGGCGAGTTCTCTGACCTCGTCCGTCGTACTTGGTGACCATGACGCTCCTCTGCCCGACAACGTCGAGGGATCAACTGGTTTCTTCTCGGTCCCAGTCTAGGTGACCGAGGAACCCACGAGCGTCTACTGACCATTGCATTCTGTCTTTATAGGTCGTCCAATTTTCTCCGTCCGCAGCGAGCTTTGGGACGCAGTAGAAAATCTTCACCGAGTTTGCTGTTAGAGCTGGACATGGCGGGCTATATTTTTCGTATACTTGGTTATGTTTTTAATTGACGAGCGCAGGGCTCATAACCTGCAGTGAGTATACGAGCTCAGTGGACTTATGATAGTCACTATATTGATTGTATATACCTGCAGTGAGTATACGAGCTGCAGAAGGCATTAGCTAAGTGCGAGATATCTAAGTATTCTGTACTGACCTCAGTGGACTTATGATAGTCACTGAGGAAGTTCTACTAGCTGCGAGGAAATGAAACAAAGGAACGTGCTTATGTAATGTAGCTAATATGGACGAGCGAAGTTAGAGTCCAACAACTCAAACCAATCTCGTCTTCCACCCTTCATTAACCAGTCACGGTAGCATCACGGACACGAAATCTATTCGTTTTCGAATCATCAAACTAATCTACAGCAGCCCTTCACTCTCTCATCCTTCTCATCCCTTACCTCCCCTGATTGACCTAGTAGTGAGCTGGACTTGTTTCGTGGATTGTCATGAATGACAATCCCGTCTACTGGACTTATTGCTGGTGCGCTCCTGATGACATCGACACGACACCTGAAACCCACGAGTCCTCCATCGAGATCCCAGATACATTGGCCACCTCCCCCTCTAATCCTCTGAAACGAGCTGTATCTCCTGATGTCGAAGTTCAACCAATACCAGCACCGAAAAAAAGCGAACTGGCAGTACTACGAGTGGCCTCCCAGACTCACCTTCACCACTCTCCATCAGTTCCGAGATTCCCTGTATTGAATCTCGTGATCAAGAGAATGAGGTAAGTGCCATATTTTTTGTACTATTTTATTGAATAAGTCACTGGCAGGTAATGAGGCGACCAGACTCACCCTGCGGCTCGGACGTTCTGTGGCACCTGCCGTCTGAATGTGGATTCAGCACCAGTGCTATCGCTGCTATGTAGTACCGACAAACTTGAAGGAAACGCTAAGGAAACGGCCAACATAGAGGTGAGTCAAATGTGCACCTCGCATTGCATCAATTTGGTACTAACTTCAACTGCGCTCGCTAGATAAAAAATCCACTGTAAGTTTTAGATATCTCAATACTTGGTCACCAGCGTGAACCGGCTGCATTCGCACTCTACTGGAACAATCTGTCTACCAGTATCAAGGAGGTACGTGCTACATCGGGGAGAACCTCCCGCGCTAATGCAGTACAACAGGAATACAAACGAAAGGCCACGGCGCAGGTGAGTGTCGTCGTGCCTACTGGTTCTATTGGCCACTGTACTAACTGGTTCTTCCACTACTACAGGTCAGCTCTTCTTCGACACTCCAAGGCAAGGACAGCGAGAATGAGCACCATGACTAGCGGCAGGATCCTGGTGGATGTGTGCATGATAGCACTGGCGTCGGGATGGCGGGATGGCGGGAGGAGCGACCCCACTATTATAGTACCTGCCTAATACCAGCAATTCACAGCAATACCCATCTACAATTCATTCAATAGCATTAGATTTGTATCGATACCATTTTCCGGGCCAAATCAAACCATTTTGACCTATCTAAAGATCTAAATTTCCTTTCGACTTCTATCTTTTCTCGTCTCGAAAAGTGCCGTTTTTTCGAAAGACCTCGAAACACGACGATAATATCTATAGGCTTTATTTTCTTCGATATATATCGACACGTATCTACCTCTTTCTTGTCGATTTTCACTGGGATTGGAATCTCCACTCGAGATGATGGTGACAAAAATAGCCTCGGCAGTGCTTATCCAACCGTCAAAGCCCAAAGCCCAACTTGAAAGCCCAAAGCCCAACGCCCAATGCCCAACGCCCAAAGCCCAATTGCCTCGTGACCTAGAGTACTAGTGAAATAGGGAGTAAAGCTACTGATCTGAGATAAGCTAACTAGACAGTCTAGAGTCTCTAGACTGGATGCTATCATCCAAGTTGTACCGGCGGCAGCCAGCTAAGTTCGCATGATCGGTTGTCAGGCCTTCAAGCTTCAAGCTTCAGGCCCAGTGAGAACCGGACCTCACCGTATCGACGGAAAACGGCCAAAATATTGGTGAACCAGGAACACAAGATTTCCGTAGATTTCCGTAGAGAATGGGACACATATGAGATTTTCTAGCGATGCTGTTCGACGGAGATCTCACGATTTCGCGCTGATTCTAGCATATGATATTTCCGTCGATGATCGTAGATTCTCAACTGTAGTTGTACCAGGCAATAAAACTACGGAAATCGCACGAAAACGACGCTGATATACATTGCAAGAACAAGCAAATGACAGCGCAAAAATGATAGCTGGTTGATACTGCCCCTGGCATATGCTGCCCACCTGGTCCTCGCCTGTTGCCTGCCTGATGTCAACCTCTGCACCTGCACTGGATGTCGACTGCGTTGCTATTCCATTCGGATTCATATGCCTGCAAACATAAATCAATGCCGTGAAATAATAACTGCCTGCTACCCACCTGCTCCGCTGCAACTGCGCTAGATATCAACCAATATATTAGGCGTCGGATGAGAATTTGCTGATGATATTGATCGTGTCGCAAGTTCATATAAGCCTAAAGTCAGATGTTGCTGGAAGTTCTAGTCTTCTAGATTGACGTACCTCCTATTTGTTCGAAATACTAGATCTAGGTGATGCACAGGCACGAACAACGAGGACCCAGTGTTGAAGGTGGCATGGTAGACCAGGGACAGTGAATACTGGGGGCTTCGGTTCATACTCAGTTATGCATGTTCGTTCAGAAAGCGTTGTGCTGCGTGTACTAAGTCAGCACTGTCTTGCACTTAGATAAGAGATTCAGGCGCATATATGCGCTATAATAGATGTTTCAGCGAACATTCGAAACGAGTTAGGCGTATCCGAGTCACTTACTGATTTGCGAGCCAGGCAGTGCAGAGAAACAGGCCGCATAGATAGTGTCCTAGAAAACATCTCGATTTAGGTTATCGAAAATATCAAAGTCGGAGAAGATACACACAGGGAGCTTTACCACTGTTCATCCAAAAACATCATCAATTTGAGGCCTGTCTGGTCCAACGACTACTGTAAACGAGAATATGCCAGGCCCCAGGGTGCTTCCGAAAGTAAGGAAATGGGAGAGGCTCCTGGACTAGACATCGTCATGGTTTGAGGGAGAAAGATGGTGGACTAGTGAGAATGTCGGAGTCATGCTTAAGTTCGTGCAATCGATCATTTCGTATACGCTTACCAAGTCAAAAGCAGCGCGAACGAGTAATTCACATCATCTTGATTGATTAATATGTGCAAGACATCGACAAAATGGTGTGTTTGCGTTGTGTTGATCAAACATAACGCACGTCATCTTTCTAAATATATGTGAAATTCACGATTTGCGTAGCTTTGAGCATATTTGTAAATATATCCGTCGTTTTCCGTCGATATGGTGAGGTCCGGTTCTCACTGGGCTTCAGGATCTTGCTGTACTAATCCCAAATACATCATTCTCATTTTTCTCCTCGTATCACCCATGGCCACCGAGCGCGACATCGTACACATCATCAACGTCATGCAGCCACTGCCGCAGTGCACGTTAACGTTTAACGTTTAACTTCCAAGCCACATCCACTTTTCCACCAAGAAGGCTGGCGCTCTCTTCAAATAGTTGTTTCTACCCACCACCTCCAGCGTGTCCTAGATGTACTAATGTCAGTCGGGCAGGTACTCAAGACAGACAACTCCACCATCCACATCGTCAGCGTCAGTCCAACATCGTTGTCGTACCCGCGTGTCCTGGGCTCTCTAGATGAGATATCATTGCACCGCCATTAACGCAGTTCGAGGTTAGAATCGATCCACATTCGACATCATTCTTCATTTGACTCGAATACCAAGATACTGACTATTCCTCATGTATACGTTCCCCTCTTCCGCCTTATTACAAACTCCACGACATCTGCTACGAAATCTGTGCTGCATATCCTTTTTCTCCCAATGTCTTTCAAGAGCAATGCTGACCAAGGCACCGATGGTCCAGAAGAAGTGCTCAAGGCAGGTGCACTCTACCGCGAGTGTGATATCGTTAACCCTCGGATGCCAAGTCCTACGATGACAGACGCTGCCGACGCGCAGCTAGCTAAGTCGGTTTACTTGGCTGGTAACGATGTTGATGATGACGGGGGATACACACAGGCCACAGACTTGGTGTATACGACAGAGTCTGCAACATATTAGATGAATAAATTCCACGAACTTATCGAGCTATGGAGGGCGAACAGTACCGAACTTGCAAGGAAATCAGAGAACATGATAAACTGCAAGTGCGCCACGACCGCGTTGGTTCCTTCCTTCCCGTGATGGGCGACGCACTCCCTCATCCTCCTAGCGTTAACTGAATTCCTTGACAACCTCCACACAATCTAAACGCTCCAAACGCGCATCCAGCACTTTTCCAGGGCTCCCACTCCCAAACTCCAGCCACTTATTCTGGTCCTACACACCCTCACCCACCGTCACTCACGTTGCCGACGCATACTGACTTTGTCGTTGTTGGCTCGGGTGTTATTCGAAGACGGCCACTACTGCTGCAGACGGCACACAATTGCAAGGACATCCTGAGGCTGCCTCCGAGTCTGAAGAGGCGCCTCAAGCCCCTGCGTTCTCTCTCAATTTCCAGCCCGAAGTCATTGACGATGAGGTGGATGAACAACTGTCCGCTCCACTGTCTGCCATATCACCGCATCTAACGGTGTCTAGCGGTGACGTGTTGACGTCTACCCCCGATTCTGCACAAACAAGTTCCACCCAACCGTCATCCAGGGCCGTATCGCTTGGTAAGCGTCCGCGAAGTTTGTCTGACACAAGTGATAGTAGCCAGGATGTACCTTCTGTGCCAAGCACTCGTCTGATTATCAAGATTTCTCCCTCAGCAGCACGCCTCAGCTCTCTTCAAGCGAAGAATGGCGTCATTTCAAGTTCCCGTTTTCCGTGTGCGCAGTCTGAGCAGGGTTTGAATGCATCGGACACTCAGCCTGAGGACCCACAAGAAGAATACTGCTGGTGTCGAGGGCCGGAATCTGGAGAAATGGTGCAATACAGTTTAAATAGATGCAATAAATGGGTACTCGTCTTGTTCCAGTGTTCCTCTATCACCGTGGCTGATTCCGTTTGCAATAGTTTCATTTTGAATGTGTTGGTTTGCTAGATGTAACCGGGGCAGATTGGTGACATGCAGCAGTGCCACCAGCTCTCACAGGAACACAATAATTGTTTTTTATATCTCAATATCACATCCGCTTGTCCGTATGCCTAGGATGTTCTGCAATACATGTTCTACTCGCCCGCTGTTAGTACAGCAACAAAATTACCAGATTTGGTATACCCCTATATTGTGGGAACTTCCTACGGGAGGGAGGGTCTGTGAACGGCGTAAGGTCTCATGTATATTTTTCATTTTGAATACAGGATGGGAGGCCTCTCAAGCATCCAGACATGCCGCGTATCATCCGTCCCCCTGAGCTGACGTTCTACAAGCTATCCGACGGTCAAGTCAAAGACGAATGGGGCTTGCCCAGCGACGTTCAAGTTTGGTCGATGGCCTGCACGGTAAGGTCTCTTCCTTCTGATTGACGTAGAATGATAACATGTTTGCACCATAGATATGGGAGATAGCATTCTCAGACGTGATGCTCACATATGGCAGCGACGACGATAACATGCTTATCTAGGAGACAATGAAACTCGTTGGTCCATTGCCAGAGCGGTGGAAACCATACTGGAACTCGAAGCCTTTCGAAGACTGATGGTATAGTTACGTCGTGGTTGTCGATTGCATCACTGACATGTATTTTTAAGCAACTTCACGGTTGATCCTGACGCAACATGGAAGGAAAGATGTCCTACTGAAAACGATGACGATGCTAGTGCGGTCACTGTGCTGCGTGACATGTTATGCTGGGAACCAATGTCCCGTCCTACAGCAGCTGATTTACTTCAACATCCTTGGTTCGCGACCTAATCATCGAACTTCCGCGAACCTTGTATATCCAGTCATCAATAGTCATTAGGGCATTGCCGCTCGGCTCGTTGATACAAAACCACCAACAATACGTTCTCATGTTTAATTTTGTCGCTACGTTTATACAATCAGGTAATAACTATATTACTCGTAACGCCATGTAATAGATCGACTCGCAAAACATGATTCTAAGAAGTGTCTTTGCCGGAATCTTGATTCTATGTAGACAATTTAAAATCTGTATTTGCATCCCGCATACAGGCTGTGTCAAGGAACATCCGACCTGTTCAAAACTGGCTTATGCATCAGTTGTACGAATTCGCGAACAAGCTGGGGATCAGAATGTTCCATAAGGTATAAAACAGACGAGCCCTCGACAAACTGTACCCATGACCCGAGGCCCGGAGTGAAGACGCGTGACGGTGGGTGACGGTGGGTGCCGGTGAACATGAGGCAAGATTAATCATCGTGAAGTCTCAAAGACCGATTCTGAATTTCTTGTCCCTGTACACTTCGCATATAACCACTGATCGACGCCACTTTCTGCAACCAGATTCCCTACTTCAATAGCAATGGGTTTCAATCGCCTTTCTGCAACTATCCTGCGGTGCATCCAGGAGGATTTAAATAACGAATTACCATACGGAAAACATTAGGACATGGTGAGTGTGTATTGAGCATAGAAAAAGTACAGGGCATTGCCTCCAGAAAATATCAGGACTTCAACGAGTGTAAGAAGGCAGCCATTCAGGTGAGTTTGGTTCTGTAAATAGGTAGGTGGATGAAAATGAGAATGGGGTGATCTAAAAACAAGGTGACTTGTGTAGATGATCAAGGACAAGAGCAAGCGACAACATAAATGACAATTGTATTTCCGGGGATTGTGGAGGGAAGCGGTGTGACTTCGGTGACTGATGTGATAAGATAAAACGACTGATCAAAAGGAAAGACAACAGGGAAGATGAAGGGGGAATGGCTGAAGTCTTCCAGTTTCTGGACGTTGAACCCGCAAGTTGCGTATGTCAAGGCATCTGGATCGAAAATGCTAGTCAAGGTGTGATACAATGGAATGCCTCAGAAGATGCAGTGCATTGCCACAGCCTACGTGAACATGGACGTAAACTTTCTTTCCTTCAAAACCACGAGACATCACATTACCTTTGCTCGCCTGGTACCCGCAGAATACAGACCCCCTTCAGTTCCACAACTTCAGTCGCCCAGGTCAATATTCTATCTTTACACATCCACGTATATCAGAATGGGTTCCCCAACGCCCTCAATCTCGGGAATGACGCATTTGAGATCAAATGCCTTGGCGAGCACAATTTTGAAGATCTTTTGAACGTTTATCGACGCAGATGTCGAACAGAAGACCAGCGAAGCATGCATCGCACGAGCAAATCGTTTTGCCTAATCAAATTTGTTACGAGATCACATCATCTAGATGATGTAAAGACGTACCTGCTTGGTAATCTCCTCCTGTTCGTCTCTTGGGAACGTCGCGAACGTATCAAATTTCGTGCCAATGAGAAATGGTATAGCAGTCTGATAAGAGCAATAAGCAATGCTATTCCACAATATCCTACGAAATATGAACAAACCTTGTTGAATCCTCGAGCCTGGCGGTACCACTCCTTCACCGAATTTAGTGTTGACTTTCGAGAAAGATCAAACATGAATAGAATCGCCACAGCATCGTTACAAACAAGCGGCAGCATGTTGACGAACTCTCGCTGGCCACCCAAATCCCATATCGAGAACGTGATGGTGGTACGCCGGACAGAAATCGTTTTCTCCATGAAGTTGACACCTGCGACCCAACTCATTAGGACGGCACGCGCAATGCAAGAGATAACGGGTCCTCACCTAATGTCTGGATATAATCCTCATCAAAGCTGCCTTCTACATACTTTACCATGAGACTCGTCTTGCCAATTTGTGAATCTCCAACCATCCCGACTTTGATAACTACGCTATTCTTCTCTTCATTGTTCTCCAGCATTGGATGCGGGTTCTGACCACTAGGGCCAGCGATTGAAGATGAAGATGCCGAATTCGTAGGTGGGGACATTGTTGATCGATGTAGAGTGGTATCCAGCAAGAGGGAATAATTTTGATACTGGGGTGACACAATACGATACCGGAATCAATGAGTAACAGGGTATCAAGTTGGGAAGCTGTAGTATGAGTCAAAGGGATCGGAAGAGCGATAGAAAAGAAAGACGTGTTCTGCCGTGCGTTGGTGAGATGTTCGATAAGCGCCTCGAGCGGCTTGCAGGCTCACGCTCAGTATTGTACACTGAGACGCGAGCGACTCAACTTTTGCGTATTCGCCCGTCAACCGCCAACGCAGAGAACAGACTGAGAGAATGTGGAAGTTGAAGGAAGGATGTAAGTTTAACTGCCTTAGGTAACGTGCTGTTTGGTTTGCTTGACAGGCGCGGCTGTGTTACAAGTCTGTTTTCGAACTCAACATACAGCTTCAAATTTATTCTGGTGAGCACTCTGGTGCTAAGAAGGACCACGAGGTGGGTTGGCGTTTAGTCTTTCCTAGTCAGACCAATCGCAGGATGATAGTTGTTTCTTCGTATCAAGGTCGGCGCTCAACTCGTCTCACTGTTTACTGCTTGGACCGAAACTGAAGCAAATTATAAACCAAACCAAGAATCGAGGACTTGGATCCAACGTCCAGGCGTCCTCTCCGGGAAGCCACGGAGTAGTCCGTGGCTACAAAAGTATTGCCAGGTTCTAGCAGAGAGTGCATACCATATGGAAGCCTACTACTAGGGGTTGGTTCAATTTTTATATATTTATGGTGCGGTCGTCACATGTACAGACAAGTACTGATGCGATCAAGATCTAGACGCGCTTCTGCTGAAGTTCCAGCTTATACATCTAACCTCACTGGCGGAGCACGTTCTTGATTTTCAGTGTTCACTTCAAAGATGCTCACTTATGATGCTCCCGGCTGCTATAGTAATACTTCAATCGGAAGCATCACTGGAGGAGGTTGCTGCCACCGTCGAAAACATCAAGTCCTCTTTTTCACGGCTGTCTCAAGAGTGAAGATGCCTGTATAAGTCGTTTGGTTTTCACTCCTTAATTTGATCAATGAATCATAGGACTGATGCATTCCGCGACGCCTTGGTAGAGACGAAAGCTACTGAACCAGTGATGCCGCTGCAGCGTATCAATCCCATGCTAATGTTGCGTCTCCACGACAATATTCTATTCACAATCCCGGGTCTCGTCGCAGCCACAGATAACCGCCCCAACCTTTCGAAAATGATGAGGGGAATAAACGATCACCTCGATGTTGTATTTGGTGACAAATATTTGTCGTGTGACTGGTTCGATCGACCACAGTCATGCCTCCCCGAATTTTACAAAAGGACATTTCACTGAATGAATTCGGAACATTAATCGGTGGGCGGTCGATGACCATCATCTTGCTTTATTCATCAAATCTCTGGTGGATGGTTATCCTCGCATCATCCCAGCCGGCTCGGTGAACAGCGATCTTTTTATATATATCTACGCCATGAGGATGACAATGCTACCACATACCCGTCGACGACCGGCTTGATATCCTTGGCATCATCGAATGGGAATGGTGAAATATTGCTGGCAAATCTGTCGCATTTGCTGCACCTGTGATGTCATTGATACTCGCATTTGATGAAGGCGATAGCCAGCTAAGTATCACAGGACGAAGAGGAAGTCACGAAGATAACCGAGTCGCTCCGGCAGGCAGATATGGCTACCGCGTCCACCGCCGAATTTCGTTGATTCTCAGTATGGGCGATCGTCCTTCGTGACGCGTGTAAGCCACATGAAAAAAACTTTACCAGCTGCCTGGGAACAGAAGTTGCGGAGTGGGAGATACGGCATTTGAGTGCCCCAGTGCGTATGTATTAAATTGAACACAGCATCCGTCACTGGTGGTATATTACTGTAACGTCGAGCTGGTCGCCCGTTTGAAGCACCCTGGTCTGGAGCTCTCGTCTGGACGGTCGTTCCATGCAAGCAACAATATTTGTGAATATCATACGCACATCGGCATGCTACACGGACTTACGTAAGAATTTGCATAACAACCTATGATACGAACCTTCTATAATTATAGACCCATGGCCAAGCTTGTTCAATACTTCAGTTTCAGATACTATAAAATGCAAAAGAGGAGGCTTCTCTCATACCTAATTGCTCACTACTACATACACAACCCCGCTCTCAGTGACTCACCGTCTGTTAGTGAACCATGCCGACACTCACTAACGTCGATTGGCTGGTCCTATGTCTTGTTGGGGTTGGAGTGTATCTAGTAAAGCAAGTGTTCAGCAAGAAGAACCCTGCACCATATCCACCCGGTCCCCCAGGATGGCCTCTCGTTGGCAACATCACTGACGTGCCTAATATCAAGCCATGGCTCACCTTCGCCAAGTGGGGCAAAAAGTATGGTAAGTACCTCTTGTTTTTTCCAAAGTTGTTTGTTTCAATCACTGCATGCAGGTGACATATCGCATGTCGAGGTATTTGGTCAGCACGTGGTAGTGCTCAACTCCGTCGATATTGCAGCAGAAATGCTAGAAAGAAAGAGTTCCGTGTACTCTGACCGTCCTGTATTTCATATGGGTGGTGAACTCGTTGGCTGGAAGCACTCCTTGCCTCTTCTCCCATACGGTAACCGTTTTCTCTGGTACCGAAAGACTTTCCACCACTCCATTGGCGATCGCGTCACCTTGGACAAATACCACCCGATCATACAGATGGAGACCCACAGATTTCTGAGACAGGTACTTGCAAAACCAGACGAACTGGAGGCTCATGTTCGACAGTATGGTTTATTTATTCTGATCTTGGCTTGATCTTCCATTTTTATAGCACTGCTGGCGCGATCATTCTGCGCATCTCTCATGGATATGAAGTGAAAGATAATGATTCCTTTGTTGACCTTGCAGACCGCGCTCTGAGCCAATTCTCGCGGTCCATGAGTCCTAATGCCTTTATGGTTGACATCATGCCATTTTGTACGTTATATTATTCTGACGTTTGTTTGCAATGGCCTAATTTTTTAGTGGCCAAGGTCCCCGAGTGGTTCCCTGGTGCTGGCTTCAAGCGCCTGGCCCGTGAATGGCACGAGACTGCCGAAGAGATGGTTGATGCCCCTCACAAGTTCGTCAAGGATCAGATGGTGATGAACACCTGTAGTTTTACGATCTTGCATTAAAATACAAATTTTACAGGCTGCTGGTATTGCGCCGAAGTCTTTCACCTCATCTCTATTGGAAGGCCGTACTTTGTCTGCGGAAGAGGATCACATGGTGAAATGGTCTGCTGCATCTCTATACGGCGGTGGTTCCAACACGGTTGGTCTTCCCTTTATATTCCAATCATCATACTTAAAGACTAACATTATTGCCTCAGACTGTTTCGGCAATATACTCGCTATTCTTGGCGATGATACTTTTTCCTGATGTGCAGAAGAAGGTTCAGACTGAAATTGATGCTGTGATTGGTCCCGATCGTCTTCCCTCATTTACTGACCGCCATTCCCTCCCTTATACTGAGGCGCTTACGAAGGATGTCCTACGCTGGAATGTTGTCACCCCTGTCGGTATGTGTATCTAGTTTGTCGTATTCTTTAGTTACCAAGCGGTATCTCACGACAGGTATCCCCCACTGCGTGACTGAGGATGATATCCATAATGGGTACTACGTTCCAAAAGGTTCGTCGATAATTTCTAACATCTGGTTGGTACTCCGCCTTTTCCGTATCCGAGGCAGAAATTAATTCTTTGAATTGCGATAGGTTTATGCTCAATGACCCGCGGACATATGATAACCCCTCACAATTCACGCCTGAACGCTTTTTGGCCAAGGATGGAAAGAGTCCCGAGAGAGACCCTCGTACAATCTGTTTCGGCTTTGGTAGACGGTACATCTTGAGTTACTTTTTGAACAAAATGCTAACTGTATTGCAATTTGCAGTATCTGCCCAGGTATGCCGAACTCACGCTGTACACCAGGCTCTGATGTCGCTTGCTTTGCTTTTGCAGGTCGTCACCTTGCTAATCTCACTGTTTGGCTATCCGTTGTGATGTCGCTTGCAGTATTTGATATTTCCAAGGTTGTCGAGAACGGTGTTGAAATCACCCCGGAGCTTGACCCCTCAACAGGTACAATCAGGTTTGTCGCGCTTCTTATCTGCGTTCGCGGTCTGGTTTGGATATACACACTCGCAGCCACCCCAAGTCCTTCAGGTGCTCTATCAGGCATCGCTCTGCAAAAGCCTTTGAGCTCATTCAGCAGGATATTTGAAATTTTGAACACAATTTGAAATTATCATCACACGAAGTTCATTAACGTCTACTAGTACCATTCATGCGCTAGCTGTTGTCATGGTCGGCCACAGATTACAACGGATGTACTATCTCAAGCTCGCGTGTCACGGACATTTTGTTGCGTACTCTTGTTGCTGAGTCTGACGACAAACATGCATTATATTATATCTACGTGCGGCGGCTGGATTTGGCACAGTACTATGCATGCCGTCGAGACGATGTCGATTAGGTACGGTGATAGAGATGACAGGGTCAATTAAAATTGTTTATAGACAACAACTCCATGTACTGATAATTAGCGTGTCGAAGTTGCGCACAAGCAACAGAATACATAGTAACACGAGAATACTATCCATCTGAGTCTCACCATCAACTTGACACAGATCGCGACTCGGACTTAGTAATCTTATTTAGTAGACCATACAGTCATTTCTCCAAAGAGTCACTGAGCTCAAGGATTAGAGCCAGGTCAGTCTTCAAGGGATGCTCAATGGTCTCAAACTGTCACTGCTCTGAGATTGTCTCGGCGGACACCGCATCAACACCTAGAGTTACAGGTGTTCCATCGTACCATCGTACGCCCTTTGCTGTAGCTTATTATGAGCAGTTGCATTTTGACGCCCTTGACAAGTCCGTCAACGCCTGGGTCTGAGCGAGCGATACGAGAAAAAATTCAACACAAAAGTATCATACTGCCAGCAGATGGAAAGTCCCTTCTAATAAGTTTTACCGTAGGATGTGCACGATACATGAATATGGCTCTCATCAGGTCTTGAACACTACAATGAGGATGAGGAGTATTAGTATGAGAAGAGCGATCGTGACTGTAGAGCCTAAACCCAATAAATGAGTAAATTGAACGTTCGCAGGTCATCAATGATGTGAGTTACCATTTCGTTTCGCACCCTGAGCAACACGTTCAAGTTTGCGCCTCGCGCTGGACATGCGGGCACCGGTACCGTCGAGCTCAGTGTCCAGGGCATCAAGAAGTCCTGTATGTACCTCGAGCTCGTCGCCAATCTGGAGCGAAATGTGATGCTGTCGACCAATTGAAGAAGAAAGGTGGTCAAGATGAGCATCTTGCGCTAGTGAATCGGATGTTAGAGATCATAAGTTAGGTTTTGGCGGTGAGCTTAAGCCTGACCATCCATCATCTGCCTCTGTTGCATCAAAATGCCATTCTCATCTGGATCCGGTGAGGGTTCGTCGGTGTATGGTTCGTAGGTTGTCTCAGGACTCGGAACACGTTCAGCTAGAGGTGGGGGTGATGGTGGCATCGGAGGGGGTATACTGGTATGAAATTTGAGAACACGTTGCAATCACGGAAGGCACAACACACGTATGTAGTCCAGCCTTCTCTGCTGCTTCTTCCCCAAACATACCGCGCAGCCGTTCGTAGTGTGCTCTAAGACTTTCCGCAGCTTCATCATCGGAAGTGGTGCGGAGGACTATGACACCATCCCTAATCTTATGTAAATTGGTTGATATTGTTTGAAGATGTAAAGTGGGATGGGAGGCCTGGAGACGCTGCCGTTCGAGCAGGAGAGAAAGTGTTGAGGTAGCAAGAGATGTCAGCTTCGCAGCGGACATGGTTTATGCACAAAGGTGGGACTCCGGGGCCCCTCGAGCGGAGTGGATGAACGGGTGTTGAGAAGGAAGAGAAACTTTGGAGGAGCTCTCTGAGCTGAGAGTCTGAGAGCTGTCGATATTAAAGTTTCGCAGCCCTGAGGCGGGTGTTGGGCAACTTGGAGCTGCGAGCACCACGAGTCACATGTCACATCACGTGAAAGAAACACGCGTCCTGAAGCGACACCAGCGACTCAGCATCTCCCCTTCACAAACGGAGTAGATACGCACTAGCGATGTGAAAGCTGCCAGAGGCTTTAATGAAGCCCTGGTGTGTGTAGCAAGCATGAGATACGCATGTAGCGTTGATTTTATCAGCGACGCCTATCTTATCTTATCTGATCAGTATCTAACAGGCTAATGATCAGGTGACCCTTGAAGTTACTTACAATCTCCAGCACATGCTGCACGAAAGCCTCTTGACGCGCAATCATCATGTCAGATCAGTCTTTGCCTCCCGGTGCTCTGGAAGCATTACAACGCCCTTCGAATGCTGGAGACCGCTCCATAATTCGCAAACTATCTGATTTCGATCAAGGCTTACTTGCGGTTTCTGCATCGCACGATAAGAATCTGGGAGAATCGACACACAAATTTGACCTTCTTTGTCCCCGTAATGGATGCGGTAGCGTCATCTTGAAAGCGGGCGTCGGCCGATGTGTAGAGCGTGATAGCGTCGAGGTCCGGCTCGTTCCTGATTAATCCATGTCATCGACGTCACTCAGCGATGTCGTTAGCTCGATATTGCAAAGGAGCCTCTTCACCCAGACCTGCCAGCACTGCCAGATCCACCTGCGACTACGCACTGGTGGTTGGTGACTCCAAATATAATGGACTTTGAGAACATTGGTTTTACAAAGCCTGTCCAGAAAGACGGTCAGTATAACGCTGGTTTCTATTCCTATTCACCTGCCCTGATAATGGAACGCCAGCAGTTGCAGCACAAAAGCTCAAGTTCCTGATTTGTGCAGAGTGCGACCTTGGTCCATTGGGGTGGTGCGAAGAAGGGGGTCATGAATTCTGGCTAGCTTGTTCACGTGTGGGATATCGCTGAGACACATTCTGTCATGTTAATTGGGAATTAGTGTTTACAGACCGATACTGAACAAGTCACGAAGCAGGATAAGAAATAACGACTGCATGTGTAGCAACGAACTGGGATCTGCCGATGCTGAACCTCGCTGAGGTGGCACCTCAGAAGGCTTGACTCTCACCGTGACTATGTTCAAATCCGTCTGCCCAGAATAGACTCGAGAGACCCTATGAAATGAGCTTAGCCATGAAAGACCCCGACGTGTTTATTGAATCTCTCCAGCGGTCTTGTGGAGTTGTGACGCATATCACATTGATGGATGCTCGAAGTTCTGTTCTCGTCGTCTTAAAGCTCAGGCTGTCTCCGTTGCACTTGCGCCCGCGTTATATCATGGTTGTTTGATCATGCCCAGGTACACACTCGATTAGAGAGGCAGGGGCAAGTGCACCAGCCTTTGGATGATGTCCCTCCGCACGACAACTATAACATCCTGTCTCCTCATGTTTCCAGCCAAGTCTTCGTCTCCCAAGGTCCCTCTGTATCGTACCACAAACAGTCATAAAAGATAAATCCTCATCTGTGAACTGGCTCTAACGAGATAAGTCCAAGTGAACAGTGTAGATGACAAGCAGACATGACTTCCGAAGCATCCTCAACTCGTACAGACCCGATGTACCAGAACCTAAGACACTGGAAGAGTTCTTGATGCATTCTGTTACACCTGCCAGTGATGACTTCGAGATACATTGCTCATTCTACTCCCATGATACCCCACATTGCCTTTCCAACAACCGCAACTCCATCATTTTGATTGCCCGCACGACTCTGGCCGTCATCGACAACTTCAGTGCCCAAGAGTTCTCGCCGTGCGCTGAGGAGCATACGCATTATGGACTCTGTGAATTCAGGGTGACCTTGGCTGGTGAGAATATGAATATCAGTCAAGCGGAAATTCAAGGGCGGTGCATCCCCCGAGGATTCTGACTGCGAAAAGCGGACCATCCCATGATTTCGTGAATGATCAGACGAAACAATAATGTGGAATGAGGGTGGTGTGGTGGGAACGTGGTCCCGATTCATCAAATGAAGGTTCTTTATGAGAGTATGAGCACCATAGCAACGGACACTGAGAAACTCCAACCAAAGCACCAGATTCGACCCCGTATACTTTCTTTCCGAGCTCATTTAGTCGCAGCTTTGTTGCGGAAACTTCACGCGTGTTGCGAACACATGTCCCGCCCATGGCAAGCGCGATGACCTGATGTCCGAAGCATACACCTGTTGAAGCTGATTTCAATGCTCAAAGTGTATCATGAAATATATTCACTGACCGAAAATCTTTATCCGCGGTTTCTCTGTAGCGACATACCTCACGTACTCGATCAGTGTTTGATCCATTCCTTGCCTGGCTGGTCATATTCGTAGGCGGTAGCAGCTACGCATACGTCGGGCAGAATTCAAATAGACACACACATCCAAGTAATATCAACGCACCAGCCTCAGTGATTATCATTGCATCGTATTTATCATCTTTAGGATAGATCTGCGTGTACACGTCGAAAGGCTCGAGCGTGAAGGTCGTTTGCGAGTCTGCATCGGTGTGCAATTGAGCCTACGGAGTCCTTCTAGAAGTGCACGACGAACCAACTGAACGAGTGTGATTTATGGGCTGGAGTGATTTCTCTAGCAAGCTTCCAAAAATCCTTGTGTAGTCGCCATGTTTTTCCCGGATTGCATCCACAGGTACGTCGCATATGAGGAGTGCGATACGGCGATGTAGACTCGGCTCACACATCGCGAGGGGCTAGCTATCAGCCGATAAGATCGCTTAGCTCCTACTTTAGGTGGGAAGGTAAATACTCACCTCTATCCCCAATTTCTGCAAAGGTACTTATACAGTCGCTTCGGAAGCGCCGGGTGGCCGAGCCGAACAGAACATCACGATCGCGAAGATAAGATACGCTGAATGGTGCAGCGAAAGATAAGAAACCAAACGTCGACGGCAGGCTCTTGGACGGATCCAGACAAGATTGAATTACTATACCTGAGAGATCAGCAGAATGCTTAGATGTTGTGGTTACTAAAGAAAATCGAAGAGACCAGATGACAATCGTCGATGCGAAGAACCATCGTTATATCTGAAAAGAATGAAGCAGTAAGAACACACACAAGTCCGAACAGGTAACATGTTATGTGGTCTCCGCTGGTGTCACGTATGTGTGATGAGTTCAGGACATTCCGCGGGACTCGATGATATCATCTTATCTGAAGAGGTACAAGTTCTCTTGGGAAGAATTATGTTACACATGAAGGCCCCGAAAATAAAGTCAAGGTAAATTTGTCATTCTACCCCCATAACACCCCATATGGCCTTTCCAATGACCGCAACTCCATCGTTCTGGTTGGCCTGCCCGACTCTCGCCGTCATGAACAAGTTCAGGGCCCAGAAGCTCTCGCCGCAAACGGAGAAGTAGATTCATTATGGACTCCGTGAATTCGGGGTGGCCTTGACTAGTGAGGATATGGATATCGGTCAGGCGGAAATTCGAGTGCGGTGCGTCCTTTGGGAACTCTGACTGGGAAAAGAGAACCATTCCGTGATTCGGCGATTGGCTAGACGAAGAAAGAACATGGAATGATGGCGGCTCAGTGGGAACATGGTCGCGATTCATTAAATGGATGTTCTTGAGAAAGATTGAGTACGATAGCCAGTGGAAGACAAAGATTTCTAACCAATACGCCAGATTCGACGCCGTACACTCTCTTTCCGAGTTCAGTCAGTTGGAGCTTTGTTGCAGAAACTTCGAAACGAGTGTTGCGAACACAAGTCCCGCCCATGGCAAGCGCGACAATCTGATGTCCAAAGCATATGCCTGTTCAACGAGTATCAGTACTTGTAAACCTTGTATGAAATGTATTCATCGACCAAAAATCTTTATCCGCGGTTTCTGTGTCGCGACAACCCTCACGTACTCAATCAACTTTTTCATCCATTCTCTACCTGGCTGATCATATTCGTGGGCAGTAGATGCTGCACATGACAAAAGCAAGGTTCATATTCATGGCATACACATGTCTATGTTTCCACGCACCAGAGCCAGTGATTAGCACCGCATCGTACTCATCCTCTTCAGGGTAAACCTGCGCACGCACGTCGAAAGGCTCGAGTGTGAACGTCGTTTGTGAGTCTGAGTTAGTGATGTGAGATTGAGCCTCGTAGCAGATTCATAGATAATTGTGCAACGAACCAGCTGAATGAATCTCGTTAATGGGCTTCAGTGATTCTTCTAGCAAGGTTCCGAAAATCCTTGTGTAGTCCCCATGCTGCTCCCGAATCGTATCCGCGGGTACATCACATATGAGCAGTGCAATGCGGCGATGAGTTCTGGGCTCAGACATCGCAAAAAACCAAGGGGGACACTGAGTGCAGTCAGCTGATAACCAATGTTACATGATATTGTTGTGATAGCTGATATAGATATACAGCCTGTTGGGATGGAATGACCGGCGGGGTTTTACCCGGACTCCGATGGTAAAACGAGCACTGCCACTGACAGCGCATTCAAGCTTTTACTTAACTTTTACTTCAATCCGTTTCAAAGTTCTCGCAGCATCATCATCCGTGGTCTCTTTCAATGGGCGAGGTCGTAAACGCTATCGTCGCTTTTGCAGTCATTGTTATCATCTTCCGATGGGCGACTTCATGTATGTGATGAACTATCGATTCTACTAATATCTGCGCTTCTAACGAGTTTCTACGGCAGCCAGCGACTCTTCTGGTAGGAGGTCAGCATCTTCGGCTCTTGGTTTCAGGCCAAAGAATGTGACGCAGGACATGGTTGGGCTGGAACCTTTTATGCCCAGTCATTATGCTGAATCACTCCCCGCAGGTCAACCAGATACATTCCATGTTTCCAACTATATCACAGTATGTTCATGCTTAACCGCATTATTTCTGACTTACAATTGTTACAGAGATAATATCCGTTATGACTTACTGAGGACGGGGAGCGTTGAGATCACATCGAATAAAATCCTGGAGCGTGGATATCTTGATGTGGTGTGTAAATATCTCACTAATGTCAATCTCATGCATTCGAGCATTCTCTTTATAGCCTCCGCCAGCATATTTCACTGTTTATCCTCGCACAGAAGTTCCCCCACAACCCCGGCAGGCTACTCCTCAAGGGCAAACGACAGGTTTAGCACCAACTCCGAAAGAGAATCTTATATCTCGTTACAAGCTACAAGACCGAGTGGCATCTTCCACTTTCTCACCTGAAGATGATCTTGCCTTCGGCAAAGCCGACTGGGAGGACACGTCGGAGAAGCGCGAGGCTAGTTTGCAGGAAAGGAAAAGCACAGATGATTTTGGCTGCCAGACAGTGCGTCGGTATCTTTGAGTCAATGCTCTTGGTTAATTAATTATCCTCAGGCGACTGCTGGCACAACAAACTCAGAAGGAAGGGACAGACGTGGCACCAGGTTCTTCGTCACACTAAACATCTCACTGAATAACACGTCCTCGCAGCAATGATTTAGATGCCCTGACTCCTTGCATGATAAGCGTTACCAAACCCTGCTTTGTACTTATTGTTGCTGTTTTGCTCATACATCCCATATCTTATCACATCCTCGACCGGCTGTCATCATTTGCAATTATTTCTTCTGCAGGATCCGACAACAATGTGATGTAATACCTGTTCATTCCTATCCACTGTGTTTCTTGAAGCTACCCCTAGTATGATCAGTCAGAATGCTAGGCTTTCAAACTCTCAGTGGTTTGAGGCTGTCACTGCTGGTGAGTAACTGTGCCTCGCACATTTAATTAACTCACGAAAAGTCACCTTTAGCTGCTCACGACTGGATCATGCGGTACGACAACCGTGTTCATATCATAACCTAGCCAATGATCGACGACATTATTGCCTTGGCGGTCTAATAAAACTAAATATATTAAAATCATACCCTGGGATACCTGCTCAAATGGGTAACAGCGATATGGGCTTGTAATGACTCATGAGCAACTGAGTGGCTTGAGCTCACATCACCATGCAAAGTTCTGACAGATTCTCGGGATACACCCGCCACTTTCAACTCAGACACAGTACGCACCCGATGGCGAGTTGTAGATATACACCAAATCGTCACATATATACGGCTCGCAATCAGATTCGTACACTAGCCACCTGCGCCCAGCTCGTAGTGAATTAAAGATGCCTGAGTGAACGGCGGTCCTCTCTAGCATCCGACTTGGCTTCAGGAGTTGTCATCGTATGATCTTCGACGATGTCTTCTAGCACAGTCTTAAGGATGCTGCACATTATCTCTGTAGGAAACAATTATAGGGAGCAGCGGGACAACTTCCGTTCTCGTGCCGTTGATCACTAGCGACTGGAAGTCATCCTAGTGATCCTACCAGGGCACAGACAATTAGATTCACCAGAAAATGGACCCGTCTTATCTGAATTGACGCAAGGCTTGCATAGTTATATCGTCAGAGGGCGAGCGAAAATACTCAAAGGTAGCAGAACATCGATCAACAGACGGCGCAGTGCAGTTGTGCTGCTGCGGAAGCAGAGTAGTCTCCCCTAGCCAGACCAAATAGAAGGATGATAGTCGTTCCATCTTGATTAGAAGCAAAGAGGGCTCGATGTCAGCGCTCAACGCGAGCGAGTGACGATCGATTGAAAAAAATACTGTTAGTCTACCGGTAAGTCCTGAGGTCCCGGCCGTCATAAAGGTGTAAGATGTCCCGTGTCTATCCAGTGTGTCTTGTTGCCGGTCAAACGTATGCGCCGTCGGGCAATTCGAACATTTTGAGCATCTTTCAATCATGGAGCTATCATGGCCCGTCTGAATAGTGAACCAACGAGCCGGGCGTCCATGGCTTGTTCCTGCTGTCTCGCTTGAAAGCCTATGGATCGTACACCAGTCTCGCATCGCTCCGACTCGTCTGTCGCTGTCGGTGAAGAGGTGTTTAGTTTCGGTGAGAGAATTTATATATTTCTATACTGCAGCAAATAAAGGAAACTGTGAAGATGCGGTGTCCTGTGGGCTGTCCTAGGGTTAGTGTACAAGGTAAGAAAGGTAAGTATAGTACCATATACGAATAACTGAAGCAACTATCAAACAGAGTGCCGGGGATGGAGTGAATCCCTGCAAACGCAAACAACAACAAACATCGGCATCGGCAAGTAAACTGGCCTGATGGATGTCCGGACAACTTTGACTTCCATTTGATCAAGTACTGCCAGTGCTAGTGATCAGGCGTCCATTGCAGAGCAGTCTCCATGCTTTGCCATGGTGCTGGTACCTGTGCAAATATGAGGCATTTACTATCAGCGAATTCTTCCTCGATGCTACCCTCAAAATTTTGAAGTACGCACGTTGTTGCTCGCCTCGCATTCAGGATCGTCATGACCTGAGAAACTATTAGCGTTAAGTTTTGACTCAGTCACTGGGAGTGTCGAGGGCATGCACGATGTACGTAACGCCTACACCATCATGAGGCCAATCGCGCAACGTTACATGATATAGTTTGGCTATGAGATGCCATTGCCACGACTAATGTGAGTCGCAATCATGACTTTTTCACGATACTACCATCCGCGTTAAAGAGGCGAAACGATTTAGTGACTTGAGCTGCCGGGCGCAATGGAATGCTTACTAGTCGCGACTGGCGCAGTCCTATTAGAATGCTCTATATCAACTCAAGCGCTCATCTGCCACGCCTACAGACCTCGGTTTGATTATGTTCAGTGATCCCCGTTCGCACGATGCAAACAACCGGGAAAGGAGTCGACTTTCAACAGGCAGCGATATCAGTACCAGTTGTTCCTAACACGTGATATCCTCGTGCTTGGAACGATACGGCATCGCGATTCGCCAGCGTGAGGGGGCATTGCTTCATAGCGACAGGGGTTATCAGATCGGTTCTCATTGCCGATGCCAACCTTGGACATGAGGTGAAAGCGCCAGGGTCGTTTCCGCTCCGCATGTGATCCCGTCGTTGGATATTTCCGATATACTCAGTGACGCATGGGCAATCCGACATACTAGCTGCTTGAATACCTACGAGTGAATACCTCGCCGCCGCCATAGTATCTACGTGGACTGGTCCATGGTCCTGACCTGATTAAGCTTTTTTTAGAGTTCAGGGTAGTTTCCATAAGAAGTTGGGATATCTCAAGCACAATCACCGTGCGATTTCCGGACTTGCTTGCTGTGTGCGATAATAGTGCGGATATCGAACAAACAATGTGCATGTAAGCACTGCAAAGGAGGTACGGAGAGATAATAATAAAAGAGGGGAGTATTTATTTATAGAATATCGTAATCGGAGACTGAAAATGTGAAATTGTTTATGGTGGATTAGTTTGTATTCGAATTCTTGTGTTCGTTCGTCGTCGTTATGGATGATGGTGAGCGAGAGCACGTACAGAACTGGTTGCTCGCTGAGGACAACACGCGCATCGTTCTACTCACTGTCTCTCTTTCGCCCTCGCTGTTGCTTCCCATCCTTCTCTGGCGGGCAAAGCACGTAGAAAACATTCCCGAGAACGACCACGGACCTGATTCACAGCAAGCTCGTTCTGCTCAATCCATCATCACCGCCGCTCTCTCTACTTTTCATATCGCCAGTAACACTCCTGGTGAGTGTGATATGACCGAACCAGAACAACCGAACACTCCTGAAGCATCATCTACATCTGTCGACATGGAGCAGAAAGCTTCTCGGTCCAAGGAGCGACGCAGAAGAGGAAAAGTTCCACATAAGGAACTTCTCAAGGGCGGGAAGAAGGCAAAGTCCACACCCAGGACCACACAGCCTAAAAATTCCGTTTACCGAGACAACAGCGGTAGCGAATCTCCTCTGTTCGAGTCAGAGTTCAAGTTGACCACAAGTAACGATAATATCGCGCCAGTCGCGCCATCCACTTCTCGTCTACTTCCACCTACTCCAGATCCTCCTGAAGAGAATCCGGTATCCCATTCGAGGGCAGAATCACCGCCAGCGGTTGAACCCCACGAGGACCGCCTGCTACCTGCTTGCATGTCAGCATCCAGTTCTGAGCCAGCATCCGTTTCGCGTCACGTCACGTCCAATAAACCCGCCATGCGTACTTCACGCTCTGAACATACGCACCCGCATGGCACCCGCTGACAACATCCAACCTGCTGGCAGCCCCTGTCACGACGATCCCGCCCCCTCCATGCTAGAAACCATCTTCCCCAACCACCTCCACAGAAGATCATGAAAGTCATGAACGTGCATCCTCATCCACTTCCTACCCTCAATCTCGTTCTATGCCACTCCGCGTATCTACATCTACCCACGCGTTGGATATGGACGAACAATCACAGGCACACAGGGCAGGCGCTCACACCAAGCCTCCACGATTAACGTCCAAGCACCGTGGAGCTGACAAGTCCAATGGGAGTCGCGTAATTTCAGCGTCTATCTCGCACAACACCCTCTTGGCATCATCATCATCTGCCTCTCACTGTGCTTCTCCCGCACGAATTACGCTATCCACCTCTGCATCCGCATCCAGTTCCCCCGTTACACCCCAATCTGGGATCGAGTATTGAACCACCACCATCTCCCTCCGGCTCTTCCTTTCAACGTCCTCCTTCGCCAACACTTCCACATGTCACATTTCCTACTTTGAACCCTCTTCAGGCGTCTCCTAATGATCACACACATACCCACTCGAGCACAATCGAAAGTCCTATTATGAACGGAAAGAAAGTCCCGAGTCCGCAATACCAACTGCTTCGCGAGGCTCGACGCCTCCACTAGGAGTATCTATTCATACTGTTCATATAGGCTCGCATGCTGGCCCATTAAGTGCTCAAACCCAGCTCGCGTCCATGCGTGGTGCACTTGAGGCTGCGAGGCTACGAGAAGAGAAAACTCGTGCGGACGCTGAACGTGTGGAGAAGGAAAATGAAGAGTTAAAGTGGCGATGGAATGAGGATACGATGGCTTGGAGGAGGAGAGAAGGCGAAGTGAGTATTTACTCTTCACTGAGCCTCCCATTATGCGGTGGTCTTCGTTATTATCGTTTCACTAACATATTCCTCAGCTACAAGCCCAAGTCCATCATCTCATGCAGCAGCTTCAGGCAGCATACTCTGTCCTTACAACCTTGCAATCCCAGGCACAGGCCCAAGCTCAGGCCCAATCTCCCTCATCGTCTTACTCCTCTCCCTCATCGCCATCCCCACGCCTGCAACCACACAGCCCCAATATCTCTCACAATGGCCTTCCCCCAAATTTCAGTCACAATCCACCCGCACACGTCCAAGCACTCCTTGCATCATCCTACCACCTACCCCCGGCTTTACAGGTACTTATGGAGGTGCAGGGATGTCGCCTTTATTCTCCAGTCTGAGAATGACTATGAGTCCGGGAAGCAGCGTGAGGGAACGGCGGTGGCAAAGGCCAATATACCCCTGATACGACTTCCTCGGCCGGGTCATCGCCATCACGTGGGAGGGCGGCGACGGCGCGATTCGGCATCTTCGTCTGCTCAGAGAATAATAGTGAAGACATGAGCATCAGCGAAGCAGAGGAAGACCAAGAGGACATATGGCAGAATAGTATACTGGCCGATGCGATTCTGAAGCGCCCTGAAAGCTTGCGTGTGTCCAGCCGAGGAAGTCTTCGATCTGATGGACGCATGAGCGCTATGGGAGCGGGACAAGTGGGAAAGAGGACGCAGGACGTGTGCCTAGCAGGATGAGCGAGAGATCAGATGCTTCTGCAAGCGGAGGCAGCTACGGGGTGCTGAGTATGTCGAGTTTGTCATCGGGTAAGAGCGAAGATGAGACGGGTGGCGTCATCGCAGACGGCGATTCTACTCTGGCAGAAGTGACCCGAGGTACTAAAGCTGGCGGCGAGGGAAACGTCGGATCCCGACGTACCTGCGCAAGACAGCTCGTTCTGGGTCCCAACTCCAGCTCCTTCGAACGGCATTCAATAACCACCAGAGGTTGGGTGTTGACTCATAGCGTAATGTATCCTCCCTCTGCACCCCTACGTTTTCTTCCACCACTTTCGTTACTTTTATACGATACGATCGATCCATGGGGACTTGGAATTTGGATGTCGAGTTTGTATAATTGTATATCTTCAGATTATTGTCATAATACAAGTATCATGATTGAGCCTTCGGTTGCGTCTGAAACTGCTTGGGGTCGGCTTGCGTCGACGCTTGAACTGCCAGTGGACGGACTCCTCTTTCAAAAACTTCAAAGCTTCAGACACTACTATGGACGACCCCACGCATACCACATATGAATTTCCCCATTCTACTCCCTCGGCTTCCTAGGAACACAGGGAAAATATAGATGGTTACAAGCCAGGTGGATATCACCCGGTAAACTTAGGCGACACATTTCCTTCGCGGGAGATACCGAGTTCTCCACAAGCTCGGAGTGGGATCAATGTCAACGGTCTGGCTCGCCAAGGATGCGTAGAAAGCGAGCTCTAACGTACCCTTGTAACCTGTTGATTGATTCAAGCTTGGGATATCCTCACACGGGGTGACGCTGAAAATAGTCATTGCCGATCTTTCAAGTAACAACGGAGAATCTGCAATCTTAGAATGGCTGAGCACTAGACCTCGTGATCATCCTGGTGCCAAACATATTGTTCAAGTAACATGATTCCTTTCAGATACAGGGTCCCAACGGAATGCACCAAGTGCTCGTGATGGACGTACTTGGATCATTATACTCGCTTATTCCCCCAAGATGGCTTTCATCAACAATGGTTGAGTGTATGCCATCAGGTTATGCGGGACTAGCATACCTTCACCAGGAAACAGTAGTGCATGGGTCGTTAAGCGGATGGCAGTGGTTCTCCAAGATTGTTGACTGCCATGGATGAGTCCAGATATACATTTTGGGAACTTCGGTTTCAAGATACCCAGTATCAACCAATACACAGAGATTGAAATGTATCGACTCATACGGGAGCCGAAATTGATTCCTGTGATACCACACTATCACTGGGTACCAAGCAATTCTCTTCCAAAGTACCTTGTGGCGGTACCGGAGACTGCGCACTTTATGCCTAAAGTGTTCGCGGAGATCCTAAGAGACAAGCTGACGGTGCAGATTATAGATTTTGGTAATGGTCTGTCACCCTTTCTAGGGTATTATAACGGTCAACTGACCCTTGTGAATACTAGCATTTCGATTACAGGATGGAAGACCTCTGAAGCGTCCAGGCACGTGCCACGTACCATCCGTCCCCCTGAGTTGACGTTCTACGAGCTATCCGGCGGTCAAGTCAAGATGAGTAGGGCTTGCCCAGCGACGTTTGGTCGATGGCCTGCATGGTAAAGTCTCTTCCCTCCGACTGACGTAGAATGACATTATGTTTGCGCTATAGATATGGGAGATAGGGTTTTCAGATGTGATGCTCGCAAAAGCAGCGACGACGACAACAGGCTTATCTATGAAACGATGAAACTCGTTGGCCCATTGCCGGAGCGGTGGAAACCGTACTGGGATTCGAAGTGTTTCGAAGACTGGTACAGTTACGTTGTGGTTGTCGATTGCATCACTGACAGGTATTTTTAGGCAACCTCACGATTGACCCTGACGCAACATGCCAGCCACGATATGTTCTCGTCTAATTTTTGTCACTACGTTCATACAGTGGAAACGTCAGTGTCTTGCAAGTCCGCATGTCAAAAACACCCAGTTTTAAAGAAGTCACCTTTGCCGGAATCTTGATTCGTGTAAAAATTTGACTGTCCAATGGGTGAGTTTGCAGTCCGTGATTTTCAGTCCTGAGAGGTGACGAAAATGTATTTGCTGAGTGTCTACTACAGGAAGAAGTGTCTGTTGCACTGTGCAGTTGGGAGTGATGTGTAGAATTCTGTTGTGTTATATATATTTGCTAGCTACCAAATACGTCCATTCCTGGACCCCCGCCTTGTGCGGAGTTGTCCAAAGTGTGGGAATTGTCGCGAAATCAATAGTTTGCTGATGTGTTCAGCAGATATAGGATTTCCATTCGACTTTGCAACATGTTCAAGGTACGCAAGAACTGTCGTTTGAAGAGAATATTTCGAGACTGCAATCAAGGAGGGGAAGCCAGGTCCACGTTATTCTCCAAGCGGACCACCTTGGATTTAGGGACGAAAACACGATGCTCATCAACCCAACTCAAGACCTTTTTAAAGTTTTCTGCATTGATAGGAATGTTGAAGTTAGGAAAAGGATCTTTGACTTCCCTCCACCCAGTCGTAAGTGAGCATCGTCACGTCGCTGCGACACATAATGTTCTGCCTGAGCATTTCGATGCAATGGTCTGAAACCAATCAGCTCGCCAAAGTGATTACCACAACGGAATCAAAATCCGTTTTCTGTTGGACTACGCACTGCCGAACAACAGCGTTTTTCTTTTCATCGGAACGCACGGAGCAACTTCGCCCTGACTGAAGTGGTTACTGCAACATAATCAAAATCTGTCTCTTGGACTGTACCAGTGCAGGTTCAAAACCTGCCAATGAGTTTTTTTTTCCATCCGAACACGCCTTGAAGATTCTCTGATGGACAGTTCCTCAGAGGCTCATCTCAACTTCGCCCTGACCAAAGTGGTTACTTGCAACGGAATCGAAATCTGTCTCTTGGGCTGACACTACCAGTACAGGTTCAAAACCTGCCGACGAGGTTTTTTCTATCTGAATACGCCTCGAAGATTCATTGATGGACAGTTCCTCAGAGTTTCATCTCAACTTTGCCTTGGCCAAAGTGTTACTATCACAGAATCGAAATCTGTCTCTTGGACTGTACCAGTGCAGGTTCAAAACCTGCTGACGAGGTTTTTTTCTCTCAGAACACACCCTGAAGATTTACTGATGGACGTTTCGTCGGAGGTTCATTTCAACTACGCCTGGCCAAAGTGGTTCCTACAACAGAATCGAAATCTGTTTGTGTCGGACTTGTGCAAGCTCGAAACGTGCCGACGACAAGGTTTTTTCTATCGGAACATACTTGGACATTCACTCATGGATGGATTCCTCGGAGGCTCATCTTAACTGGTCTTGACAAAGTGGTTACCACAGCAGAATCAAAATCTGTTTCTCTTGCAGTCGGTTCGAAACCTGCTGACAACATTTTTGCAGTGTATAGATCCTTAGAGCTCCGTCTTAACTAGGCCCCGTCATTACGCCGAAACCTCCTTTTTATGTGATAGTCTGTCCATGAAATAGAATTCACCTTCACGCCTCGTGCGGATTGTCTGAGAAACATCCATAGATTTCCCTTATGCAGCCAAGGCCGTCGGAACGAAACTTCTTTCACCTCCTCCACATGTGTTATGTCGAGCTCCCCATCCCAGTAAGAGCGGTAATTAAAGATGCCAAATTCTGCGCATTTACAGGAGGTTTACCCCCGCAATCATAAGCGGATCCTAGAACCGAACTTCGAGATTGCAATTGTTGTTATCAAAATAGGCCTTCATTGGATATACCGCAGCAAGAGTTTCTGAAATAGGATGCTGATAACGACTCGAAAGAGTTAACTGTATGCTGCCAGGGCCGCTATCGTGACCACCTGACGTCAGTTGACGCTGACTTTTTTTAGCCCTGGAACGCGTACCGATGGTAGAAAGGACCTGAAAGATTTCATGCGTAGTTTAGTTGGCACTAGTGGGACGGCACGGATCACTCCTCATGGATACCAGTCAAAAATCAGGAAGAACCAGAAGATAACAAATGCCCAAAAGTCCTGCGGTCCATAGTACAGAGTGTTATGCAAGCAGGAACTTTAAGTATATGAGAAAAACAATTCACGGCAGCCAGACTTTGAATGTCCTGTCTGACGAGACATTAATAAGGATGTCAAAGAAATCCTCAGACTTTTGCTGGTCATATGGTCCTCGTCCACCATACCTACCACTGCGTCTGTCCCGGAGGCGGCGGTCCAAGGCCACGGCGCCAATGCGAGTGAAATAGCGACAAGCTGATCTCTAGAGTTTTTGGCCTCGGCGAGGAGCGCGACTGCGAGAGGTCTCCAAGAGGTTCGTCTCTTGTTTCTTTCTCCGTCGGCGCTGATGTTGTCGATGCACTGAGTTATCGCGCGCCACGATGAGTATACTGGGTGTTCTCCACGGCAGTCTCTCGGCAAGTCAGCCGGCTGCTCGTGTTTCACTCTCCGCGACAGGAAACAGCACACCAACCTTGCTTGACAGTTTATTCCACTGCATTCCAGATCATAATCTGGAAGGGGTGGGTACCCCCCCGCCCCTGAAGTCACTCGTGGAATATTCATTTCACTTTGATGTGTATTTTTGGCAGTTGATGCGGCTTGCACCAGCTTGCAACCGCGACAATCCCCGAGCCGGTGTATCGGAGTTCAAATTGCCAAATTGCGAATGTGAATTACGTACGAAGAGAGGCCCCTGTTGCCGCTAGGCTATGTAGACCATGTGCGGCATTAATAATTAGTCTAATGATGACATGAGTCAATGTTTCCTCCGCGAGTCCCATATCCATCATCCATACTTGCAAGCTTGAGGCCCAGGGTGTCAACTTGTCCGTTACAGGCTACCGCAGATGTCCGCACGTGAGTTACAATCTATCTGCTATATTTAATTTTGTCTAACCTTCGCTACTCTTCCTGAATCCAAAAATGCTTGGATTGAATATTGAGGTATTTCATTCTTGAAGCCTCTGAAGGCCGTGCAGCATGGATGAGTCTAGTCTAAGCAGAGCTGTGGCTTTGTCCCATGGTCTGTCCTGATGCCCGAGCCCCCCAAGCCAGGCCCCACACCACTAGTCTTTCTTATCACTTTCTCGCGTGAGAGGACCTGCTCTATGCACTGAGCCGATTCGAAGATGCATTGATAAGACTTCGGGCTTGACGGTCTTGCCTCGTTTGGTTTAATATTGTGTGTGCTAAGTGATTTTTCAAGAGACTAACGGCTGATTAACTTGAATACTACCGTTCACTTGGAAACAATCCCTTGCAAAAGTTATGAGTGGATAAGGCTTCAGCCAATTTAGGTGACCTGAGTCATGAGTGGACCTACGAAAAGGTATAAAGCCCTCTTGAATATTTCAACATAATGCATTGATGAAGTACTAATCATACCTCTCAACTCAAACATGAAGCTTTCTCTTGTCTTCAGCACGCTCGCATCCCTGGTGGTTCTTGCTACGGCATACCCCACGCAAGGAGCCACTGGCGTCGCAAAACGCTCCAGTGAGTATTCATAACTCATCGCCATGCGGAGGTTGATAAGCGTAACTTGCTGCTAGATGTAGAGAAGCGCGAGGATCTTAACTTCCAATACTACGAGAGGGGTGAGGAGAAGCGCGAGGATCTTGACTCCGAAGCCTTGAAATACCGTGACATTTACAAGAGGGGTGAGGAGAAGCGCGAGGATCCTGACTCCGAACCCTTGAAATACCTTGACATTTACAAGAGGGGACGAGAAGCGCTAGGATCTTGACTCCGAAACCTTCAAATACATTTACTAGTACAAGAGGGGTGAGCGCGAGGAGCTTGACTCCGATACCATCCATTACGCATCATACTACTAGGTCTGGCATCGCTGCAGCCTCGCCCACAAGTCACTTCTCTGTACAAATACATATTTGTCTGATTGCTTGGTTTCCAATACTTTCATGCCCGTGCAATATAATCCCAGTTGCCTGACTTTTTTGACTCAAGTACAGACCCAGCGTTCTTGCTTCTAAGCTACCATCTGGTGACATTAGTGGTAGTCAGAGTGGACGATTTTGAGGTGATTTGGCCTGCGATTCAGAAAACGATTTGGACGCTGAGAATCGGATTTGATGTCGAATCGTGCTGAATCGTCGAAGCGCCTCTGGAGGCGCTTCACGCGATTCTGAATCGGATTTTAGCTGTACCCCTCTTATTTTACATTACAAATGTCTAATTAAATAGACTTATTCCGCAAGCAGGCGTCCGACAGGCATCTCCATTGACTTGGAAAGCTCAAAAAAGCACAACCATGATCAATAATGTCAAGTGCGTGAAATATATCAGAAAACAGATACTTAAAACATATGTATAACTCACCTTAGGAACTGTCAGTTTTAGTATACACACCTATTTACGAATCCAACCAGAATCGCGTTGAGAATCCGTTCTCGCTGCGGGGTGTTCAAAGTGGATGGCGATTTTCATGCGATTTTCGAATTTTGAATCGTCTCGTAATTATGAGGGACCCCTTTGGACAAAAATAAAAACTGTACTTTGCGCTGGAAAAACTGAGAAATGAGAGAAAAAACCTTGCACTATCTGAAAAAAGTCACACTTTAAAAAAAAAAGTAACGCTTCAAAAAAAGTCACGCTACTTAAAAAAATGTCACACTGAGAAAAGATCACACTCAAGAAAAAGCAACAATGCCCGCTGCCTCTTGAGATCTCGAGACCTAAGGCCTAGGTCTTCGAAGTTCTAGTAGTAGCTGCTGATAATGATCTACCATGATGACTATCGTAGCGGTGACAAGCCGGCAGTCCCCGACTCTGCCTGCCTTTTTCTCTTCTCTTTCTCACGCCAAGTTGTCATTCAACATGTTCTTCTTGTCCGAGTCCATGATCCTCCAGCACTCTGATGGCTCTAATATTTGCTCTGTATGTGTTCATTCTTTCGCCTATGTGTCACTCAAGGTGACGTACAGCTGTCCCAGCACTGACAACCATGTTCTGCTGGCACAAATCAAAATGTGGCCACAATGTCACTCTGCGCCTTCCCAAACTCATTATTAAACCCCATTATGTACAGTACGCCCCCGTCTACCAATCCAATTCACAAACCTGCACGCACCTCCATCTATCTGCTTCTGTTCACTCGATTCTGAATACAACCCTGCTCCATCACATTTCACGCCTACTAGTACATTGACCTTACCTTTCACTTGATCAACTTCAGGCTCATCTAACTATAATGTTTCATCCCCTGCTTCTAGAATCACTCCTATCACTTCTACTCCATCCTCGTCATTACCTTCATCTTCTGCTCACACTGCTAACATGTACCTCACAAGCGCACCTCCAACCTCCACCTCTACGCTCGCACAAGCACACCTCCACCTCCACCTCTTCGCTCGCACAAGCACACATGACTGCGCAACCTCAGACTCTCACCACGACGGTCCCAAGCACATCAAGACCAAGTTCACGCTCGTGAATACAGGCGCGTTTGTTTACTCACGAGTATTTTTATGCACTTTTCTCATTCAAGTTTGCATACGACGTTAATGTTGTTGATGTTCTGCATGTTTGTTCACAGGTACACATTCCAGGACCCTCCCTTCGCCAAAACTCACCTAACTGTGCCCTCAAAGTGTATTAGCTGCAGGTAAACCCTTCGCGGGTGCAGGTACAGGTCCCAGCTCATTGGGTGCGGATATGGCCTCCGGTACCTGTTTAACCGTGCTGATCCCTACCTGTCGTTATCTACCATATGTAGTACTTGAATTTCTGAAGCAATCAACTATATTTAATTGATCTCTGGCGCTCGCTGACAATGCCCCTTGCCTTGAGCTACCACCCTACCTATGGACACAGAACCTCCACTCCCCTTGGCAACTATTTCTCTGGCTTTCGAGCATCTCAAGAATGACGTTCGGAGAGCACTCAACACACAAGTAGGAGATGTAGCCCGATTAGATGAGCAAATTGCTATGTGCATGAACCTTGAGCGGCACATTCAATATGTGAGTCCTTTGTTCAATTAGTGGATGTATGACTTATGAGGACCAGCACGCAACAATCATTCCAGCAAATGATCGCCATGTCATGCTATCGAGCATCCAAGACATGATTACCGACTTGGAAGTGGCAAAAACCGTGTCGGCAGACGAACCAGACATTCCTCCTGCAGTGCACACCACACTACAGCAATGTGGTGGGCGTGGCCGCCCGCGCATTGAGATTGATGCAGAGATCCTTGCTACAGCATACCAACTTGCTGGGCCAGCACGACTCTCTGAAGTCTTTGGAGTCTCTGCCAGAACCATTCGACGCCGTGCACTTGAGCAGGAGATTGTGCAGCCTGGTGATCCTGTCTATGTCACATTTACAGATGACGAGGGGAACACGACCCGCGTCTATACTTCGGCTACCGGCTCACAATCAACTCTTACAGATGAAGAGCTCGATGTCATTATGTTGGATATTCTCACCACTTTTCCATCTTTTGGTCGTCGAATGATAGATGGACACCTTCACTATCTAGGGCAACATGTTCCACGTCGACGAATCCAGGAGTCCTATGCACGAGTGAATGGTCCACCAGTGGCAGCTTTTGGACTTCGCCGAATTCAAAGGCGAGTTTATCGTGTTGCTGGATTTAACTCACTACAGCATCACGATGGACAACATGGCAAGTTTATCATTTTAATACCACAATATCATTCACTGGTAGTTCCCTTTGCATAGGCCTCATACGCTACAAGTTGGTGACCCATGCATTTATTGATGGTTTTTCACGCTTCATTACTGGCATCCGTGTCAGCAATAACAACCGCGCAGAAACAGTATTTGATCTGTTTCAATCACTTATTCAAAAACATGGTCTTCCACAACGTCTACGTGGAGATCATGGAGGTGAAAACATAATGGTAGCAAGATATATGGAGGAGATGTGGGGATCACATCGGGGATCATATATCTGGGGCCGGTGAGTGGTATCACTGGACAAATACCAAACATACTTATATCTTGATAGTAGTGTCCATAATATTCGTATTGAGCGCCTTTGGGTTGACTGGACCAGTGGGGTTGGCTCGAAATGGAAGACATTCTTTCAAAATCTCGAGGTTCACGATGGCCTTGACCCTGAGCTGCCGTCTCATATTTGGCTCCTACATCACTTATTTCTCAACATTATCAACACTGAAGGGTTGCAGTGGGCAAACTCGTGGAATGCCCATACAATGACATTGCCAGGTCAGCGCAACGACAGCCCCCATGCTCTCCGCTTTTTCAGTATCATTAGTGGAGGTGGACGTGGAATTGATGCCCATGGAAATGTTTTACCGCACTTTCAGCCCATCGTAGATGATCTAACACCTGAAGAGATAGATGAATATGGGATTGACTGGGAAGCCTATGATGATCATCACATACGCCATCATAATGTCGAAGAAAACCCCCCCGATCATCTGCAAAACAATCCCTTCATTGCACATTGGCCAGAGCAACATAATATTGTAGAGGTAGAGGTACCAGGCTGCCCACTGAACGTACAACAACTTGCGTTTTTGGATAATTACACACAGGGCTTACCAGTTGAGACCATGAATGAGCGACACGCGTTATGGGTAGTAGCATTGGGGATTTGTCAGGGTAGTTTCCAATGGGCAATGTAGCACACGTTCAATAGATACTAAAATTGTATCATTCTCTGCTGTATTTTAATGATGGGAGTACGAGTCGATGCTATTGGTATCAGTCTAGTAAGAGAAAAGTATGTGTGAGTGCAAGTTACAAAGGAATGTGAATTACGAAGTGCAGATTCATGCATTGAAAACATCATGACCAGCATCAAACAGAGCTGCATGTAGACAGATGTCAAATGGAGTTACTGTCAAGTCATCACCTGGAAGGGGGTGTTGTAAAAATGTACGAAGTACTGGGTTAGCGAACAAGTCCATTGTATAGGTGCAAGCATGAAACACAGGCGGTAAAAGATCACTCTGAACCTGAATATTGTCAATTTGAATTCTAATCAACCAACTGAAAAGACGTACATCATACTGCTTATTAAAGGTCGCCATGTCAGGGATGTTTTGATTCAGAATGATCTATGAAGTCATTAGTCAATGAACTGTCTATATCGATCAAATGTACACACAGTGAATGATTTGTCGTCAGAAGGGAGAAGGCTAATACCACTCATCAATTTGATGAAGCGGCGTGCACGATAGCATAGGTCTTGATTGTCAATGGCACGCTGGGCAGGCTCAATAACACCTGCAAACAAAGGATGCAATGGGTGGCCAATGCCTCTAAAGTAGCGTTTGAGATGCTCCTGGAGGCTGGGGAGCAGGATGTCCATATCGGACTTGAAGTTGGTGTCACCAGACGTTTCGAATGACAGAAAAGGAAAAAGTTGGACAGGAGATGAGAGCTGACGACATGCATATGCTTGGTGCAAAATGTACTTGGATGAACCGGAGATAACCTGGCCATAGTTGTTTAAGACAAACATGCAGATGCGAGTAAAGAAAACTTACTGCAATGAAAGAAAAATGACTTAGGGATAAGGATTGGTCAAGACCGTCATGAAATGCAGCATGAATTACAGAGTCGGTGACCTGAATGGGACGGACACCCAGCAGTAAGGATGAATGAAGAGTTTGGACCATATTTGGCCACTGTGAAGCTCGTGTGCGAGAAAGCTGTGAGAGCTGGTAGTGAATGTCAGTTGATAGTCTTCAAGGAAGAGAAACAAACAGCGTACACTTTGTTTGCCAACATGATGTAAAATGCGCTGGAGGTCCTGAGTTTCCTTTGGGTTGAGGTGGGAAGTATCTTGAGCAGCGTCAAAGGATGATGGGAAAAGCTTGATCAAATTAAAGGTATCAGGAAGAACAGCTGCCAGCCATGCAGAATCAACCAGAGAGCCGATCCCTCCGATGGTAGCTTGAAGTAGGGCAGGGGAAACAGGAAGAGGTGCACTATGCACACGAAGGAAAAACATGGTGCATAGGACCCCTAATGCAAAGGCGTAGTCTTCAACTGCGGCATCGGGAAAATCTTCAACCTGGAGATATACATAACTATCCTCGGTAGTTTTGATGTCTTGACAAGTGCGTTCACTAGCGACACGGATAGCTTCAGATAGGACCTGGCGCATGACACCATCCCCTATAGCATCAGCGGAACGACCACTGAAAAGATACAATGTCAATATTATGTTAGATCATTTGATCAGTTGATCACAACTTACGCTCGAAACCCCCAGTGCATAGTCCAGACTTCATCTAGACGTACTTCTGCAGGAACAAGAACGAAATTTGAGGGTATGTGGGATGGTCGTTCAAAAGGTCCATCAGGCTTGTGACGAGACTGAATAATAAACGCTAGTAGTCCACTGACAGTCACATCAAGTGATTCTGACCGAACATGCCAGAAAGCATTCTGTAGATGGACAGGTCCAGAAGCACGAATTTCTGCATCAAGGGATGCAAGATCGGTGATGGAAGGTAGGCTAGAGGGAGTGTATGCTGGGATGGGTAAGGTCACTGCAGAAGCGACAACAGAAGATGAAGATGGTGGAATAACGGGTGCTGGTGGGTTAATATCGACATTATGCAGAGCAGGGGATTCGAGAGTTGTAAGAGGTGCTGGTAGGTTAATATCGAGATTATGCAGAGCAGGGGATACGAGGGTTGGGGAGTGAGTTGCAGGTTCTGGAAGCGAGTTCGGAATTATGATTGGAGAGTCTGTAAGGTCGATAGGGGATGGGCGAGAAGATTCTGTATTACTTGAACGATCATCCAAATCATCATCTGTGCCCACGCTGATGATAGAACCTGACCGAGAATGGCGGGACTGGAAAGCACGTGGACATGCAAGATAACAGGACATGTGAGAGCATGGTTCGCCCCTTTCCAGAAAGTAGTGAATGCGATCTGCAAAACATGCATGCTTCTCAGTGCTGCCAGATGAGATAGGTCCGATAATAGCGCCCTCTTTAGGACCTAGCATATAACGTTAGAGATAGTGAAAGAGCATGTGGTAACAACATACACAGCAAAAGCACACCAACTTGGCCAGAGGGATGGTCCACTCGCTTTGCTAATTTGCTCAGAGCAGCAAAGGTGTAGCGCCGCCAAGAATTTTCGGTGTCTACACTCAGTGGTCGACCTGGATACCTGCTACGATTACCAGGTGTCAGGAGGCGAAAAGGGAGGCGGGCATATTGGACTCGAATATCACGATTTTCTTCATCTGCATCCAAGTCGAATTCCATGTCAGAGTACGTGGGAAACTCGAGCGATCCAAGTTGCATCATAGCATGGACACCAGTATATATTTGATCGATAATAATGTCACTTGGACTGGATGCATGAAGTTCAAGGCGATAGGTGCAGTGCTGTTGTGAAAGAAATCGAAGTTGGGATGCAAAGGTTTCCCCAGAAGGCAGGCGATCTGGACATGGTATGGTGATGGGCTCATATAGGAGAGCATCATTAGTATGAGAACGTAAAGGCAGAAACTGTCAAAAACATTTTAAGATCCCAAATGTTTCATGGAGGAAAGAGACCTACGTCATGGGGATACATAACAAGCTCTATGGCTAAAGTTTGCTCCCTTGAGGACTTTTGGAGGCGAGAGACATCATAGGGCTTTCGGGAAGTATGAGTACGATTTCGGTTTCCACGCGGCCGGCTACTACTGTTTAGGGTATGTAAAGGCGGGCCTGGAAGTGGAACACTAGAAGGAGGAGCATGGCGAGTATATGATGTGATGAGAGATGATGGTTGGTATGTAGGCATCGGAGGGAGCGGAGGAGCATTAGCAGATCCCGAAGGCCTGCCAGTAATAAGTGGACCTATTTGATGACTATATGCGCTTGAACCACCTGGTTGGGTGGGAACAGTAACATGTCTGTCAATATTGGATCGCAGCGCTTGTCTGCAGATAATTAAGCATCCTGAACCATTGGAGTGACTGACAGACTTACACAGGAGGTAGCGGAATAGACCGATTCAATGAAGGCGTGATATGACTATGGATAGACGCTAACTTAAACCTGACTCCAAGGTTAAATGTACTGCTTACCTTGCAGATAGTGGGAGATGCTGATTGTATCGCCCACCACATTGACAGTCTTGGTAAAAATCTGTGATCTATGGATCATGTTATATAAGGCCATGTAATTGATCATCAAGAAATACGCACCGGAATGCCATTGATAGTTCGGAATGCAAAGCATTGACGAGCAGGCAGGCCAGCTCGGGCAGGAAGAATTCGTCTAACTTCAGGAGCTTGATGTAAGTGAGCAGAGTGAGAGCAGAGGCAAGGAGACTGTGGAGTAGTCAATTGAAGAGTTTGGGCTGAAGATAGGTGGAACACATACCAAATCATCTCCTTCGATCCTTGGGATGAATGCAGTGCAATCATCCAAACAATGAAGACATGGACCTGTAGACATTATACAGCAAATTATATGTCAGCGTCAAAGTAATAATAAGAATAATAACATGAATGAGAGAATGAAAAAGAGGGGGGAGTGAAATGGGGATGGGGTGATATGATATTTAAAGAGAAGAACGGTCGACTTACATAATTTTGAAGCAATCAGTGGCTGAAGTGCCGGATCCATATGCCACGGGTTAGTATGGCTGCTGTACGCACCATATTGGAATAATAATAACTGAAGACAGCTGGAATTTATTTTTCATTGAAGGAAAAATCAATCAAGTGATAATTTTGTAAAAGAAAATTCCCTAGGCAAGGGATTCTCGAGTGGTGACCAGCCCAGAGCTATCGCCTGGCAGCTTGAGACATCCGATCCCGGGCCACTCGAGAGGGAAGTGAGGAAGGGAAACAAAGGCATGGATGGTGCCGGTGAATAATTATACGCATTAGCTCACAGTTACGACACGCTAAACAATGCATGAACGCGACGTGTCAGTCACGTGGTATAATCACGTGACACCTTCCTTGCTGTACAACCTTCTTCTCATCACAGCATCATCAACGTCGGAACAATGAGCCACTTGCCAGCAATGTGCTGTCTGGGGAAAAATCGAGCGAATAGATATCTCTGGTGTGGACTTTGATGGGCTGGGTGAGAGATTCGCCGTCTCTATTCCAGGCGATGAGTTCTCCACCATTATCACCGCTTGCTATGAATTTCCCGTCCTTTGATACTGCAACACTTCGTACGCTGAAGCGATGCCCCTTCATTGTCTTCAATGCAACACCATTTTCTAAGTCCCACAGACGAAGCATCCTGTCCCACGAGGCCGTCACCATACGGCACATGTCCATCCCTTCATTCAATTCCACCACCTACTCCACCTACTCCATCCTGGACGCACGGTCAGAGAATCGATACCACTCCTGCGGATTCACATTCACTGTGTGTCCCGTCCATTTCGCGATAACTTTGCCTGTGTCCATGTCCCACAGCCTCACTCCGCCATCCGAACTTCCGCTAACCGCTTTCTTCCCGTCCGGAGACAACGCTATCGTCCACACTCCGCTACCCCCCGTCCGCCAGTCCTTTCCTATCTGTTTCCCACTCTTCAAGTTCCACATCGGCAGCGAGCCGTCGGATGAACAAGTCATCATTCGTTGTCCGTCCAGTGTATGTATGGCGCCCTCGAGAAAATCGGCGTGTCCTTCAAATTTCTGGCAGGGTGTTATCGCGGAACCCTCCTGCGTCTTAACGATGGGTGGAGACAACGATGGGTGGAGACATGATTCTCAGTTTTCAACTACCGAGTGCGTCGCTACCCTCAGCCTCATTCAACAAAGTCTAAATTCATCACTAACTACAATATGTTTTGACACAGACACGCTGAGCGTTTAGGTCAAGTCGGAGTCGAGTACACTGGAAGTTCGAGATGGTACGTTTTATATGCGAAATCCTTGTGATATCTAATACTATCAGCCGTGTGGGACACCGGACTCGTCGAAACCTACTCTTCAAGCTTGGGAGCGCTAGCAGTTGAACACTAAGCCCTATTTGTGATTTTCACGCGGTTTCTCAAGTTTCTCAAGTTACCCAACTGATAACTGCTACGCATTGTACGGCATCGGTTCTCCTGTCTTCCCACAAGACGTGTTTCAGAATTTCCTCAACCGCACCTCTAGCATCAATATCATCGCTCCCTATCTCAACCCCACCAGCTATGCGCAAGCCAGTGGGCTGCCCATGATTATGATGGAGACAAACTCAGCATCCTGTGGTGGCTTACCTGGGATTAGTGATACCTTTGGCGCGACTCTATGGGCACTCGATTATGGCCTTCAGATGGCTTATAGCAACTTCTCAGGTGCAATGATGCACGTTGGTGGACAAGATGTGTACTACAATGTGAGTTGCGTGTTCTGAACCCTTTGAGGTGTCACTGAGTCACGCACCCTGTCCAGCCTTTCACTCGTGAGCCCTCCGCAGTTGAAAGCAGCTGAGAGAAGGCCATACTTACATTTCTTTGTAGCACCTCCTCTGCAAGCCAACACCGATAACATGTTTACTCCTGCCTACGCAATCTACGAAAATGGTGCCCCCGTGCGGGAAGTACAACATTATGTGGGCAGGCCAGGTGAGTCCGGTTACCCTTTTTTTTTTGGTTTACTCATGTCCATTTCAGACCTTTGGCGGAACCTTCCAGTCTGATGGCCGCCTAACGGGCCTCAGAAAGCGTGCAGACAATTAACTGCGACCAGTCATCCAATACATGTCAAGTGACTGTCCCTGCCCCTGGCGCCGCACTTGTCTTCCTCTCCTCCAACGCATATGCAGAGTCAGGGAACCCCTCGACCCAGACATTCTCTACCACGGCGGTCACGAAGACAGTGAACACAGCGAGGATTGACCCGAGTGTGCTGGCAACCTCGAATGGGATGTCAGGAGCCACATGGGAGCTTGGGAGTACGAGCAAGGGGAACACTGGTGCCAGCCTGAGGAATTCACTTTCAGTTGTTTCTATTGTCGGTGCAGCTGTGCTGAGCACCGGCATGTTATGCACATGGCTCTGGTCATGATTAGGACAGCCACTCAAACACACCGTACGTGTTTGCTGCATCACCATTTCTCCCAACGGAGAACAGCTCACCAAGAACACACTTTCTGCAGCATTCGGGATGGATTACTTATACTTTGCGCGTCACAGTAAGGTGAAGTTGGGCCTAAAGCTCTATGCGGAGGCCCTTTCGGACGCGGAAAAGGTGTGGACGATATCCGTTATCGATTTGACAAATCTGATGATATTCGCAGGTCATTGAGCTCAACCCTTCGTCTTATCTCGGGTACGAACTAAAGCACGCAGCGCTTCATGGAGCACATCGCCATTATGATGCATTCGAAGCCTTAACAATCATGCTCTCCAAGTTGAATGATACACTCGACTAACGGATACGACGTAAGCCCCAAATAACATAAGCGCCGACTTGAAGGTGATTTACAATTTTTGCAGAGAAGTTCTGTCAAGTCGCTCGTGACGCGGGGCATCGCTGGGCGTGGGTCGATACGTGCTGCATCGATCAGAACAACAATGTCGAGCCCGGAGAATCAGTCAATTCCATGTTCATCTGGTATCACTACTCAGCCATCACCATCGTCTACCTATCAGATGTTCTTCCTTGATCAGAGTCTGGTGCGCTCGCAAACAGCATTTGGAACATGCGAGGATGGACCGTCCAGGAGTTCCTCGCTCCTAGAATTGTTCTCTTCTACTGAGTAGATTGGACCCTATATCTCGATGACCGCTCGCACAACCACAAGCAGTCTGTCAGTATCATGAGGGAGATGGAGCATTCAACTGGCATAAATGCATGGGTGCTCAGAGTAGAGGAGTATGTCTATGTAGCAGTATTAATGTTGTAGGTACTCGTCAATAATATTATACTTGTTCCATATGAGTACTCGTCCGAAGTAGTAACAACACAGCCACAGTCAATTTGTCTGCTACCCTCACACTCGAAACTATACACAACATTTACACAATGTTACCTGCTAAATACCAGCCTGTTTTGCATGATGATGACTGCAACTTATGGCAGAAGGAGCCAATCAGACAGAATTTCAAGAGCCTTGAAGAAATACGCCTTTCAAGGAAGCAAGTTGAATCTATGCTTCAAGACACCATCAGTGTGATCAAGGAAGATCCATCTTGGGTAAGCACAAATCTTATCATATATATACACATATTGATCACCTGTTGCTGTTAGTGTGTCCTGATCAGTTCTTGGTGCCTTGTCACCATTGGTACCATCCCATCTTTGGATGATACCCCTTCGCTATTTGTTCGGGTCTTATATGAACGTTATTGAGATAAGGAAAGGGGGGATCTGGCTGCAAGAAAGATGTTACGAGAGGGCCTAGATAGGATCCTCCAAAAAGAGGTGAGTAGCTCAATCAATAATTAAATACATATTTTCACAATAATTAAATTATTTAGCTTCATCCTCAACCCAAGGCATCCCAGGTTTTGATGGATATGGATTCTGATAGCGAGGATAATTCTTCTGAGTGGGAAGATTCACCATCTGTTGTTGTGAAGCAGGCTGAGTCCCATGATGTTTCCAAGCCTCACAAATCAAAGCTTCATAAGTTTTGGCTGTTTCTGATATTTAAATTAATGTTGATTGATTTAGAATTCACTGCCAATGATGCACCCATCAAGTGCAGAGAGTGGGCAGAGGCTATTCAGTTGTATTTTTTCAAATACCAGGACTTAACTGTAAAGTCTTTAATTCAATTTTAATCAAGTGATTAACATATGCCAACAGCCAACTCAGCTTCAGCTTGCAGAAGCAAAGGCAGTTGACACTCTCGTTACGATCCGCCTGATAGGGGCTTCTACATATCAATCTAAATTTTGGCCAATTGAGGTCAAGGTATGTGATTTACTGATTTGATATCATCCATCTAATTTATTACCAATAGAAATCTTCCCTCTACCAGCTACTCTGCACAATCTGTGCACCAGATACTGTGCTTGAGCTATCTGCTGATCATCTTGCAGCAAGTTCATGTAAATATCAATGGGCAGCAAGTTTTGGTCTAATTTTGCATCAATGGACCAATTCAAGTGCTTTCAGAGACCCTCCACCAGAGGTACATATGTTTTTGTTAATTAGATTCATCTCACTAACTGGCACCAGCCCAAGTCCCTGAAAAATACTGGTGGGCGGTTTCTTGGTAAGCTGGTTATGGAATGGCTCGATAATATTGATCAGCAAGGTAGAGCCATTCCTGCTGCCAGTCAACCTTCATGTGTTGGTTTTCTTCTGGATGAGGCAGCATTTATTGCTGCATGTAACACCTGGCTTTACACTACTCTTGAGAAGCATGGGCATAAGGAAAGTTTATTATTTTATCATTAATGATTTTTATCTAATCATGTGTCACTAGATTGATTTTGACCCTGCCAAGCTTTATCACAAGATCTTATCTGAGGTGGTCTCTGAGACAAAAATTTGACCCTACTAAATTCCAATCTACTCAGTTGCGCTGCATCATTGAAGAGACCATTGCATCCAGGGCATTTTTGAAATGTATACAGCGTGAGGCATTTGGGAGGGATACTAAAGTTCCAGAGCAGCTTCAGAAGAATATTTCTTCTGAACATCAGAGACGTAACCCATCCCGCTCTGTTCGAGACTCTGCTCCTCCACAGTCTGAATCTCCACCACCTCCTCCTTCCATTCCAGATTCTTCTCACTCCACTTCCTACACTCGCTCATCTTGTGATCAATGCTCAGCTCTACCTTCTTCTGAACACTGTGTCTTGCTTCTTAATGTTAAAAGACGGACTGATGTCCAAGACCTGTTTGGATCCTTGGTCACCTGTGCCCCTTCTGATGACTGTCTTCCCCTTAATGTGAGTAAACATTCTCATATTAATTTTGTATTAATTTTTTTATTCAAAGCTCAAGGAGGGTCAAGCAGATGACCCTCACTATGTGCACCCTCACAATGATTTGCATCTGCAATGTATGGCATTCCATCCTGAAGTATATGCTTGCTGCAAGCGCGACATTGTACAAATGATTGATGTTGAAACTGGTAAATGTGTAAGTGATTTATTATGATTATTTGGATAACTCTCAGTTGTTTGTAGGTTGGAGGTGTTATCTTTAATGCCTTCAATGATGCCAGCCTTCAAGAGATGTGTGAAAATCACAAAGCTATTGTACACAATCCTAGTGTACAACAAGGTGAGGTTTTTCAGAAATGGGCTTACACAGGTAAAATGGTGCCTGTTGGATCACGGCTAGCCAAGGGTGGCCGTCGTGGTGATGGGTATAGCACATACCCCCCTTTTATGTGGTGACTCTGAAGAGCATATTCATGCTATATTTCGTCATGCACGTGTATGTAATTTTTAATTGTTGTTGAATATACACTGACTGCTATTTAGGATGCTGGTGCACTTCTTCAAAGTGTGAAGTATGCTGCTCCTCATGTAGCCAAGGATATCAAGGAGAAGAGTGCAGCTGCTGAAATGAATCGTCTTGGTACCAGTGGTGCCAATATTTTCTACTGCTCCAATTATCTTAGCCCTCAGCACTTTGACCATGATGCCTCCTGGTCCATTTGTTCTCAATTGGACAAGGCAGGAACTGCTGATGAGTGGAACTTTTGTTACACTGAATGGGGTGCATACATTCAAACTCGAGCAAATACAGTTTGGTGAGCATTGTATTTTATCCATTTTGATCTATACTGAATTACAATAGGTGGTTTGATTCCAGCCACCTTCATGGCACCATGGCACCAGCTGCCTCTGTTATTCAGCAAGCAAAGCACCTTCGTGGAGGTGCCTTGTCTACAGGAAACCATCTTACTGCAAGGAAAAGGGATATGCTAAGGGCTCGTGCAATTGCAGACATGCGTAGGCGAGTTGCACAAAGGGAGCAGTGGTGGGAAGATGTTGTTATATGATTTGGTGTAGGATACATGTACAATTACAAGCCTGGGATGGCCTATCAAGAATCCAAATGTGCTCAGATAGTATCATTGCACGCCCCCAACGCGCGCCCAGAACATGTCTTCTTTCAGACGTACGATTTCTTTCCACATACGATCCTCCCATGTCGCGTCACCGGCGTAACCTTCCTCGTCGGTAGTAGAAGAGCGTTTTGTACTACTTGTGTCGATAGATTTCCCGTGTGTGCTGGAATCCTCAGATGCACGCCTGGTTTGGCTAGCTTCGGAGGATGGGTTGACAACAACGGCTTGCGTGGTGGGGGGAGAAACATCCACGGACGCTCGCTTTTCGGGATACGGATGTCCGTTCATATTCGCATCAGGTAAGGGGTTGGAGGTTTCGGTGATGTCATGCTTGGTTGTGGAGGGCTCTACAGCGTCCTCGCCCGCCACAGCTTTCTGTTCATGGGGAGAAGATGCTTTGTGTTTGAATCTGCAACCTGGCGAATACGTGATTGAGATTTTGACGCAGCTCCAGCGAGGGAATACATGTAGGGAATATGATGGGATGGCTGCAAGAATGTGTTAGCAGTTTCGACACCATATTCCAGGAACGGACCTCATTGGTATGATCATTGTGACCTGAAGCAGACGGAAGAAATCAGTAAGAAATACCAGTTCGGGTCAAGGCATTGAAGGTCGAGCTCAAGGAGTATCGCAAAGGAGCGGATCCTTTCAACCGCAAGATTCGCAAGCATGAGAACGTTTGAGATTGGTGGTTAGCTGTTCAAAAGGACGAAACGCACGAGTTCTTGGGGTGACAATGATATTTGCTCGATACATTTTTATTTGACTCACTCTTATATCCAGGCCCTTGCAATCAAGTTATACTCCGTCGTCCCAGTGTCGATGGCCGACGAGAGGACAGTCTCAACAATTACGTGGCTTAACAGTCCCACTCGGAGCAGACAAGACATCTCAACATTAAAAGAACATATACAGATTCGTCAGTGGCACCGCTGGAAAGCTGATGTGAGTGAAGTTCAGTTGGCTGGACTCCCAACATACTCATACTGTTAATCAGCCAGTAGCACCGACGGTCGCTCCTTCTGTCAAATGGCGAGATATGTATGCAACCATCCATGGTAAACCTGAGACACCGCCTGTCGTCCCGCCGCCTGCTCGACCACCTACCATGACCACGGACATCATTTCGAGCTTGACCGACGAACATCAAGGCAGATGTTCAGACTCGGATGATGAAGATGGGGATTGGCTTGATAATGGTGATATTGCGGACCATGTGGGTTTAGCTGGCGTGAAAAGCACTGAGTTCGACGTGGGTAAAGATATTAACATATCATCCACGTACCTCCTCGATATTTTGTCGGACCACGCTCTACAGCCCACGGCTGCTTGCGAAGGTCTGTCGACACCAAAGGTGATGGCTGCCACAACTTCATCCTCGACACCGATGGATGACGACGAGTGGGAGGAATGGTGATTGGCGGCTTTGTTGTAGATTACGGTCAATTAGACCAAATTCACCTGCAAATTAGCGCAAATCAGCGTCAAAGAGCTATGGGTCAATTTGAGTGAATTTGCTGTCATTTACACCGGTCAATTAGGTCTTCGCAGAGGGTCGTGCTAATTAGCCGGTCAACCAGAGCGGGATCCCTAATTCCCCGAGCCCTACACAGAACCCTCTTCCACTAAAGTGGAGTCGGGGAACAAGATCCGTGACGTACATGTGACAGACTGACAGCACTGACAGGACACAGAGGTGGATTTTCTTCAAGTGTTTTATTTCAATCGCAACTGATTTTCTGGAAGCGTGATTTTTTTTGGAAGCGTGACTTTTTTTGAAGCGTGACTTTTTGAAGCGTGACTTTTTTTTGGAGCGTGATTTTTTTCAGAAGCGTGACTTTTCTCTTGCAAACCACGGCTACTTTCCATGCAAAACATTGATTTCGTTATTGTCCAGTGCGGTCACTCATACGTAATCACACGCAGAATCGCTTTATAATCGTTCACTCTGACTACCACTATTTGTTAGGATTTGAGGAATTAGGAATCCCGCTCTGGTTGACCGACAAATTAGCACGACCCTCTACGAGGGCCCAGTTGACAGGTGTAAATGACACCAGATTCACGTGGCACTGGTCAACAATCCGTTTATCGTTCCACTCAAATTCTCTTTGCAAAATCCTGACAAGTTCAAGTTGTACCTCGTGATGTCATTTGGTGAATTTATTCCTTGACATGTCTACTTGTTGTAATGCTCTATATATTCGAATTTTACTCTATCAGTCACACCCTTTGCACCATTGTCAAAATACCCGAGATATGAGCAAGAGTGTTATGTTTTCCATAGACGACAGCGAGCGCGGGCAGATACAGTCCTATCATCCACATACGAACATGTACTCTGATGCACATAAGTATTGATGTACGGAAAGGCGCAATTACATCACTAGTATTGCCAGGCAACAGTAATCGCACGAGCATCAATGAAATAGATACTGTCCTTACATATGTTAGATAGTGTAAGGAATACAGACGATATATCAACGTGCAGTAATTAGCAGTGAAAGAAATATTGCAAGAGTCAGGCTAAATAGGTAATTGTTTCCTGGGCAGACGATCATCCCACTCGCGGTGCACAGCCGGTGCGCAAACTTTGAGTCCAGGGATGCAATGCTGGGGCGGAAGACCCTTATTTAACCACGTCTGGGTGGGCGCAGGTGCTTCAGGGATCCAAGGGGCCTGTATCATCTATCCGTGAGACATGGCTAATACGTTTGCTTACACGAGGAGACATACCATGTAGTTCCCGGAATCCAATTTGTCAAAATCGATGTTGTCGAGCCATGGGTGGTCGAGAACGGAATCCTTAACACCCAAACGATTCTCGGCTGCCGTGGTCAGAAGCCCTGCTACGATAGACTTGAGGGATGTGCCCAAGCGGAGACCTTTGGGCCACTTGTACTTCCCTGAAGCAATCCTTTTATATATTTTGCTCTCGTCCGTACCGAAGAATGGCTGGAAGTGATAGGAGAAATATAAGAAAGGTCTCATGGGGCAGGATTCATTGGTACTGACCGTTCTCTTCGTGAGCATTTCGTACAACGTGACGCCTGCCGCCCACCAGTCGACACTGTATCCTGTCATGTGTTGGTGGCATAAGAGCTCAGGAGCCATGTAAAGCGGCGTCCCGATCATCAGCCATTCTGTGACTGGTCCGTTGTCGATCTGATCTAAACGGGCGTATCCAAAGTCTGCGATGGCCAAGTACCCATCGGATCTAACAAGGATGTTTGCTGGTTTGAGATCCCGATGAATAATTCCCTCGCCATGGAGGAAATAGAGCCCAGCCACAATATTGGCGAAGTAGAACCGGGCGGTGGCAGCGTCGAAAGGGCCGCGTGTTTGGATGACGTCGTGGAAACACCCGCTCGGTATAAACTCGAGCATAAGATAAAGATTCAATTCGTCTTTGAATGCGCCTACGACACCATTCACCCAGCGACTCCAGGGCAATGCCGACAGGTGCATTCTCTCCGCATCAGTATCCCCAGGGTATTTCTGGTGGAAAGGTTATATATAGTCTGAAAGATGATATAGTGGAGGTGTACGTACCTGATCGATCTGTTTCATTCTTTCTTTGGAGAGGACTTTCACTGCGAACAATGATCCTGGGCGTGCCAGTTTTCCTAGGTTTGGTTGTTCGCGTGCTCGTACGAGTAGAACGTGACCAAAAGCTCCGTCGCCTGCATCAAGTGAGTTGAATCTAGCTCTCGATTCTGAAATAGGGATTTCATACCTAGTGTGCGAATACATTCGAAATCGTCCAAGGGAAGTGCGGGCGGACGAGGGTCTACTGCATCAGGTGGCAAGATACCACCAGTATAACCAGGTAACCCATGGACAACGATACGTATCTGTATACAGCAGTCAGTGAACATGCTATGACTCAGAAGGACACCAGGGAGTACAGACCGGCTTAGGATCATAATCCGAAGCACGTCGAGTCTTGGATGCTTTGAGAACATGCTTGCGAGCATGGACACCTTTGGAGGGCGCAGCATTTACTTTCGGGGATCGAGAAGGATGTCTCGTAGCCCGCGAACTTTCAGATAGCTTGGTTGATGAGGGAGTTGGGTATCGCATTCTGATTCTGATGGTATTAGGTATTTCGTGAAGCTTGCGAGCGATGAGATCGTTGGACTAGGATGAAACACTCAATGTTGCAAAATCCGGACTTTAGACATGGTCAATAAATATTGTGTGATGTGGTCAAGGCAGTGGTAATACCACATCATGGTCTATTGTTTCCACAAAAAGGTGTGGAAGCAGGTCAAAGCATGATCGTGCTTCGAAATTTTGAATTGGTTTCGAAAGCGGAGTGTTTATCCCGGCGCTTATTTGGCATTTGTTGTGGGCCAGGTCAGCCCTCTACCAACATATACACTTGCGGCATGTAACAGATTATCGGTCGCAAGGCACATAACTTCTGCAATGACTCTACCGTTGATTATTGAAACAAAACCTGAGGATTGGACATATGTCTCTGAGGGAGGAGCGACTATCGTATTCTCGTATCGAGGACCTCACAACGTTCAATTCTCTGATCATGTCCTACGTCTCCGTAAAGTCGCTCACGGGTCATCAAACAGCACGCTGCTCGATAGCAACAGTGAACAACCAGACGATTCTATGATCGCCTTCCAAGAGAACATCATCTCAAAACTCGTTCCTTCTGAGTTTTTACCGAGTCTTGTGGTGGTGGTGCTCGATGAAGATTGGCTCAGGTCACTCGTTGTCCTACGCAATGGAGATCGCCCAGCAGAGAGAAGGCAGACGGATCATATTGATGTTCGCAGGAGTAAGGGTGTGTTAGCCACGGATCTCATTGGGGGCACGCCCATCGCGATGGAAATCAAGGTGGTTGACAGTTTATTGGGAGAATATCTGAGTCTGACTGATATTTCAGCCGAAATGGGGATTTTTACCTACAGAATGCCATCTCTCGCCTGAGACTGCCGCTCTGAAGACAACAACGTGCAGATTTTGTATGCACACGAGCTTCAGAATGGAACAAGGGGGCATCGGCACGACCTATTGTCCCTTGGACCTTTTCTCTCGCGATGAGACGCGTATTAGAAAAGCCCTAGGTGCTTTGTGGGCTGGATGGTATGAAAGCCATGGATCCCTCAATAACCTACGGCTCTTTGTCGAAGGCAGAATGGCAAAACCAGATGATGTACGTCTTCAGTACATCGCGTTCATAGGTTTCTGATAGATCTGGATAGGACCACTCGATGCAATTGTTGGCACACTTCCTCACGGCGGACGAATCGACTGACGTCCAGAATCTCCGGGAATCGTTCACATCCGCTCTTGCGCAGGCACTTCTTGACAGTCCCGTTCTTCCCCTCCTGTCTACTTTACAACGAACACTGGACATCCTTGATGTAGAGGGTCTATCCAAGTTGTACACACAAACATCATCAGGTTCCTCATGTGATGGTCTCGGATCTTTGGTTCCCGATCCTTACATGGAGGAATGGGAGGACTTCGTCGAAGTTTACCAGTCTGATCATCATTCCTGGGATCACACAGTCCCAAGTCCTGGACACATCCGGTATTATCTCATGGCATACCTACTTTCAGCGACGTTCAAGGATTGCTCCATCATTATCCGGCCCAAATCTACGCAGATAGGTTCGTTTGATACCACAATCATCGACATGGATATCAAGAGCATGGATCGCTTGGGGAAGTGGGAAAGGTTAGACAGGAAAATCGTGGAACATTACAAGAGTTCAGGCAGCCAGCGGCGTTGCATCGACAGCCAACGCATTAGTCAATCAGGGTGTACACGTATGTGCCGTCGCTCTCTCGCGTTGGATGTTGCTTACAGATAGATTTGCAGAACTGTCAGAGTGGCGTTAGCAAGATGTATCATAGACTGGTTTCTGAATATCTCTGGAGAATCTCTGGGATGAGTGATTTGTGTTCGGGATTTTTCTTTTTCGTAACTGCAACTGACATACAAGGTGTATTCAAAGACTACACTGGCTGTGATGCATATCGACTTGAGTCCGGCTCATGCATCTCCATCAAGCTATCGGACTCAGACTCGACCAACAATCTGCTAGTTTCTCCAGCACAATTCAAGGACAAATGTTATGCTACAGAGAATGCTGACAGCCCTCCTGGGTAAGTTTGTAGGTTAACAAACTTCTGCAGAAGGCCTGTCAGTAGATGAGTCGTCGAAGAGCTGTCATGACTACTCTCCTGTGATTGGCCCGAACCCGCGCATTACAAGAACGAAGGCAGAATCAGGGAATGATTACTCTCCTGCGATCGGCCCAAAGCTGCGCATTTCAAGAACGGAGACAGAGTCAAGGAGTGGTCCCCGTTGTATTCTTTGTTTAGTACTAATGATGTTGTACGCAGGAAAATAACACGATCGCGATGACGATCCTAGTATCCTGACGTTAAATGTGATACTGTCTGAACGATACAGATTGCGACACAGACTCCTTTACAACTTCCCATGTTCCGTGGATCGAGCTACTGCGCCTTCCACCCCGTGTATAGACTCTACGTTAGGTTCCTCTACAGCACCCACTCCGACCAATACAGCTATTGGACCTGCACACCTCTTCCGATGACTATATCAGCAACCGCTAATGCCGGCTTTCTCCCCCTGAAGGGGAAACGCTATCGGCAGATTCGGGTATGCACCTACCACAATTTATTGTCCGGGGGAATTGGCTACTTTTTGTACATATTCGCCAGCCCCAGACTGTTGCATTGCCCGACTGGAACTATCACAGTTTCCTTTACTGCCAAAACAGCGCCAGGAAGAGTCTCAAGGTGCGCAGCCCCGAGGACTATGCTGGTCTTTGGAAGAAATGATTTCTGACGTTAAGTGCTACTAAAGTTTCTCCCCGTTCCATTTCCCGTTCCGTTTCGTGCTAATGGTACTTAGAACGGAACAGATAAAGTTATCCTAATTGGACGGATTAGAAGGCTAGCTAGGATTGTACTACCCTCTCCTGTTAGAACAAAACAGATGTAGTTAGAGGCCAGGACCTATGCTGGTTTAGCAAATTTTAGTCTGTCCGCTCGATCACACAGGGCCGGTTTCATTGCCGGTCCGGTCTTAGTCATCTTGCACTTGTCTCCTTCGGTCTGACTCTGAGCCCATACCAAGTTGTTATCTTCGCAACGCTGACACCTCTTGAATTTTCACAATTGAACGGACCTTTTTTTTACCATGGTTTTTAGTTCATCGACGTCAAGATTATTACTGCCTCCTGCCTCGCTTGCAATGTCGGAAGCGCTCCTTGACGATGGGACATCTACAGTGTCATCATGCGTCCTGCGCAAGTATTTGTGTTTTTGGTGAGGTTTCACGGGTGCGTTTATCAGCGTCGAGACAATATCATACGGGGTCTTTGTTGCCGGTCGTGAACTGCATCACTGCACATACCCTTGTTTGTATCTACCTCAAGTGGACAAAAGAGAAGAATTGGGTGAATCCTGCTGTGGACGATGCAGCCAATCTGCGGTGATAGTACTGATGAAATACATTTGACAAGGATTCTACCTGAGTGCAGAGCTGTTCCAATTGGGTATGGATGACCGCCACCGAAGCGCATTATGTCCGGACGCCACTAGGAACAGCATTGACGAGGAGACGTTGCGTCGGGATTCCAGACAGTGGGCAAGACCACGGTGGCATGCAACGACATGGCCGTGATAGTGTGCTGTCTCACAGGAGAAGACTGCCACCGAAGCGCATATTGTCCCGGCACCGCCAGGAGCACCGTAGACGAGAACACGCTGCGTTAGGATTTAAGCCCAGCGGGGAAACCCGTGGTGGCATACAGCATGCCCGTGATAGTGTGGTATCTCGGAGAAGACTACGAAGAAGACGGCGACGGAACTGGAACGTTCCCATGATACTTACACGATGTAGTAAGTTACATACAGGCTATGGCTTGGTGTGGCACCAGCCTGCAAATGGAGTGCATCACGTCGAAATTGTAAACTCGGCTGTGTTTCTCTGCTGCATTGCAATAGAACGGAGTATGTACGTGTACTTGGACCGAAAAAAGGAAGCTCGGAGGCCTCTGAGGGCCTTTGTAAATCCTAATTGGATGCTAGTGAGGACCGTCCCTGTACTACTTACTACTCAAATAAATTTACGAAAGCCTATCGCGATTCTAAAAACAATTAGAACAATCCGGAGATTCCGGACCCAGCTACCGGTGAAGCCCCTATGTAGGCTTAGATTACGTGGGAGTATAATAGCCTGTACAGGAACAAATTATTAATGATCATTGATGATTATATAATCAATTAAATTCGAACCACCTCGCGGACATTGGGATTGGGCGTCCCCCTATGACGATATCAGTAACGCGACTCTAGATCAGAAAGGAAGTGAAATGACTGGCGCTGATCTTATGTAGGTCACCAACTTAGCCGAGCCTGAGGTGAGCCTCATCTTTACCTTTCTTTCCTTGTTCTTTCCAAAAGATAACCTCACCATTTCTAGCCACACTGGTACTAGTCGTACTGGTATGACTACCTCGATGTCGCAGGATATTAATATTCCTCGCAATATATACCAAATCATTTCTCTGCTGGATCCCTCAATCCACAGTGGTCTGTGTTCAGCTATCGGGACGCCAGCTCAACAACGTAACTATCCGTGATGCATTGCACGTCTAGCTTGGATCAATTGGCCGACGACATCCTCATACAGATACTTCAGACACTGTCTGTGCGAGGAATATTGACACTGCGATGCGTACGTCTTATACTGTTATTTATATTTGAACCCATATGCATCCTACCTTTCCCAGACCTCCAAACGTTACTATTCTCTGTCTAAGCTTCACTGCGTTTGGTATGCGGTGTTCTGTGCTGAAGTATTGGCCCGCCACCTTCCTCCCCCCGGTCCTTCGAGTTCATGCTCTCTCAGTGCTCTGTCTTCCGCAGATCTAGAGTATCGGACCTTATTAGCTCTTTCTCTCGAGAGACGTTGGTCACGATCCAAGGCCAATGTCATTGTTTCGAACAGAGAACGAGAGACTGTCGACCAGATCGTACTTGTCCCTGGAGGAATGCAGGTCTTGACGGTTCATGGAAATAAAGTGGTGTGTCGGCTCATCTCCGGCAAACCAGGCTCGTACGAGCTTCAAAATATTGGAGCATGGTCATTACCGGGTGACGATACATGCATAATTGTGAAGGACATGGAGCGCCAGGGAATCATTGCCATCGGCTCTAGAGACAAGTGAGTCCTTCGACCTCTCGCCACCACTGTGAAGTGTCGCTGATAATGGATAGTCCAAATCGACGTGCTACAGTATTCTCGCTCTCCTTGAAGCCTGTTCTCAACAAGCTTTGCGACTACTCACTTATCCCTGGTACTGTCGCAGGGATTTCACGGCACCTCCTTTTCCTGGATACTACATCACAGAAGGATGGGGGCGGCCTCGAGGTCCTAGACTGGCACGCTAAGACAGAAGGCACTGCCCTTCTCCCGCGTATACCCGATCTGGTGAGTTTTCCGAATGCAACTGCAGATGATGGACCAATGTGATTTCTTTCAGTTCGGTGCCTTCCTAGACTTTGTCCATTTCTCAGACCATATACTTGTAATGTGGGAGGCATGCATTAGCGTGTTCCCGGTGCCCGACGTACCAGCTAAAGGACGAACTGTGGTGGCGCATACCAAAGTATTCATGTTGTATGAGCACATCAGCTCGCCTATCGCCTTTACAACTTGCGTTTCTCGAGGTTGGTCTGGTGCAGATGCTCCAATGTATGCACCATCACAGGAATCACCTTCCCTTACAATCGCTTCCAGAGGCAAATCGGGCGGGATTTCTCTGTCGATGCTTATCTCGCTAGATAACGACGAGGATCCATCCAGTTTCCCGTACCGGCTTCTCCGACTCTCTCCGGTCGTTCCGGACGTAACACAAGATTTAGGGGGGTGCACGCAGATATGCCTGGGGTCGTCGGGGCGCGGGTTGTTTGTGTTTGAGGGGAAGGTGCGACTTTGCGGACCAGGTCTATTGTTCATGCCCCCGTGTGAGATGCAGTTCGGTCCTGAGTTTGAGACGGAAAGGGTTGTATATGAGATTGAAACCGGTGATGTTGTTGGTGGAGACCAGGTCGACTTTGACGAGGGGATGGGACGACTAGTTGTTGCGAAGGGAAGCGGGGGCTTTGATGTGGTGCAGCTGCTGTGACTGACTGACTGCTGAATTTGAAGTGTTTGCGATCTCTGTTTCTTGTAAAATCTGTATAGTATCCATTAGTTTTAACGTTGTATAGTACTTGAGACAGTTTTACATAAATAACGTTCCAGAGTAATCAACGTTAACTGAGCGTGTTCCCATTCAGATCTAACTTTCAACGTCAACTGCAATCCATAGAAAGGGTTGCGGGCCTCTATGCGTATATTGCAGGTATTGGTGTGTGCCTGAAAGCAGCAGCAGCAGAAAAAATGTAAATCACGCTATGGTTCGTTCTGTTTATGGGTTCATAGTTAGAGACTTCGTGTAAGATAAATCCGTCTATACTTTAAACACGCTCCACGTATCCATTCCTAAATAAATCTCGTACACAAGATCCATGATCCCTATATCTTGCAATTGAAAATCGTGTATTGCATCCCGTCGTCATGAAGGAAGGATTGATTCTTCGACAACCCTGGACCCGACCTTTCTCTTCACAGTCACGCTGCCATCCTGTCAGATTTTGACAGTAAACGTCAGAGATATATAAGTAGGCAAGACACGCGTTCACTGACCTCGTTACCAAAGTACGCGGCCTGAGTCATATCGCAGAACAAACCAACTTCCACAACACCTGTGAGCATCTTGATCTTTGCCAAAATCTGCAGTAATGCAACTTAGTATAAGCCCGAGGCAGCGGCAGAATTTCTCGCACAGTAGAAGGGTTCATCATCGTCTCTCTAGGGAACGGCGCGTCGATGACGAAATTGCTATTGTCTGTCACCACAGGACCGGCCTTAGCCTTTGCCATGCGCAGGGTAGCGTTAGGGGAACCCAGAACATTTTGTAATTTACGCAAAACCTGGCCATATGCGAATGGCGTGACTTCGATTGGAACACCAGGAGTGAACTGTAAATGATAATTACGACATGTCTCACATGGAAGACCAGGCACGCACGTTCGTCCCGAGGCACTCCGCGTTTTTGCGATAGTCGGCTACCACGATAAACCTACAGTCTGGCGATGAGGGAACCGAGATATCAGATATGATCATGGACATACGTATTTGCAGCCTCAGCGAGCACCTTTTCCCGTAACTGGCAGGCTCCTCCGCCTTTGATACAATTGAGGTCAAGGTCAACTCTGATGATGTGATGGTCAGGCTTGACGACTTTTCTGAGGAACCAGAAGATACTTACTCGTCAGCACCATCTATAGTGACATCGATGGTAGGAAATTGATCAATATCGCCTAAGTTGAGGTTCGACATGACGATGAGCTCCTTCGACTGGAATCCAGTCGGAATGAACACGCGATCCTTGTTGAGCTCACGCCCCTGTGCGACGATTCGCTCCACAACATAGGGCACAGTAGATCCTGGAAAGCGGTAAATAAGAGACTGATCCCAGCCATAGTACGTGCAAACCAGATCCTATTCCGATAACCTTGCAGCAAAGAATAATAAGTTCCAAGAGACAAATGAAGATGAAAAGGAGACTCACCTTATGTTCTGGGAGAATGTGTTTGTCCACGGCAGTGTATGCTGCTAATCGTTTGGACTGCTCAATGGCACTGAGCGTGGTAGTAGCTTGAAGTTGCATGCTGGTCAGCGTTCTAATCGTCTTCTACGAGCAAAATACACACCAGTCGATACCGGCATGGTGACGGTGCGCGGGACGGGAGTTATTCTGGATACCGTGACATCAATGTCAGCTCGGTTTTCAATTGATAAGGGGGAGTTCCGGGAAGCGATTCGGTGCAGCAAGATGATGCGAAACGTCAAGCTAGTCCCAAACCATCCACCCCCAACCGTCTTGGCTCCAACTTGATTGAGCAACTCCGAGCTCCGTAAAGTCGGAAACAGCGAGTCTAGGTGCACAGCAATGCCAAAGTAAACCACTCACGGAGTCTGTGCGGACGCCAAGTGCGTTTTTGCTGAAGAGAATAGGCGGTGGTGGTGGATGAATATTCGAAATGATGCAGCGCGCGAGGGGCAGCATAGATACTTATGAGGATTGCATAAATATAAGGACATGCGTGTGCTCGACGAGTCCATTCTCGGCTGGACACTTTGTATTACTCACGCGCCCATCACCAGCCACTGCTTTCAGGCGCACGTTTCACGGCAACGCTGAGAAGAATTCTACATTCTCTCATTGACTACCATTGGTGTTGCATAGCTCGTTCTGGGAAATATCTCGCGCATAGACCGGATTGCGAAGGAGTGTGGAAAGTTGCGAGCTCTCCAGTCACAGCAGTGGTGGGGTCGCTCAAACATGAGGGCCATTAAAGGTGTGCCCGAAAACTCGATCCCCTTTGAGGTAATTCACCATGTGCAGGGGTGCTTTTAACTTGGTTTGCAGTTATTTTTCGTCTTTCAAAGGAATCATAGACCAATTGTTGGCACTTGCGCTTGCAGTGACTCGGCTGTCAAGCAAATACTGCTCACAATGAACGAGAAAGATCCTTTCGTTATTGAGGATCTAGATGATTACCATCTGGTTATCAAGGCAGATGAGGAATATAGAGTGAGGAGGGAGCTTGAAGCTGAGGTATGAATTCTAATGTATCTGCAAATCCATCTGACAAGGAGTTGTTGCAGTTGGAGAAGAATACATACAGTCTAGAAACAAACTAGTCTTTCACCCTGCATTTTCACCCTTATTCCACAGCATAAGCACTTGCCCTGCTGCGGCCTTTAGGCCTATTTGTGACGTTGCGCATAATTTATCGGATTTGGCTTGACGTGGTACCTTGCTGGTTGAGATTCACCCGAATGAAACGAAACACTCAAGGTGCGTCGTTTCTGCACTACAGTGCAGATCATGATGGGGACCCACGTCAGGCAGACGAAAAGGAATTCTATATGGTAGGCCTTATCTGTGTTCCGAGCAATCTGCCAGATAGCTGATCTTCTCCAGTGCGTATTTAATTCAGCTGACGTGTGAATAGTGGTCACAAACTTCTCCATCCATACGGTTCACCCATGCCAAATCACAACGAAACTTTCCCTTCACTCAGGTGAGGCACGAATGTATATATACGTACCAGCTCTGGCAGTGTCGCCCCTCTAATTGCTTAAACCCGGAAACGTGCACTGCGATAAATAGATCATTCAGACACGAGGCGTGTCCGAGCGTGAAAGGACGCGGAAACGAGTGCAAAGAATTTGGCATTTTCTTACCCGCATCTTCTCTCGAATTAGCACTGCGTCACCAGGTATCCAAGGGCTGGTCAGGCAATTACTAGGCCGCCGAATTCATGCAAGCCAGTTGCTTGCTTTCAGAGGCAGTGTCATCGCAAAGACGCACTAATGGCATCGCAATCTCTGTTATTGCTGTTGTAGTGGCGGCTAGAGGATGAAGAGTGCACAGGCATAGGACTGGACATAATGCGGACCAGAGTTCCCTGCGACCCGATCAGAAAGCGAATTGTGCTGTCAGATATCACCCAGACCGCTGTAAGGTGTCGTATAGGAGCCTCGGAAGCAACGCTATAAACACGCCAGTTATCTATTTCCCACTATGCGATATCAGGGTATGCTGGCATGTGCTAATCTCACATGAGTGCATCACAAGTATCGTCCAGAAAATCTATGTTGAATGAGAAGGGCATATGATGCAGTTGAGTCCGTGAGTGACGGCCATAAGCCGGCACTTTCGGCGTGTTGGCAAAACGAAGCCTGTCTCAGAATTCACGCGCACGACGGAGTCTACCCTGCCAATTAGTCTACACTATCACCATGATATCAACGCGCACACTAAGCCCACGCTAATCACCACAACGACGCTGCCTTGCATTTATTAGCTTGAGGCTAATGGTCACCGCCTTTTTGCTCGTTCTAACGTGAAATGATATGGATCGGTTGCCAATTCGCATCTGAGCCGAATTATTCCCAGATTAGGCGCGATGATCACTATCAGACCATATTGAAGATCGTTTCAGTAGTACTTAAGTATATCTCGTCTTCAAATCGGCTCTATATCACGATCTCTTTCTTTCCTTCTTCCCTTGACTTGATCGCAGACAAAAGAACACATTATGGACACTGTCCCGGACATCTTGAAAGTGTCCATCCTTGGACGAGAGTCCATCCACTGCGGTTTTCACTTGATCCCATACATTGCACGTACAGTGCTCACCACACTTCCTGCATCTGTGTATGTCCTCGTAACAGACACAAATGTAGCCCAGTTCTACCTTTCTGCCTTCGAAAAGGCCTTTAATGCAGAGATCAGCAAGGTGCGTATCTTCTACATTCGCTCATCTCATGTATTTGCCTTGCATTTCAATCTGACTCGCATTTCAGCTTTCTTCCGCGAAACCACGTTTCCTTTCTCGTGTTATTTTACCTGGAGAGACGACAAAGTGTCGTGAAGGAAAGGCCGATATCGAAGATTTCCTCCTTCTCGAGCGCTGCACTCGTGACACCGTCATCCTCGCTCTTGGTGGAGGTGTCATCGGTGATCTTGTTGGTTTCGTTGCTGCAACTTTGTGAGTTCATATGAACTTCCTTGCAAGCTATCCCATCACTATCCATCTTTCTGCACGATTCTCATCCCATCCTCGTGTTTTCTTATTCTTCCTTTCTCCTCAGGCTGCTACTAACCTTCTTACAGCATGCGCGGTGTGCGATTTGTCCAGATCCCTACCACGCTTCTCGCAATGGTGGACTCCTCCGTAGGCGGAAAAAACTGCCATTGACACCCCTGCTGGCAAGAACCTCATCGGCGCGTTCTGGCAGCCCGAATACATATTCATTGACGCTGCATTCCTCGAGAGCCTTCCTGAGCGCGAGTTCAGTAATGGTATGGCTGAGGTCGTCAAGGTGCGCTTGTTCCTACCTTCCTTACAAGTCCACTTTATACTAACCAACGTGCCCCTAAAGACCGCGGCGATATGGGATGAAACCGAATTTACTTCCCTCGAAACTAACGCTCAATTGATCTACAATGCTATTCGCACACCTTCCACTGGCTCTGCAGGTCGTCACATCAGCACGCGCTCTACCTCTCAATCTCTCCTCCTCTCCGTTATCCGAGGTAGCATCTACGTCAAATCTCACATTGTCACCATCGATGAGCGTGAGACCGGACTCCGCAACCTTGTCAACTTCGGACACACAATTGGCCACGCCATCGAAGCCGTTCTCACGCCACACATGCTCCATGGAGAATGTGTCAGTATCGGTATGATATTTGAGGCGGAAGTTGCTCGGGGGATGGGCGTATTGAAGCAGGTGGCTGTGGGAAGACTCGTGAGGTGTTTGAGGGCGTATGGGTTGCCTGTAAGCTTGGCAGATCAGAGAGTAAGCAGATGTCCTGGTGCTCGCGGCCTTGGTGTCGACAGGCTCCTGGATATCATGCGCGTCGATAAGAAAAACTCCGGCCCTCAGAAAAAAGTAGTCATCCTCTCCCGCATCGGAGCCACATACGAGCAGAAAGCGACGGCCGTCGACGATGCAGTTATTGCCAAAGTGCTTTCGGAGGCTGCTACAGTCAAGGTTGATCTTAGTACTACGCCGGGAACGCAACATGTGAAGATGGCGACGCCGGGCAGCAAGAGTATCTCTAATCGCGCCCTAGTACTGGCTGCGCTTGCGCAGGGCACGTGTAGGTTGAAGAACTTATTGCATTCGGATGATACGCAAGTGATGATGGCGGCATTGCAAGAGCTCAAGGTCTTGTTTCATTTTCATCCATCATTGCTGTTGCTAACTTGCTTTATATAGGGCGCTTCCTTTGCGTGGGAAGACGGGGGTGAAACGCTGGTGGTCACAGGCGGCGCAGGGGCCCTTCAAGTCCCCACAGCAGGAACAGAAATTTACCTTGGGAATGCAGGCACCGCTGCACGCTTCCTCACCACTGTCTGTGCGCTCGTGTCTCCTTCCGCCGCTACCAATGCCGGGACCGCCACTGTCATCACAGGCAATGCGCGCATGAAACAGCGGCCTATTGGCCCTCTTGTAGATGCCCTGCGCGCCAATGGATCTGAAATTACCTACAACGAATCCGAGGGCTGTTTGCCACTAAGCATCGCACCCAAGGGACTCCAAGGCGGCGTGATCCGTCTTGCAGCGAGCGTGTCGAGCCAGTACGTAAGCAGCATCCTTCTCTGCGCACCATATGCAAGGAAGGCGGTGACTCTCGAACTCGTTGGAGGCGCTGTGATCTCGCAGCCATACATCGACATGACAATCGCGATGATGCGTACTTTCGGGGTGATTGTCACGCGCGACCCGGGGACCGACATCTACCGAATTCCTCAGGGCACATACGTGAACCCAGCTCAATACGCAATTGAAAGCGATGCGAGTAGCGCGACGTACCCGCTTGCTATTGCTGCCATCACGGGGACAACGTGCACGCTCGAGAACATCGGAAGCGCAAGTTTGCAGGGTGATGCTCGGTTCGCCGTAGACGTGCTTGCACGCATGGGGTGCAAGGTGGTGCAGACCGCAAATGAGACGACTGTCACTGGTCCGAAGAGGGGCGAGCTGAAGGCGATTGGAGAGGTGGATATGGAGCCGATGACGGATGCGTTTTTGACAGCGTGCGCTGTTGCTGCCGTTGCACAGGGCGGGGAGGGGAACACGACCAGGATTATTGGGATTGCGAACCAGAGAGTGAAGGAGTGTAATCGCATCAAGGCAATGATTGATCAATTGGGTGAGTGCTTTGATTGCATCTCACCGCTGCTCACTCTTATGACTGACTGAACCTTCACAGCCAAATTCGGTGTACAGACCAAAGAACTGGATGATGGACTCGAGGTGTACGGTCGCCCATTCAACACCCTTACCCGTGGCGCGAGCGTGCATTGCTATGACGACCACCGTGTTGCGATGGCGTTCAGCGTCTTGGGTACTATCGTACCCGACACAATCATCGAGGAGAAACGTTGCGTTGAAAAGACGTGGCCCAACTGGTGGGATGATTTGGAGAACAAGGTATGACTCGTATCTTCGCTCTCCGTTAAGCTTGGTCCTGACATATATACACAGATAGGCCTTAAGGTTGGGGGCATTGAGCTCCCGCGTGCTGAGAGCTCTACCGCTGCTACTTCTGGAACACCCTCCCCTGCAGCCTCTGCATCCGTGATCCTCGTTGGCATGCGTGGCTCAGGCAAGACACATATCGGAACACTCGCGAGCGCTGCTCTCTCTCGCCGATTCATCGACGCAGACGCTTATTTCGAAGCCAAACACAACATTGGCGTGCGCGAGTTCGTACGTGCCAACGGGTGGCCTGCATTCCGTGCCGCAGAGACAGAGAATTTGAAGGAGATCATTCAGGAGGCTGGGACAGGACACGTGATCAGTATGGGTGGCGGGATTGTGGAGACGCCTCAAGCCAGGGATCTGCTGAAGAACTATGCAAAGACAGGCCCGGTTGTACATGTCCTGAGGGATATCGAGGAGATTGTCAGCTACCTTGGTGATGAAACCGCACGCCCTGCGTACGGCGAGCCGATTACCGAGGTGTTCAAACGACGGGAACCATGGTTTGTTGAATGCGCCAATTACGATTTCATCAACCGTATAACTGTTGACGGCGGCGAGGCAACCAATGCAGAGATCTCGCGTTTCTTCAAGCACATTACTGGGCAACCGAACCTCGCGGAGAATGTTGCCGCTGGGAAGCGTAGCTACTTCGTGGCCCTCACATACTCTGATGTGATGCCCGCTTTGCGACACATGCCAGACATTACGACGGGCGTTGATGCTGTAGAGCTACGTGTGGACCTACTGCGTGCCCCTGATGCACTGGGCGCCATCCCTTCGCAGGCTTATGTTACCGCACAGGTTGCTGCGCTACGCCGGGCGACAAGTCTCCCGATTATATTCACTGTGCGCACGAAAAGCCAGGGTGGTGCGTTCCCGGACAACTCGGAGAAAGACGCGTTTGAGCTTCTTGGGCTCGCGCTGCGACTTGGAGTGGAGTACATCGATGTGGAAATTTCTGCATCTGAGAGGCTCATTACAGAACTCGCCGCTCGCAAGGGATTCTCCCAAATCATCGCATCGTGGCACGACTGGAGTGGTAAGATGAAGTGGAACGAGGATGTAGTGAGAAGCAAGTACGCGCTTGCGAGCCGACTTGGGGACATCGTGAAGATCGTCGGAAAGGCAAACACGTTGCAAGACAACTTTGCGTTGCATGATTTCGTTGCAAAGGCTAACCTGCAGCGGGGTGCAAAACCGATCATTGCAATCAACATGGGCGTGGAGGGTCAGATGTCACGTATACTGAATGCGACTTTGAGTCCCGTGACGCACCCACTTCTCCCCTCGAAAGCAGCACCTGGGCAGCTTTCCTTTGCGCAGATTCAGAAAGCGCTGAACCTCCTGGGTCAGCTTCCTGCGAGACGCCACTTCTTGTTTGGAAATCCCATCGCTCATTCCATGTCCCCGACTCTGCACAACGCTGGATTTGAGGTCCTCGGACTTCCCCACACATATGAACTTCTCGAGACAGCTAATGTTGGTGAAGAACTCAAAGCCACCTTGGCTGCTCCTGACTTTGGGGGTGCCTCTGTTACCATTCCCTTCAAACTCGACGTCATACCCTTGCTTGACAAGCTTTCACCAGCTGCTGAAGCTATCGGGGCTGTCAATACCATCATACCAGTCATTGAAGGAGGAAACCGGATCCTCTACGGAGACAACACCGACTGGCTCGGCATTCGTGAATCCATCCGCTCTCGTGCGCCATCCATCGGTGCGCCTGCTGCCGCCCTCGTTATTGGCGCAGGAGGGACTGCCAGAGCCGCCATCTTTGCGCTTCAGTCCCTGGGGGCTCAGCGTATCTACCTGTTCAACCGGACTGCAAGCAAGGCACGAGCGCTCGTCGAAGCTTTCCCCGACGCTCCCGTCAAGCTGATCGAGACGCTTGATGCCTGGCCTGCTGAGGGGCCTGCACCAACTGTCATTGTATCCACCGTCCCAGCAAGTGCGACAACTACGAACAGCACGAACCCGGGGGCCGTACTTCTTCCGCTGGCGTTGTTTGATGCGACCGCGAATGGCGTGGTTGTGGATATGGCATATAAACCCGCCGAGACACCTCTTCTTATGCTCGCGAAGAGTGCAGCTCCGAAGTGGGCGAGGGTTATGGGGGTTGAGGTGCTCCTGGAGCAGGGTTATGTTCAATTTGAAACATGGACGGGCCGCAGATGCCCGAAGCACGTCGTGTCGAAGAGTGTGTTGGAGAAATATTTTGCAGCTGCCTAGGTGGATCTGTGTCTGTTTGGATGTTAAAAGGTTGTTGATTAGCTTGGTATCAAAATATGTTGTATGATCTAGATAGCTATCGATGCAATTTATCGGTATGCAGTTTGTTTCAAAGTTCCAAATTCTCTACTACATATGAAGGCATTTCTCCTCGACCGTCGAATCTTAATCCTGCACAGAATAGTCCTCCCCCTTTTCCCTCCCTCACTTTTTATTCTCTGTTGCTCCCCTATCGGTGTATTTCGTAGACACTTGTCTCACTTCCCCGTGTCACGTCAGATCCACAGCCATGTCAACTAGATTGATGCTACGCAGATTATCGTCCTAGTCGTCGTAATTAATACCTGACCCGAGCTCCTTGCGCTTCTTGTCTGGTGCAAAAGGTACAATGCGTAAATGAATAAATAACAGAAAGTTATATCCCACCTCCACTGCCCGGACCGTCGTACCAAGCATATATTACGAAGTCGGACTTCAGCTCCTCGCGCTTCTTGCCTTCTAGGGCACCACGTTGAAAGTTCGTGTCAAGATTGTCTCGCTCGACTGAGTGGTGCATTATGGCATCTGAATGAATATGATACCGCTGATGATCATGAATACTCACAGGAACGTTTCGAGATGGCTCCTGGCGTGGGCGACGCTGCAGTAAGAATGACGAGAGAGATAAGTGCGCTCAGGAGCACAGAAAGCTGCATGTTTATGGATAAGAGGAGTGACTATTCGTCGATGCACTCCACTGAGAGGGCTTTTTATATATTTTCGCAGATCCATTCGGTTTTAGGCTCTTCCACAAACAATGATTGTATACATGTCCAGATCGTGGCCTGAGAACTTGAGGTGCAGCAATGTCTGACATGGGATCGAGGCCCAATAAACAGATTCGAGAAAACAGCTGTGATGAATTACGTCAATTTGCGTGGCAATTGCCCCAGTGACTGATACAAATGAGTCCGCTGCGGAAGTTTCATCGTCATGATGCATTTACAGTTAGACAACCGTTTGGTAGTGTGTGAGGAGCCGCCACGTCGCAACCGGGTTATGCATGGATAAAAATTCAAACATGCTGTCATGATCGTCAGCATCTCTTGCAGTCATCAAGTGCAGTTTAGTTTTGCCAATCTACAATGGAAGGATGAATCGTGATGGCCGAAGGCTAAGTACTTAAATCTCCACACCTTTCCGGAGTGCTACTGGTGGACATGCCGTATCTACCACTGGTCTTTGAGCAAGACGCTTGGAATGGCGGCATGCCAGCGAGTGATGTTTGAGATTCCTCGGAGCACCACACCAGCCACTGGCATGCGTTTGAGTCTAAGAGTAGCAGGATCTGCACCAGTTATATGATCGTCTCGTTTTCTCTCGTTCTACGGCAAGCTCAGATGGATCGAGCGGACCGAGGAACAGGGGGAAAATGTATAAAAGCTCTCTCGAAAATTCCGTGAACGAACTTGAAGTAGCAATCAAACCAGCCTGGGCAAATATGCACATGTGGCTGTGCTAGCAGAAATATTGTAGGCTACTGTCACCTGTGTAGTAACACGTCTACTTATCTACTTATTCAGTTCAAAAATGAACAAGCTGGTTACCAGCTATAATTTACTACGTGGCAGCTATTTGAAACGAGGCGCTCACTGTAACACTGGACAACTACGAATTCCGCACATTCCATTAGGCAACTACACAACTCATCGCGGCTTTGCAACATCTCGAGCAGCGATCTTCACAAGCTTTGACGTGGACGCCCTCGTCAGATCATCATTTGAAATGCATATGGCTACTAGTAGGACTCACTCTCAGGCTGTTACTGCATAAATTAACGGGCCAATTGTGGGCGCTGGCCATCCAAGACTTCAAGTTGTTTCAGGAATCACCAGGCCCGGGTGCTGCTGAGTGTCGGCATAGATATGTCATCGAGACCACAGGAAATCATTTTGCCCTAGAAGTCTCAAAAGTGCTGCTGCCCATTACCTGCCTGGGAGTAGCCGGGAACGGAATCAGAGGAAACGAATAATGAGTCGCCATGTCATTGTGGAAGGTGGCTTCGAGAGGAGAAAGGGTCTGGGAGATTCGATAACGTACTCCTTTTTCTCACTTACTGCGACGATCCAAAGAGGTTGTACCAAGTCCTCGGTGCCAACTCAAGCCTTATCAGATTTCCCGAACAGCTTCTGGGATAGATAAAAGCTTCACAGGTGATTAAACATCCTGGCTGCCTGGTTCACACTCGGCTCATCAATTACAGATTCAGATTTTCTTTCGCAACTCATGCGAAAGGAATACTATTCTCAGTATTCTCCTGTCGATGTGGTCGACGATGATGACACCAAGCTCCTTGATAGTGGTATAGCGGCAACTAGTCCTCCACCAAGATCACGCTTTCCTCATTTATGGCCATGGTTGAGCCATGGTGTACTGATTTCCATAACTTTGGTGTTCTTCACACTATGGGCACAGGCGCCTTCGATAGATGACGTAGTTCTGTTCTGTAGGTGGATAACTAAAGTCAGTGCACAAGACTTTACTTACCCATCACAGCTCCAGCAAACGAGGCAGTTGAATCCATCGGCATCGTAAAATTCAACGGAAGTTTTGGTGCTACTTCCATATACCGCGGCAGTCCATCCCCAGAGCTTGACGCCGCTTGGGATAGCATATCTTTTAATGGTTTCACCTTGCGCTTTGCTCCCATCATAGGCTGTTGCTCACGGGAAGCATTTTACAGCGCGCCCAATTCGGATGACGCTTGAGCAACTGCTCAGGACGGGGGAAAAACCTTCTCCTTCCATGGCTAGGTATCCGGACGAATACGGTGGAGGTTACATGGCAACTGTAGAAGCCATTCACCAGCTCCATTGCTTAGTCAGTTGTAAACCACGGAGGCTGGTCGATCTTTGCTCAATTTTCTGTAGGACATGCTTCGCAGAGTCAGCTGGGGTGACCATTACTATCATAATGGGAACATGCACGAATCCCCTGAAGAATTTCGTACCCATATCGGTAGGTATATTGTTTTTTGCTCTGCTCATAACTTGCTTATGTCGCACTTCAGACCACTGCATTGAGATGCTCAGGCAGTTGACTATGTGTGCTGGTGATACGACCATGATAACTCACGATTGGGTAGAGGGAAGGACAACTCCATTCGCTGATTTCAACGTTCATCACCAATGTAGAAACTTTGAAAAGGTCTTAAATTGGGTCGATGAGCATCGTGTTTTTGTCCCTAAATCCGAGATGGTCCGCTTGGACGATAACGTGGACCTGCCTTCCCCTCCTTGATCACATTCTTCACGTGTTCTCTCCTTATGAAACATCCCACGTTAGTGGAGGTGGGTATTTGTGGGTAGGATACGTTCAGCTTCGTCTATCGTAATGCAACGAGGTCAGACAAACAGTATTTCTTTTAAAATCCAATTTCTGTCCATTTGGGGTGGGATACCCCATATTACTAACTAGGAAAGGGGGGACACCTGCGTCCTCCACCAGTCCGCCGTTCCTGTGGCATCCTGCCGGCCGTTTTAGATGTGCAAGTCTTCCAATTTGCGGGACCATTACTGTGCAGTTCGTGGCATGAAGGTCCCTGGCATGTGTTAAGGATGATACAAGTACTCGAGTCGCCGTGCGACTGGGTACGATGGGACTAATGGAGCGTGGTGCGGAGAACAGGAGGAGTGTGTTGTGGGCGTGTATGAGTAAGCTGAGTGAGTGGGTGCCAAATTGTCTGGGTCTGATATAGTCCTCCGTGTCTACCGCTATTGGGGTTCTGTTTTCCCTTGTCGTCGACTGTGAGAGGATAGGTCGATGGCCTGCGCCTTCTGAAGGATAGGCCCTAGATATACAAGCCTTGAGTCTGACATTCTGGATCACATCAGTCTACATCTCCCTCGTTTATAAACTCATAATGCAACAGTTCTTCCAAGGCACCAATAACTGCCCTCCTTCCATGGTATTCAGGCTGAACAAGTGCAGTGAGCAAGCAGGCAAGCAGTATGATATTCCTTGATCATGCATCACGACGTGACGCGCTGATGTTTGGGGAGGTCGACGGTATCTTCGAAGCGAGTAACCTCGGATTCATCGATATGAATAGCGTGTTCGACAGACCAATCCATGATTTTCTCGTAGTTCCTGCATCGATGACGGGTGTTGAAGTTAGGGTAAGAGACCGCGTGTCCCTGCACCCAGTACCATGTGATCATCGTCACGTCGGCATTGCACATAATATTCTGCCTTATCATTTCGATGCAGTGATCTGGACCGTAACGGTACACCATAAGTAATAGTGCCTTAAGGCAGAAATAATATTCACCAAGATGCAAACGGACTATCTCTGGGGTATTTTGGAACGAAATATCCGTGGGCTCATAGTACTCCAACCAAGAGGCTTTGCGAAGCAAGTTCTACACCAGTGTAAGTCAAGAATGAACATATCGTCGGTGTCGGTGTAGTATGACTTACCACACAATGCAGTTGGTGGGCAGATTCCAAGGAAGCCATATAACCTCCGCCAATTTTGTCCGGATATCTGACTTTCGAAAGTAAATCTGTTGTGCCTGCTTTGAGCATCTCCTCACGGGTCATCCGACTTGGTGCCACTAGGTTTCGTGGAGGTGGTCAATTAGTAACTAGTAGTATAACGAGATCAATGACGCACCATTACGAGATACTCTATTCCAAGCGGCATCAATTTCTGGGGAAGGGGGGCCACGATAGATAGAAGGAAAGTTGAGGGTTCCGTTAAACCTCACAATTACAGGCTCGATAGCAATATTGGCTGGAGCTGTGATGGTTTAATAACTATACCGTTCAATGTGGTCCGTCCACTCACAATATATGCTAGGAATGTCATTGTGCAGGTAAGTCGAAGGCGTACGCATCCATAGCGTGAAAAAGAGAACCGATGTGCATACAAGTATGCCATGGGTCAACCACAGGCGAAGGGTACGTGACTCGGGACGAGGTTCTGCACCGAACCTTGCTGCATCACCAGATAGTTTTTCGTTGTCATCGTCGACAGTGTTAACAAGAGAGTACTGTGAGAAATATTTGACCATCATCTTTGGGTAAAGTAACTGAATGCGAGGGAGTGGGGACAGTTGGGGTCCGGGAGGGTCTAGGTCTAGCTAAGACTCAAGAGCCTTTAAGTTTGTGTTGGATGTGGGCTATCGAAAATACCCTACACCTATCACAAGTGCTGATCTTATCGATCATCGCATACATAGAGTGCATTATATGAATGTCGATGAATTCTGAAATGATGCATGAATCACCGGTCTAGGATAAGCATGCCGCTGGTTTGAAAATAAATCTGCACCTCTGCACACATGGCTGTGCTAGCACAAATGTAGACTACTACATATGTAGTAACACGTTGTTACACGTCTACTTATTCGGTTCAAAAATGAACACCAGAAGCTTCCATCATGACAACTGCATCGCTCCACCAACTGCCAGTGTGTACCGTCTTGGCATGTATGTGACAACTGGCATGCATACAAATTAAGACGGTAGTAGGTACACACATCCTCTCCATTTGGAAGTGACTTACTACGTGGCAGCTATTCGAAACGAGATAACGCTGGACAACTACGAATTCTCCACATTCCATTAGGCAACTACGCAACTCATCTTGGCTTTGCAACATATTGATCAGTAATCTTCACAAGTGTTGACGTGGACGCCCTCCATCTGGCTACTAGTAATTCAAGGAAATGAATAAAGAAACCTCAGAGTCACTCTCAGGCTGCCCCTGCATAAATCAATGAGCCAATCGTGGGCGCTAGCCATCTTGTTTCAGGAATCTGCATAGTGCACCTGGCCCGGGTGTCAGCATACCCACTGGAAGCCGCGGGCTTTTGAAGGCAATTGTAGTTGCTATTCTATGAGTCCATAACACATTAATGATTCATTTGACCTGCAGATGGGAAGCTGCAGGTTCCATTGGTAGCTAATTCGCGCACCCGAGAGACAACTAGAATGTCATGGGTGGATACGCCATCATGAGGCTATAGGAAATCATTTTGCCCAAGGAGTCTCAAAAGTGCTGCTGCCCACGACCTAACTGGGAGCAGCCGGGAACGCAATAAGAGGAAAGGGGTGATGCATGATGAGTCGCCATGTCATTGTGAAACGTGGCGTCGAGAGGAGAAAGGGTCTGGGAGATTCGATAACGTACTCCCTTTTCTCTCTTACTGCGGATCCCGAGCACTGTCACAGCTTCTGGGATGGATAAAAGCTTTGCAGGTGCTCAAACATCCTGGCTGTCTAGTTCACACTCGACTTATCAATCACAGATCCAGATTTTCTTTCGCGACTCATGCGTAAGGAATATGACTCTCAGCATTCTCCTTTCGATGTAGTCGACGATGACGGTACCAGACTCCTCAGTGATGGTGGTATAGCAACTAGTCCTCCACCAAGATCTCGCTTCCTTCACTTATGGCCATGGCTAAGCCATGGTGTGCTGATGTCCATAACTTTGGTATTCTTCACACTATGCGCACAGGCACCTTCGATAGATGACGTAGTTCTGTTCTGTAGGTGGATAACTGTTGTCAGTGCGCAAGACATTACTTACCCGTCGCAGCTCCAGCAAACGAGGCAGTTAAATCCATCGGCATCGTCAAATTCAATTGTACTTCCATATACCGTGGCAGACCATCCCCAAACCTCGACGCCGCTTGGGATATAATATCTGTCAATGGTTTTATCTTGCACCTCTGCTAGCGCAGCGACAAAGTTGAGAAGTTGATGCTCATTCTCGTCAATACTTTTGATATGTACTCGGTCGATATCTCATCTCATTTTTCTCTCACTCACTTGTTGCTCCCTTACATGTAGTACCTGCAAATCGCCCATGTCATTAATAGGCCAGTTACCTTGCAACTGCTGCGCAGGGATAATGAGGTATCTTACGGAAATTGATACACATTCTCATTCTTGGCATGCACTTCGTCAAAGATCCCTGGTACAGCAGTCATGGTCACAGCCATCACACCTACCTCTAAAATTTTAGACAATCACGACGATATCATGTTAGTTCATGACATACCCTGATGACCCTATACTTCCTCGGAGACAAGGAACTATCAATCAACGCTCTTCCAAGTTCCTCCTCGTCAACCGTCTCTTGTACCATCCAACACTCGCTCGAAGAAGAAAACCTCTACTGATTTTTTTTTGGGTTCAGTTCGGGTTTGGACAAGAAAAAAAATGAGCCGGACCACAGAGAATCATTCTCTGTGATCCGGTTCTTGGTTCTCGTCCAGGACCATCTGAATCGGACCGAACCGGGCCACAGCGACACTAGTTCTTAGGGAACAGCCAAGGATCGCAATTTCAAAAGATGTAATAACTTATTTGCAAGACACCTACCGGCGGCGTGGTGGTTCACTATAATTGGTAGTAACACTTGCTGTAACAATCGGCAAGTTGCTGCTAGGTCCCTCCGTGTCGAGTTTGGCTTGCCAGATCTCAGGGGCACTGAAACCGCTTCCTGTACGAAGAAAGGCAAGCGCTATTTTGGGGGTGCTACATCCTGACTGTCTTACCTTTGACCCACACGAACTTCAGATACAAAATTTCCTTCCGGAATTATGCACAAGGAATACTACTCTCAGTATTCTCCTGCCGATGGAGTAAACGATGACGATGCGAAACTCCTTGATAGTGCAGAAACCAGACATCCATCAAAATTTCACTTCCTTCACCTATGGCCATGGCTTAGCCACGCTGTGCTGATGTCCACGACGATGGTGTTCTTCATCCTATGGGCGCGGACGCCTTCTATAGATGATATCGTTCTATACTGTGGGTGGATGAATAGGTTAGCACTTAGGATCTTGCTTACTTGTCACAGCTCCAGCAAACGAGGCCATTGAATCCATCATCCTTGTAAGATTCAACGGAAGTTTAGGCGCTCCTTCCATTTATCGTGGCAGTCCGTCCCCAGAACTCGATGCGGTTTGGGATGATATAGCTGTGGATGGTTGTGCCATACTTCACTCACTTTATATGCAACAATTGATGTGAAATGTTATTCAGGGCGCCCAGTTCGTATGACGCTTGATCAACTGCTCAGAACAGGTGAGAAACCTTCTCCCGCCATGGCTATATATCCAGGCGAATATGGCGGAGGTTACATGGTGACGATTGGGGCCATTCATATGCTCCATTGCACAGTCAGTTACAATTGCAGGGAAGCTGGATCTTTTCTCACTTCCATGTAGAACATGCTTCGTAGAGCCAGCTGGGGCGATCATTACAGATCCTCTGATTATTCCATCCACGACTCCCCCGAGGCATTCCGCATTCATCTCGGTAGGTATATTGATTCTTAACCATCGCAAGTCCTGCTCATGTTTTACCTCAGACCACTGCATCGAAATGCTCAGGCAGGATATTATGTGTCGTGACGACGTGACCATGGTCACTTACGACTGGGTGGAGGGACTCGAAGATCCTTCTCCCAACTTCAATGTTCTTCATCAATGCAGAAACTTCGAGAAGATATTGGATTGGGTAGACGAGCATCGCGTTATTGTCCCTAAATCCGATATGGTCCGCTTGGAAGATACTATCGGCCTGCTTTCCCCTCCTTAATCGCATTCTTGACATACTAGTCCGCTTCTGTAGTCACTCCTCACTTCTGTATGATCCGTGAACGAATTAATAACCAGCACCCGACGCTGTGGAGTCTTATACACGCTTTCTTGAACTACGAATCTGGGAGACCCAGCCGGCTGGCTCTCGTGGCACCAAATGTGCTGCGAATTTCATTTCATCAAATACCAGATTACACTGTCCCTGACTCCCAATGTTAGGCTTTTGTCGAACACAATCAGTTTCCCATCTTCCAAAACCTCTGCCGGCTGCACGCGTTTGGGCCTTTTCCGAGGTTACAATCATTTAACACCTTGTTTGTTAGAGGATTGTCTTTATGTCTGTTATTCAGTTCTCGCTGGGCCGTTTTTCCGTTGTGCATGCCTCGGCATCAAAATAAATCAGGAGCGCACACTACACGCATCAGAACGATATGGTCCAGTCTACTACTTTCAATTCTTCTAGCCTCGCTGAAGCCTCATCGATGGACGCCTCTTCGGTCGTTGGCTCTTCCAATGTGACCGAGGATGACTTGACAGTTAAAGGAAGGAGGTTGCACCATTTTCCTGACGGTCAGACTCACTGTGGCCTTAGCTTGCGCACATTCTTCTGGCCTCTGGCCCCATTAACATGTTTCATTTGGTGGTGAATCTCGATAGTTTTGGTGAATCTGTCGAGAATCTCTATCTTGAAGCTTCACACAAGTTCGATAGACGTGTCATGGACGCGGACGAACAATCGGTATTATGCCTGGTAACCTAAGCTCGATTTCTCTTGGACCCTTGTAGACAATACTTATATTCTGCTTAATATTCTTTGTAACTGGTTCTGCATAGAAATCTGGTGTTGCATAGTTGCACTGCGTACAATATATTGTGAGATCAGCACGATGATGTTCGATGTGAAACAAGGCTTACTACTCCAACGAAACAAGTTGTTATGCTTAGGCGTCTGGGTTTGGTCACGATTCTAACCATTCTCCCTGCGTACATTATACGATGAGGCTAACACGATGAGATTTGGTGCGAAACAAGGCCTACGGATCAAATGGATCTGCGTACATGTCTGGTTCTGCGTACATGTCTGGTTCTGCATAGTTGCCCTGCGCACATTGTAATGTCAGGTCAACACGGTAGGATTTGATGCGTGAAACAGGGCTTACCACGGTGTCGCTACGCTTGTCAAGTTCACCAACAGCGCGAGTAGCCTGCGGACATTGTATGACAATATGATAAGGTTTGACGCGAAACGAAGCTTACTGGTACTATCCCAGCGTTGACAGCCATCAAGCTGAGAATAACGAAAGCAGCAGTGGAGAGGCGGATAAACATGATATTGAGTTGATCTTACTTGTGCAAACCAGATATAAAGGAATTTCCAAGCGTATGACCGTGCTTGCAGAAACGGTCCAGCAATAGATAGGAAAACCAAGTCTGCGTAAATTGTGTATTAGGAAGTGACAATATTTTTCGATTTCGAACGTTGTATGGGTTATTGGATTATCAGTGATCCGACTGTGATTGCCTTTTTTCAAACATGACGACATGAAATGTTATTCAACAACTTTTATTAAGGGCGATTGTCAGTACTTGGTAGTAGGGTACCGCACGGGTAACACCGAGGGTCGGAAAGTTGACACCGCACCCGCACCCGCCAACACCGTACCCTTCACGGGTACGGGTACACACCGACCCGTCAATGTCGCGGTTTATGGAAAACACCGCGGTGTCTCTGAACACCGCGGGTACATTACCAAGAAGAGTGTATTAAGTATTAACAACAATGAAATAAAATAGTACTACTTTTCCTTGTCATTCTCCTCTGCTTCGACTTCATTTCGCTTCCGTTTTTGAGTCCTGACAGCGGCTAAAAGGTCCTCCATCACCAGAAGATCACTTCTGCCCCACGCTCCGAGGCAGAGAAAGGCACGAATTGTTGATGGTGCGAGTCGGTTGCGAGTAAAATGAAGGAGCTGCCGGCCCTGCGAGAAGACACGTTCAACCGCAGTTGATGTTGCTGAGCAAGATAATAAGTATTGATTGATTGAAAGAGGATTCGAAGGAGACATACCTGGGACAGAGAGATAGTCGAGTGCCATCCGATGCAGCATTGGATGAAACTCATCCAACTCGCTACTAGTAGTACGAGACATGGAACCAAGTGAGTAGTCACCAAAGTCATCCTCGTTCTGTATAGTTGTCAGTGTCAGTGCAAAATTAAATGTTGCATACGGACTGTGTCTGCTTCAATGTCATCAGTAATCTCGGCAGATTTCTCGTATTTATCAATAAACTCTTCGTGCTAGAATGATTCACGGGGGTACAAAAGACATGACAGAAATCAGTATAGCATTCACTTGTGATCCTCAAGCTCTCAGAGGAAGGAAAAACAGAGAATCAAACACGGTGTTCAATGGCTGTCGCGCGCCTGGTTCCCGATTTGGTATATTATACCCGCCCAAACACCGTCAACCCGCGGTGAATGGCCACGGTATGCTCAAGGGTACGACTATCCTACTCCGTACCCGTACCCTCCAAACCCGTCAGCATAGAACCGCGGTGTTACCCGTACCCGTGCGTTTCCCTACTTGGTAGTCACTGGATCGTGCCAAGTCGATACTTATCAATCAACAAGTTCCCTAGTTCTTGCGGAGGGCGGAGGGCGGAGCCACTCGATGCATGCCAGCGAATGAAGGAATGGAAATTTTGAATATCATTGGCGTGTATCGTGGATTCGTGTCACTGTAAGGTGCCAGTACTCAATCCTGTAAGATCATTCAAGTTGCCGCATCAGGATAATTGTGATTGGGGCCCGGGGCCATGGGGCGAACTTCAATTTCTTACAAAGGCAACTGGCCAGTGGCCCTGGCTGCGATGATTGAGTTTGGAGTTCCGTCGCTTTAGTGCGCTTGACGGACAGTAGAGAAAACAGCGGAGAATGTGGAGTCGGATACATATCAAACTCGCAGTACACTCGCAGAAATGAATTACATAGTGGTGAAAGTGACTGGTGGCCCGTGGGCCGTGGGGAATGGATGAGAGTCATGATCACGAGACACAGACTCCGCTTGAAGTTCCTGGAGCACCTGATCCCAGACACAGATTATTAGTACGTGGAGTCCTGGATCGAACCTTGGTTGGGGTTCCATCTTCAAATCCGTATGGATGTCACCCGACAGCAAGCGCAGGACATCGTCGTCCAAACCGAGGGCGACGATGCTGTGATCGAACAGTTTTACGAGGTCTGCAATGAGAGATTTAGGTATGATATATCAATCATACGCTTGAAAGGATTTTCGCTACATGCAATCATGATGCTCCAGTTACACTTCGTCTATCAGATTTTACAAGATCGACATCGTGCTTCGCAATGCATCATACCTTCTTGCCGCTGCTCCCAAGACGCCTGGCTCTAAACCAGTCTCGGTGATGCAACCACTCTCCCTTGACACAATTCGCGATCTCCTCTCAGAAATCTCCAATAACACCAAACTGCCTGTACCAGAACTCAGAAACTTCGATGATTCCCTCGCGCGTTATCCATTTCATTATCTCTTCCTCCGCCTGCCTTCACAAAACGCCCAGTCCCTCTCATCGCTGCGATCGAGTGGCGCTCTCACACCGTCTCAAGATGCTCTTCTGGACCTTAAGTTAGGAACCTTCATTCATTCTCTGCACTCACTCCAAAACGATTGGTTCGGTGTCCCAGGAACCCAGCCAGACGAGGAAGTATGCTACAGCTGGCAGGATACATTCATGCTGCTCCTTGATGGGCTGCTATGCGAGCTTGAAAGCTCTGGAGATATACAAAGGACGTCGGTAGAGGACATAAGGCGATATCTATCCCGCGCCATCGGGTCATTTTTATTTGAAGACGCAGAAGTGCCTACATTGGTCTGGCTGACAGGTTCGGCGGACGATGTGTATGTCCAAGTTTCAGAGCCTTGTGGACCGAACCAGGAAGCTAGAGTGGACATTGCATATGTACTGCCGACATTCGATCGGGTGGTGTGGGGAGACCCAATGTTGGAGGCGTTTTTTATGCCGCCAGGGCCGAGCAAGGCGTTGGAAGAAGGGTATTTGGAAGGAGAGGGCGGAACGTTGATCGTTTTCCCGAGGCAGAGAACGAAGAGGATGTGGTACACGCTGTTCTTAGCTCTAGTTGTACTGGTAGAAGTTAGGAGAGATAAGGAGAAGGAGGAAGGGGATAACCAAACGCATCAAAAGCTCTATTGGGCAAGGGAGATCCTCCCAAGATGCGTTGAGGCATTGAAGGATGCGCCCTGTCACTAGAATGATACAGTAAAGTCCTGTAACTCTAAAGTTTAGTTATATGCATGGAGCCAAAACATAAATGTCCTACCTATATCATGACGAAGTATTAGCGGGGCCCATTTCAACATCTACTAGTACTGCAGCTGGGGAAGCAACTGGTGTTGGAGCATCGTTTCCCGTGAGTTCACCCTCTACAATATCTTCCTCATCACTACTTTGTCCTTCTCCAAGTTCTCCATTGTCGGGAGTTACTGTCATTTCTTTTTCGCTGGTCATCTGAACGTCCTCATGTTCCATACGTGGATCCCATTCAAGCTCTTCTGGCTCCTCCACCTCCACTTCGACGCGCTGCTTCCACTCAAACTTATCTCTAAGCATCATCACAGCCCTGACAGCGCGCTCCACACGATGATCATGCGCACTCCGTATCTCTTCACATTCATGCAGCACATCCTCGTGTGTCACCCGACCACTCGTGGCAGGAGGATGGTTGGTCTGAACACTATTCGTGGCAATGGCGCCACGGGTGGCCATACACTCCGCCAGACGTCGAACAGTAGCGGTCTCCATATTTAGTACGTCCGTCGTCTGCTGATTGCGCAAGAGAGGGATGAGGTCATTTTCGAGCTGAGCATCTGTCATTCCAATGCTAGGATGCAGAGCGATCTTCTCGTACACGCTAGAACCGAGCCGAGCTTGCGCCTGGCCAATTTGGGACTGCGCCTGAGGCGAAGATAAGGATTGGGAGAAGCTATGTGTTTGGGAGAGAATGACATTGTATTTGGAGAGGATGTCTGGCCAGGCGGGCATGGCGTTCTGTCCGCCGACATCGATTGTACGTTGGAGGGTCTGTATAGATTCAATAATTTGGTTAGCCTTGAATTTTAAGAGCTCAAGTTGAGCGATTGGAAGGGACTTTGAATCGAAAGCAAACTGAGGGTTGTTCGTAGTCATGATGGATTGATTCCAAAGAAGGGAATTTTCAAAGCGTAGTGGTTCACGAAGCTCTTGCACAATAAGACCAAATAGTCTTCAAGTTCTGCCTGTGCCAGCCGAGGCAGAGTTCTCCTCTTCTCCATTTTTGCTGTTCTTTTCACCACCTGTTTTTCAGAATGCTCTCGCTTTTTGCTCGTCATATCGTGTCTAATTTTCCTGTGCTGCGCACGAATGTTTTGTCTTCGTCGGTCTTGACTTCGTCCGCATTCGTTGCGACGCGTCGTACGTTCTTCACTACGCGTCGTATCCAGCTGCCAGCCGCTGCATCCAAAAGCGCGTCAACCAAAACAACGAAGAAAAAAACTACAAAGAAAACCCCAGCTACAAAAGCTGCTCCAAAGAAGGTGAAAGCCACCACGGAAGCAAAGTCCAAACCGAAATCAACAGCAACATCCAAGAAGACGGTCGAGCGGCCCCGTGAGTAGAACCATTGACTGAGCTTGTAGTCATGTGCATGTTTATATGTGTCGCTATAGCACCCAAGAGGGTGCCCAAGTCTGAGCAGCCTCCTTCGCGTCCCCCTAATGCCTATCTGCTTTACTTCTCGAAGCTCGTCCAAGAACGTAGGGGTGACATTAAGAGTACTATGGACACCCAGGATATGGCAAAGAAAGCTGCAGTTACGTGGAATAACTTTACTCTTGCGGAGAAACAGGTAATCTGCATTGCCATATCTGCAATGTGACATGCTACAATTGCCCCTCGCAGCCTTACTACAACGAAGTTGAGGTCTTGAAGAAGCAGTATGAAGAGAAGCTAGATGACTATTGGAAGACTGCTACTCCGAAAACTGTCAGGAAAATCAATGCGCGTCGCAAACATGACGGGAGAAACAAGATTCACCGACCTCACCAAGAGAATGACTATAAGCGCCCTAAGGGACCTTTCTTTAGGTCAATTTTGCGTGCTATGGTGATAATATGAAGACTGACAACAAAGATTGGTTCAACAGATTCATAGAAATGTTCCGTCGATCTGATGATGGCAGAGCTATCCAAGAAGCTGGAACCACTGCCACAGGTAGAGGAGCGGTCAATGTTGCTCGTTGTGGCCGGTGAACGGTGGAGGGCAATGAGCGCCTCTGACAAAGCCGTAAGTGAACCCGGCTGACAATTATTCTTCAATGATTAACGATATGTCATTTTAGCCTTATGTGGAAGCTTACCAGAAAGCACATAATGACTGGCAAGCAAACCACCCCAGCAAGAGTATCTCTGCAAGTGCATCATCGTAGGAGCTTACATGTCAGGAAGCAGAAATGCTAGCAATTCCGCATGCATCAGTCCCGCCGTCCTTCCGTTATTGCATTTTTCATCGTCGCTTGCCCACTTTATCACCCACGTTCAGCCCAATGAGTTGATTTTTATTGCAATGTTTATAATTTCTGAAGTCATTCGCATGTCCCTCCAGTCTTAAATATGTACGATAGGAGTTCCTGGTCACGTTCCTTTTGGCTTGCGAATTCTCTTCATCGTACCTCTCGTCGATGGGCAAGTTTCTCAGGCACGCGGACTCATATTTGATACTCGCAATAAATGATAATCCTATACGAAGATGCTCCAGACATTTGCGCATCACCTCGAGTACGCTTCAATCTTATGTCTTCTGTGAATGACATCAGTCGGCCACTCTCATTTCAATTTCGATTTTGGACAATTACAGTGGACGCTATCTCCCTTTGCAGACCAAGTCACATCATCAATGAAACGTGACTTTCACACTGAGTTTGATGCTTGCGTTAAGCTCCTTTGCTCCTCTTCCAACTGATATTTCAGACGCTCATGATGCATTGCTAACATTCAAGGTCGTGTAGGTGCATTTCGCCACCTCATGCAATGGTTCCGGACCTGACTTCGGCGTTGGTGATTTTGTGTACCTCTCCATCACTCATTGTCGATACGAATATCTCAACGGCCAAATTAAACGGGAAGCCAAGTTCATGACGAGCCTTCCAAAATCCTCTCTGCCCATCCTGGGTCATCTTCATACACTCTTGATCTACCGCCACGTATTAACATTCACCCTACGATTCATTTATCTGGACTTCAAGTGCCACGCCCCCGACGGCACTGTTCCCCTCCCAAGAACTGCTGTGACTTGGTCCCGTCGCGACCCAAGACAGTCTCGAAGGATAGAGGATAGAACGTATTTTCGATCAACGTCCTCACGGCCGCGGTTTCCAACAGCTCATTCTCTAGTAAGCAGAAGCTTTCTGGCTACAAGGTCGTGATGTCATTCTCAGATGGGTCCCCGGCCATGAGGGAATCCACGGCAACGATGAAGCGGACAAGGCTGCCAAGAAAGCTGCAGAAGGCCGTCATCACAACAGCCTGAGTCTCTCGGCCCTCAAGCAAGCTCACCACCAAAAGTTGCATCTCAGATGGATTCAGTTATAGAGGAAGTCTCCTTGCCTCAAACGAATGAATAGGCTCGAACCTTTCATACCCAACCGCTCCTTCGTGAAGCTGACACCGTCGTTCTCCAAGCGTCTTACAGGGCTTCTCATCGATCTCCGAACGGGTCATATCGCCCTCAATAAGCACCTGCATCGCCTAGGCAAATCTCCAACAATGTTCTGCCCCCATTATCCCCCAGTCATTGAAACAGTCTATCATTTCCTCCTCGTCTGCCGTCAATTCCGTATAGAACACCACTTCCTATCCAATGCTCTGGGCAGACAGGCTACGTCCATGCAATACTTCCTGACACGAGAGGAGTTGTTTGCACTACCTCATCGCATCCGCTTCATAAACAGCACGGAACGCTTAAGCCACATGTTCTGGTGAAATCCGCCTAAGTAAACCTCGTTCTGCCAAATGATGACTTGCTCGTCAGATGATCCATATACCCCCAACCGCCTCAACGCATCAGTCACACTCGTTAAATTCACTGCCCTATCAACACCGCCAGACCCTCTCCATCCTTTTCTACACCACTTTTCCCTCCGTCTACCACCCCCTAATTTACCATCCTCCCACCTACTCATCTCGATCGTCACGGCAGGCCGTCCGTGTGCATACTAATAATTTCACCCACATGGATCCCTTCCATTCATATTCGAAAACGCATTATAGTTCAAACCTGATTCAGTATACCCTCACTACATACGTACCCATAGTCACTTCATCTTCGTAAAGTGGCGCGTCTAAAACGGCCGGCGGACCGGTTGGGGTACGCCTCACACCAGGGCATTCACGAACTCTGAGCTGCGGCGGGGCATGGGGCCCCTAGACTGGATAGCAATATCCTACATAGAGTAACATACTCACCATGGACAAAAACGGATTGAAAAAAAGAAAAAAAAGGTCGCGATGCATGAAGTCGAAGAATGTTCTGCTTTCGACAACCCTCGCCACGCTCGATTCTTTGGAGGTCTTTTGTTTTAAAAAATTTCAATTTTTGTCCATGTGGGGTACAGTACCCTATGTAGGATATTACTAACTAGGAAAAGGGGACACCTGTGTCCCCCGCCGCGTCTCCGACTTCGCTCTTTGGAGGTTAGGAGGGTGTAAGCTACGTTTTTATGCCGTTGACGCATACTCACATGATTACAAAGCTGTGTGTTATAGTTATGGCGCTGAACAGTCCCCTAGATCAACATCAAAAATGCTGTTTGCATGCGAATCTCGTTCAGCATATCGCCGTTCTCTGCAAGCCACATGCCACGAAATGCAAATCGAGACTAGTCCTGGAATCGGCATATAGATCGCTACAACTTGACAAGATGTTCAGGTACATTGTTCTCGGCCGTAGAAAAATTGATTACCCGTTGACGAACAAAGCACAAAAATAGATTGATTTCGCAAGTAGTATGAGGCCGTGAAGCCGCTCAGCAGTTTCTGAAATTCAAGGGTTTGACAGTCACCCTCGGTGATAAACGGCGAGAAGATGCTTCTTCAAAAAATTCCTTGGAAAAATCTAGGGACCTGAAAAACTCAGATGACTCGCCACAGCGCTCGGTTTATCAATGCATCATGATGATCAACTCCTAGGGAGTAAATATAGATTAGCCTAGACTCTAGAAATATTTCTTCATTTTGCTGCGGTTTGTATTTTCAGTAGCCGGCGGTGCTTGCGCCGCAGCGGTCCCCGACCAAGGAATCAGATGATCCACTGTTCGAATGCAAAATGCAGACTAGTGTGTTTTGCCTCTTGTCATTTTCTCGCATCGGGGGACCCAGATTTAGATGCGCTGATCTGATTTGGAGATCTGATTGATAGAGAGGGTGCATCTTGCCTCGTTGGTGACCAGTGAGCCTCTCGTTGTCTGGTTTGTGCGTACTAAATGGTTTTTGAAGAAATTCAATAGTCAGTTACAGCCCTCCCCTTGTAAAAATATGAATGGGATAAATCAATCCGGATACCGCGTATCATCAGAGTAGTGGCCATGTGGACTCTATGATGGGCGGTAATTTCATCATGACTGTCTTAACATGCATCGTGCTCTCGCTTACCAGTAAGGTCAGATTGAAAGACGGTAAGCGTCTAAAGATCAATAAGGAATGTGATATCTAATAGAGCACGACTTACCCCCATCGAGTGTACGAGACTGGAAAAAAGACGTAAATGAGGATAGCATAAGTATCGTACTGTACTCGGATCGGAGGCGACCATCGATTAGTACGCGAGACACACCGCCACAGTTGCAAAGTTAGCAACCTCGTCTGATTGGACCGCGACATCAAAATAAGATATAGCAACCGGTGGCGTCAGCGGACGCCTGTTATACTTATAGCTCCGAGACTCAAACTTTCGCGGGCGCAATGTTGACTTAGGCATCAGTCATTGGGTTTAATGTTGCAGCTGTACCGGCAGATTTTGTGTCCATGGTCACATGGACTGGTTGCACCAGAAGATAATATTAATGAGGATATATAGGGACTAGTACTAAACCGTCTATAAACGCGAGCAGGAAGGTGACACAGCAGCGGAAAAGTTGGTTTTGGTCACAATTGTGGGGATTTCTACAACGTAAGCAAGTGATCGACCCCCATTTGACGCGTTACGGTGGGGGTAAATTAGCAACGCAACCAAGGCCCTGTAACGCGCTACAGTTGCCTCCATGCACACAGGTAACGTGAGTTGCCTAATATGGTAAGTCCGCTAGCATAATGAACGAGTGCTCGAAGTCAAACAAAAATTAAAATAATGTACTGCGTTGTCGAGTTGATTTCCAACACATATGAGCTGGCCTGTGAGCGGATCGACGAAGAGGTACCAAAGCCCTCTTGAACGTTCAATGCAGTGTATACTCAAACAGGAAGCTTTATTTTTTCTTCAGTGGGCGCGCATTGCCATCTATCGTTGTTACAGCGCACCCCGTGCAAGAGGCTGTCGCGAAATGGTTATGACTATCGGCAGTATCATAGAATATGCGGAGGTTGACAAGCGCAACCTGTTGCCAAATTCGGAGAAATACAAGGGACTTGATGCCGATGAATTCAATTACTTCAATTAATGCGCGTGCCCTTGACGTTCTACATAGATGAGTTATAGCTGTCTCTGTATTTTTTTTTTCATTGGAGTCCTCCATTAAATCTTTCTAAGTGGCCACTAATTGCGCTTCGCCCACAAGTCACGTCGTTCGTATACAGTTTCACTCGATCTATCCACTAGACTCTATAGTCTGATTGCTTGATTTCTGACGTTCAAACCCGTTTAGTGATATCGCAGTTATCTCACTTTCATTCATTTTTTATTTAAAAAAATCCGATTTGTGTCCATTGAGGATGATGATGCTTTCGGATCTATGGGATCTCTGGGCTCCGGCGTTGTCCCTTCTGATATCTCAAGCTGAGTTGTGAACGCCCTTCGGATGTGGGGCTTGCCCCCATCAGTCTGCCGTTCCCGCCGGCGGCCGTTTTCGTGCGCTTCAACGGAGATGAAATGATTTAAATAACTGCTATGGTTAGGTCTGTCAGGGTCTGTCTTGGAGCTCGGAGAATAATGCGGAATTGAAAGATTGATTAGTAACTTGGTCAAAATACTCACCATTACATCACACATCGGAGGTTTGGACATTTTACCTCTTGCAAAATTTCAATCAAAAGCAGATCTAGACCTAGCCTGGAACGCTCTGGAGCGCTCTAGATTGCATTTAAAATGTGATCTCACCAGTGGCAAAATGTGGTAAAATGTCGAAACCCCCGGTGTGTCATATTTCATTATTAGTGCTCAATGACAGCCTCGGTGCTATGACCGACTTACGAGCCCTGAGGCCTGAGGTCTTTTTTCAGGACGCCGGCTGTATAAAATTTGAAATTGCCACAAGACTTTTTTTTAATTCCATTTTATTGTCCTTTGGGGTCGTAGACCCTATGTTGGACATAGCCCTAAGCGTCACAAGACTTTCAAAACCGCTGGCCTCAAGACTCAAGATGCGGATGAGAAAGTCCGGCCGGATAATATATGCCGACAGGTTTTCATACTGTGTCTAGATGCTGATCAGAGCGGTGTCATGTATTTTGCAAATGATATTATTAATTTATTCAGCAGAGATAGAATTTCCATTCGACTTTACAATATTCGTAGCCTAGGGAGACGCGTCATATCGTGATTTATGCGAGAGCCGTTATTTGGAGAAATAGAGACTGCAATCAAGGAGGGGAAGTCAGGTCCACGTTACCCTCTAAGCGGACCACCCTGGCTTTAGGACTATGCTCATCAACCCAACTCAAGATTTTCTCAAAGTTTCTGCATCGGTGAGGAGTGTTGAAGTTAGGAAGAGGCCCCTCGACTCCCTTCGCCCAGTCGTAGGTGAGCATCGTCACGTCGCCACGACACATAAGGTTCTGCCTGAGCATTTCGATGCAATGGTCTGAGGTACAACATACTAGTAAGCAATATATGGGCTGGGCAGGAAACAATATACCTACCGAGATGAATGCGCCGGAAGACTTCGGGGAGGAATTCATGACTTGTGGCATGATCTTGTTCACCCCAGCTGGCTCTGCGAATCATGTCCTACAGGGAAGTGAGTAAAAATAGACCAGCCTCCCTGTATTACAACTTACTACGCAATGGAGCTGGTGAACGACTTCTATACTCGCCATGTAACCTCCACCTTGTTCTTCCGGATACCCAGCCATGGAGGGAGAAGGTTTCTCCCCTGTTCTGAGCAGCTGTTCAAGCGTCATACGAATTGGACGCGCTGTGAGAGATAGTCAATAAATGACCATGATGTAAGTGAAGCATAGGGTGGAACCATTAAGAGATATCCTATCCCAAGCGGCGTTGATTTCTGGAGACGGGGGGCCACGATATATAGAAGGGGTGCCCAGAGTTCCATTGAATCTTATAATGCCGACATATTCAACCGCCTCATTTGCTGGAGCTGAGACGAGTAAGCAAGATCCTGTGCGTTGACACTATGCGTCCACCTACAGTACAGAACTACATCATCGATCGACGGTGCCCGCACCCATAGCACGAAAAACACCAATGTTATGAACATCAGCACCCCATGGCTTAGCCATGGCGACCAGCGAAGGAGACGGGATTCTGGAGGAGGTGTTGTTGCTGTATTGCTATCAAGAAGGTTCGTATCATCACGATCCTCGACACCGTCAAAAAGAGAATACGATGGAAAACAATCCTTCGGCATAGCTGGGGGCAAGAAAAGGACTTAAAGTTAGTAGGGTTTCAAGACACCCACTGCACTTGGAACACAAACCGTACTCGTGGGCAAGTTAGAAGCCAGGACCTAAGTAAATAGAGGGGCTTCTGATGGAACCATCTGAGCGCTTTAGCAGTGTCTGGTGCAGAAGCAATGATGAGAACTATTTTAAGCAAAATTATTTTCGGTATATCTAGACTAGCCCTTTCAAGTTGACGTAAATCAAATTCAGTAACGCTGTCCAATTTGGATTGCATCTGAGATCTCCGACAGTTAACGTCAAGTAAACACAGGTATACACTCTACCGTCGTGGCGCCACCCTGGCCTCACCTGGCGTGATTCATCCGCATATGTCCACGAGCGTCCACATACGCTGGGGCGGCTGGGCTCCTGAATCAAACCCATCTCAGGCTTATCCGAGTTCCTCGCACTTCTCCGATCACCCGGACCTGCATTTCCCCATTGAATACTACCTCCTTCCAGCGCTCCGCTGCGGCATGTGACTCACGAAGCTGCTGTACACCTGAGACACAGCCGACTGGGGGGCATATCCGAAATTAATACATTCCTAAATATTTCTCGGGGTGTGTATCGCATCTACCCTCGCGTGTTCACAACTATCCGAACAGAGTTCCCCCAGAGTCATGAATAAGGATTCTTCACAGTACCTTCGTGTCGACACTTTTGACAACGATAATGAGGAGAAATTATTTGATGATGCAGAACCTCGTCCCAAGTCGCATATCCTTCGAGTGCGGGCTATGTTGAGCCATGGCGTGTTGATATGCACATCGCTGCTCTTTTTCGCGCTATGGATGGGCACGCCTTCGCCTCACCTGCGCGACGACATTCCTGTATACTGTGAGTGGACAGACCACAGTGAACGCCACCGCTATTAATCCATCACAGCTCCAGCAATTGTTGCTGTCGAGCCCGTGATTCTAAGGTTTAACGGAACCCTCGACTTTCCTTCTATCTATCGTGGCCTTCCTTCCCCCGAGCTTGATGCCGCTTGGTCCAGGATAGCTGGCGATGGTGCGTCGTCCAATGTTTTCCGTCATCCTAATTAGTAATTGTTCATACCCCTGAAACCTCAGTGCTACCGACTCGAATGTCGCTTGAGGAAATTCTCAAAGCCGGCGACGTAGATTCACCTTCCAAGGTCAAGTATCCAGCTAAACTTGATGGGGATTTCATGGTATCCATGGAAGCCCCTCACCAACTCCATTGTCTGGTAAGCTATACTACACCGAAAGTTTAGTCGTTCTTGCCTCACGTTTTGTAGAATTTACTTCGCAAAGCCTCGTGGCCCGAGTATTACAGACCCACAGATATTTCGTTCCAGGACGAGCCCTACGTAGTCCGCATGCATCTTGGTGCATATGCTTTTTTCCATTGATTCACCTCATACTTATCGTCTACATTACAGATCATTGCATTGAAATGATCAGACAGAATATCATGTGCAATGCCGACGTCACGATGATAACATGGGACTGGGTTCAAGGACACGATATCCCATACCCTAACTTCAACACTCGCCACCAATGCAGGGACTACGAGAAAATATTGGATTGGGCTGACAAGCACGCTGTTCATATCAATGCATCCGAGGTTACTCGCCTCGACGATACGATTGAGCTTCCCTTACCCTTCTATCCGATGAGCCATAATGTGTAAGGAATATCGTGCTGCTTATTCGCTATTACATACATTCACGAGTATCTTGCAAGAACGGCAATGATTACACAGCGAGGGTTTCGACATTTTACCACATTTTGGCACTAGTGAAATCACATTCGAAATGCAATCTAGAGCGCTCCAGAGTGTTCCAGGCTAGGTCTAGATCTACTTTTGATTGAAATTTTGCAAGAGGTAAAATGTCCAAACCTCCGATGTGTTAAGAGCTCAGCCGAATTGATGTATTGTTAGTACATCAATAACATGGGAATGAATGAATGACGGTCATCTATATATGTTCATGTAAACTCAGGTTCCTAAGTGTTGTAGTGGGGAGATCTGGCAGGATAGTCTGGCGCAGGTCATAGGGAGTGCCAGGGGTTCTGGCGCAGTAGCAGGAGTCCTGGCTCGTAGTCGGTAGTCCTGCGGCAGTGCGGCTTGTCGTAGTCGGTCCTCCATAGATAGAGCCGCAGCCTCCCGCTATAGAGGTTTGGCCTGGGTTTCCCTTGCAGTCCTTGCCCATTCCAGTGTCTCGATGGTTCCGAAAGCTTCAAGCACGAATCTAAAACTAAGTAGTAGGAATATGAATATCATAGGAACCACCGTTTTGATCACGGAATTTTTTTTTTTTTTTAATCCTTGTTTATTGTCCTTTGGGGCGGAGCCCTATGGTGGACACTACGTACAGTATTATCACGGAATATGATGTTTGTTCTGGCTTGCTTGCGAGTCATACATCTCCTTGTTCTCTGATGACGTACTGATCAATTATTCAGTGCCCGTTGTGCATCAGCACTTCTTTCAACGTCAGAGTCTAGGTCCTAGGTGTTGCTGTTCGACTCTTCAAGTCGCGCCTCGATTCTCAGATGTCTGATAGCTAAGCCACACAAGGACGGAATTTTTAATTGGTATCCGGAAATATTGACACGACTATAATTCACTTCCATAGGACACCGGTAGTAGTTTCGAGTCATCATCAATCATAGAGCTGACCTAGACAGATTTCTCCTCCTCCACATGCTTCGTGTCGAGACCCTCATTCCAGTAAGAGCGGTGATTAAAGGTACACTTCTCCGCATTTACAGAGAATTTACCCCTGCAATCAGAAACTGGATCCTGGAGTTTACGACCATGATGTGATATGCTACAGAAAGAGTGAAATATCAACCATCGATGGCGCTGATAACGACCGGGAACAGTGAGGTGCATGCTGACAGGGCCGCCGTCTGACGTTAGTTGACGTTGACTTCTGTTCAGCCCTGAAACGCGTGCTGATGCGTGGAAAGGACTCCAAAGAACTCGTACGTGCTTGATACTAGTGCATTGGATGGTACGGATACCGATCACTACCCCATAGTGGGTACCGTACAGTCAAAAGTCGGGTAGCAGACTTTTTCGTGTTTAGTATCTACTCCTCCCAATCATTTGGCAGGATCAGCATCAAGAACTAGTATTGGAAACTGAAATGTTAATAGAAGTGTTCATTTGACTCTGATCATCGGCCGCCAATGGTGTCGCGCTATTCCCGTACGCGTCTGATCTTCGAACTTTGCAAATGCGAAATACAACCTCGGGCATCGGTGCTTTACTACTTTGATTGGGGTAGTATACATGACCTTTATGTAACTTATATTCCAATATAACGAAATTCTGTTCCATTTATAATTATATATGGTACTGATATCTGCGCCTGGCCCCTGATGGATGAGTATTGTCCTTCTTACATTTCGCTTTCTCGGATGACAGGACCTGCCCATGCCCATTGCGCACTGAACGCAACCGGATATGGAAGTTTGGGCTTGGTAGTCTTGCCTCTTTAAGATAATCTAATGTGGGCGCTACTAGTAAGTGGCTTTTCAATGAGACTGACAACTGAATCTTACTGTGACCGTCCCCTAAGAACCATCCTTTGCAAACGTTCTTGGTGGATAAGGCTTCAGCCAATCCTAATGACCTGTCAGAGTCATGAGCGGACCTCGTAATGAAAAGGTATAAAGTCCTCTTGAGGATTCCAATGTAATACATCGACAAAGTACCAGTCGCACCTCTTAATTCAAACATGAAGCTCTCTCTTGTCTTCAGCGTGCTCGCATCCATCGCGGTTCTTGTTACAGCGTACCCCACGCAAGGAGCCACTGGCATCGCAAAACGTTCCAGTGAGAATTCATAACTCATTACCATGGGGAGGTTGACAAACGTAACTTCCTGCTAGATGTCGCGAAGCGCGACTCGGAGGAACTTGGCGTCGATGACATAATCTATACCTTCATAGAATACAGGAAGAGAGATGAGGGGAAGCGCGACTCGGAGGAACTTGGCGTCGATGACAAAATCTATACCTTCCTGGACTACAGGAAGAGGCAGGAGAAACGCGACTCGGAAGAACTTGGCGTCGATGACAAAATCTATACCTTCCTAGACTACAGGAAGAGGGATGAAGGGAAGCGCGACTCGGAGGAACTTGGCGTCGATGACAAAGTCTATACCTTCGTGGAATACAGGAGGAGAGATGAGGGGAAGCGCGACTCGGAGGAACTTGGCCTCGATGACGAAGCCTATACCTTTATAGACTACTGAACCTGACCGTGACGCTAGGTTGAGTCATCCATCGTCGTCGCAGCCTCACCAACAAGTTACCCCCTGTATATTTGCATATGCCGACTCGTTTATCTGGCTTGGTTTCTGACATGTTGCGTATCTATGTAATACAATCCTGTTTGTCTCGCTCTTTTTGTCTTAACTATAGACCTAGCCTCGTTCTTGTTACCAAGCTATCGTTTTGTGACGTCGCGTCCTACATTTTCCAACGAGTCTCGCGTGTTGTCACCTCAAGTGCTCTTAGTTCCTGTTTAGAATGAGACAGACGGTATATCAATTGTAGCTGGCTCTCGTCCGAGTCATATCAAAGAACACTATCCTCTCTTGAATGGTCTTACTACATGAGATTACGTGTTCGTCACGTCCTAAGTGATAGCCTGTAGGAAGATATGTATCGCGCATGGCTAGAAAAATAATGCAACGACGATAGAACTGGAAAAGTAATAGACGCAACATAATTTTTAGGCGTCGTCCTCTGACATTCACCAGGACCCTGACTTCTCATCGATGCAGCTGATGCTATGACATCGCCTTAATGCTGCAACTTAGCTAAGACTGTCGTCCCTTAACTGTTACGCCAAAAGGCAGTGATACTGAAAGCTTATGTTTCAGTATCGCGGACAGTATTTATGTAGATTATGGGAACTCTAGTAAGCCAGTGTGCTTACAGATGCTACTCAACCGCACCACAAGAGGAAGCAGCGATACGTTCTCACTCGACGCATAGTACTGCACGCAGTCCAGATGAAACTTGTAAAAATATTATCAACGGTAACCGCGTGAATGAAACAACATCACCTTAAACCTAGAGAGAAGCAGCGGCAGAATCTCAAATACTACATGCAGACAACGGGGCGCTCACCAGTGGTTAAAGTTAGACTCAAACTTCTTCAGGAATTCCCAGCGTTCGTTCATCACCTGGTCGCCGTTGCCGCTTGCTGCCGCTGCGAGCGCTCAATTGGCGGACTTGGTGAAGGAGGTGTACAGTGCGAACGTAGACATGTCTTTGAGCAACCATTCATACAATCCGCTGCTCGCGATTCTAACTCGCACATCTTCGCGGAACACGGCATCTTCCCCTGTAAGTGCAAGGTCGAGCAGAATCTGTAGCTTCACGATACTAACACCTTTCGCGTGGTTCTTCAGCTCTGTGTGGGCGAGGTCTCAGAGGTGGGTGAGGAAGGATGAGGAGGCCAGGAAGAAATGATGCTTGAGAGAGCAGAGCCGAGGTACGAGCTATTGATCTTGCAGCAGGAGACGTAAGAGAACTAAACCCAACGACGAAACACACTTTTCATCTTCCATGGACAGCGAATTTTATCTTCTGATCGGGTTGCACCTCGATCCCATATTCGCGCATCACGTTAAGATACTTCCCTGCAGAATAAAATCTTGTATTTCATAGGCACCACCGAGTAACCAACCTACAGCAGTACGTGGCGGAGGAACATCTGTGTGGTGGCGCTTCGAAGAAAGGGTCGAGCCATCACGAAGCTACCCAGACATCAGTACACATTCACCCCATTCTCTCAGATAAAGCTCACCGTATATCCATGTGAATCCACTTCCAAAATGTCCTTACTGACGAACTTGCTCTCCTTGACACACGACTCCTCGTATGGGTCTTCGAGACGACCGGTAGTTGTCCATACTCGGAGCATCTTGACATAGGGCACCCTAGACTGACCAGCCCCAGATCTATAAGGCAAGCCGGACTGGTAAAACTGGGTTTGAACTTGGATGTTGAGCGGATTCACGGCAGCTGCGCCATGGGGAAGGGGAGGTTTACAAACGGTCAACCGTTTTTTTCAAAGACCGACCAGACCGTTTGGACCGTTTGAAAGCACGTGAGTTTTAAACGTCACGTGACACTTTTGATTTTGCCCCAAGGAAGGCATTCAACCAAGGATGACGGAGCGGACGAGCAATAAACGGGACCCTTACCTACCCTTTTATTTCAAGCCTGCCTCTTCCCTTTCTTTCTGTGTGAGCGAGCAAAGAGCAAAGTGTGAATTGGTGAGTTGCATGAAGACCATGTGATGAACATGGGTAAAGTAAACTACTAGTGTAAATATTCTGTAAAAATGAGAGAGATGGGGGGAGGGAATGAATCTCGACTACGGCTGCTGGAGGAAATTGATCCTAAACCACTGCTTGTCATTGTGGGTGACAATGTGGTCACAGGGGGTCAATGGGTCTCTCTTGGTCCCTGTGAGAAAACATATTCATAGACACACTGATGTTGGAATAGCAAGTAGGGATATGCACAGGTTTTGGAAACCCGCGTGAGTCATGGGTGTGGGTACACGCTGGGTATGGGTGGGGGTCTGGTCCCAGTGCACCCGTACCCTTACCCGCACCCTTGGCTCAGGTTGACGGACGAAAACAAATTGTAGATACCAAAACTCTGCTACTGTACAGTTGTCAAACCTTAATGATACTCACTACGTAGATTTAGGAATGATAGATCATAGTTAGCGCTCCCTACAGCCTACACACCATGCAGCTCAACTTGCTTTCGAAAACTGCTAAACGAGTCACCAAATTGACCAACAAGGCTAAAGCTGCTATCGAGGAGAAGCTTGATGGTGCCTCGACCAAGAAAAGGAAGAACCACACAAGCGGCGAAAGTATGGTGGCCATCAAATCCAAAAAGGCTAAAGCTACCCCGCCAGATGGTTCTGGCAACGGACCGTCCTCGGAAGAAATAATGCCTCCGCCGCAGCTAGCACCAGTACCACCAGAGCCGGTAGCACGCAGGGCCATTGTTCGGACTGAGGAAGAAGAGGCTGCTTTATATAACGATGTGATTGACATCGACGCTGATGATGACGACACTGAGTGCCAATTATCCAGCCCAGATGTCGAGAGTGTCGAGAGTGCTGCTGACGAGCTAAGTATGAGCACCCTTGTTCAAGCAAACATTCACGTTAATAAAAATATAGAACAGGTTAATGAAAGAATGGAACCTCACCAGTATATGCGTTCTTTGATCCAACACCACACATCATTGAGAATGATGGTCAGGCGGGCACATGAGTTCAAGTGTAGTGCACGAGGATGCAAGACCACCATCCTGACAGTATCTGGATAAAAAAGATGCCCAGGTCCACTGGAAATATGCAGAAGCACAGTCAAGTTGTGTTGGGGTGATGCAGTCCTGCAAGCTGCTGATGACACAAAGGATGCAAGCGAGGTCCGCACCAAAATCGTTCCGGGAATCCTGCGAGATGGATCAATAACTGGCATCCTTTGAATGCAAGGGGAAGGGGAAGGTGACATACTCCTACTGTCAACACACCTGCGCTGAGACCAAGTAAGTCTTTGTCACTATGCAGCCAGACAAATTTAACATGACACAGAGCTGAGCTTGTGCATTGAGTCTCCGAAAGCCTGCAACCGTTCGAGATAGTCAAAGACCGAGGATTTCAATCATTAATGAAAACGGGCTGGCCGGAATACTACTTACCTTCCCCAACCACTATCTTGCGTGATGTATGGCTTGTTTTCGTGCGCACTTGACAACATATTGCTAAAATGTTGAGAGTTAGTGACTTCATGCTCAATATGAATGAAACTGACTTGACTTACCAGGAATATGACAGCAAGATGAATTTTACCACAGCATGGACATCCACCAACCATAGAGCCTTTGTGGCGGTATTGGTCCATCTTGAGCACAACGGAATCCCACTGAGTCTGCTGTTAGACATTGTTGAGGTGGCGAAGGTATGTGAAAGACTTATGAGGTGCCCACACACAATGACATGACAACTTGACCAGTCCCATACTGGTGCGGAACTTGCGGCAGTATTTGCAAAAATGCTTAGAAGAATTTGGAATATCAGACAAGGTACAAGGCAGTTTAGGAAAAGGAGAAAAAACTTACTTGCTAACTTGTCCCACAGATACTGAGTGTAACATGCGATAACGCCTCGAACAACAACGTCATGGTTGATGGAGCTCCAGAACTTGCTTCCTGACTTTGGGGGGGCAGCAAGTCACACATGGTGCTTCTTGCACACCGTGAATCTGATTGCCAAGTCCCTGCTTCGTGAGTTCGACGTAACGAAAGAATTCGAAGGCCGCAAGAGAAACAGACCATGATGATGTTGCGAGTGATATGGAGCTTGCCGATCTGAGCAATGAAGTTGAGAGTGAAGACACCAGAGCCAATGCTAATGCCAGTGCCGATGTTGGAGATGAGGAGTTGCCAGATAATGAGGATGGTTGGGTGGATGAGGCAGCGCTGTTGGACCAGGATGAACAAATTGAGCTGCAAAAAAATATCCGACCGGTAAAGTTAGTGCTTTTGAAGGTAAGACAAAAAAAATTCAAGCGCACCTCAATATTGACAGCTCCCTCTAGCTGTGCAAGCTTTCTTACAAACTGATCAATTCCACAACTATCTTGCTTCCTGCTTGGCACAAAATCCTCCTCAACCTGCAAATGACTCCAACGAATATGCTGCGAGACGTTTGCACCCGCTGGAACTCGACCTTCGATATGCTGGACTATGCTGTCGTCCATCGGGAAGCGATTGACACAGTCACTCAGTGGCGTGACCTAGGATTGCGCAAGTTTGAGCTTGTCGACAGTGATTGGGAGATAGCCAGCCAGTTGCGGGATGTATTGAAGGTAGGCGTGGGTCCCTTACTGGAAATTGCTTACTAAACATGTCTTTCAAGATTCTCAAGGACACCACATTGTTTTTCTCGCAGGGGGACGCCTAACCTTGCAAAGGTTATTCCCGCGATGGATTTGATTGATGAACAACTCACCACCTACTCACACAACAAGAAATATTCCGATTCTATCTGTGCAGCTGTTCGCCTTGCCAAATGAACGCTCAACCAGTACTACCAGTTGACGGACAAGTCTGAGGTATACTGGATTGCTATGGGTGAGTCTTTTGATTTAAATAATAATATGATACTGACCATTTACTACAGTACTGCATCCACGCCATAAATTGGCCTATTTCAAGAACGCACGGTGGGAGGATGCCTGGATTGAGACTACAACCACACTTGTCCGCGACGAGTTTGAATGGTCATACCTCGAGGTGGGGATTCAAGAGAACAGAGATGATATCGAGATGTTGGATACTACGGCTCATGAGGTATGTGTTTTTTATTCATGGCTCAATATCATTAACTGCAACTCAACTTTTAGAATTTATTTGACAATATGCCAGCACTGGCGCCACCCAAGTCAACTGACCTGGGGGATGAACTGGAGCGCTACCTCAACGCTGATATTGAGGATGTCCCTGATCCTATTGCCTGGTGGCATGAGTGCCATGCAGTATATCCCCACCTTTCTTGTATGGCCTTAGACTACTTAACAATACCTGGTGAGTCCATGCCCACCCTCCTTTATGGGTTCATTCTGACATGTTCATAGCTACATCAGTTGACGTCAAACGTCTGTTCAGCCGGGGACGCCTCCTTCTGTCTCACGTGCACTCATGTCTGACCGCTCAGTCTACTTGAACACTCCTATGTCTCGGTTATTGGAGCCGCTGTGAAAGAGTAATAGCGACTAGGCTGGTTAGAAACTAGCGCTACTTATCCAAATAGGCACGAGTGTAGTATTCGACCCAAGAGGACTGCTATTGAAGCAACTCCCTTCAAATATGCAAGGGTAGCGATAGCACGAAGGACTAACAACCTATAGCGACCTAAGACCAAAAAAAACCAATGAGTAGCGCTGTAGCGATCAGCGACTAGCGACAAGTGAGTTCCGACAGAGAAACGTGCATATAAGTGAGAAGCGCTATGCAAGTTGTCCTATGTGATAGCACTTATGCGACATCCGACTAGTGACAGCGAGAAGAAATCAAAAGAAGGGAAAGTGAGGAATAAGGTAAGATAGTGCAAGTGGAATGCCCGATAGCGACTAGATTATAGCTCGACTACCGATAGCGATCCTGACATTGCGAAAATCAAACTTATGAGGGAACTTTAGCAACGCACACTCAAAGCAAGTCAAGCGACACACGATCAGAGAGATTGGCAAGAGTGGAATCAATTGCACCAAAACTAGGATATAGCGACTAAAGTGACTCCAACACCAGCAAAGGTCCAGGGAAGGGAAGTACTGTACTGTATGTAGGATGGGTCATTTTATTATACTGCATAGGGGTTCGGGATGTGTAGGCGAGTATAGTAGCGACACTGGCGAGGGCACGATGTAGTGACAGGTAATAGAACATGCAGCGCTGCGGAACATGAGGACACATGTAATAAGACCTGCGACAGATGAGTAGCGACATTTAAGGAAATATAACGCACCAGCGGAGGTAGGTGGACATAGGCAGGACATGGGAGGGCGGAATACCTATACGTCGGACCGGGGTAGCGCGCTATGGGAGAAAAGTGGTTCCAAAGCGGATAGCTTGGGAGCTGAATAGCGCTGGTGACTAGCGCCTTACTCTTTTCCTCTAGGCAAGTCAAAATATGCCTATGACACTCATACGTGCCTAGTGCTGGTATGATTGTCACACCGCCTCAACCTCGTCAAGACGGAAGACATTGTCAAGATTAGTTCCCTGCCTGATGTTGAAGGTACTGATGAGCAAGAGCTCAAGGATGGTTGGGACTGCATTGAGTAGCTAGGTAGTACATTTTTTGTAGTGTTTTATTATAGTATACTATGCCCGCAGGGTATACCCACCATGGGTGTTACCCTGGGGTGTTATACCCTCCTACCCATCGCTACACCCATACCCTCAGCGCGGGTATGGGTACATCTCGGGGTAAGGGTACGGGTGGTGCCTACGATACCCCAGGGTTTACCCGTGCACATCCCTAATAGCAAGTGTGCGCTCGTGTCATATACCATATATCCGGTTACAGATCCGATGATCTGGATCTCAGATCCGATCCAGATCCGATGAACATATCCGTCGTCCGGTCCACAGATCCGCTTTGATTCTTATTTCATTTCCTGTTCATATAACTCTAACTATCGTTCATCTCCTTTCGGTATTCCTGTACACCGGTATACCGGTTATCCTTTACTTCCGCTTTGCTTACTGATCCGCTATGCTTACTGATCCGCTATGCTTACTGATCCGCTACACTTACGAATCCGCTTTTACTTACTTTGCTTATACTTTCATACATAGCCTCGCACCTTTGCTTATTGATCATTCCGTTAGCTATCCGTAGTATATAAACCTTTGTATATGCGCTGTAGTAGATCAGTTCGAATATCATCTTAGATTGCACTCATTCCGTCTGGACTCTGAGTCCCTCCGTTATCCATCCGGACTTGAGTACGCTACTCTTGTCAACTCCGAGACTTAGGATAGATTCCTATAGTCTACATATCCGCCTCTGTCTTCGGACAGTCCTCACCCGTTAGTTTCTAGTCCGGATCCGATCCGGATTGGCCGTTACTCTATACATGCGATACTTTAGCTCTCTGAAATAAGGGGCAAGACTCGGGAAAGGGGCACAGCGCACGAGCTGAGGCCGAAGCCCTTCGGATCCGATACTACTTGAGTACGGTCTTAACAGCTCGCAGTCAAGACACGCCATTGGGAGATCTTGTTTTGGTCCGTTACAGCGACCCGTTGTGGTGACAAGATATGGCTGGGCTGTAGGTAAAAGCACCAAACCAAAGTATATGAGTCTCCTGCTCTCCTAGCTGCTACTCTTGCTAGCAAGAACGTTCGACCCTAAAGGATCTCTGACTAGGCTCAGGCTCAAAGAAAGAGAGTGGAGAAGGTACTCCAAGTCAAGGTAAGAAAACTATGTTCCAGGAGCTATCTGGTGAGCTGAGAAGCTACAACTAGGAAAGCTACAACTAGGGGATGCTACTAAATAACCCAAGTGAATGGAGAGCAACCAAAGAACTGGAAACAAGGGAAACTAGGTAATGACTGTAGAGTCCTAGGTAAAGGGAAGATGATTATGTAAGCAGCAAAAGTGCGAACCTAATTTAAGGAAAGTGTCAATAAGAGATGCATAGTGAAAAGTGCCTCTGCAAGGTTACAGAAAGTTTGAACACCACATCGACCTCTTTCAATTGCACATGGATGATACATACAGCAAGAATGGTGCTAGTAACACACCGAGCCCTTGCATGTATGCATGGGCATGGCATGTCTGTGACATCCTCATAAACCATGGCCCCAAGCACTTTGTAAAATTTGCTCATGAGCTTGGGCGACCTGACACCATCTTTCAGATCCCTGCACACAAGACACATCAAATCCCATGCCATTCCATGAAAATCAAACAGTCAACAACAGATGGGAATGTGGAGGTGGTGGAGAACTTACTGAAGCAAGGCGGCATTGGAGATCCAACAGCAGATGAAGAATTTGACTTGGAGCGTGATGTGGACATGTCTAAGCATGTGATAGTGGTCCATGGTGATCTCTTGACCAAAGAGCGACTCAATATTGCATGTGAATCATGCTGCATTGAAGATACACCAAAAAATTGCTTACAGTTCATTACATTCCTGCCCAGGCTGTTCCACTACAAAATGGCCTGTGCAGACACACTGTGGAGAATTCATATTCAGCCAAAAAATGAGAGGGATAATGAAGATGGTATGTTCCAGCATATCTGCATCTTGCAGCCAAGTGAATTGAACGCCATTGGAAGCAAGCCAGGTTTCGATGGATGCATGATGTCATCCACTATGATCTATGGGCAGCGATGTTGGACTGCTGGTGCATGGAAGTATCGACCCATAACTCTCAGTGGACGTTGCTGGATAAGTTTGCAGAGTCAGATCCGAAATTGGATGATATTGTTGAGATATCTATGATGATTGTTAGTACAGTATATATTCAAAGCTGTTGGCAAGCATAAACATGCGGTACAAATGAGCCACTTCTGTTCTCACCTGCAATATGGTCATCCAGAGGGTTTGCAGTGTGTAGTTCACTTGCATCCCTGTCCAGCTGGCTGCTAAACAGAAGTTTGGTTAGAAAAATCATTTGCCTAAACATGCTGTACAATCCAACAGGCAGGGTGCATGCTTTTCGTGCTGTTGATTGGCTAGTTGAACAAAACAACCTGTACACCATAGTTATTTATTCTGGAACAGGTCCAAACTGTACCATTGATCACATCATTAACGAGTTGCCTCTGATTGAGGTCTACCGGAACTGCCATGTTACAATCAAAAATGCATTCCATCTTTCACAGCACACTATATGACATGCCCCACCCAACATGAACAAGACCATCCAAAAATTCATCCATCAGATGGTCACATCATCTCTGCATCGGTTCACTGTGGGATGGACCACAAAATATTGCATTGATGACAGGCTTGCTGATGGTGTTATGTTATGCTGCTGCAGAAGGGGGAGGGTTCATTGCCTGGTGCACAGTATTGACAACAATTAATTAAGCCAAAATCTTCTGAAATTGCTATGTAAGCTCCAATCTGTTACACATATGCTACCATGAACTCACGTCTCGGGTTACCAAAATACTCATCAATGACTATTCGTCAACAGATCCCACAAGTGTTTGTGTTGATGTACATGTCCATTGCATTTTCTAAGTAGTCATTCTGTGTTAAACCACAGGGGGTGTGCCAACCAGGAGCAGTTTGTATTGGACATGGTGAGTCATTTTGGGATTCATTTTAAAGAGATGTGTCTTGATCATGATCATCACTGATGTCATTTAGTATTGCGGTATCACCTGCATCATCCATCTCGCCTCTTTTCCTTTTTTCATTTTCTTGTGATCCAGATACTTGGGCTCTACAAAATAAATTCTAACACCATCCAAGGTAGGATCATGGACACCACGCCCAATACACTGCACAAGGGAGCAGAGGGACTTTGTATGTCGCCACTGAATGACCAGCTTAATTCCACGTAAGTCAAGACCCTGCATAAAGTCGTCAAATCTGAGTATTCTTACTAGTTCATCAATCACACACCATTCCTGCTGCATCAGTACAACAGATCCCCCATATTTTCCCAGTCCGTAAATTTACAATTGCCTCTCATCTAAATTTTGCACTCATTCCAGAATGAAACCAGACTATTCTATCATGATACCTCTTTGTGATAGGAGCACAGAAATTGAGCCACTGACTCAGTCTCCTTTCTTGAGTTTGCAAAGACCATAAACGAATCCTGTCCAGCATTAGGATCCAGTCGAAGGACGCGAAGTAAGTCCCATTTCGTATTGACAGGATACTTCATCTCCTCAACATGTAGGTAGATATTTGGTCAGTCATTTGAACGGATGATTTTGACAGCATCACTTTGGATTTGGAGCTTCCTCTTCACATCCTGGAGGATGTGAGGAGGCATTGTAGCCGGTATGTGTGCTGGAAGTATCCACCTGAGATTCCCTATGTCTCCATACTCAGGACAGAATGAGTCCCCCCACTCACTGATGCGGTGGGGCTCATCCAATGTAATTGCAAACAGTTTCTCAATGAACTTTTTGTTTTCCCAGAGTCTCTTGAATCAGGCATCATTTTGAACATGTTCTGGACTGGTTATGATGACTCGATATTTAAGGGACTTGATTTCCTACATTCATCAGAATATGATCCAGTTCTCCAAGTTGAAGCTCACTCACCTGGTAAGCATCCTCTGTTGCGGTGGACATTGTCAAGTTAATGGCATTTCTTTCAACTCATCGTAGTTCTTATCTCCTAGGATGTTAAGTGGTGTGATGAGGACCATAATTCCATTGCCATTGAAGAGCAATGGCAGCCAGAAGTTGAGTGTTTTCCCAGAACTAGTTGCAGAGATCATGATCGCACCTTGTTGCTCTAGCTGACTGAGAGCATATTTCACTTGCCAAAGGCATGGTTTATATCCAAAGACTTGTTCTGCATAGTGCTGCCGTGGTCCGGTCCAGAACCATGGTTTGAACCTAACCAATGGTCAGGTTCGTCCATGGTTCGGTCCATGGTTCCCCATTTTGGATGGACTGAACTGGAATGAGGTTCACGGTGTGGTGAAAGAAATAGTAGTCAGCTAGATAAACCAACTAACTTACTAAATCCTAATGGGTGCGAGTGCAGTACGTCGACCCAAGGGGACTGCTATTGAAGCACTTCCTTCTAATAGTGCGAGGGAAGAGAAAGGAAGAAGCTAAGATCTAAGACCTGAGATGTTCCAACTGACCGAAGGTCCGAGTCCGAGAATGTCTGACACGATATGGGATACCGACGGTACACCTGATGCGAGATACCGATAAGGGACACCGATGTGAGAGACCAATGAAGGACACTGATGCGAGAGACCGATGAAGGACACCAATGCAAGATACTGATGCAAGATGAGGAGTCCGATGCCAATGAGCGGCAGGTAAGTCTAGGCCGAGGTAAGGAGAGTCTAGGTATAACTAGGTATGACGAGGTATGACTAGCTATGGGTTGCTGAGGCAAGACTACCGGTAGCAGTCTGGATCTCACAAGGCCTAATTGTTGGAAATTCTTAATTTAGATTTCAACAGCTTGCAACGCATTTCAATGCCAAATGCAGAACGAATCTTAAATAGGTTGCCATAATAGAGTTGTAATTGTCATACTCATTTAAATATCAATTTCAAGCACAGTTGCAATGATGATGACTCATGCCAATCACGACCACGGCATCACATCACGTGGCAATAGTGGTTGAAATCATTGTCACAACATTTATTGCAAAGTCATTGGAATGTAGTGACAAGTCTCGCAATGGCAATTGTAGGCTTACAAATTTCAATGTAACGAATATATATTCCTTGCAATACAAATTACAATTTATCTCATTGGGTAGCAATACATATTTTGATATTTAATTTAATAATAATAATAATAATATTTACAGCATAGGTATAAGAGACTTAGCAGGTGTACTTGGAGATGCAGTCACAGGAGATGCAAGGGATATGGAGATGGGAGACGACAGCCGATATGTGATGGAGCCGATGGAGTTTGCCGGTGGATATGGGATGTCTTGACGTTCTTCGTTGACGGGTAAATTCCTGTTAAGGTGGTTAAAATACCCCCAAACGATATTCTAAGCAAATACTTGCCTTCACCACGCTGTACTCCACCACCTTCTTGCTGGTGAGATCACTCTTATTCCCAACCAGCAGCTTATTGACACCCTCAGAGGTGTACCGGTGTCTTAATAACCGAGGGTCTTATATAAATACGTGTAAGAATGTAATGACACCACAATTACACTGGATAAGACTTCTTGCCAGTCC